GAGTTAGGTTTAAAGAAACTAATCCTAATTACTAATAGAATTAGGTAATAAAAAGATATACTAAAAGAGTATAATTAAACTAATTAGCTAAGCTAAAAAATAAGTATAAGAAAAAAGGAATTTCTTTTTTTAATTAAAAAAGAATAAAGTAAAAATAGCTATAAGTTTTAATATATATTATTTTTTAACTTTACTATATAAAATTACTTTTAATTATAATTAATTATTTAATATTTATATTAGTTTATTTATATAATTTATAAAAGTTATAAGCCTAAAAAGTAAATAATAAAAGATACTTTTTATTATTTAAAACTTCTATTTTATTTATAAACTTATTTAAAATATATAAAAATATTCTTAATCTCTTTTTCTCCTTTTTTTAATATATTAACTTAAAAAATAATAACTACTTTAGCCTATTCTAACCTTAAGCTTAAAGAATTAAAATAATAATATAAATAAGAACTTTACTTTAAAGCCTATATATCTTTAAAATAAGTTTAAGGTTATATAGACTTAAATTAGCTTTATTTTAATAGTAATTTATACCTAAAGCCTTATAGGTTTATTTAGCTTTAGTATAAAAATAAATACCTAAGTATTAATTATATTAACCTAAAAATTACTTATAAAGAGGTAATAGATTTTTAAAAAGAAATAATAACTATAGTTAAAAAGAAGTAAGAAAATATTAATCTAGTCTAAGTCTAGGTTAGTATTATTATAAACTTTAAACTCTTTTTAAAAGTTTAAAAAACTATTAAAATAAAGGTAGTAGAATTAAGAGCTATTTATAATTAATATACTTTTAAAGATATTCTTAAGGAATTAAAGGTTATTATTACCTTAAATCCTAAAAAAGTAAGGTAAAAAATAAGAAAAGAGTATAAGTAAATTATAACTATTAGAAAAATAGTATTAAATAGACTAAGTTAGATCTAGATATAGGAAAAAGTATACTAAATAGTATTATTTTATTAAATTCTTAATATAAAAGGATTAATAGCTATTATTAATTTCTTAAATATAATTAAAAAGAAAATAATACTTAAATAAGCTATATTTTTAAAAAAGGATTTTATTAATATAGGTATTTTACTAGGGAATAATTTAATATTAAATTAAACCTTATAAACTACTATAAATATATTTAAAAAAAATATAAAGGAATTAAAGTATAAAAAGTTAACTAAGAATACTTTCCCTATATTAGATAATAAATAAGGAAAGAAATCTAAAAAGTAAAGATATAACTACCCTTATTAAAAGAAAGATTAAACTTACTTATAAAAGCTAAAAGAATACTATATTATTTAAAAGATATACCTAGGTTCTTTTAAACTAGATATAACTATAAATAAATTCTAAGCTAAGAAAATTAAAGAAATTATAAATAAACCTAAATAGGCTACTTTTAAAGTATTTATAAGTAAAGAAAAGTAGCTATAAAAGGAATATAATATATATATTCTATTTAAAAGTACTTTTAAACCTATAAAGAATATATTCTCTACTATCTATAAAAACTACTACTTATATTATAAAAGTATACTTTTAGATAATTATAGTTTATACTATATTATAAATAATAAAAGCCTCTTTAAGCTAGATTCTTATAAAGAGTTATAAAATATCTTAGTTAAGGTTAAAAATTACTAATCTACTATTATTAGTATAGAAATAAGAATTATAAAATATATCTTAACTACCTTTAATAGGCTAGGAATTAACCTTTATTTAATAAATATTTATTATATTCTTAACTTCTATATAAATTTAATTTTAACTAGTATCTTAAAAGCTAAAACTAGGCTTTAGATTAATAGCTATAATAATACTTTAAGGGAAGGTATACCTAAGAATAATTACTATATAACTTAACTATATAAGAAGGATAATATTCTATTTTTTAAATATAAACTAATTTAATAACTAAAAAAGCTAGTATTTTAAAAAATAGTCTTAAATACCCTTAAATATAATCTTAATTATATATTAAAAGGAATATCCCTTCTTAAAAAGGGGGATAGTTATTTATAATATCTATAATTAAGATACCTTAAAAAAGAATTACTTAAGGCCTTAATTTAAGAATTAACTAGTAATTAAATTACTAGAATATAATATCTAAATTATAAAGTATATAGTATTATTTTAATAGAAAATATTATTAATAAGGAAACTAATAATATATTTACTATTTAACCTTTTAAAAGAATTAAGTAGGATTTATAGGAATACCTTTTAAGTTATAATAAAATAAGTTTTCTTTTTATAATATAAAATAAATATACTAATTTAATCTATTCTATTCTAACTACTTTTAAAAATACTAAAACCCTTTTCTTTATAATTAAAAACTTTATAATATAGATTAAAAGGTAATTTAACCTTAAGGTCTTTATTATAAAATATAATAATAAAAAGGCTATAATCTATAAAAATACTCCTATAAAGTATTAAAAATAGGTAAAAGAATTAAGAATTAAGATTAAAGCTATACTAATATATATCTATAAACTAAATAGGTTAAATAAAAGATCTAAAAGGATAGTTATTAAAAAAATACTTATCTTAATAATATCTTTAAGACTACCTATAGCCTTATAGTTTAAAGTAGTAAAAATAGCTACCTTCTTACTTAGAAATAGCCTAAAAAAAGTATATAAATATAAATTACTATTATAAAAGATAAATTTATAATTTAAAAAGAGTAAATAAGGTATTAAGTATATAATTAGTAAAAAGATTAATATAAAAGGATAGTATATATATAGATATTAAGTATACTCTTTTAATTAAGAATAAGAAAAAAGAGTTAATAAAAAGAACTTTAAAGTATACCTTAAAGGATATATTAATTATTTAATTAGTTATATAGTATTAAACCTATACTAAATATAGATACCTTAACTTAACTATATTATTATAATAAAGAATATTAAATTTAATAAAAATATATTCTATTCTTTAGAAATAAAGGATAAGGATAAGATTACTAAGTTAGAACTAAAGAAGGAGATAAAGTCCTTAATAGAAATAGAAAGTTAAAATCTAACTATAGAATTTAGACTTAAATATTTTCTCCTAATAACTTTATAAGATACTATCTTTAACCTAAATCCTTAAAATAAGTTATAAGATTTAAATAAATCTAAATAAAGTAGTTATAAAATATAAAATACTATAATATCTAATAAATATACTATATAAACTTAAGAAGTAGACCTAAGTAATATTAGAACTTTAAAAAGTAATATATTATCTTTAATATTAAAGGTAGAAATTAAAAATAATAATAATATAAGAATAGTAATAGGTAATAGGATAGATAATATACTTTTATTTAAGGATATATTAGAACTATTTAAGGATATAAGTTAAAAAAAAGATATTAATAATTTAGCCTTAAAAATAAGAGAAGATAACTAAATATATATATATTTATTTAGCCTTTAAATAAGACTAGAATTATAAGATTTATATATAGAAAATACCTAGAAAATAAGAATTTAGCCTTTTATTACTTAAAATAAGAAGATAAGTCTATATTTACTTAATAAAGATAAGCTAATAACTTAGGAAAAGCTTATTAAGAAGGATTATAATCTATATTTATAGGATATAGTTATAAAGACTTTAAATTATAACTAGAAATTTAGAAAGTAACTATAAAAAGCCTAATCTTTATTCTTAAAGAGACTATTTATAGAAATAAAAGGATTAAAAGGAAGATTAAAAATAGCTAGGAGTTAATATAGAAAAGGATAAAATTAGCCTTTATTATACTTTAATTACTAAAGACTATTACTAAAAAGAAAAAGTATATAGCTAATCTTTACTATATTAACCTAAAAAAATATAATAATAAAGAATTATAGATATTATTTATAATACTAAAATATATATTCTAAAATAAATAATTAGATAATAATTAGACTTAGAATATTAGAAAAGATAAGTAACTATACTATATTAATAATTTACTACCCTTACCTTAAGGGTAGAATAAAATTAAAAGGTATACTTTTAAAACCTAATTTAGAGAAGTAGGTCTTAATAAAATATAGGCCTTTAATAAAATAAAGACTTAGACCTATATATATAGAAATATTAAAAAGGAATATACTCTACCTTTTAAATAAGTATTTATATATAAATTTAATACTAATAAAGTTTTAATTAAGTATAAAGTATAAATCTATATATAAGGGGATTTATAGCTAATTAATAGTTAAAAAGAAATATATATAACTATATTAATAGTATAAACCTTCTAAATAATAATAGTACTTATAGTAAAATATAACCTTAATACTTAATAGTTTAATATTAAAAATACCTTTTTATATACTAGTAAATAAGACTTATTAAATAAAGTCCTATATAGGCTATTATTAGGATTCTAAGAAATAATAAATTTACTAATAGATTTTAAAGAAATAGACTATAATATCTTACTAAATTAAGCATTTTATAGGTTATAAGACTTACTACTCCTCTAGTATTTAGAATTTACTAGTATATTAATAGAATTAGGGTTTATATAATATAAAGAAGAATTATATTTCTTTTTTAATAAAAAGAAGTTAATATATATTATTTTCTTTATTAATAATATTATTATTCTAAATAAGAAAAAAGCTATAAAGAAAAAGAATAAATTTACTTATAAGCTACTTTAAAAATATAGAATATATAATTAAAAAGAGGTATTATAATTCTTAAAAGTTAAGATTATTTATAATTAAAAGAAGAAAATAGTATAGCTCTCCTATAGAGTATATATAAAGAAGATTATAGCTAAGTTTAAAGTAATTAGTTTTAATTAAGTCTAAACTTCTTTACTATAATAGTAATTTACTAAAAGAATAAAATAAATAATACTAAAAAAGGTAAAAAGATACTAAGAGATTATTAAATTAATCCTATATATATTAATTATAATAAGAGTAGATATTATATTTATAGTATTAATACTATCTTATTATTTAATAAACCTATTTTAAATATATTTTAATATAGCTATTTATATTATTTAATATCTTCTTAATACTAAAGATTACTATATTATATATAATAAGAATAAAAAAGTAATTATTTTATAAATAGTAAATAATACCTTATATACTAATAATTTAGATATAAGGAGATCTAGTTAAGAATTTATTATAATTCTTTTTAAAGAAATTATAGCCTAGAAAGTATTATATTAAAATATAATAATAACTTCTACTATAAAAGCTAAGTTATTAGCTCTCTAGAATACTATAAAAGAAATAGTTATACTTAAGTATCTTTTCTAGGAAATAGATATTATTCCTAGACTACCTTATAAAATTTTCTATAATAATTAATAAATAATTTATCTAATTATAGTTAGAAATTAAAGAATTAATACTAAATTATAATATATTAATATTTATTATTTATAGCTTTAATAAGAATATTAATATAGATTATTTAAAGTATTATATCTTTTAATAAAAGATATATTAATAGATAGATTTATAAAGAACCTATTACTATAGTTATTTATTTATTTTTAAGATTTAATTAAGATTATAAAGTTTAAAAGTAATAAGAGTTTAATTTAAACTAAAACCTAGTAATAATATCTTTAAATACTAATAAAAAAAAGGGGGATAAAAGATATAAAAAAGGTATAAAATAATCTTATTATTTATTAATAAGATTTTTTACTAGATAATTTATAATAACTTTATATTATTTTAATTTAGCTAAATAAGTATTAAATATAATTTTATATCTATAGAATAAGCTAAAAGACTTATACTTACTTATAGTTACTATTATCTTAAAAAAGGTTTAAGTAGAATTCTATTCCTTTTTATAAGCCTTAAAACCTATTAAAGTCTAGTATTATTTAGTAGGAAAAGCCTTAATTATAAACTTTTTTATAATTTTTAATAATATAAAAGTAAAGGAATTTATTTTATTAATAATTAAAAAACTAATAGCCTTAAGATTATCTAGAAAGTTAATTTTTATAGCTAGAAGTTAAGATAGAATATATAAAAAGAAAGGATTCTTAAAAGACTTAATTAGAATATAATTAAGAATAAAAGGATAGAAAGAAAGTATAAACTTAATAGCCTAATACTAAGTTCTTTTTATATAATATTTAAAGTAGTAACTTATTAGCTTACTATAATAAAGAGAAGTAGTATTAATTAAGGTTATAATATAATAATATTTATAACTTTAAAGGTTTTCTATAAAAGAATATATATATATTATATATAGGACCTTATAAAGACTATTAAGAGTATATATAGTAATTTAAGTTATAGCTATAAACTTTTTTTAGGTTTTTAAAAATACTTAAGTATCCTTTTTAACTAAACTAAGAATAAAGAAATAATTATTAATATTATTTAAGCCTAAAGAGGTAAGGAATAATATAATAATATTATTTAAGTCTATATTATTAAGATTAAAAGTTAATAAAAAATAAAATAATTAAAAAGAATAATATATACTTTTAAAATTAAATATAATAAATATACTATTTACCTCTTAAACCTCTATAGGAGTTAAAAGCTAAGACTACTTTACTAGATTTAAGTTATTAATACCCTATAAATACTTTAAAGTAAAGATAGTATATTTAAAGTTAAGAATATTATTAAGATTAGAAGTTTCTTTATAAATAAAAGAAAAATAAAGATAAAGTATATTAAAGATAATAAATAAAGGAAAAGAAACTAGCCTTTTAAAGGATTAAAAGTAGTTTAAATACTTCTATATAATTATTAAAAGTACCTTACTTTATATATTATAATAAGATTATATTATTAAAAAGTAATATACTATTAAAGCTATTATTACTTTATTTTTAAATAATTAAGGAAAATAATATAAGTAAGTTAATAAATATAGGAAGAAAAAGAGAATAAAGTAATTATAATAAGATTAAAAAGAACTATATATATAAAAGACTTAAATATTCTTTAATTTAATAAAAGTAGTTATAAAGGATTAATTTATTAAAAAATACTATTCTTAATTAAATTTTAAAATACTTCTTTAAGGTAGTATAAATAAAAGAAGAAGGAATCTACTTAAAAGGTATATTATAATTTAAATAAAGATTATAGTATATATAATTAGCTAAAGATCTACTTATAATAGAAAGCTAAAAAAAGATAATAATATATAGATAAAGGAGTTAAGTTTAAAGAAACTAATCTTAATTACTAATAGAATTAAGTAATAAAAAGATATATTAAAAGAGTATAATTAGGCTAATTAGCTAGGCTAAAAAATAGGTATAAAAAGAGAGGAATTTCCTTTTCTAATTAAGAAAGAATAAGGTAAAAATAGCTATAAGTTTTAATATATATTATTCTTTAACTCTATTATATAAAATTACTCTTAGTTATAACTAGTTATCTAATATCTATATTAGCCTGCTTATATAATTCATAAGAGGGCTTGTTGATCGACCAGATATGGCGCTTCTGTCTCGTTATATGGGTAGATGACACGGCATTCGGGTATTTCGGTGGACTGAGGGAACCCTCCAGCAGCCAAGTACGGGCGCATCTAGCATTACACCAGACTCAGGAACGGGGATCGCTTTGTGAGCAATCCGATCGCCCTTTAAACTCCACTTTCAGGGTGCTCAGGGCCGCCCGAAGGGTAATGCCGTAGCGGCGATCTGTCCGCTCCGGCAAGCCGACGACGAAGATCTTCTCAAACTGCACGAGCGCGACCGATGCAGGAGGAAACCCAATTTGTCTGCGTTGATGAAGACAGGAAACTGGAGACTCACCCCGAGCGTAGCATTATATGATACAGGGCTCCTTTCCGCGCAAGACTAGAGGCGGCCGGAGGTCTTCCGGCCACTTCAAGGAAGATAACAAGCGCGCAAACCGAGGTTAGTTGGATTGGCCATGAGGAAGAAATTGCTGGATCATGTTGTGGGTGTGGGGGAAGCACGGGACGTTTCCAAAGAGGCCAAGGCGGTATCGAGACAAGAGCTATTAACCCTAAGAGTAGACGAGATTAGCTATGTAGATCTCGATAAAGAAAAGGGTACAAAATACTAATCGACAATCCCGGAGACACGGAGATGCTCTGAGGAAAGGGTCTATCCCCGCCTTTAAGCGCTGTGTCTCGGTACGCGCTGAGCCTGATTTATCATTTGAGCAACGCCGGCCGCCCCCCTGCAGGCCTGCAGGGGGCATTTCCGGTTCTGAAAATACATGCGGTCATACATAGGGCTGTGGCGATCGTCCCGAGTTTGGCAAGGTGCCCGACGACGCCTCTAAAAGCCGGGTTGCAGTTTGACTTGGTTTTCATGGAACACGGTACTATTCACGGTCACATAGGTAGGAACATATGTATTATTCTTATCATTCTTATTATTTACTGTTTTATTTATTTCTAGTCTTCGTATTATTCTGCTATTTTTCCTTCATTTTCACCGTCTCCTTTGAACCCCCTTTTCCGTATATACATACCAGTGCACAAGCTTCCCTAACTGCCCAGACTTTCTTTTTGCCACTATCGGTTCAGAAAACCAGGCTGCAGGGGCCAAGACCGATTCTGCATCGAGAACCTTGCTACCGCGTCGCAACTAAAGGAAGTTGCTGTTCTGCTCGTCGTGGTTGCGAACCAGCAGTACTAGCGGTCAACGCCTCCTCGTTCCCGACTTGTAGTAAGTGAATCTTTTTTCATACCTTTTTTGCCTTATTCCCCCCGGGTTCTCGTTGCCAGCATTTCTAGCCGCGCGCCTTGAGTCTATTGATAGAGCAGCCCCCAAGGCAACTCTGGCACCCTGCTCAGGGCGGGCGCAACTGCCAGCGCTTTGGTTGGTCAGCCCCATCGGGTCGCGCTGCTCATGCACTGTGATGATGACTCTTTTTTTAAACTACTTGAAGATGGGTCTTGCTGCGCTCATTTTCACGCAAGAGTCTGTTTGGAATAAATAGCACCACGCAGCGATGGGGGCTGTAAAGGGAGCAGATATCCCGATGTCGCAAGTGCAGCAGCTATCAGTTCCACTCAACCTGAACGGCCGGCTTCCACCTGACGAGTACTATTCGCCGGTTTATTTGCCCCTCCGGTGACGGAGTGCATGATGGCATCGTTCCGAAGCCAAGCCCGACAAGCTGCAGCTCCTCTCCCTCTCATGACCCCCTGTTCAGTGCTTGTCCAATGGCCTCAAGTCAGTAGTTTTAGTTCTCCGAGCCTGTGACTCCACTCGTGATCGGTGCCTGGCTGCAGAAGTATGTAGATTAGCTTGGCTCTTGGTATAATGTCCTTGGCACCTCTGCGGTTGTCCTGTCTCGTTCCCCGACCGCCCTCACCATTGTCTTGGACCTCACAATAAACTTGATCGACTTCCTCTAGCGCAAAGGGGTGACTGTACTCTGGAAAGTTCAAGAGGAAATTTATAGAACCTGAAGCCATGCCGACGCTGATGCAGTTGCTCGTGTCGTTGCTGATCCTGGCACACACTACAGCGTGCGAATTCACCAACCCTGGAACGCAAAATGAGGTTTTGATTCTCGGACAGCCTCTTAATGTCACATATCGGGGAATAAAGTATCAGAACTATTCCATTGCCCTGTGGCAGCAATTTCCAAAAGGAGGAGGAGCAATTTTGGGTCCAGCCATCTACGGTACGTTTCGCAGCCCGCTTCCTTGTCTACGTGGATTACCCTCCATACCAGCCAGCGGCAAGGCACACAAAAATGAAAGCCATGTTTTGCATGCTGATACTCGTAATATGCTTCATCAACAGAGACAAGAGGTTACCCCTCCAGCGGCTTTGCGTGGATTGTACAGCTGTACGACTTTGACCTAGACTACTCCGACAGGTTCTTCTTCTGGCTGTTTGAAGGCGACTACTCGAACCAGGGCTACCCTAGCGAGGTCGGATCAATGGTGTCTGGCTACTTTATAATTTCCACGTCCAAGACGTCCGCCTCCCCTTCCCCCTCGCCGAGTGCAACGGCCACGTCTACGACAACGACGGCGGCGGCGACGGCGACGGCCACCAGCCAGACAAGTGCGACTCCCACGCCACTCGGCGGCCAAGGCCTATCGACTCATGCCAAAATTGGAATCGCCCTAGGCGCCCTCGCTGCTGGTCTCGCACTCATCGTCGCAGTTGGGTTCTTCCTGCGGTATAGATGCCAGAAGAAGAGGACAAGGCCGGGCGTATCGGGCAACAGCGTTTTTTATTCAACACCATACTGCTCGCCAGTACACCCGGACACTGACTTGTTATACAAGTCCCAAGCACCGGGTACTGAATTGCTCTACAAGTCGCACGTCATGGCCTCGCAGGCTCCGCCCAGGGTAATGACACACATGTCAGGTTCCCATCCGGCCCAGTACGGTCGACAGGTCAATCGAGAGCCGGTCGAGATGGGTATATAATGAAGGCCAATGAAAAACGTCAACAATGCGCAGCGCGAGTTGAATTCGGAGCCGTATGATAAGAAGGGTGAAACCAGCCGTGGGTGTGTTGGTCTGGTTTCCCTTTCATCGAGGGTTCTACTATATCGAGGCGTGCCGCTGCAATTGCGTTGGCGCGGGACGTCTTGCGCCGTTCCATCTTTGATAGAAGTCGTTTCTTATAAATTTGCATTTACACAGCCGGGAATGAACAGATTGGAGCTTTGGCAGGCATGGCATGGCGTCTCCCGTACGTAACAAAGGATGCAAGTTTGGCACATAAAAAGACAGTCTATTAACCTAACAATACAAACCAAAAAAGAACTCCAAGCGATAAACTTTCCGCCTTCACTCGTGAATCGCACCAATTCAGGGGCTGTTTCCCAACCCCTTCTCATCGCCGAAGCTGGTTGCCGCAGACAGCGGCCGCATGCTGCTCGCGCAGGCTCTCATGCGCCCGCGCCGCCTCCCGAATACTCTTGGCGCGCTGCTTGTCCGCTCTGAGCTGGCACTTGGCTCTGAGGACGTCCTTGTACTGCGCGTTGAACTCGTCGCGGAGGTCCGCACTTGTGGTTGCGGCAGTAGCGGCAGTATGTGCCAGACGCTCGAGAGTCTTGTGGCTCGCAGCGCTGGCTTTGGCGCCCTTCTAGGGCGTCTTGAGACCAGCTGCGGCCGCTTTGTAGGCCGCGGCTGCCTTGTCGAAGGCGGCGTCAGCTTCGGTGCACGCTAGGGACTGCGCGTGGATGGACGAACCCGGGGTGTAGCGGAGATCCTTGTCGACGTCTTCGCTGTACTTGCGACGGATGACCCGATTGACTTGTGCATTCTTCTTCGTGTTCTTTTTGTTGGTCATTGTCGGAGTGGAAATGAGGTAGAATAGAGTCGATGCCAGGTAAGCTGAGATGACTGGGCATCTGTAGAGAGAGAGTTGCGTGGAAGAGGCCGAGGAAGCACATCCATTTATAGAACTTGACGCTTATAGAAGAGGCGCGCAGTATCGGCACCTATCGACTATGTTTCTTTGTTCCCGAAATACTCATCGTGGCATTGCGGCTATAGGTGTTTGGGGGCCGCGGCATTGTCCGCGGCCGTTTGCATAGAAGTTCTAGGACTCGCTCCTATGTCCACCGGGAACAAAGAGTCCTTTGAAGACTGGAGGAATCGGCAGCCCCTTTGAGAGCCAGATTCTTTCGACGATAGAGAGCAATCGATCTTTGAGCAAACGCCGATACGAGGCACACAAGGTATATTTCTTTGTCGAGCCCCATCTCGGCTTCTTGGTGGTGTGAATCAAGGCTGTGCGGGTATAGCCGCCTTTCTTCCTCGCTTTTTGACAGTGAGAAGCTTCTCGACCTCAGCCTCGCCGCGCACCCGTAAGGTCAGTTCCTTCATCATGTCGCCCCAGCGCACCTCCCCACCGCATGACGGACACATGCACGTCTGCGGCAGCACAGCCTCGTCTTCCTCACCCGCGAGCGCGTGTCTGCTCCAGCAGTCCAGATGTCCCATGGCCACGCACTCCCCGTTCGGGCACATAGCATGTAGCCCCTCCCCCGACGCCATGTCCTCGCCGCAGTGCACGCAGCTGCCCTCCTTCTCAAACGCCACGACGTCGCGCGCCTTTTGCACATACGCCCTCACCGGCGCGTAATCCAGCGGCAGCGCGTGAATGCCCGCCTTATCCTCGTCGTCCTCGGCGCCCAAGATGCCCGCCGTGTCGTCCACCACATCAATCCGCACGCGCAGGCCGGGTCGCACCTCGGCGCCCGTCTTCCTGAGCCACGCCGCCCAGGCGCGGTGCGCCTCGACGGCGAAGAAGTGCAGCGTCAGCGGCCACCGCGCAAAGCTGGCGACGCCGGTCAGCAGGTGGATGTTGGACACGACGGAGCGCATGCTCAGCGGCGGGCGGCGCGGCCGCCCGTTGCGCTTCGTCCGCGTCGCGACCGCCAGCCGCGCCTCGGACGGGATGTGCAGCGAGAGGTGCGGGTTCGCGAGCGCCCACTCAAACTTGAGTGCGGCCACGGCGCTCGGGAAGCCGGAGACGAGCGCCACCATCTCCCAGGGACGCAGCTTGTCGCGCGCGGTGCGGGCGGCGCCGCCCTTGGTCTCGCCGTTGTGCTGCTTCAGACGACGCGGCGGGTTCGGCGTCGAGCCAATGTAGAGCGAGGCATGGCGGATCGTGGATCGCAGAACGTAGACGGTGTATAATGCCGGTAGGGGCTTGTGTAGGCTGGCCATGGTGATGGTTTGATCATTTGTGCTGTGATTGTGACTTGATCAAGTTGGGGGGGGCGGTGCGTGCTGTTTGTTGTAGTGGAGATTGCCTCACGCGACCGTTTCCAATCATTAACATGGCAACCGAAGGATAACGGCTACAAAAGTATCCGGAAATTTATTTTATTTCGATCAAAACATCTAGTAAGCTAGTTTGGGCAAAATGCATGTAATAAAACAAGTCGATCATTGGTAATTTTCCCCTTGCGCCATTATGACTCCTTGTCCCAACCACTATATGCTATACAAGACTATCACAGCAAACCCTGCTTCTGCAAATCATAGTACACCTTCTCTGGCATGACATTTCCCTCACCATCCTCCATCTGCACTAGGCTTCCTTCGTCAACCTTGGCCTTCTTCTCCGACTTCTGGATCTTCTCCCACAGATTCAGTGCCTCCTCAATGCCCGTAACGTCTCTGAACAAGGATGTGTTGTTAATGCCGAGGCACTTGAGGCCGTAAATGTGGCGCGCCTCGTTGAAGTGCTTGTCGAATGACCGTCGTCCCATGTACACGTAGTTGCCGCAAATTTCACACTCCATCTCAACGCCGAGCCCGTGCAGGCGGTACAACCAGTACGGAATCGGCTTGCCGTCCCAGCCGGGCGGCAGCTTCAGCGGGTTGTAAATCTTGTCGTCGTCGTCGTTATCGTCGTCGTCGCCTTCGCCGGTCGTCTGGCGCTGCTCTTCGGCAGGGTTGAACAGGTTGTCCAGTTCTTGCCGGCGCTCGCGCTCCGTCATGCCCTGCTTGCGCTCCACGTTGACCCGCGTGTCGCTGCGCTCCGTGCTCATGGCGCTGGCTAGACGCTTCACGCGGTCTTCGCGCTGCGCGATGGCACGCTCCTTGAGTCGCGTGGCCGAGACGGTAGATTTCCCGGCCTTTCTTTGCTCGGCGGCCTTGATGTGCTTTCGGCCCGTCAAATGGTTCTTGTGTACACTTTCGTTTTTGAACTCCTTTTCACAGTCTTCGCACCATACTGCCTCGGGAGTGCTGAGATTGGTGGCGCTGCCGTTCGCCGGAGTACTGCTTTGCCACCCCTCCACGTCGTCCTTTTGCCACTTGGCGTCGAATTCGTCGTCAAACGAGGACAAGGTCTTGTCCACATCTTCCAGAGGTCTCGTACGGCGCATAAAGCTTTCCAAGTACGACGCCAGACCACCGACGTAGCTAAAGTATTGGTCCGTCATTTTGTCGGCTCTCTTCAATCCGCCTTGGCCGGGCGTAAAGTGGTCGAAAATTTCAAGATACTGCAGATAGTTGGGTCGCTTGACGTTGGGTAGGTTTAGATACGCTTCGTGCGAGGTATTGAGGTTAAAAAATCGTCCGTAGGCTTCCTCGCCACTAAAGAGTGTTTCGACGACGGAGGGCATGGCAATTTCATCGGGCCGCCGAGGGCGGTATCGCTGCTCCGAGTTTTCGGCCTGCTCGTTTGGGTATCGGGCATGGTGCGCTCGTATGTCGCCGACTTGCTTATAGAATTCGGCAAAGGGATCGCCCGTGCCGAGTTGTTGGATTTCTTGCCTACGGCTGCCATTCTCGTCTTTGTAAATGGCGAGCAAAGCTTTTGATTGCGACTGGATCTGGTCGAGGAGTTGCGCAACCTCATGGTCTCTGTTCAATCGATCGCGAATCTGGAGTTTCAATGAGTGGATGGGACGATGTGATCACGACCACTTAATACTCACATTCTTGGGTTCAGCGCGTACGCGATCGGCGATAGCTTGCTCGAGGCGCTCGAGATCCTCTTGTATGTACCGTTGTTCCTCCAGAACGAGCATTTTTGTGGTGCGAGAGAGTCTTGCGAGTCTCCAATATCCGTCCGTAGTGAATTCTGGCGAAAAGTGGCAAGTTCGTCAATTTTCCGTCCAAACTGGGTTGATGAACAGGTTCAAGCGGTTGAAGGTTTGCGACAAAGTTGGCGACGAAGCTAGGTGGCCGAAGTATTTCCGACCCGCAAAAACACCACAGGTCGCAGCTAGAAAATCCTCCCAATTCTTCCTTTGCTTCTCATTGCTATTTCTCTAGTTATCTCAAACTGCGCTTCAATTCGGTCCTCGCAGCTCTGCTACGTATTTCAGTATCCCTCCATCTAGACGAAATTGGTGTCGGGGCATAGCACCGCATTCAACCCCCTGTTCATCACCAGTTGCATCGTCCAGAAACGTGAACAAAATTGGACACCTGACGGCTATATAGCTAGGCAACAAGTCTGGCAGTCTGTCGATGGCCGCTACGAGAGTCATACATTCGCCTTACGAGCAATGATTCTCAAAGTACATCAAGGCCATGCAGCCCATACATTTGCGCATCTGTGGCTGGTCTACTTTTCAATGAACCTATTCAATACAGCTCCTTCTCATCCAGGGCTCTATCTGCCTTGAACTCCTCCCAAATCTTAGCTGCGACGGCTTCATCGTTGAGAATTGCCAAACCGGCCATCGCCATACCCTTGGCGGCGTCAATGGCCAGCTTGTGCGCTTCGTCAGTCCCGGCACAGGCGGTAAACCCCTTGGTATGGTTATACGCGCCCGGCGGACACGGAATGGCGAAACCTCCGTGGAAGCTCGGCACCACGTACGAGACATTGCCCTGATCGGTCGAACCGGGCACAGGCGGTGCATGCTCGAAGTCGCAGGCGACGGGCGAGTCAATGCACGGGAGGGCCATGGCATCGGCGTACAGGCAACAGATGGTGCGGTTGGGACGGAGATCCGCATACGCATTGTCCCTGTGCCCTGTTAGTATCATGCATCGCAACATGAAGCAATGGGGTGGGTGTATATTTCCGCTTACACCTCGTAGTCTACTTCGCATGCCGTCGCAGTCGCTGCCCCTTCCATGCACGCCTTGACTCTCGTCTCCAGCGCCGTGGCCTCCTTCAACGTATCGCTGCGCACGCAGTACTGCGTCTTCGTGAAGCTCGTGATGACATTTGGCCGTGTCCCTCCGCTCATAATCACCGAGTGTATCCTGTCGTGCGGGCGCGTCTGCTGCCGCAACATGCTCACCCCGTTGTAGCCCAGCACCACGGCATCGAGCGCGTTGCGTCCTTGGAACGGAGCCATGGCCGCGTGCGCCTCCTGCCCCGTAAACGTGACGTTGAACTTCTTACTCGCAAGCGTCCGACCGTACGCCGAGCCCGAGGGGACGCAGCAGCCGTGGTAGTCGAGGCTCCGCGGCGGCGGCATGGGCGGGCCCGGGTGCACCATCAGGCAGGCATCGACGTCCTTGTACGCGCCCGCGTCAATGAGCCGCACTTTGCCACCGCCGCCCTCTTCGGCCGGGGTGCCGTACAGACGGACACGGCCGGGGGTGTTGGAGGACCGCAGCGCGGCGGCGACGCCGAGGAAAGAGGCAATGGACGACGTGGCAATGAGGTTGTGTCCGCACGCATGTCCAATGTCCGGAAGCGCATCATACTCGGCATTGTAGACGACGACGCGTCCACCGGACCCGACTTCGCAGGAAAATGAGGTCTGCACGCCAAAGGCGTGTGGCGTCACTTCGAACTTGAGCGAGCGCAGGAGAGACACAATACTGTCATGTGCCTGGAACTCTTCGTATCCGAGCTCCGGGTTGTCAAAAATCTGTTGCACAAAAAATTAAACCCCGCGACTTGTTTCAATATCGGCAGACGAGCACTACCTTTTTGTTGATGCCACGCAGTTCGGCATCATAGCCGTCGATGGCGCGCATTGCTACCTCCTGCTCCGCCATTGCAGGCTTCGTCGCAGGGACACTTCTGCCGGGACCTGCTTCCCGGGATGCATCGTTGGCCAGCTTCATGTTGCGATGGTCAAGTAACTTGGAGAGGCTTCAGTGGTGAGTGCAATGATGCGCGGCTGATTATGCCAAGTCAACTGATACGACAGAAACACGGGCAGGAAGATAAGACTATAAATATATTTCACGTGCCATGTCTATTACGCAAGTCTTTCGAGGATGTGAGTCTCGTCGGCTCGGCTACTGTGGCGGCAGCCATTGACTTGAACTTATCCGATTGGCTGTCCAGCCGATGGCAGTTATCTTGGCACAGATCAACGTGCTGATACGGATCATACCATCCTTCGGGCAAACTGTGTCTATCGCTACCAGGATAGAGTACCCGAATTCGGCAAACTAGCTAGCCCCGCCGGTAGCCCTACCTGTCGCTTTCCGTTTATCCGCCGACTGGAGCTCAATCGCGTTCCGTTTTCTTACATTGCACTGGTTCATGTTTGATAACAAGTGTTATAGATATGCTGTATGCTTATTTACAGGGTGCTAGTATAGTTTTGGCCTCCCAATATTCGCCGAAGGAGTGCGATGGGGGTCCTCCTCTGAGACTCCTCCTCTAGGCAAATGACCGTCTGAAAGGCCATGGACATCTTGGCCGTCTTCATTTTCGACTGCACCCACTCTTTGTGAATGGTGTCTTTTGTTTCTATGCCAGCCATGAAGAGTGGCCATTGAAACCGGGCCCGCATCGGGTCCAGAAGGCCTCGCGAAAGCGAACGCTGCGCCAGCTGCAGAATAGATGTGACGCACGACTGGATGACAGGAGGACTTGGAATAGCCAGACAATCGTCGGTAAGGAAGCTTCGAAAACAATATATCCTGAGCGCGTAAAAAAAAGGCACCATGTAGTCGGCATTGATCATGAGGCGAGGCCGGGGCTGTACGGTTATAGTCGTCAACCGTATGAGTGGCCGTGAGCGCTGAACCATCGGCGTCAGTAAAGGGAGCATACATAACTCCGCCAGGTTGTCGACATACCTCTTCGAGTTTCTCGATTTTATCTTCTACTGCGGCTTTATCTGCATCTGAGGACTGTGATGAGTCGACGACTTTGTTGACTTCAGCGTACAGTGGTATGGTGTCGTAAAGAAAGGTCAAAATCGGCGCATTCTCGACATCGTCAAGGATCTCACGCTCGGGGTATTCCGCGCCCCAAGACGACTTCAATTCCCCGCCAGAGTATTGAAATATTTCCCTCGCACGCTCCGGCTTTGCACACAAGTGACGTGCCAGAGATCCTCCATATCCTCGTATGCTCGCAAATATATCTTCATAAAAAATCCAAATCATCAAACGTGCCAAGTGAGACCTTTTCTCATGTGTGATAGCCGCCAGTGCTGTGTTGTGTGTTGTGAGAGGGTCCCTTGCTGCCAACCCTGTACCAGTGCAGAGGTTCTCCAAGCGGTTTCTTTTCACGTAATTGAAGACACTATCACTCCACTTTGCCATCATCACTGCATTGAACTCTTGTGCAACAGCCATGTATCGGTAAAGAAAAAAACAGGCAATGACTACGCCGACAGGGTCATGGTCGGCGTCGGGAGCCATGGCCGCCTCCAGCAAATACATGCCAGCTTTTGCATGTGCCTGTGCGGCACGGCAAAGGTCCGTATTATCGTCATGCGCCGTTGTCAAGTCAATCAACGACGCTGCAATCAGAAGATGCATAGCCACGGGCTCTTGCGAGCTATAGCGAAGCATAATCATGTAGCTTGTCCATCGTACGTTTTTGGAGCTTTGCATGGTTGGGTACAGGCTGGTATAGTACTGAAGGGCATCGGATTCTTTGCCAGTCTGCACAAATTCTTGCGACAGGACCATGTTCTGCCAGGAGACGCCGAGACTTGGGAGGCTCATCACATCCATGGGCTGTGAGGGCCAGTGCACATGCATGGATGCATGCGCATTGCGACTGGGGCTACATCGATACTTAGTAGTTTTGGCAGCAGCGGGAGGACCTTTTTTCCTTACCATAGGGCTGCTTCATGCAGCGCACCATTTGTGCTGTTATTTGTCACTGCTTCTGCAGTAGAATCGTCTGTGGGAAGGGGGCTTCCAAGGAATTCCAGGTCATGACACCAGTCCCCCCAGACTGGAGCAAAATCCGAGGCCAACACGGCTGAGACGGACAAATCATTGCTGGCTTGGTCTAGCAGCACTTCGTGTGATTCTGTCGGTGAGATTTCTATCGGTAACGGCCATGCAATCGGCATCGCATATTGGTCATATCGCAAGTCGGCAGCCCTCAGCACGCTCCGAGGGAGAATTTTGGGGAAGTCTGACTTGACTTTCGCCCGGGACTTTGTTGCCGGCCGCAGTCTGCCATTTGGCTTGGGCCAATCACATTTCAGTTGCAGCCGATGACAGCGCCGGCAGTTTGGGGTTTGCTCGTCACACTTGACCTTTTTCGACCGGCAGGTGAGACAACCTTGAAAGCGTCAGCTTCATGGCACCAGTTCGGCGCGCTCGACTTCCAAGGCAGGGAGGGTGGACAGGAGGAACCAGGCTGGTGCATACCTTGCCTCGATCGTGCGTGCTGCATGCTCTCGTTCGGCAGCGTAGCCACTGTAAGAGTACGAGGCCAATGTAGGTGGGAACAATTTACCCAAACAGAAAATGGATTCCATTTGAATTGTTGTATTAAGACAAGGTTCCCCGGGAATTGAAAGCAAACACCAGGCAGGCGGCGCCGACCGCCCGCGGACTCGGAATGGGGGCATGTGGAGAAGATAAGTAGTGCGCCGAGGGATGTCAATTATTATTGGTTGAAGTTACCGATCGGGTACTTGTAGCCAATTGACCATTGGCCGACAGCCACGCGATATCATTGTGGCTTTTGGGTTAAAGCGTTCAGTCAGTTCGGTGGAAGGGCTGAGGTTGAAGCGTGACTCTTCATAGCACGTCGAACGGTAATTGAGTTGTCCAGCTGCAGATTCGTAGCAGACAACTTAACTTACCACTTGTCTTATCATCCAGACGCCCGTCGGCTGCAGTCAATTTATTGTCCCTGCGGGCGTCATGCGAGCAAGGGTGGCGCAGATCTGGGAGTCCCCAGATAGGGGAACCCGATGATTGCACTTAGCAAACAGTATAAAACCACCTGAATACCTACTCAGTTTCGTACTGGACACCTGTTCCTCGTGACGCCTTTGCAAGTAAGAAATAGTTGATCACTATACCACATTGCTTCCAACATGGCCTCTCAGCCAGACAACCTCTCCAAAGGCGAGGTGGCCGAGGCCATCACGCGATCACCATCGCTGTCGGAGAGCAAGACGGAGAGCGACGATGTACCAACAATGACCGCTTCAGAGGAGAAAGCTCTGGTTCGCAAAATCGACCGAAAGTAAGTCGCTCCTCTCACTTTCGTCCAGCAAAGTATAGCAGAATCTTGCCTGACACTGAGTTGCACAGTCTCATGCCCTTGCTTTTCATATCATACGCCCTACAGTTCTTCGACAAGACGTCTCTAGGATACACTGCAATCCTCGGAATCCGGGAAGACACTGTAAGATTCCCTCTTGGCAGTTATCGGTGGCGTTTCCTTGGCATACTAACAGGTTTCCAGAAGCTCAAAGGCACCGACTATTCGTGGGTCTCTTCTATATTTTACTTTGGATACCTCATTGCATCGTACCCAGCATCGCTTGCCTTTGTCAAACTTCCTCTCGGAAAATTTCTCGCCGCCTGTGTCGTCGTTTGGGCCCTTGTGCTTGGCTGCCACGGCGCCGCGACTGGGTTTGGAAACTTGATGGCCCTGCGGTTCCTGCTCGGTGTGTTTGAATCGTCCATCTCGCCTGGCTTTTCCTTGGTCACCGGTCTGTGGTACAAGCCTTCTGAGCATGCGGCCCGCCATGGTATATGGTGTGCCGGGAACACGACTGCCTCAATCTTTGGCGGTCTGCTGGCGTACGCCATCAGCCACATCAAAAGCGACATTGCGGCCTGGCGCTGGCTCTTCATCATCTTTGCGCTCGTCACGTTCTTGTGGGGTATCGTGCTCCTGGTTTTCCTTCCCGACTCGCCCACAAATGCACGATTTCTCACGCCAGAGGAACGCGCTTATGCGCTGCGCCGTCCACAACAGCAGACGCACAGCTTCAAGACTGCCGATTGGAAGCGGGGACAGTTTCTGGAGGCTCTTCGTGATCCAAAGACCTGGTTGCTTTGCATCTATACAATATGCAGTTCTCTTCCCAACGGTGGATACACCTCGTTCAATGGTATCATCATCCAGGGATTCGGTTTTGACACCTTTACCACCCTCCTATTGAGCATGCCTGGCTCTGCGTTTGGATTGTTTTTCGTCCTCGCCGGTACCTATCTTGCACACAGGTTCAAGTATTCCAGGTGCATAATAACTGCCACAATGCAGCTTATTGCCCTGGTCGGCTGCATCATGGTTTATGCCAGCCCGACCTCGCAGCGGTGGACGAGACTGGGAGGCATGTGGTTATTTCCGGCATATGCCGCTGGATTTCCATTGACCCTTTCCATTATCGGCTCCGATATAGCCGGCTACACCAAAAAGACGACCGTGCTAGCCCTTCTCTTCATCGGCTATTGTGCTGGCAACATTGCTGGTCCGCAATTGTTCATCGCTAAGCAGGCCCCCGGGTACCACGCGGCGTTTGAAGGGATCATGGTCTGCATGATACTGTCCTGTATTTCCATCATGGTTTTGAGGCAGTATATGGCATGGGAAAATAAGAAGAGAGACCGAGCTCAGGGAATATGCATTGATCCGGAGACGAGTACGGATGGTACATCTGAGCACTTGGTTCAGACCGGTCTAGATGAGACTGACTGGGAGAACAAACGGTTCAGATATTATCTGTAAGAGAAGAGCTGTCAAGCTTTGAATCAAGAAAATGTTAGTCTATGCCGCCTTAGATCGTGCCTTACCAGCTTGAACCCCAACATGTAGGGTAGGGGGACGATGTGTTTGTGTGAGACTCAACACCTTTGGCACCAGATCCGCGGGGCTTATTCACAAAGTTTTGTGCATTATTTGTGAGCAACGATTTAAGTACCATTACTATATTTTTTGTAAATATGGTAGAGAGAATCTTTGGTGGCGGGCGTGTTCCGCTTGAGTTGGCCTGCGACAAGTAGTTACTGACGGAGTGGCAAAGCTGTCAATGCTCTAGCTGATACTCTCCCCTCAAGCTCAATTTTACGCTCGTCATTTGACGGTATTAGTTAAAAACGTCCAATTCTTATCAGCTGTGATAAATGCCGCGTCGCATGACCAGCCACGTCTCGAGGCAACGCCTTGTCGCCAACAATAAGGGCGCAGGCACTTATCATGCCGCGGAGCGATGGGAAAACCGGTTCGCATTCACAATGAGCTCCGTAGATAGCAAAAAGAAGAAGAGAGAAGTAATCATACGAGTCGATAAGATAAAGCGCCACAACGAAGAAGGCTAAAGGGTTAGCTTGTAGTTACAAGGTGCAGACACGAATGTTTTTTTTTTTTCCTTTCTTTCATTTTTCTTCGCAACTACGATGAAAGCTTGAAATATACTTATTAATAGTACTTATGTATCTTTCGCATCAGATTCAGACGACCTTGGTCCTGGAGATCGATGTCTGTGGCGTCTGTCCCATATTACAGCGCTCGAGAGCGAATCAGAAAGGCGCAAGCCACACCGACAATACTTAGCCTCGAGCGCGACATCAGCCTTTTTTCCTCATCCCAACAATAACTCGAACACCACAGCAATCGCAATCATGGCTGACGCCCCCGGTGGGATTGACCGCAATGCGGACGAGAAGATGGAGTTTTCGACCTCCAAGGAGGTCACTGTCCATCCTACCTTTGAGTCAATGTCGCTAAAGGGTGCGTACTGCCACACTCTGTCGCAAACGCTGCCGCTAACTGGAGTCTGCAGAAAATCTCCTACGCGGTATCTACGCATACGGTTACGAATCGCCCTCCGCCGTCCAGTCCCGCGCCATCGTCCAAGTCTGCAAGGGCCGCGACACTATTGCCCAAGCGCAGTCGGGCACCGGTAAAACGGCCACCTTTTCCATCAGCATGCTGCAGGTCATCGACACAGCCGTGCGCGAGTCGCAGGCCCTCGTGCTGTCGCCGACACGCGAGCTCGCCACCCAGATCCAGTCCGTCATCATGGCGCTGGGCGACTACATGAATGTGCAGTGCCACGCCTGCATCGGCGGCACCAACGTCGGGGAGGACATCCGCAAGCTCGATTACGGCCAGCACATTGTGTCGGGCACGCCCGGCCGCGTCGCCGACATGATTCGCCGCCGCCACCTGCGCACGCGCCACATCAAGATGCTGGTTCTCGACGAAGCCGACGAGCTGCTTAACAAGGGCTTTCGCGAGCAAATCTACGACGTGTACCGCCATCTGCCCCCCGCGACGCAGGTCGTCGTCGTCAGCGCCACGCTGCCGTACGACGTGCTGGACATGACGACCAAGTTCATGACGGACCCGGTCCGCATTCTGGTCAAGCGCGACGAGCTGACGCTCGAAGGCCTGAAGCAGTACTTTATCGCGGTCGAAAAGGAGGACTGGAAGTTTGATACCCTGTGCGATCTGTACGACACCCTGACCATCACGCAGGCCGTCATCTTTTGCAATACCCGGCGCAAAGTGGACTGGCTGACGGACAAGATGCGCGAGGCCAACTTTACCGTGAGCAGCATGCACGGCGAGATGCCGCAAAAGGAGCGCGATAGCATTATGCAGGACTTTCGCCAGGGCAACAGCCGTGTGCTGATCTCGACGGATGTCTGGGCCCGCGGTATCGATGTGCAGCAGGTCAGCCTGGTCATCAACTACGATCTGCCGAGCAACCGTGAAAACTACATCCACCGCATTGGTCGTAGCGGTCGCTTTGGTCGCAAGGGTGTCGCCATCAACTTTGTCACCACGGATGATGTCCGCATTCTTCGCGATATCGAGTGCAAGTAGCCCACCTGCATGGTTGCCAAAGAAAGTATTTTGCTGACAGACATGATAGTGTACTACTCGACTCAGATTGACGAAATGCCCATGAATGTCGCTGACCTTATTGGTTCGTAAGTATGGCTGCATACAACCGAGCTTCCAAACGAACAGCGGCACGGGCCCTTCCGAATGATGCGGCCACGGCCTCGTCGCAGGGCCAAAAACAGGACATGCGTGTGGAGGAAATGGGCCAGTTGTACTACTAGGTAAGCCGCACTTTGTCTGACGACTCGCAACCCAAGCTGACAACCAAGAACCGCAGATTCCATCCATTAATACATCTTTGGCAATCACACATTGATGCACTAAGCCCAAACCCGACCGATAGCGACGGAGTGACAATAAGAGAACCACATCCGCCTACCTAAAGCCGAGCTAGCGCGGAAACGATGCGAAACGAGCCTGACAATGGCTCCTCCATAGCGTCAAAGGAAGCAATAGCCCGCCTGATATCATGTAACAGGCCTGATATCGTACAACGAGGCGGAGGCTTTCGTGTGCAGGCGGCATACAACGGAGTACAAGGTCATGTATACCTCGCTAACATACATACATTATTGCTTCACGAAAGCAAGCCAAAGGAACCTGCTCGCAGTCAAATCCTCTGCGCCAAGTATCCACTAGCAGGTGCTGACAGTATGGTCGCCTTTCTGACGCTCCAGAGCCTTCTTGTCCCCGTGTCTACGTTCCTGCGCTTGACGGAGGTTGCCGTACGGAAGGTACCATATATTTTGGCATTTCGCGATGCTTGTATTGGGCTAATAGTGCGGACTGTGGCTCGCGGTTCGGTGTTGGCGAGCAGAATATTCTTGTGGTTTGTAAATACAAACATACCACCGGCTCGGGCTGACCTAATTAGATGGACTGTTGAGGTGTTCCGGCTGACCCGTTATACTATCAGGAGCTTTGGTGTCAATGAACCGATAGTTCTGACCACAAGGAAGCAACGACAACATTGGAGGTTAAATCAGCCTTTCGCTACTAGATTTTGTACTGAGAGCCCCAACGCAATATATACTATGATACACCCCCATTCTCCCGGAGCACGTCAATCAGGGCTTCCCTTTGCTCCAAAGGTTCGCGGTGAGCTGGTCTTTACGAGCAATTCGAAAACCATAGTGTGACCGCATCAGCGCAACTCAGAGACACACCAAATGAACGGCCAATTCTACCTTTCCTACGAAGCAGCTATCCACCCACCCAAGTCGGATCTCCAGCCAATTCCAAGGGTACACGTACTAATATTGGCGCCTGTGTTACGACTGGCTCGACGCCCGAGTCGACAAGCGATGAAAACGAAAAGAGCCCAGGCCTTGGCGGCGTTCGTCGCCGCCTGCATACTGCATGGGCACAGCTGGTTGCCTACATACAGAGCCTGCATACACACGAGCTGGGCGCGGACGAAGTGTCCCGCCTATATACAGTACGCCGCTGCCTGCCTGCGTTCTGCTGCCAAGACAGGAGTCGAAGCCCCTCACTCTATATGTACCCCGTATTAATACCGAATATACAGTAGGCTGCATTCATCAAGTCACTGCGAATTACCTCCAACACAGACTCTTACACTACCTAGCTGCATCCTAGGTAGGTAGTTTTGAACAGTGACTTCCTGCTAGCTGCTCCGTACATACTGATCTGCAAGCTGCAAACTAGCTGCAAGCCAGTTGCAAGTTGATGGTGTAGACTGCCTACTAGCTGCATCCTGGCCATGCGACCGATATCAATATTTAACACATAGAAACAGTTGATGAGCCTGCGTACACTGTACCGAGTACTTTCGTGTCCATTATAAGTAAGAGCACGACTTCGCCTGCTTCGTTCTGAACTCCTTTAAACTCCACGCTGTAGCAGCGCCTCTTGACTCAAAAATGCTATTTCCCAAAACATACCTCATCCTCGTTGCGCCTTGGTCCGTTGCCCTTGCTGCCATCGGCAAGTTCTACTACGAGACGAATTGCTGGGGCGACTATGAGCAATTTGACGCCGGCAAATTCGATTACTGCTTTTTACTACGCAACGGCATTGCAAAGAGCTTATACGTCGAGGGTATGCCAAGAGGCTCCGACGTTGTCGCCTTTGGGCAAACGCCAGACTCGGCTTGCGGATATGAACTCTGCATCTTCAGGCTGGGTCCATCTCACTGCTGCTCGCCTGGCAAGGACATCAGGGGTGCGGCTCTGTATTCCACGGACCGGGGCCCAAAAAACCTCCATCATGAAGGAGGAGGACCTGCTGCCGACACCGCCGCACAGGAGCCAGGTACCGGCCCTGAACATGGCGTCGACCAAACTCGGGAGGTCTTCATACTGCTCGCGGATGGAACCTATTTTGGGCTGGGAAAGGATCGAAAGGGCAAGATGACGTCGGTTGAGCTGCAGATGGAGCTGCAGGCCAACGGAAGACCTCGACTTACTGAGGAGCGGCTTGGAGAACTTCGCGGCAACGAGCTTATCAAGTGAGAGAGAATATCACAAATCGGCTAGATAGGTCACACACAACATACAGTCTCCTCCGTACAGAAACCTTGGTCAAGAGTTTGGACCACTTTAAAAAAACCCACGTTCAGACAGTATTACATGGTGCGACGCTTGGTGCGTAACAGCTGTAGGAGATGCTTTGATGACTGTGTGGCCCAAGGCTACTTTGATAATTAGCGCGTTCTAACAGGTACTGCGCCGCTTACCGTGTCGTGCTGTGGTCAAAAGTAGCACGACCTCAGTTTGCCTACAAGCCACAGACCGGGAACAGACTGTAGCAGTATACCAAACCTTTTCTTGCCGTGACGCTCCGACTGGATGGCCTCAGACTCGACATTGACAAAAAGGGTCAGGCTGGAGTCGTCCACGCGGCCGATGCTGGCAATCGCGTCGCAGTCGGATGATGTCGCCAGCACCAAGTTTTCAAACACCGCTCCCAGCGGGCTGTTTGCTTCGGTCGAGTGCAAGCGCACTCGGAAGTTGGATGCTGTTGTCGGGGGGCCAGGCCGCCAGACGAGCTGGGCGCGGACAAGTTGTCCCAGCGGCCAGAGTAGCAGGGATGGTAGGCGGCAACTTGTTTTCATGGTTTGGAAATGAATGACTTTGATGTCGATGTACTGTTGATGTTGATATTGATGTTGATGTTGATGTGTGAAAGGACTATGGAAGAGCTGGCAGCCGAGAACTAACACCCATCAGACGCTCAAGAAGCCACGAGAGATGTGGCCTCCAGTCATGTCCCAAAGTTCTTTCATTCTCGTCTAGTAGTCGGAGGCAGGTGCGTTTTGCGTTGCTGCCGCAGTAGGCAATATTCGCTGTTTGGCTGCGGGCGGGGAGATGCATGCATCTGCATGACTTATAGTCTCTGCCTTCATTAGCAGTGCCAGAGCCGCTCTTTTTCTGGGCTGGGCCAATCGTGTTCTTTGCCGAGAGGAACTTTATTCCGCCTCCCAGTCATACTCACTATGAGGACTGGCAGTAGACATGCCCGGTACGCAAGGGATGCAGGTTGGACAGGGTTTCCACGCGGACAAGCAGCAGGGTGCGGTCCAACCCTTGAAGCTATCCTTCCCGGGACTCGAATAAATGCCTCATTTAAAATAAACCTACGATGCATATGGTATGTGACGATACGCCCTTGCCTCTTGAGCAACGTTTGATTCGGGGAGGTTGTGTACATTGGTTCATTTGATTCAGGGATTGAGTCCGTCGTAAATATGTGTAGGGATTATCTATACTCTCTCCATGATGGTGCTGCTCGCTTATTGATTCATTCTTCAGCTGTTCATGCATGCATTATTGCCCAAGTTTTTAATTATTGGTACCTCACCAGTTGTCGTATAGGCCCAAGTGTCACCAAATTAAGATCGGCGTCCCACCACTTACACTACCACCATCGCTGTAGTTAAAATGACCAAGTATTAAAAAATGTGCAACCAATACCAAGCGCATCGCATGATAGAGTAGTTAGGAAAGGAAATGATGATGAAATCTGTGGTATCTAGGTATCTTTGGGTATCATGTTGTATGTACAATGCTCATTCGCGTTTCGCATGCGGCGCTCCCCTCTGCTGCCGTTCTTCTGTCAAGATGCTGCATCTGGGGCTCATGGCAGACTGTATCTCCAGTTGTTGGGCAGCTTCGCCCGCGCCAGCCGTAGTCCCATGGGTCGTCCCTCGAAACTGTAAACTGTCGGCATGAAATCGTCCACATCCGCCCGCTTTCGGGTAGTGTCCAAAACGCGCTCCGGAGGCTTCAGAATCGCTTCAGTCGACGTTGTGGTGGGAGTGGGCGGCGGCTTCGGCCGGGGCGGCCCGTCATCGTCAAAGAGCCCCGTCTGAAATGTACCCAGGGACGAGACTCGATTTAAAGAGATACTGTACCGCGAATTAAGTCAGCTTATGTATGATGCACACTTGTTGTTCCAGGTTGGCTCTTGGGTGGATTTCAACGTACGCAGGATTGCTTGCTTGCGACCCAAATATTCGCGGAGCAAATCGAACGAGGAGGAGACGAATCGCTGGTAGTGTACTGCAGATGAATCCAACTTCAATCTCCACTGTTGACCAGTACATGATATCAAACTGGTCCCAAGTTGGATTTGACGTCGAAGAGTAGTACTGAACAGACTTGAGGCGGAGGCAAGAAACGACCGTGACACTTATCACGACAAGGATTAGAAACGGCATCAAACTAGTAGCAGCAGGAAAAACTCACGTAATACCGGCCATGAACATGAGCACGGCTCCGACCTTTTTTTTCCAGTGTAGTTGCAGCTTGTGCAGCTGGCTCATCGGAATGGCAAGCAGCCACAGATCGGACGCGACGCTAAAGGTGCTGTTGACCCAAGCGGCGGCATTGATGTTAATGCAACGTCCTGATACCGAAGCATCATGTATATGCTCCAACTTGTCCCACTGGTACCGTATCGGTACGCACTGAAAGATGATGACGAGGGTGCAGACGGTAGTGATGGCGACGTGAACAATGACAGTCGCCCAAATGACAGTGCGTATCCTGCGCCCAAAGAAAATATTGAGGTAAAAGAGGGCGCACGTCGTCTTCAATAGCAGCATCAATACGACGTAGCAGACCTGGATAGCGACAAAGTACTGCCGAAAGGCGACCAGTGTGGGCAGGTCAAGGCCCCAGACGTCGGTGCCCATGCCATTGGAAGTGATGCCAAAGAGGATGACGGCGAGGGCGGAGAGACCAACGATGCTGGCGGCGATGAAGGTCCATTCCTCGCTGTGGATGTGCCGCGATGCGCTGGAAAATTGCTCGTACGTGGTGCGCAGGGGCGCGCTGAAGAAGTTCTTGTACGTCAGCGGTAGGGGAGCGCTGAAGAAGTGCTTGTAGCTGAGTCGCAGAGTCACAAAGAGGATGGTGACTGGTGTCATGGCAATGGTCATGGTTTTGAGCTTGGTGGTTTGACTGCGCACTGGCGTGCCGCATGCCGTTTCTGTCATGTTTCTCGTGACTGGAGAAGGAAAGTTAGCCGGGAGACACGCAGAGCTGGGAAGAAGTTGGGACCGGCCCGTCGTCGTACATATCGCCTCTGGCATCCCGCACGAGCCCAAGACGCAATGGTCGATGGTTCTCTTCGTTTGTATCTCACACAGACATGCCTCGTCGAACGAGGGGCATTGTTGCTGTACACATGGCATCTTTTCCAAGTCAGCTGCTAGTATGCTAGAAGCCAGGCATCCATGTGCGCGCAGTTACTCACTGCACAATGAGGCCATGCTGTCTCTGTAATGTTGACGCGACTATACGCAGTCGTAAAGGGCCATGGTGTTGCAGCAGGAATGGCCGCGCCAAAGCTAGAGGGAATGCCGACGACGGCAGGCATTATGTCGATGTGAGGAGGTCTGTAATCATGTTTGCCAGGAGAGGGCGCGGAGAAACAAACGTCTCTTATTTCAACCTCACGGAATGAGACAAGTTTCAAGGGCAGATGAAAAAAAGGTGGGTGATGGAGGGACTCAAATATCTCGGCTTTTTGGCATTCGCTTCAGTGCTTGATGGGATGCATCGGATCTGCTGATTGGATCAAGATACTGTGCATGGTCTGAGCGGAACAGACAGGATCATGGAGCGAGCAACCATGTACATACATGGTTCAACGGAGTATCCGTATCCGCGCCAGCACGGAGTATTCCGCCGCTTGCATCAAGGTAGTGGCCTGTATCTCCCCTTGTCGCGCTGTAACGTGATGAGCGAGACACGTAGGTGGAGGGTCGACAAGGAACCCCAGACCGCGGTAATTCGGGCCCAGCTGCCGTGCAGGCGAGGACGGCGCCACTTCAGTCTGCAGTAACCCATCAAAGTGTCCTGGCGAGGGAGTAGGGAGTAAGCTGTCCAATTGCTTCGCTGGCTAGGCAGTTGCTAGTATGAGTCAAGTTCACGCCAATGGCAAAGCTAACACCGCCAACACCCCCATGCGCACCAGTCGCTACACTGGGTACGGCTTAGCCAGCTGGCCGGCGCGGAAGCTATTCCATCAGCACGCAAAGAGCATCCAAGTGTTGTACTCAGTTCAGTATCCACGTCCCGAACTGGCTACTCCCCGAGCGGGGGGCTCGATGAGGCACGTCCCCCGTCATGATCGACGTATGGGATCCCGGGCCGGTAGTCTGTGTCCATGTGACGATCCACAAGCGAAGTCGCGAAAGGTTGATTGAGGTTGCAGCAACGCTCGTACCAATTGTCTCGAATCCCCCCCTCTTCATGGAGGGGGCCGTGCGAACTAGGAGGAGGGCCGTTGGCGCTGCCGAGATGACCTGATTCTGACAGGAGAACCGGGGGACAAGTCCGCATTTCGTCGGAACTTGGGACCTTGGCAATTGGTGCCCCCTCTTCCGTGTTCTTTTACCAGTATTTTGCAGTCCCCTGAAACCTTGAAAAGGAAAAAGATTACCCCTTTCCGCGGGGCGTTCAAACGACCCTGCCTGTCCTTATGTAATCTGCTACGCTGGTCAGCGGGGTAATTTCTATAGTACCCAGACCTACGTATAATGGCAGCCTCGCGCCGCAAGGCTACGGCTACCTATGGCTGGCTGAACCCTAGGTGCAACCCGACAGGCATGCCCTCATCAAAACGGGTGACTACGGACTGAAAGCACGTGTTTAACGCAGCCAGAAAACCTGCTGTACCTGGATCCGTAATTTTTTTTGTAGCAGCCTTTTTTTTTTTGGCCCTTATAATTTAGGCTCCGTGATTCACGCCGCCGCCGCCGCCGCCGCCTTGCCGGGATCAAATTTCCCCGCTTCCCGCAATGAACCGCCCGCCGCCGCCGCGCCCTGCTGCCCAGCAAATGGTCAAACCGACCAGCCAGACGGCCGCCGCCGCCGACAGCAAGCGAGTCAAACGATGGGCCCCCCGGGGCAAGACGGGCTGTGTCACCTGCCGCCGCCGCAAGGTCCGGTGCGACGAGGCCAAGCCCATCTGTGACAACTGCGTCGCCACGCGCCGGTACTGCGCCGGCCCGTACTATCAGGACTCGGCGCAGGCGACGGCCGACGGGACCAAGAACGCCGCCGTCGTCATACCACGCTTGCGCGGGACGGCGCCGCCCCGGAGCGTGCGGCCAACGAACCACCGCGGGTGGGAGATTGCGCCTCACGGCTGGGATGTGGTCGAGGCTTTTGAATATCGTAGGTTTTCTTTCTTATTCGCGCCGGATTGTTGTTTGCGCCTGGCTCCGTCTAACCTTGTAATCACGCACAGTCGGCCTTTACATCATACCGCATAGCGTGGCCATGGACGTCATGGCCACCCGGCCCGCTACGCCCGTTGCGCTGGCCGCCTACCCCGGCTCCGTCAACTCCGACTCATTTCTCGCGCGCGTCATTGCCGATCGAATCGTGTGGGTGTCGTGCTGCCAGCGGACCGCGCTCAGCCCGAGCACGCTGCACGGGACGAGGGACCTGTGGTGCAAGTTTCACGACCTCATCCAGAAGCACCTGGCCCAGCTCAACTACGACCTGACCCATGTTCAGGGCGATTTTCTAGCGTACTTGCTGAAGAAGCGAATATTTGAGCGAATCTGCGACTTGATGGAGGCCGAGGCACGTTGACCCAGAACCCAAGCTGCATACCCCACGGTGAGACCTGGAAATTGCTAACTTGTTGGATAAGCACATTTTATGCCTGAACGGGTGGCGAGCCCATTTTGACGGGTATTTTGCCCTTTTGAACATGTTTGGTATTCCGAAACGGATACCAAAAGAGAATCCCGTCTTTATCGACATGCTGCGATCCATGGCGGTGTGAGTTTTGTCCGGTCTGCACCGCACTATCTACTAAAGAGCTAGCACTAACCTCCTTCACAGCAACTCCGTTGTTGGCAACAGTGTATCCAGAATCGACAAGCAGCTGTCCAGCATATACGAATTCGACGACACCGAGATCGTCAACCTCTTTGGGGAGACGTGCTTCACGCCCTTTCCCTGCCCCAAGGCGCTCTTCGCCGAGCTCGCCGCCATCAACCGGCTGCGGCTCACGCTGTCGACGGGCACGACCGCCGGCCTCCCCATGCCCGAGACCAACGCCGTCTTCAAGCGCATCCAGGCCTTCCACCCCGAGACGTGGAAAGACACGGCCGAGTTTGACATTCCGCACACGCCCGAGGTGGTGCTCGTCGCGCGCATCTTCCAGCTCGCCGTGAGCCTGTACGGCATCCAGGCGCTCGGCCTCGAGCACGTCGACTCGAGCGCGCCCGACAAGGCGGCGGCCACGGCGGACCTGCTGCTGCTGCTGCACAAGACGCTCAAGTCGCCCAAGTGCGTGAGCGTCATGACGTGGCCGTGCGCCGTCGCGGGCGTCGCCGTCGCCGACGGCCCAGAGGCGAACCGCAACCTGGTCCTGGATATCTTGGTGAGGATCGACTCGGACGTGCTGGCGTACGGCATCGCGGCGCACACGATTGAGCGGCTGCAGGCCTTTTGGCTCACCAAGAAGACGGGCTGGGAAGAGTGCTGGGGCGACTTTTACCTGCTCTGGTAAAATTGAAGCGGTCCGCTTGCACAGGCGCAATGTGCATCCCGTACAACCTCGTCGGACCAGAACATCCGCGACAACATACTCGCAATGTCAGCGCCATGGCTGTGTGGCAGGGAACAGGGAGCCGGGGCCGCCGGCACGCTACTTTTCGATGTGTGCACTGACTTGGATGTCAAAAGCCAATAATTCGACGCCCACATGGCCTTGTCCGGCGGCTGAGATGCACCGGCCATGTTGAAGTCACAAGGACGTCGTTACCCGCCCAAGTACAGCGTAGCGTGGTGATGGAGTCAGAGGAAGCAAAGCTAGCGACTTCCTAGTGCAACATAACGGTAACCAGAACGTCTGAGCACAGAGTGTCAGTAACAGAAGGAAGCGCTCCAGTCGCCACACCAGCAATGATGCGGGCATTTTCCAGTTATGGTTGGGTTGAAGGACTATATATAGATTGCTGTCTTGCCCATGGCCGGACTGCTTTGATTACCCAAAATAGGAGTCTTTTAGGAGACTGCGCGATAACCGCACGAATCATTCCGTCTCGAACGAGAATACGTATATGTGCTTTCTGCGGTTGAATGGTAATCATCATCTCCCAGGGTAGGGGTTCTACGGCTGTGGCTCCGGCTCCGAACAGCTGGATTCGAAGCCAGTATCGCATTTCGGGGACTTTTGTGCAGATCGCATCCGGTCACCCAATGCAGCGGTGCGCGCAAGGGGGGATCCGGGGATCCGTTGGTGTAGCGAGGAAGCTTAGTGTGGGGGACCAGGGTCGTTTCTCAGTTCAACTACCGTTGTCTCATCAGAAAACTGTCCGATAGACTAGGGCTGTTTTACTAGACTTTCTACTAATTTGACTAGAGGACAATAATCTGCCGAACGATGTAAAGGGATTCATTGTTTGGAGTACTGTATGGATACCCCGCCTTGGTTTCGATGCGACAGGGCTGGACGGGTTCTTCCATGTACCATGTATCCTCACAGAAAGGAGCCGGCTAGTTCGTAGACCATTTACCTTTCAGCCAGCCACCGGCACTGTACGTTCATTGCCGATGCCAGGGGACCGGGTTACCGATGGACATCCCGGGACCGGGAATGCGGACGAGTTTCATTCCCCTCTGAACCTGCGGGATACCCCAGCTCACCCATCCTTGTTGTACACGCTCTGGAACTTGTATCAAGGTCACCTCGAAAATATAGCCATCCTCCCTAAAAGGCCCAACCCCTGACGGCGTCCCCTTCATCATCCGCTCCCCGCCATTGACCCTCGTCAGCAGCGCGAGCGACTGCGGATCCGACAACCCCACAGGCAAGGCAATGAGGGGGCCAATGGGGCATGACTGGACATCGTATAGTATTCCTCCTGAGATCCAAATCGCGATCAATACCGAATCATGTGCTTTCTATGCCACCTATCGTAATTCGGGGATTCGGAGGGGGTTCGCCAACTGAGCAACATCTTTGGCCCACTCTGGCACGTTACTGTCCCAGGCAGCAGACGCGGTGGAATAGCCCCTACATGCTTTGTACCACATCTTGTCACTCTCTCTCATCGGCTCGATACTTGTCTGGCATTATGGGCGTGTTATTGCGGGCGTGTATGGCGTCAAGTGCTGGTATGCGTGTGTGATGAGAACTCGTGGCGGCGGCGGGAGTGGGCAGGCCACAGCGAATCGAAGAATGGTTATAGCATAATTATGAGGATGAATCCGAGAGAAGTCTCCTTGCAGCAGCATGTCTAACTATTAGTAAGATGTTGCACCGAGAAAATATATGGACGGGAGGATTGCAAGTTGGTGACGTAGCGGCCCGACTGTGAAAGTCACAGTCTCTGTACGCGGGTGCATACATGAGCAGGACTGGCTACCCATTCTTACCAACTTTTCAACTTAACTCCTTGCATGTTATACTGTCATGCTGTGATACGACATTTTCTGTTGTCGTCTTCCCATGGTGAATGTAGCCGGACTTGGACGGTGGCCGAGGTGGTATGGCGTCTGATATGGAGTATCACAACTAGATCAAATTTGATAATTCCACCGACTTGGGAAGCTTGAGTATTTCCTACAAGAGAAAAGCAGTGGGCCGATTTTTCTGCTTTGGTACTCTCGTTGGCCTTGGGCGCGGCCATGACAATGTCGACTAACTTGTCAAGTAAACGGGGGATTGCAGACTTTGGACTTGGCCGCAACAGAAACGGTAGTGAAATTTGATTTATTATGCGTCATTTTATTATTCACAACGGAGTAGAGCAATACCTGAATGTACCCATTGTCAAAAAGATGCTCGTACAAGTGCTTTTGCAAGTGGCTTTGCTGGTTGCCCAGACACTTGACGAATCGGTAACTACACTCGGCAGTGAACAAAAGTCACGATAAGTAGGCATGGGGGCAAAGCACCTCGCTTAGACCGTTGAGAATGAAATTTGTTTAACCGAAAAAAAAAAAAAGCCTCAGGCTTAGAGTGAGGTAAGCGACTCACGATACATAAACGGCTGGCAATGCCCGGTCTAAGCCGCACAGCCCACGCCGTCCGTGTTTAATAGCGCGCTGAGTACAAGAGGCCGCCCGCTGTACGCGTACAAGTCGCTCATATAAAGTACCCTTCCAGACAGCCTTGGCCTTGTATTGAAAGAACATTCGCCAAGACACCGGCGGAAAAAAAAAAGACCCAGCCTCCCAAAGCTTGAGCGATTCGGGTAAATAGGAGCATGTGGTGGTGATGATGCGCCGGCCTGGTTGGCTACTGATGGGGGCCGTGGCTGCAGAAAGGTCGCTCGATTGGCCCTGAACCAACTAGATGAGGCTGTGGGGGAGGCTTTCTCATCGCCTTTTTTTCAACCTTAATTCTTCCCTGCATGCTTTGTTACTTCAATATGGAAGCGCTGGTCGCTATCGCGGCGGTGAGATTGGATAGAAAGCTGGCCGCACGCAGCTGGTCTGGTTGGGGGCGCTGCTTCATCATGTCGCGTGGGATGTAATACAGTAAGTTGTCGATGGATGTCGGATGGATTCCCCGCCTTTGCACTGCCTCAATCCCCTCATTCGGGTAGTGTTACTGTTGGACGAGGCACGAGGCACGAGGCCCGACGATGCAGTGTGGTTGAGACATGATGTAAGCTGCAGGAAGACGGAGATTGGTGCTGCAAGATTTGTGTTGCGAGGCGGGTATGAGCGGGTAAGGAGTATATTTAATGAGAGGCAGCATATGTGCGTCTATAGCCTGATTCGAATTTGAACGTGCTACGTGGCCCTATATTCTATATTCCCTTGTGCACTGCACTGATTCTGCACTGGCTTGCCACCACAGTGATGTAGAAACACGTAGAGACCTTCTCCGAGCTTTCGAGCTTGCAAAGCTGCAACTACCCCATCATCGCCTTCATCATGGTCGATCAGTTTTTACATTTCCATCTTCTTTCAAAATTGCCGCATTAGAGGCTGTGCAAATAGTCAACTACACCAACCAAGTCGTTGTACTTTCAAGTCTCACGACACCAAACCATCCCCCTGTGATACACGGCAGGCACCCAGCGATCAGCAAACGACCCAACAAGACCATTGTCGCGCCAAGCAACGACCGTCTACTTTGACGTAATGAAACTTGTTGAATACATCGTGGCTATGCTAGAAGAAGATCCCCTTCCGTCGCTGCGTCTTCACAGCCTGTTGCCCCCAAAGTGGCAAGTCGCCCGCCCAGTCCGTCCACCCAACCGCCGACAGACCTAGAACTAGCAGAAACCCGGAGAGACGAGAACAAAACCTCCCCCTTTGTAGCCAAAACAACATCGTAGATGCAAATTTTAAGCTCATTCCCCGACCTTCCGTTTCGGGTTCGGCCCGCCAAGCGTTTTGGCTTCTGAAGAAGCCAAGCTTTTTGTTCTCGCCTGCCAGTGGGCGATGCGCGCCCGTGTCTCGCGACCTTTGATTGTTTGCTCAGCCTCCTTCTGCCGGCCATTAATATTGGCCGTGGGCTGCCCAAAAAAAAGGAGAGTTGTCTGAATCATCAAAGCAATCAAGCATTATACTATTCTACCACAACTGCTTTACTCTTTCGGCTACCAACACAAAAAAAAAAAAAGAAACAAACCCACCCCTGTTGATGAAGCGACTTGACAGCAAACGGCCCTCGCATCACCATTCACCATGGCGAGCAGCACCCTGTCCCCCGACTCCATCGAGGTTGTTGGCCCCTCCCGCAACCGCTCCCTGAGCAGCGCCGACACCATTGCCTCGTCGACCCTCTCCAACCCCTTTCTCACGCCCAGCACGCGGAGTTGCGCCTCGAGCGTGCTCGAGGACCCCGAGCACGCGCTGCGTCCCGACCCCGGCAGCGAGGCCGACTTTGAGGTCCCCGGCGGCAACAACCCGTTTGCCTTTTCCCCGGGGCAGCTCAACAAGCTGCTCAACCCCAAGTCGCTGTCGGCGTTCCAGGCCCTCGGCGGCCTCGACGGCATCGCCCGCGGCCTGCAGACCGACGTCCATGCCGGTCTGAGCCTCGACGAGACGGCCATTGCGTTTCCCGTCTCCTTCCATAATGCGGTGGGCAGGCCGGCGCCGGGCCCGCCAGCGCCGTCGGGATCGGTGACGTCGTCGTCGCCCTCGCCCACCACGGACGCGTACGGGGACCGCATCCGCGTCTTCAAGCGCAACGTGCTGCCGCCCAAGAAGGCCACGCCGCTGTGGAAGCTCATGTGGAACGCGTACAACGACAAGGTGCTGATCCTGCTGACCGTGGCGGCCATGATCTCGCTCGCGCTCGGCCTGTACGAGACGCTCGGCGTCGACCACCCGGACGGCGCGCCCGCGCCGGTCGACTGGGTCGAGGGCGTCGCCATCTGCGTCGCCATCATCATCGTCACCGTCGTCGGCTCGCTCAACGACTGGCAAAAGGAAAAGGCGTTTGTCAAGCTCAACGCGCGCAAGGACGACCGCGAGATCAAGGTCATTCGCTCCGGGAAGTCCTTCATGATCAACGTCCAGGATATTCTCGTGGGCGACGTGCTGCATCTCGAGCCGGGCGACCTGGTGCCCGTCGATGGCATCTTCATCGACGGCCACGGCGTCCGCTGCGACGAGTCGTCGGCGACGGGCGAGTCGGACGCGCTGAAAAAGACGGCCGGCGCCGAGGTGTTCCGCGCCATTGAGGCGGGCCAGACGAAAAAGGACCTGGATCCCTTCATCATATCTGGTGCCAAGGTTCTTGAAGGTGCGTACTTGCACACAATTGACAACCGACGCAGGTCACTAACAAGGACGTAGGCATGGGCACCTTTGTCGCAACATCAGTCGGTGTCAACAGCAGCTTTGGCAAGATTATGATGTCCGTCCGCACCGAGACCGAAGCCACGCCGCTGCAGAAGAAGCTCGAGAAGCTGGCCATGGCCATTGCCAAGCTGGGCAGTGCGGCCGCCGGCTTCCTCTTCTTCATTCTGCTCATCCGCTTCCTAGCCGGCCTCCCCAACGACGCGCGCGATGCTACCACAAAGGCCTCCGCATTCATGGACATCCTCATCGTCGCCATCACCATCATCGTCGTGGCCGTGCCCGAGGGCCTGCCGCTCGCCGTCACACTCGCCCTGGCCTTTGCCACTACGAGGCTACTCAAGGAGAACAACCTAGTCCGCGTCCTACGTGCGTGCGAGACCATGGGCAATGCCACGACCATTTGCTCGGACAAGACGGGTACCTTGGTGAGTCCAAAACAAAAGCCCCCCGCAACAATGTGAACACCTGAGGCTAATACGTAAACCAGACGACAAACAAAATGACTGTCGTTGCTGGCACATTTGGCTCGACCAGCTTCGCCAAAGCAGCCACCGAGTCCGAAAAGACCAGCGAACAGACCGTCAGCCAGTGGGCGTCGGCCCTGCCCCAAGCCACCAAGGATATGCTCGTGCAGTCCGTCGCCATCAACTCAACCGCCTTTGAGGGCGAGGAGGACGGCCAGACCGTCTTCATCGGCTCCAAGACGGAGACGGCGCTCCTCCAGCTCGCTCGGGACCACCTCGGCCTGTCATCGCTGCGGGAGACGCGCGCCAACGCGCGCGTCGTACAGATGATGCCTTTTGACTCGAGCAAGAAGTGCATGGCCGCCGTCATCGAGACCCCCGCCGGCTACCGGCTGCTCGTCAAGGGCGCGTCCGAGATCCTGCTCAAGTGCTGCACCGAGACGCTCGAGCCGCACGACCTCTCCTGCACGCCCCTCGACAAGCCGCGCGCCAAGGCCCTACGCGCCGTCATCGACGCGTACGCCGGCCGGTCGCTGCGCACTATCGGCCTTGTCTACCGTGACTTCCCCACCTGGCCGCCACCGCAAGCCGAAGTCGTCGAAGGCGTGGTGCAGCTCGCATCGCTGCTCCGCGGCCTCGTCCTCGTCGGCGTCATCGGCATCCAGGACCCCGTGCGGCCGGGCGTGCCCGAGGCGGTGCGCAAGGCGCAGCACGCGGGCGTCGTCGTCCGCATGGTCACGGGCGACAACATCATCACCGCCAAGGCGATTGCGGCCGAGTGCGGCATATACACCGAGGGCGGCGTCGTCATGGAGGGCCCGCGCTTCCGCCACCTCTCCGAGGCGGAGATGGCGGCCGTCCTGCCGAAGCTGCAGGTGCTCGCGCGCTCCTCGCCCGAGGACAAGCGTGTGCTGGTCACGCGGCTCAAGGCGCTCGGCGAGACGGTGGCCGTGACGGGCGACGGCACAAACGACGCGCCCGCACTCAAGGCGGCCGACGTTGGCTTCTCCATGGGCATCGCCGGAACAGAGGTGGCCAAGGAGGCTTCGGCGATTGTACTCATGGACGACAACTTTGCGTCCATCATCACGGCGCTGAAATGGGGCCGCGCCGTCAACGACGCGGTGCAGAAATTTCTGCAGTTCCAGATCACGGTCAACATCACGGCCGTGCTGCTCGCCTTCATCACCGCGCTGTACAGCGCCGAGATGAAGCCCGTATTAAAGGCCGTGCAGCTGCTCTGGGTCAACCTCATCATGGACACGTTTGCGGCGCTGGCCCTGGCCACGGATCCGCCCGACGACCGGATTCTCAACCGACAGCCTCAGGGGAAGAAGGCGCCCCTCATCACCATCAATGTACGTTTTTGCCCTCCGATTCTCTTATTGTTCCCCCTCGCTAACAAACCTACAGATGTGGAAAATGATCATCGGCCAGGCCATCTTCCAGCTCGTCATCACCCTCGTGCTCTACTTTGCCGGCCCGCAGATCCTCGGCTACGGGGGCACGGAGCTCGACACGGTCATCTTCAACACGTTTGTGTGGATGCAAATCTTCAACATGTTCAACAACCGGCGGCTCGACAACCGGTTCAACGTGCTCGAGGCCCTGCACCGCAACCACTTCTTCATCTTCATCTGCCTGCTCATGGTCGGCCTGCAGGTCACCATTGTCTTTGTCGGCTCCCGCGCCTTTGGCATCGTCGCCGGCGGCCTCGACCCCGAGCAGTGGGCCATTTGCGTCGTCACCGCCCTCATGTGTCTGCCCTGGGCCGTCGTCGTCCGCCTCGTCCCGGATGCTGGCTTCGCGGCCGTCGCCGGCTTCGTCGGCCGCCCGGTGGCGCTCGTCTACCGCGCCGCCGGACGCGGCTTTGGTAAGCTCTTTGGCATCTTCCGCAACAAGAAACAGAACAAGGAGGCCGCGGCGCAGCAGGATGTTGAGGCGGCGGTACCAAAGGTTGACATGCAGGAGACGGTCGCTGCGCCTCCTGCTATTGTCATTTGCGAGACACCCCAGGTCCAAATCACGGAGCCGGAGATCAATGAGAAACGACTGTCCTAATTTTATACTGTTTTTTTTTTTCATGTTTGGCGCTGGCGGTATTTGTCATGTTCTTGCAGTCTTAGATTTCATTCCCGTATAACAAAGCAACAACCTTTACTATTTCGTCTTCATTCCTTAATCGTGTCATTAAACAAACAAAAGCACTTTTGTCATTTTACCTCGTCATCTTCCCCCTTTTCATACACCACTTCATTCAACAATCACGAAACCTCCTCAAAGACCTGCTTAATCGACCGCAGCCCGCCCATGCCCGGGCCATGATTATGCCCAGCATGCTCGTCATCCTCCTCACCGGGCTCGCCCGCCCAGTCCGGAAAGCCGTCATCAAACAGCTCCTGAAGAGCCTCCTTCAACGCGCCCAAGTCGTCCCCATGCGCCGGGTCGCGCATGACGCGCTCCCAGTCGGCGCACTCGGCGTCGGTCAGCAGGCAGCGGTCGAGCAGGGCCTCGACGGCGGCGTGGTCGAGGCGCTCGCCGATGAAGACGAGTTCCTGGCGGCGGTCGCCCCACTCGCCGCCCTTGGCCATGTCGTGCTGCACGAGCGCGTCGACCTCGGCGTCGCCCGTCGTGTACTCGTCGGCCGGCAGCGTGCAGAACCACGGCCGCCCGCCGGCGAGCGTCAGCATGGCGCCCGCCTGCGACCAGTCCCCCGCCCGGTGCGGCCGCGTCGCCAGCAGGAACTCGCCCTTGGACCGGAACAGCCGCGAAAAGGTCGCGTGCGCCCGCTTGTTGGCCAGAATCACCTCGTTGGGCGGCATGTCGAGCGGGTCCACGGCCATGCTGGGGTCTTCCGCCGTGTCGGCGGCGGCGGCCGGTGTTTGTGTGGAGAGGAGGGGCTTTTGCTTTTCGGAGGGCGGAGGGGACGGGATCGTGCGCGCGGTGGAGTGGGAGCTGCCGGCCGAGTAGGCGGAGCCTTCTTGGGCTGAGCCGCTGGAGGAGCCGATGCTCTGAGCATCGTCCTGCTCGACGTCTTCCATCTCCTCATCTTCATCCCCGTCGTCGTCTTCCTCGTCCTCATCCTCGTCCTCGTCATCCTCGGGCTGCTCGAGCTGCAGGATAAACTTGTCGTAGAGGAGGGCAAAGAGACGGCGGGGGTGAAAGGGCCGCTGCCGGGAGTAGATGAAGCTCTGGACGTTGTACTCTTCCGTCTCGGGCTTGGGGGTGACGACCTTTTTGCCATTGACTTCGCGCACGGTCATGGCGTGCAGGTCTTGCAGCCAGCCGTAGCCTGTCTGCGCAACGTCCATCTTGAACAGCCCCGTGTTGACGAGCTGCTTGACATCCACCTTGCCGTAGCTGGATTCCATAATCTTGGCGCGGTGGTTGAGCTTCTTGACAAGGTCCACGATGCGGGTTCTTGTTTCCTTGGAGACCTGGTATTCGTTAGAATGCAGGCCTGAAAGACAGATGGCAAGCTACAAGCTACATACCATGTCGATTTTGTTCAGAATAATTATGTCGGCAAATTCAATTTGGTCGACCATGAGATCAGAGACGGTGCGCTCATCTTCCGGGGTGACATCGTCTCGGCGACTGGAGATTAGGTCGGCCGTATCAAAGTCGTGCAGCATGGTAAACGTATCAATGACTGTGACTGTGGTGTCCAGCTTGGCAAACTTTTCCAGACCGCCAACTTCCTTGCTACAACAATCATCAGCACACAAGTGGTTGGTCGCTCTCGGGAGGCGTTCACGTACAGCTGCTCAAGCACCCTCAACATGTCAGGGTCGAGGCCCTCGCCGCCCTCGTCCACGAGCTGGGCCATCTGCTCGGCTAGCCTTTTGTCAAACGTCTCGGCGACCTGCTCCGGCTCGCTGATGCCGCTGCTCTCAATGATGATGTAGTCGAAGCTCTGCAGCTGGGCCAGGCGGACGAGCTCCTCGAGAAGGTCGCCGCGGAGGGTGCAGCAGATGCAGCCATTCTGCAGCGCAATGACCTTTTGGTTCGTCTTTGTGAGGCGGTGTGTCTGCTTGATCAGGGCGGCGTCGACATTGATGCTAGGAGACTGGTGTTAGTGGAATTTTGTGACCTGTGGGTTTTTGCTATCAACTCACGCGCCAATGTCGTTGACGATGACTGCGATGCGAAGACCGTGGTTGCTCTTCAGAATATGCTGCAACAGTGTAGTTTTACCAGATCCCTTGGCAAACTTGTTAGGTCCCTGCAGAGAAGAGTACAAATAAGTCAAGCCAGGGTTGGCTTACCAGGAAACCAGAGAGCAAAGTCACTGGAAGGGCCTTGGGAGGCACCTTGGTTTTCGGGGCCTTGGAAGCCTTTTTGTTCTTGCCAACCTTGAATCTGTTGACCATCTTGTATGATTGACGCTAGAACCCTGTCAATGTGGGAAATTTGAATTTCTTTGGTGTTGAATTCAAGAAAATTGTGTAAAACAGACAGGGCTGGGGCTGGCTCAAGGTATATATAGCAATGAATTTTACCAGACGCACAATAATTCATCCATGCACGCCATACAATACAAACACAACCTCCTGCCAAACTGCATTCTTCCTGCCCTACTCACGCCATGCATCCCGAGAACTGGCTCATCAAGGTCGACGACGTACTGGACCATCAGGGTTGTAAAGGGTCGTGATAGTTTCGGGGCTGGCTTACATTCCTAGCCCGCTGATTGGGCAGACGCTTCCAAATCGGGAATCCGCCCCAGAACCTCCATCGAGTTCGGGGACAGGGGGGCTACAAAGCACGTTTTGCTGTGTTTTCTATTGGATGAGGTAGGTAATGATCCTTGGCGCCATTACGGCGAGATAGGTAAGGGGTGGTGCTGATTGGCTGGATGGCGTGCCACACATCTCCAACAAGGGATCGTGGGAAACACCATAGCGGTTCTCATGAGGCTGGCCGCTAGGACTCTGAACCTTTTGGGATGCTATTGAGTGCCTTTGCCGTTTCATGGCATTGGGTATATAAAGGTGCCGTGCCCTCGCTGTCGCTGTTCAGTGGCCGTAGTGATTGAAGGTGACGCTGCTGCGGCGCGCAAACGAAGCACTTCGCGATGACCATTGAGTTGTCGTGTATGCCGACACAACGCGTGCGGACCATGGTCGAGTTCAACAAGGTTCACACCTATCCACATCGGAGCATGTGGCGCATGAACATATTGAGAAGGACAGCATCAGAGCGTCGCGCAAGCGGTGCACTGGTCTAGACGAGCAGCCAACTCCAGACACGCCGACCTCGGTATCATATTGGCCGGAGTGTCTATCAGGGTTGTGCCCAGCGTTGGCAATGATTGGCAAACTTGATCGCCGCAGGTTAGCTGAGTTCTGCGGCACTGCGGTCCGATTTACCAGGAACGAAAGATAATCATGCCAAACAGACAGACGGACGGAGTAAAGACTTTGAGGAAAAAGACGTGAGAAGTGTCTAGGACTTTGAGACCAACCCCCAATTTTGTACAATTGTATGCTTCAAAACGGAGGACAGCACTAGCCATTCTATTCAGCAGTTGTTAGTGCGTCTGTCTGCAAAGTAGACCCGTGGCACACTGCGAAACGATGTCGAGGTTAAAAAAAAACACAACGAACCTCCAGGGAAAAAAATCTCGCGAGGCGTCTATTTTACCAACGAAGAATTGGATCGCGTGTCATCCGGCGTGTCGTTTGCGACACCGAAGCAAGACGTAGGCAAGATTGTGTCTTGGGATGAAGGATTGCCTGGACCAATCGAGGCAAATCTGGTGAAATATTGTGTGCTTGCGCAAAATAATCGCCAATAGTAATTTGAAGAAAGTCTGTGAAATTGGCCGGCTGTCAGTGTGCGCAAGATAATTTGGCAATTATGGTATGCCTAGCCTTGGCTTGCAGATCAAGGCATCAATCGTTCGCGAACTGAGCGCCGTGCCAGCGTCATTGGGCTCTGCCATACTGGAAGCTCGAGAACTCCGACAAGCTGACTAGAAAGTTATGTATCGGAATTTTGGAGCCAGACTCTGAGAACCGCCAGAGTATGGCAAAAGAGGCATTGAAACGGTCGTAGGCGGCGGTCCAGCCCGAGGTCCCCTCCGAGCTGGCACGGGTTGTCGGCGACCACGGATGGGTGTCGCCCTTGGGCTACCTTTTCCGCCTCGCTGACCGGGACGAGTAGCAGCCTCCGGTGCCTATGCTCGCGCCGTGGACTTGGGAACCGGGGCGCCGGGGCGGAGCCCAATGCGGAGTCGATCCGGGGACCCCGCGTCATCTGAGAGGGACCGCTTCGAGGAGCTCGGTACCAAGACCGGGGCTTGCCAGAAAAGTTGCGCGTAGTGGCGTTTGCGGCTCGGAATCGTTGTCTGATACAGACCGGCGCGTGGTGGCCAAGACTACAGCGTATACCCTGCCGGCGGAAACCGATGTATCGATGTAAAATGACTGAGTATCACCAGACACAAAAAGGGTTTGGGGTCACCAACAGACGTATCGAAAGTTTGTTGCGGGGGGCTTCTTCCATGGTAGAGGCAAGTCGACAGGATTGTCCGTCGAAATGGGACCCATGTCGGAGGACTCCGGTCGTGTTGCCGAAACGGCCATAGCCATTAGTTAGATAATATGACCTAATAGGATCCAGCTAGACTGTTCCCAGAAGTACCCCGCGAGGCTGGGGCAAGTCACAACGGTCAGCCCATTGTCATTAGGTAATGGACTTTGGGGTAGCCGTGAGGAAAGCCGCACACTGTGGGTGATAAGGGAAGAGCGGCGAGCAGCCTTGTCAACCTGTCATCTTGGCAGGATTCATTCACGAGTGCATTTGCCAAGTATGGGCATCTTGGAATCGGCTTGGTATTTCTGGGCATCAGAACGCCATCCCTTGACCCTAGCCTCCTAAGCCTTGCATCCAGTTTCCTTCGACTTGCGGCGTTGTTTGGTCGGTTGGGGCTGTTGGGCTGTGCGGGATACGTAAGTAGAATGCAAAAGTTCCTCCTGCTATGTCGCCGGGGCTGCCGGAAGCGGTGAGACATTCGCGGCATTGCAACTTGTTACTTGAAAAGAATCGGGCTGGTGAGGCAGAGCGTTGTCCTGGATCAAAAGAAGCACCCACCTCTGGGCTTTTGTGGTGGCTGTTTTTGGTGGGCGATGTTGGCTTTATTTTGTTGATGGCGGCATAATTTCCGCGGCGAGCTCCGCTTGTATTATTTCCGATTCAGAGGGGCGCCAATGGCCGGTGACAGGCCCTGCTACAGCGGTCCAATACAGTGGATGAGGCCTGTCAAATTGTGTCAGGTATCGCTAACAGAGCCGGTTTATAGCAGCTGGCACACCTGTAGCTACTGAGGATGCCAGCTGTCTGTCAGTACGACTGTTGTTATTACTCATCTTTTCCTCCCCCATTCCATCCGTCTATCGATCCTCAAACAGCAAACACCGCCGCCACGGCAGCCGAGGCGTGCACTTGCCGATAGCCTCTGGTGGTGGCGTCGCATGCTGCAGCCAAAGCTGACTTGGCGCATTTTCTTCTCCGTAACTGGATAGCTACCGACCGGCCCGCCAAGGAAGCCGAGGACGCCACGGCCAGGGACATGGGACCGGCCAACGACCTATCTCGATCCGGCTCGTCGCTTGCCATCAACGCCGACGCGGGCATCGATGTCTTGTCCAACAGAGGTCAGAACGAACGATGAAAATAAAAAGAAGAGCAAAAGGCACAAGGCAAAAGGCAAGGACCACGACAGGGCCACTGCCACCTCTTCAACCACACTACTCCGTATTCCACCGTCATCCGCGCCAGTCCCTTTGGGAGTGGAACCAACTACCTCATCCACCGCGTCATATCCACCAATACAGAGCTTTTGTCAAGCAAAACTGGCGACTCGACAAAGGTTCCCGTCTTGAACTTATTGCCTCCTCGATCCACCTTTGGCCTGATTCAGCGTCGACCCGCGCCTGGACGGTGGATCTGTCTTGTTGGACATCGAAACTTTCCATATGTCGCTGTCGGCATGACGGTCCAACCACCAGCTCGCGCAACGCATTGCCCGTCTTGCCGTCCTAGTATGGTTCGGTCTACAAGTCCGTCCGTCCCTACCTCTCAAGACTTGGCGGCCCATGTAACCATGCCAGTCTCTGGCCTGACTCTCGACTATGCTTTTGCCTTCGAAAGGGCCATGCCAGTCTCTGGCCCGACTCTCAACTACGCTTTTGCCTTCGAAACGGCGCATCAGAACCGAGTATTGCCGCCTTTTCTGGCCGACATAACCGTCGCATCCCCAACGAATACGCCTTCATATACTCACTCGTCCTATGGCTGGGAACCTTTGCTCAACCAGCTCCCTCCGCGGGCCTTCTCAAACTCCTCTCTGGAACTCTTCACGGCGCTAGCTTCGCAACCCCAGACCATGTTACCCATACCCACCCAGTATTATCATCAGCTGGTTTCCGACTGCCCTCTCGGGCTTTCATGCCTGCAAGCTCCCAGCCTTGCTGCTCGTCAGCTCCCCAAAGTCCCTCTTCTCCGGAGTCCGCAAAAAACTTGACGTCTTCCCCAAGTATTCACTCGGATGCTGGCCCGCCCGCTCATCTCCTCCTCCACATCCCTATCCTCCTACCCCATTGGGGTAGTTTGATTTATTCCTGATTCTATCTCAACCTATGAGCTAGTTCCCAATTGCCCCAGGTCACTTCTCCATGTTTAAAAGGACCCTGTCGCCCCTCGCCTGTCCGCCCGGAAAGACATTGGCTCTTTTGTTCACATCATCTTGCCTTTCCATCTCCCCAGGTCTGCACAGTGACGAGCTTCTGCGAAAGCTCACTCCCAACCATGGTCGGGCTCAGGAAGATTCTCTCCCGTCAAAAGACGAACCAGTCTGGCGACCACGAGGGTGAGCTCCAGGCCTTTCGCAAGCAGCACCGGTACGATCCTTTTCTCGGCGATGACAAGCTGCGCGCCGTCGACTCGGCTCTCGACTCGGGCAACGCCGAGAAACTCCGCGATCTTGACAACAGCTTGATTCAGGACGACTCGCCTTATCCCGAAGTCCGCGCTGCCGTACGTTTTCCCTATCGCGCATTTGCACCGCGAACCCGCACACAAGCATCGAAACTCATTGCTCCGAATTAGGTACCCAATACCGACGAGGATATGCCCATAAACACCATCCGAGCCTGGGTCATCGGTGGTATTCTTTGCACTATTGTGTCTGCCTGCAACGTACTCCTAGCCTTGCGCCGTACCCCCATCTCCATCAGCTCGACCGTTGTCCAGCTGGTCGCCTATCCGTACGTCACGTTGCATCGCTCTTCTCATACGCGAGGCTGTCCTCACATTTTCCTAGTATCGGCTGCTTCTGGGCTTGGTTTATGCCTGAAAAGAGCTTCCGGCTCTTTGGTCGCAACTTTGAGCTCAACCCAGGCCCTTTCAATGTCAAGGAGCACACAATCATCACCATGATGACGGCCGCTGGGTCCGCCATTAGCTATGCTTTTGATATCCTTCTTGCCCAAGAAGTATTTTACGACCAACATTTCAAGTAAGCAGACCTCCCAACCTCCCAACCTCACCATCAAGTCAGCTTCTGACCGGCTTGCAGATGGGGCTTTCAGATCCTGCTCGTCCTCTCGACGCAGGCCATGGGCTTTGGCATCGCGGGCATTGCCCGACGTTTCCTCATTTACCCTTCTGCCATGGTATGGCCGGCGACCCTCGTCACCTGCGCCGTCATGTACGCCCTGCACAATCACCAGCCCGCGGACCCCGCGGCCACCAATGGCTGGAAGATTGGTCGCTACGCCTTCTTCCTCATTGTGTCTTGCAGCACCTTCGTCTGGGAGTGGATTCCCCAGGTTTTTGCGCAAATTTTCCAGTTCTTCAATTTTGCCTGCTGGATCGCTCCCAACAATGTGCTCGTGAACCAGGTGCTTGGTGCCCAGTCTGGACTCGGACTGATTCCCATTTCCTTTGACTGGAGCATCGTCAGCGCCTTTCTCGGCAGTCCCCTTCAAGCGCCTGCCTTTGCCCTCGTCAACGTGGCCCTCGGCCTGGTCCTCGTGACGATTGCCGCCTCTGGGCTGTCCTGGGCCGGCCCCGAATTCTACCGCTACCTACCAATCAGTGCCAATACCAACTTTGACCGCTTTGCCAAAAAGTACAACACGACGCGCATCCTCACCCCCGAGTTCACCATGAACGAGACGGCCTACCGAGAGTACTCGCCCATTCTGATTTCTCCCACGTTTACGCTCTCCTATGGCATGTCCTTTGCCGCCCTCATCTCAACTCTGGTCCACGTCGCCATCTTCTACGGCCCTGATATTTGGCGCCGCAGCCGCAACATGCGCTCTGAGGAGCCCGACGTGCACCTGAAGCTGATGCGCAAGTACAAGGAGGCTCCCGAGTGGTGGTTCCTGGCCATTTTTTCTATGAGCTTTGCCTTTGGCATGATTGCCTCTCAAGTCTGGCCTACCCACCTGCCGTGGTGGGCATTCATCATTTGCATTGCTCTCGGCGTCGTCTTCTTCATCCCCATTGGCACCGTGCAAGCCATCACCAACCAGCAGACCGGCCTCAACGTCATCACCGAGCTGGTGGTGGGCTTTATGCTGCCGGGCCGTCCCATTGCCATGATGATGTTTAAGTGCTGGGGCTATATGATTATCTACTACGGTCTCAACTATATTTCCGACATGAAGGTTGGCCACTACATGAAGATTCCGCCCCGCTCCATGTTTGCCGCCCAGGCTTTTGCCGTCATTTGGCTGTCCCTGGTGCAGGTGGCGACGTACAACTTCTTGCTCGGCAACATCGAGGGCATCTGCACCGAGAACCAGCCCCAGGGCCTCATCTGCCCGGCCGCGCGCACCTTTTTCAACGCCAGCGTCATCTGGGGCGTCATTGGCCCCGCCAAGATGTTTGGCGCCGGCCAGCTCTTTGCCTGGCTCAACTGGTTCTGGCTCATCGGCGCCGCCCTGCCCGTGATGCAGTACTTGATCACCCGCCGCTACCCCAAGAGCATCTTTCGCTACATGCTGACGCCCGTCATCTTTGGCGCGGCCGGCCAGATCCCGCCCGCCACGCTCTACTACATCTGGCAGTTCGTCACAGTCGGCCTCGTCTTCAACTGGTTCATCCGCCGCCGCTACTTTGGCTGGTGGCAGCAGTACAACTACACGCTCTCGGGCGCCCTCGACATTGGCAACGCCCTCGCCAGTGTCGTCATTGCCCTCGCCCTCGGCCTGGGCAACGCCAACTTTCCCGACTGGTGGGGCAACACAGTGCCCTACAACAACCTCGACGGCTGGTACAATGCCACGACAAAGGTTTTTCAAAAGGGCCAGACGCCTCTGGGACCGGAAAAGTGGTATTGAAACCCCCCTCTAAGAATAACCATATGTCGGTGGAGTGTGTGTGTGTGGCGTGGCTTTTGTACATACAAAAAAAGGAAACTTGTACTTTGCTTTTTTGGCTTTTGGTGCCAGTCATTACGGGACGTCTTCCCCGAGACGCTTATATAGAATCATAGAAATGCATCGACCAGTATAGACGGCGTGCATGCTGGATGACATGTGTACATAACAAAACACTCGTATCATATTCCCATCACCTGTTACCTCTAGATTTCGACTTCTTAATTTATCATGAATATGTACGGGTTGTGTCACGGAAATCTGCTCGCTCTGCCCTGGCACGAAGGAGTTAAATAATTATGCCCGCAGGAGCAAGGGCACCCACCAAGGCTTTTTTACACAACACGATTTTTTTTTATACTTTTTCTCTCTCTTCAATTTCGTCGTTTTTCGTTGCAGCGTCAAATTAAACACTTGCAAGCGTCGTTCACCATGCATCTCATGACCCCTGGCCTCGGGCCCACGATCGTCGCTGCATGTCTTGGTCACTCCCACGTGTAGCCCTGTCCTCCCAAATGATACCTTCTTCCTTTCTTTGATTTTTGGCAGCAAGCAGTCACTTCTCTCCTCAGATTTCATAATGACCAGGAAACGACACGGCGGCGCAGGGAGGGTTCCATTCATTTCCTTTATACCCCACCACGGAACGATACATCGCCGCTTCCGCTTGTTTTGGCACATCCTTGATGCTTGAGAAAGGTCATTTCACACCAATCGTACGCCTACTCACTCTTTTTGATAGCAGATCGCTGGGCAGACAAACACGGAACCAGGGTGACTTGATGCTCGATGGTGGCAGGGTCCAGGTTATTGTCGCCAAGTCGCCGAGTGCAGAGCAGCATCAGGGAACAAGGGCTTGATGCTGGTTGACCGCTTGTCTTTTTTGTCGGATTGGCCTCTAATCCGTCGCTAACTACAACTTCATACTGGCGGCAGTTTTGCGTGCCTGGTCCCTGAGGAGAGACTGACAGGGCATCTCCTCTAGACACTTTGACTCGCGCGGATGAAACCGTCTTGAAGGTCGACACATTGAACGCCACCGTGAACTAGTGCATTCACCAATTGGCCAGCGATTGGAGCAGAGTCGTTGACCTTGGACTCATGGCGCTTTTGGCTGCAAGCTGGAAAAGGACTGTGGACGGTTCCTGGCCGCTTTTACCTGTTACCAGTGCTCTGGAGCCGCAAAGTTGACGCCCTTGTCTAGCGTTGGTTCTTTTAGCTGCCCAAGCAATTTTAGCCTGTCGCTTTTTCGTCCTGTCGTCCAGGTTTTTGACCCCACCGGACGCCACGGCGGTCCTGGCGTGCTTTGACTGGCTGGGTTTTGAATCGGGAAAGGAGGTCGATCAGGGGTTTGCATCCCTTGCAGTTTCGCCTGGCCGTGGTGGGCTGCGTTATTGCTTGCCAAGACGGGGGCCAAGGTATTTCGTGCATGGCTCTGGAAAGTATGTGAGCAGCCGGCAATCAAGTTCAGACGCCTGTCATCTTTTTGCACAATTTTCACACATGGGATCGCATTGTAGCCATCACCCCGCGGCAGTCGGCCGGACCAGGCCCAGGGGAGCACGCCCCTCCAGTTCCCGACCAGGTTGGTTGCAGAAAGAGTGGCCAAGTATTGATCATGCAGGAGGATGGACGCTGGCTCTCTGCCAGGCGTTGCGGCAGCTGGCACCTCGGTACCGATGTCGAGCGGATGAGCAGCTTCCGTGTCTTGAAGTGGGCGGACTGCACACATATTTCATTGTTATCAGGACTCGGACTCGACAAGTTAGAACACACTGACGCTGGCTTTGACAGGCGTTGGCGCGAGACAGGCAGCCCCAAACTCAAACTCAGGTACTCCTGTCAAGAGCAGCGCCGCAGCTAGGTCGTCTTTGGCCGCCCAACTTCAGCCCATCTAACATTCGGGAGGACTGCCCCAGCGCTAGAAGGGAATCCCTGTCTCTCGGCCCCCTGCCTGAAGGAGGGGCGACAAGGAGAAAAAAGGTGTACCAAGATGGTGTGAATTCGTCGTGTGCAATTAAGAGCGGCGGCGTTGGCCTTGGACCCCGGGAAAGTGGCTAGCCGAACAGGGAGTTTTCCTCTTCTTATTCTTTTATCCTTTTATCAATCGGTTGTGTATTTCTCTTTTTTTCATCATCGGCGCCGTTGTCGTTATTTTCGAAGCACGTTTATGTGTGTTTGTTACTGACAAGTTGTTGGATATCGCAGCTGGCAAACAAGCTACCTGCCTACAACCCTACGACTGGCTTCACCTTCCCCTCCTCCCCCGCACCCAAAATCGTCTACCTGGACTGCCACCCAAAAGCCCCCTTGAATCCTTCTCTTCCCCGCCGCCCGCCACCGCGAACCCGCCGAAAACCTGCGTCGAACCGTCAGCATAGTGATACACTGCATTGAGGGGAAACAGCCAAGCGATTGCGAGCCCACAGGCGGCCATCTCCGAGTCACAAGAGCACCACCACAGCGAATCAGCAGCCGCAGTACAACGGCCTCTGGACGAAGCAGCCAATCGAGCGTCCTGATACGAGCCAGAAAGAAGCACAGGATCTGTCTGGGCTGCAACCGCTGCACCACCACCGCCGACGCGCAGCAACACGCACAGCAGCGCAGCAGCACTAATCCAATCGAGCCCCCCCAGGCTCACCGAGAGGCCGAGACCGCCGCCCCAGCCCAACCCAGCCGCCGGTCGCCGCTGCACCACCGCCTTTGGCCGTCATGGGTCTCTTCTCCCGCAAGGATAAGACTCGACGCGGGGACGCTTCCCTTCCCGCCTCACATTCCACCAACAGCTTCGCTTCGTCCACATCTCGCCCTGGTATCAACAGAGTTTCGGCCGGAAGCATTACGCCAGGAGCCCCCCTCTCGCCTTTATCTCCTACCAAGCTCCCCAAGATGGATCTTCCCCGTCCCCCGGATCCCCAGCTTGACCCCGCCGGCTATCTGCGTAGTCTCGGCGCCGTGCGCGAGCGCACCAAGATTGTATTCGAGAAGACACTAGCCAACAAGCTACAGCATTTCGACGTGGATATGAGCAAGTTTACTGATGTCGTCACCTTTGTCTCCGGCTTAATCAAGGTACGCCCGCTTTCGTCGCCCGGTACCGGTCTCCAGCGCCACCCAGCAGTACCGGCGCACCCAACCTCACTCAATGCTACTACTTTGCATGCTGACCTGCGTATCTCATAGAGAGACTACGATGCGCCATTCAACACAATCCCCGGCCACGGGCGCTACCAGCACTTTTGCGTCGGCGGTCGCGATCGCATCGCTGACTTGCTGTCCAGTTGGCCCTCCACTGTTGACAACACGGAACGCTGCCGTCGCCTCATTGACCTGTTCCTCGTCAGCGTCCTGCTTGATGCTGGTGCTGGCACTTCCTGGGGCTACAAGAGCAATGAAAATGGCAAGGTGTATAAGAGATCCGAAGGCCTGGCCATTGCAAGCCTGGAAATGTTCAAAACGGCAAGTACCCTTTACCCCGCACGAGATGCGACGCACTGACACAATCTCAGGGCCTGTTCTCAGGCAACCCTGACAATAAGCACCAGGTAGATTTCCAGGGTCTCGCCAACTTGACCGTCGGTCAATTGGCCGCCGGCCTGCAATCTAAGCCCGGAAACGAGCTTGCCGGCCTGGACGGCCGTACGGATCTGTTGCTCAAGCTGTCCAGCGCCCTCAAAAGCAAAAGCGAATTTTTCGGTGAAACAGGCCGCCCCGGGAACATGATTGACCACCTTCTCTCTCATCCATCTACGCAAGCCTCGTCAATGCTCATCGTACCGCTACCTGTGCTGTGGAACGTGCTCATGGCCGGTTTGGCGCCCATCTGGCCACAGTCGCGCACATCCATCGACGGCGTCTCCCTCGGCGACGCCTGGCCCTGCAACTCAATGCCTCAGGGCGCCAGCGCCTGGGAGTCTATCGTGCCGTTCCACAAGCTCACCCAGTGGTTGACGTACTCGCTGATGCAGCCCATGCAGTCGCTGCTCAACATGCACTTTGCAGGCACCGAGCTCCTCACCGGCTTGCCCGAGTACCGCAACGGCGGTCTCTTTGTCGACATTGGCGTCTTAACGCTGAAAAAGGACGACACGGACCGTGGCCTCGAAAACTACTCAGACTACTGCCGCCGCACCGGCGTCAAGGGTGTCGAAGTTGCCCCCATGTTTGAGCCCAGCGACGACGTCATCGTCGAGTGGCGCGCCGCCACCGTCGGCCTCCTCGACCACCTCATCGTTGAGGTGAACAAGTATCTCAAGAAGGAGCTGGCGGGCAACGAAATGACACTGGCCCAGCTCCTGGAAGCTGGTAGCTGGAAGGTATGTTCCCACACCATGCATTGCAGCGTGCCTCCCTTTAACAACGATCAGGGCGGACGTGAAATCGCCGAAATCAACCGGCCAAATACTAAGGAACCTCCCATCCTCATCGATAGCGACGGCACCGTATTCTAAGCCAGTCTGATTCTTTTTATCGCGGTCGGGCCAAGCCAAGCCGGCACCTTGTATGAAGCCAGTCTGGTGAACTGCATAGCGTGAACGTTGGGGTCTACCTACCTACTATATTCCACAACGAAATGAAATAGAAACTTTAACCGACCATCGCTTAACGTCACGTCTTTTATTATTAGCCTTTTTTTTCTTAGACTATTTTCCTCGTTGCTCGTGCTTTTGTTTGTCCGGCTCTGTAAAGAGTGTCACCTACACAGAGGAAGCTGGGCCCGCAGAGATGGGCAGACTGGTTCTGTTCACCAATTCAGTCCCGTTTGTCAGTCTAGATTGTTCGATGATTGTGGGGATTCAAGAGAGGTGACTCTATTTTGCAGTATAAATTGTACATGGTAATTTTTTGATATCCCTTCCCCTGCGTCGTCTTTGTCGTCTTTTTATGCTAGTATACATCTCCGCCACATTCACCAAGATAATAGTACCTATTTACATACGCTCCGAGCCTATACAGAACACAAGGGCGACAAGAACATACCAAGGCGTCTATTTCTTGCCCTTGTACTTTCTGCTGAACTCGTCGCGCTCCTGCTGCTGGCGCTTATCCTCGAGCTTCTTCATGAGCTCCTTGCGGTTGCGCTCGGCCTTTTCCGCGTCCGTCGCGGCCATGCGGCCGCCAAAGCTGCCGAGCTGCTGCGACATGCCCTGCTTGGCGTCGCTGAGGCTGTTGTTGAGGCGCTCGGCAAGCGTCAGGGGCTTGACGACCTCTTCGGCGGTCGTCGTGCGTGCAGCGGCTGGGGCGGCGCCGCCGGCGCGGCGCGGTGCTTCGTAGCGGATGCCCTTGGGAATGTGCGCGGGGATGGAGGAGGCGGCGGCGGCGGCGGTGGCGGAGGGAGGTGCGGCCGCCTTGGCGGCCGAGGCGGCGCTGGGGGGAGGGCCCATGAGGAGCCCGAATTTGCGGCGGAGGACGGGGGTCTCGAGAATGAGCGAGGTGAGGAGGGTGGCGCTGGCAAAGGCGAGACCCATGACGTTGACGCCGGCGGTGAGGAAGCTGGTAAAGACGAAGCCGATACCTCCTAGGGCCCAGGCCATGGGCTTCATCATCTTTTTCTGCGCCTCAGCCATGTATTTTTGGCCAATCTAGAAACAAAGGTCACATTAGCATCAGAGCAGAATCAGTCGATTTGGGGGCAGGATAGAAAAACGTACCTGTAGTGACATAATCATGACACCCGTCGCCAGCGCAGGCAGGATAAACAGAGGGTCGCGGACCGTCAAGTCGGTAAACCACATGAAGCCAGCCTCCTCCATGCCCGGCACGGGCAGGTTGCCCATCTGGCGGACCAGCTTGAAGAGGCCAATGGTAAACGGGAACTGCACCACGAGCCAGAGCAGATTCCAGTTGTTCACGCCGTACTCCTTCTTGAGCAGGTCCGCGAGCACCTTGGCCTGCTGGCGCTTCTCCATGCCGTTGACGCCGTCGGCGAGCGACTCCTTTGTGAGACGGTTCATCTCGACGGCGCGTGGGTCGGCCTGCATGTGCGCGACGCGGCCGCCGTTGCGCATCTGCAGGATGTGCGGCACGAGCATGGCGGCGCGCAGCGCAAACGCCGACGCGACGATGCTCGCGCCCCAGCCAAGGCCCATCGACAGGTGCACGTGCTCGAGCACCCACTGCATCACCGTCGTCGGGCCCCAGCCGTTGTCAAGCCCGAGCGCCTGCAGGTAGCCCGGCTCGTTGGGCGACAGGTCGAGGAGGTCGGCCGCGCTCAGGCCGCTGGTGCCGCCAAAGTCGCTCAGGTCGCTGCCAGCGAGCGGCGGCGGTTGTGCGGCGGCGGTTGTCGGCTCCGTCAGGGACGGCGCGGCGGAAATGTTGTCGGTGGCGGCATCGGTGGCGCTCGAGGCTGCGTGTTGTTGCTCTGCGGCCGCCGCGGTCGCGGCTCGGTTCGCTTCCTCGGCAGCCTGCTCGCTCGTCTTGCTGCTGCTGCCGCCGCCCCAGCCCCAGAGGGAGAGGTTCCGGCTGGCGGCGACGCTGCCGAGGGCAATTGGGGCGGCAGCGCCGGTGCCGACGGGAGAGAGCCGGGCGCGCGTGCCGTGGCCGGAGAAGATGGCGGCATTTCGGCGGCTCGGGATCGATCGTGTCGCAAACGTGCGGCCCTGGAAGCAAGAGAAGCTTTGGCGTTAGGGGACAAAGGTCGGACAAGGAGGAAGGAATTCAGGAGCGAGGGGTGGGATTGACGTACGGATAGTCGGCTGATGGATGGGCCGCTTGTGATTCCCGAGGGAAGAGACCGGGCAATTCCTCTGCTGGGAATCATGCTGCCGGTTGTGAAGAGGTTGAGAAGTGTGACAATCTTAGACCGGCAAGGTCCATTTGGCGGCTTCCAGGCAACTTTTTTTGCAGCGACAACCGGGCCGGATAAATATCGGGGAACTGCCGACAACGGAATCGACAACAGCAATAGCAGCTAAACATGCACAGATTACAGTAAGGTTTTACAATGAGATTCTGGTTAGTGGTGATGAGATTTTATTGGTTTTTTTTGTAACTTTGTGTGCAGGTGCAAAGGCCCTACATAGACTTCCTTTGCGTGAGATTCCCCTCTCATGTGACCCTTCCCAACACTATTTTGAACGCGTGCCTCTTTTATAAACAGTGATGCTGGTAAATACTGCAAAATTCTATCCTGTATGGTATCCGTCGCATTACTCCAGACTCGAAACATCACTCAGCGAGACGCCGGGTACCCTTCGCTTCTCGCGCACCTCGACGCCGGGTCCAATCGAGTGTGTTCCTCTTCGCGTCAGGGGAAAGACCTGCCGATGATCATTAGCATAAACTCGTTCGCACTAGTATAAAAGCTGGGCTCGGTGCGGTAGCGAATCTGCTTCCGGCGGCCGTACCTTGGTGCCTCCCCATCCCAGCCGAAACGCCGCCTCGTGGGCAAACAGCTCGCCAAAGCCGAGCATCATGCCGTTGATGAACGGCAGCAGGATGTTGATGGCGGTGCCGCGCAGTAGCGACCACACGGTCGGGGGTCTGTAGAGGATGACGGGCGAGCTCGATGTCGACGCCGGCGAGGTGGAGAGTTCGTCGTCGGCGCCGTCGGGCGAGTACTGCTCGCTGTCGGAGCGCATCGTCACGCCCGACTCGGCGAGGGGGTCGTCGAGGGACATGTCCGGCGGGCTGTTATTGTTTTCCGGTGTTTGGGAGGAGTATGTGGCGGATTCCCGGGCAGAACTGGCAAGAGAATGTTGAGCGCGATCGGGGGAGCGATGACGGGCTGTTGAGGCGGCCTGGGGAAGCTCTTCGACATCCCTTATGTAATAGTGGGTCGCGTGCATAAGCCTTGCACAACTCGCGAGAAAGAGTTGTGAGTTGTTGAGTTCATTTACAAAAGTATATATTTTTATTACAATATTGACTCTGTCAAAAGGAGTTAATATTTGCGTTCAGAGCTGTTGTTGAGCCAGTGACCTCCAATATGAGAGTGATGATGGACCACCACGACTTGCTCGCCGGGGCGATGCCTGAAACCCCAACGATTGCGGAACGAGCCTTGTCAAGCGCGCAAGCTCTCTTATATTAAAAATCGCTTTGTATTCATCCTCCAGCAATATAGCTATCCTTCATTCCGCCCCGCCATTTTTTCGGAACGCAAATATGAATCCCGCGCAGCGCCATGTGGTCATGCTCTTACACCTGTACGTCTGTAAGTGGTCCATCAAGCCCAGCTGGACTCCGAGTCCTGTTGAGAAAGAATGTCATGGGGAAACGTTACCTGTAATCTTTGAGATTCTTGGGGGGTGAAAGAATTAATGAGCTATGTATATTTCTGAGCTCAGCTGTATATAAAACGATCGCGGGCTGTTATTCCGACTCCATGAGCTACACCCTCGCGGTCACAAGTCTTCCTCCATCGAGCATACTACATCAATCAGCCCAACATGTCGGATAACCTAAGCCTACAAGACAAGATTGCCATTGTAACTGGCTCCGGCCGTGAGAATGGCATTGGTGCCGGTATCGCCCTCGCCCTCGCCCTCGCTCGCAACGGCGCTTCTGTGGTTATCCACTACGTTTCAGATTCTGTCAAGGAGCGCGCCGCGCAGGTCTGCGAGACTCTCTGCAATGCCGGTAGTCGAGCTATTGCAGTGCAGGTCGCGCTCGATACTATTGAAGGCGCCAAACATCTGGTTGGCGAGACACTTGAAGGCTTCAACACGGATCATATTGACATCCTGGGTAAGAAACCATCTTGTGCATTCCACCGGATGTCGCTAATTGATCCGTGGCAGTGAACAACGCCGGCGTGGTCTACTTTTGCCCCATCACGGACGAGGTGAACACGAAGCAGCTCTCTGATGTATTTCAGATCAATGTGCTTGGCCCGTTTTACATGGTGCACGCGGTGCTCCCGTATATGCCCCGCGGCGGCCGCATTATCAATATTAGTTCCACAAACTCCAAGAGAGGCAACGTCAACATCTCTAGCTATGCCGCATCCAAAGCTGCGCTAGACAGCTTGACCTGGTCTTGGGCCGGCGAGGTAAGTATTTGTGGTGGTTAAGGGTTAGGGTTATCGCCTCCCGAATAGTTCCAATGTGACAAATATGGCAGATGAAGTAACATTTTAGATGCTAACAGTGCAAACAGCTCGGCCGGACCAGAGGCATCACAGTCAATTCCGTCGCGCCCGGCCCCGTCCTGATAGACCTCTACCCTTAGGGCCACGAGCAAGCCCTCATGTAGACCGAAGTCGACCTGACGCGGGCCGAGCACCGCGCCGGGACGGCGGCTGATGTCGGCGACGCTGTCCTGCTGCTGGTGAATGAAAAGTCGAGATGGATCACGGGCCAGTACATTTCTGTGAGCGGCGAAGTTACGTACTGACGCGGGGCGGAGCTGAACGCCTTGTCGGTCGCCCGATCTCAGCCGCATGGTGGCGGGTCGCGCAACAATGCATGGCAAAGCGCAATCAGGCCAGTGACATTTTGCTATTGGGAATTTAGCCTCGGACGCTATCGACGCCATGCAGGACCAAGTGTATTATGCACCATTGAAGTAGAGAGCTCGAAGCTGGTCGAAAACGATGATAAAGGCGGCGGAGCTTCCACATTTAGTGCTGTATTTTTCTTTCTGGTCTCAGACTTTCAAATTGATTTTAGCAAAATACAGACACATTCAGTCCAGTTCATGGCCTCTCCAGCTTCCGGCGTCGAGCCGCTGGAAATATTCGACGCGAGACAGGCTCTACGAATCGGTGCCTACCATGAAGCGCAAGCGGCCCTCAATCGGCTCCCCCGGGTGTCGGCGACAGCAAAAGACGCGATACTCCTACGTCTCGAGATTCTGACTGCGCAAGGTGATTTTTTGAACCTCAAAAAGTTTACCTCTAGTCTGCTCCAGGACACAAATCGGCTGGCGCCTGCTATGCTGGCCCTGGTGCGGCTCGTGGAAGCACGATGTAAGATGATGACGAACATGGCCATGTCCGACTACCTCACGGTCGGGATCGCGACGTGGGACCAGTCCTTGAAAGAGGTCGATTTGCAAACCTGCGATAATACCACAGTACATTTATCTGTCACCTCGAGTAAACACAAAATACTAATTGACGCCAGCTATTCCTCGAGGCCGAGTTCCATCGCGGAATGCATGCCTGTGTCCACTTCATCTACAACTCCAAAGAGACGGCCAACCGGCCCCGGGACACGGATTTCGGCACCGAATCACTCGCCGACTACCCGCTGCCCCTGCTGCGAAAAGACGCGGCCGTTCGGCTCACGACGGTCATCCGCCGCCTCCTCCAGCTGGCCAATCCCCACGCCGCCCTGAGCATCTTCCATGTGCTCACCGGGTGGTATACGCTCGACGAGGTCAACTCGGCGGCGCTGCTCGGCGAGATTCTCAGCCACGGCGCGCGCGACAGCCTCCTCGCCGCGCGCGTGTATATTGAGCACGCAAAGTCGCTCGCCCAGCGCGACACGTTTGAGGCCGGCAACGTGCTCATCCGCGAGGCCAAAAACGCCGTCGCCTTTCTCGGCGGGAGCGAGTTCGCCCACCAGTTGCGCCTCCTCGAGGCCAAGATGGCCTTTATCACCCTTGGCGGCCTCGACGCGCTCTCGGGACCCCTGTCCGCGGCCGTCATCGAGGGCGAGTACGTGGCCATGGTGCGCGACTTCACCCGCGCCGCGCACTACAACCTCGCCGCGCAGGCCGTGACCGAGTACATGGCCTGCGTCGACTACATCCGGCGCCCGGCGCAGGTCGACGAGATGCTCGCGCTGTCGGACCTGCTCGGCGCCACCAGCGGCAACGGCGCGTACCTGTGGACGGTGCGCCTCATCGCCCTCGGCAGCGCGCCGCTGCAGGGCCAGATCGCGCTCGGCCGCCAGAGCGTGTGGTGCCAGACGTACCTGGATAGCTACGCCGACTCGGGCGCGTGGGAGCTGGCGCGGCGGTACTCGCTGTACTACAGCGTCTACTACCACAAGATCGGCGACTGGACGCAGCAGCTGTACTGGTGCATGGCGGCCGAGGCGTTCGACGCGCGCATCACCAACGACCCGCGCACGAGGATGGCGGGCATGTACCACACGTTTACCATCATGATTCAGCACCTGCAGAACTTGCCGCCGGCCGACGACGAAGACGACGAGGAGGAGCGGGACGCGGTGCAGCAGTTTGGCATCGACGGTTACGAAGCCTGCCTAGAGGCGGGCTTCGAGGACTTGGCGCGCAGCTTCCTGGACAAGCTGGCACACATTGGCATCGTGCCCACGGCGCTCCTCGACGCCTCGCAAGAAGAGAGCGCGTCGTTGGCCGTGGCGCCGCTCGGCGAGCCGAAGAACCTCGACTCGTCGGAGCTGCTCGCGCTGTACCTCGAGCAGCGCGACCTGCTGGACCGGCTGCTGGACCACGACCGCGTCGACCAGGCCTTTGCGCTGCACGACCAGCTCGAGGCCTACATGGCGCCCATCTTCGAGGTGCTCCGCCACGGGACCAACCTCAAGCTGCGCGCGGGCGACTACGCCTTGATCCAAAACGCCATGGACGTGCGGCTCGCCAAGGGCCTGCTGCGGTCCGACACGGCCACCGACGAGCACCGGGCGCGCGCGTTGGCGCTGGCCCGCACGACGGCGGTCCGGTGCGCCGACACCGGCCAGCTCGAGACGCAGCGCCAGGCCCTGCTGGTCGCGGCGCAGTGGGCGTTCAAGAGCAAGGGCCCGAACTGGGGCCGCGACGTCGTCGACCTGCTGCGCGACGCCGACGACTGCATGGACACGTCGCGCAAGCACGTCAGCGCCACGTCCCGCCTCGACGCCCTGGACCAGAAGCAGCACCTCGTCGCCAGCTACGGCCGCAGCGACGTGTACGTCTTTGGCTACATGGTCATGACGTCGCTCAAGGACATGCATCACGGCCTGGCCGTCCTGGACCCGGCCGACCGCATCTCCGCCACGGATATCTGGGCCTGGATGCAGCGCGGCAAGGGCCGCAGCGTGATTGACCTCATCGACGCAGCAGGCGCGGCCGCGGAGCAGCCGGCCGTCGCCGCCGAGGATGCTGCAGCCGACCAACCCCCATCGGGCGCCGCCGCCAGCTTCGACGTCGGCATCGCCCTGCACGACGTGCAGTCCATGGCCAGCGACTACGCGCTGAGCAAGCCCTGCGGCTCGTCCATGATCCTCGTCGATTGGTTCCTGACGAGCTCGCACATTGACATGATCATCGTCGACGCCGCCGGCCAGGTGCACATTGAGATGCTCGACTTTTCGCTGGAGAACGCCATGAAGAGCCTCCTGCGGCAGCCGTTTGTCGTGCGCGGCGCCGCCGACGTCCGCGCCTGGCGCGACACCTACCTCGCGCCGTCCGAGTTCCTCGGCGACCTCCTGACCGGCGCCGCGCTCGCCGAGCTCGACTGGCTGGTGGCGCCGCTCGCCGAGCACAGCAAGCCCGGGGACCTGCTCGTCTTCTGCCCGTCGGGCCCGCTGCACGGCCTGCCGCTGCACGCGCTGTCCGTCGACGGCGCGGTCCTGGTGGAGCGCAACCCGATTGTGTACACGAGCTCGCTGTCGCTGCTGCACAACTGCTACAAGAGCGCCAGCAGCAAGCGGGCGGCGACGGCCGCGGGGTCGGCCGTGTTTGGCGTGTACGGCAAGGCCGGCAGCAGCAGCAGCGGCGTCAAGTCGGGGGAGGAGCAGCGCGTGGAGGAGACGCTGGCGGCCGTCTCGTCGGTGCTCGGCGCCACGGTCGAGTACGACGTCTCGCCCGGCGCGTTTGTGGAGCAGTGCAAGGACCGGCACATCATCCACTACCACGGGCACGCCGTGCTCGGCAAGACCAAGCAGGCGTCGCGGCGCTTCGGGCAGTCCCTCCTCCTCGCTCCCGCCACGTCGTCGTCGTCGGTCCTGCTGCAGTGGGACGACGCCATCGACGACGCCCTGCTGCTCGCTGGCGCCGCCGCCGAGCCGGGCGGCCGCCTCAGCGCGCGCGACATGATTACCCAGCTATCGCTGTCGGCGGCGCACGTCACGCTCATCGCGTGCAACTCGGCCTCGCAGGAGTTCTCCGCCGGCGACGAGCCGCAGGGCCTGATCCCCGTGCTGCTGCTGTGCGGCGCGACGTCGGTGCTCGGCACGCTGTGGCCGATTCGGAGCGCCGACGGGCGCGCCTTTTCTGAGTCGTTTTACGCGCCGTTTGGCCGGCCCGGCGTCGTGGTCAATCTCGCGCGCGCGGTCCAGCAGAGCGTCTTGGCGATGCGGGCGAAGCGGCCGGAGCCGATTCATTGGGCGGGCTTTGTGCTGCACGGGGCGTGGTTTCACAAATGCTGAAAGGTGTGTAGGCGAGGCCATGAATGTAGAGTCTATTTTTTCTTTGTCCTTGTGTAATTAGCCAGCTCTATTGAAGTTTGTTCTATTTAGTTTCACTCTCACTGGCCTATTCAAAGGCTGTAAACCCCGCCAAGTCGACGCCGCGCAGGTCCGGGTTCCCATCCAGCGCCGGGTCCGCTTCGCCAATCGGCAGTGTCGGGTCGACAATCCGGGTTCCCAGACTGCCCTTGAGGGGCCTCAGCAAATACTTGCGCGGGTCCGCACTGAAGCCGACCTTTGTCTTGATGCCAACGTCAATGGAAAACGGGCCGTCGTGGCGGACCAGCAGCACGAGGTGAAAGTGCGCCCAGAGGCCGTCCTGCTCGACGTCGTTTTCCTCGAGCGTCCACTGCACCTGGCAGAGAACGGGGCGACCGGCGGCGACGCCGCGGACGTGGCGGCGCGCGTGGCGCGTGTACGAGACGGCGCGGCGGGCCGATGCCTGCACCGCGCCGCCCGCGCTGAGGCCCGCGCCGAGACGCCGCTCGATGGCCTGCGCCGAGGGCGCGTCGCTCCACCGCTCCGGCGCGTACTTGAGCACGCTGAGCGAGGGGGCGGCTGAGGGGGTCAGCGGACGCAGGCGCGCGAGAATGCTGGCCGACTTGAAGCGGTGGCGGTTGCCGGGCGGCCCGCCGAGCTCGAACCGGAGCACGAGCAGCGCGGCCGAGGCGGTCGCGTAGTGGCCGAAGCGGGACAGGGACAGCGCGCACGTCACGAAGCCTGGGACGGTGCGGGTTAGCGAGCGGCCGTTGGTGGTCGGGTTCAATGACCAAACTGACTCTGCCCAATCTCTTCGCTGGAAATCACCGCGGCGTCGTACTGGAAATCGTCATCACCCAGATATTCGTCATCCTCTTGCAGTGAGATTGTCACAGCCTCGTCGGCTGTAAAGGTGGCGGCTTCCATGTTGTGATTGAGCCTCTGCGGAGCCGGGTTGAGCGACTATTAAATAAGTATTGCGACAGCTCAGCCCAGCGCCACTTCTGTGACTATTGACACACGTGATGGCTGCGCATTGATAGTGGTGGGCGCTTCATCGCCCATTTGTGTAGTGACGGGTTTGTAGTTGTATATTATTTTATCCTGTTTTTCTTTATTAGGCGGCTGTGCAGCAAGAAACTGCCTCACCTTCGCCCAACCCGAACCCTAGGCACTCCCTTGTCTAATACCAGTACACGTTGCCGTCTGAGCCATCCAGTTTCTTATCCTTTTCCAGCTGTACCAACATCTTTTTTACTCTGACGACAATGGCTTTTCCGTATTCCGGACCGGGTGGTGGCATGACGACGCTCAGGTCGTTGCGCAGCCAGACCGGGCGCTGCTTCAGCGTAGCCGCATCGACGGCTTTGCGCATCACGTCGTAGTCATCATCATCGTAGCCGCCGCCCAAAATGACGGCCGTCGCCCCTGTGGCAATGTTTCCCGTGCCGACGCTGCTGGGTACTGTCTCCGGGGCGCTTCCTTCGAGGACCAGCGGCAGGTCCTTGACGCCGGCCTCGGGGGTCTTGACAAAATGCACCACTGCGAGGGTCAGTCTACAGAGGTCGCGGACGGCAGGGGAGGCGCCATCATGTGCTTCAAAATGCAAGGGAAAATATGCATACGCTCGTATTCTGGCTTGAGTCCGGCTGCGACGGCTTCACCGATGGCCTCCCGCCTGCCGCAGACAATGACAGGGATAGCTTTGGTAGCCATCAAAAATGAGGCAAAAAAGGTGCGTGACAAGTGGCTTGCTGCAGTAGTATGACGAGAGTTGAGGGCCGCTCGCGACAAGAAAGCTACGGTGCGACTTTGACAGAGTAAGCTCGAGGCAATCATGGCTTTCCGGATGGAGGGGAACTGCTCCAGTGAATGTATGCGATTCGGAGTTTAAAAGAGGTGGTAACGACTAGTGGCGAACGTGGCGACTGGTCGCTGACTGGCGTCTTGGGGACAGCAGCCTCCGAGGGAGGCAGAAGTACATCAAACGGCTTGTATTGAAGAAATATGAATATGTATATGACGTCCATCTCCGCTACTTGCGAGGAAGTCTAAGATTTGCCTGTATCCGCGCAAGTAATTCCTCGCGCGTATCACTCGACTGGGGAAAGAGGCTGCGCTGCGCTCATGGTTAGCATCCCAGCCTTGGGCCAATGCAACGGGCGACTCACAGCCTCGAGCCATCTCCGCATCTCTTCTCTCGTCCACGTCTCCGGTTCTCCTTTAGGGTCCGGGTCGGCAGGAAACAAGTCGCCGGCGAGCATCCAAGCCGTCGCCGCGGCCACAACGCCTCCAAAGGCTGCGAAAGAGAGTTGGTGTCAGACGCGGCAAACAGGCACTGATAGTACTTACCAAGAACCATGTTCTGCGCAAGTTAGCCTTTCGCTGTCCACAACTGGCTAGGTGAAAGAGCATACCTTTGACTTGAGTGTATTATCTAGTAGAGTTGGCATCTTGATGAATTTCAGGAATGGATGGATTGAGCATGTTCAAGTGAGAAAAGGCCAGCTCAACAAGTCCAGCTCGTCACATGTAACCTACGTAAGTGCGTGCACAGGTCTTGGAGGGGCAGTGTAGGGTGGCGTATTAACAACTAGGGCCAACGTCAACCTACTACACCCACGTCTGATGATCTTTTTCCATTGCAAAAATGAACCCTTATCCAATGGTAGGGTCATAACCTGGCAGCCATAATTGCTCAAAGCCATGTATTTACTCTCTTATTCCTTGTCGGTACCAGCCCAGGATACAGAACTTACCCGTCCTACCGAGTAGAAATATCAACCGCTGTAACCCCATATTCGTAAACATAGAATGAATTAGACAATATCATTATAGTATGTTCCTGTAGCCTGGCAACAAACTTGACGGCCTTCGAATTATAAATCTTCGGCTGTTCGGTCCGCGGCCAATAAACCATGAGCAATCAGGTGTTGTGTGTATTTCTCAGATGCCTCCACCTTCTTCTGCACCACTTCGCGGAACTTTGCAAACGAATTGAAAAAGTCGGTTAGCTTATCGTCCCTCTTGACACCTTCGTAGAACTGTGGGAATACAGCCAGGTAGTATGTAGTCATAAACAAATGGTGTTGGAGCAATGCCGCAGGCAAGAATAGGCGCCAGCTGGGTTCGTGCCCCCATTCTGAAGCGAGTGTGCAACGGGCGGCTGATGTTGCGTCAACAGCTAGAAGTGCTTGATACAATTTCGCGTATTCCGATTGGTAGCATCCGTCTCTAGGGGTTGATACTTCATACCCACTAAGCCACAACGGTGGTGTGAAGAACTGAAGAGGCACGGTGCCGCTCCATTCCCAGTCAATGATACCTGCGATAGAGAGATCCTCGCGAACGATGATATTCGATGGTCGTAGATCCCCGTGTGAAAGTACAAACGGTTCAAAGTTCCAGGATGGGTTAATGAATTGAAATAGTCTCAATTTGAAGTCTTCGAGTGCGAATACTTCGAGCTGAACGTCATCTTCATCCATCCTTTCTGCGGGCATGCTCAATCGTTGAACCAGAGTTTCATAGTGACACATGGCGAAGTCGACGGCGGTTGACTGACGTCTAACATTCTTTCGCATACCCTGTAGCTGGACACTGTTTAAATCCACGGAATTCGGGCATGTTATAGCGAATTCGCCTTTTTCATCTTTGATCAAGGCTCCCGCATATTCAAACTCTTGTGCACGAAGTTGCGATAGGATATCACCTAAATCGGCATAGAATCGTGCCAAGGCATCGGTAGGCGCGTTTGAAAGCTGTTTGGGGTCGAGCGGCCGACCAGAAATATATTCGAGGATAACGAATGGAAGACCGGTGTCGTTGTTTGGATCTAGCTCACCGCCAGAGCCGTACCCATAGACGCGTGGAATACGAATTGTCGTTCTGTCATGAATGTATCTGCAATTGAGTCAGCATCAGGAAGAACACGCAGCGGTGTAGGACTCACTCCATAGTGGCAATCTCGCTTTGCAACTTCCGCCAAGGGTCATGGAGAACAGGACATATCGGAAAGCGCACAACCCACTTTGTGCCATCAGAGGGAAACTCAACGAAGAAGCAAACGTTGAAGCTTCCATGTTCACATTTGCGGAATTCAACGCAATCTTTTCCCTCGTTGCGGCTAGACGCCAGTTTCAAAACATTTTTTACCTCGATTGCTCCGATATACGCCTGTCGCTGCGCGTCTCGTTCCGACTTGGAGGCGCAATACGTAGCCGCTGTGCAAGACGCCTGCCCACCGTCACTATGCAAGGTTGGGTAGGATTTGGGTGCATCGTCAATGAAGCGTCTCTCAATATCTGGAAGAGTTCGAATACGAAGGATTCGACGCCAAAGGCCGCTCAGAAATTGAACAGCTGTTGGCCATTGCGGCAATAGTGAAAACAGATATGAAAATACCATACTGGTAGATTGCCGTGTAGAAAGGGGGAGTACGGAAATAGTGACCTGAATGGCCAGGCGGCCCGACAATTAGCACCGTGCTGCGCTTCACAGTGGTCAGTGATGAGATTTTAGTGGCCTAGGCAGTTGTAAATACAGCGCTGTTCATGACAAGGCTGCGATGCGCTCGTAGTCGACTGCTGATTTCATTCTATAATAGGGGGTCAACGGGAAAACTTTTTGCTGCATCGGCGATTGATTGGGGGTGTTTCTCGTATTGTAACCTACCTAATATGTACCACATTAGCATCTTGAGCGGCTCGTTACGGCGAGGTGGAATTCAGCTTCTCCTTTGTGTATTCAGCGGCTAATTAATATCGTCTTTGACAACGGCTCGTGAGCTTCCTTTGACAACGGCTGATCTTTGACTCCAACTACCACTACCTCACCAGCACTGAGAGAAATGAGAGTAACAAAATCCTCATTCGCACAAGACATCATAAGCGATTCTCGCACATATAATCGGTCGCGCACATGCGCAGAGAAACACAAATACAACCAAAATTCAGTTATTTACACAACAATAGGGTAGGTGTGGCGCAGCCCAGCCACAGCATCTACCTCTCAGCCACAATCGCAAAAACCGAAAAAGTGGCCCGTGCGTAACACCCCGCGAGTGGACAAGTCTGCGCACAAAAAATATTATCTGCAAAATACAGCCAATCTGCTCTGTACACTGTTCAATCGTTAATTTTTGTCGATCCAACACAACACCGCCAAAATGCCTCGCGAAGTCGCCGATATCAAGAAGGTGTGTTTTACGTCCAAACGATCTCTACAGGAATCAATGAGTAACAAAATCTAATCTGTGTCTGCGCGATTAGTTCATCGAGATCTGCCGTCGGAAGGACGCCTCCTGTACGTTTCTACGAACGAACATTGAATGCCGCTTTCGATGCGACGAGACGTTTCGATACCGAGAACGGAAATTTGGCCGAGGACAATTTTACTGACAAAGTTGGAACAGCCGCGCGCATCAAGAAGAACAAGAAGGCCCAGAACATCAAGTTCAAGGTCCGCTGCCAGAAGCATCTGTACACCCTGGTGCTCAAGGATACCGAAAAGGCCGAGAAGCTCAAGCAGTCTCTTCCTCCCAGTATGCGCCCCCAATGCGACACGGTCTCGAGTTTGGACCACCCTCGAAAGCGCTCTTTATGCCGGCAGAGGATGTTGTCCAATCTGAGCACCAATTGTCTCCCCTACGACCTTTGCTAACAGCCATCCAGCCCTCCTGATCACCGACGTCTCCAAGAAGAGCTCCAACTAAGATGCACCGAAAATAACGAAAAGAGTGGACGGAATGGTACTACGGGTATAAAAAAAAAGAAATATCAAATGGGATGCGGGTCGAGGCCGATGTCGAGCCTAGGAAGGGACGAAGGATTCTACATGCACACATTGGGCGTCTCGGGAATACCTTGCATTTTATGTGCATGAATCGCGCGCTTGATAAAGATTTAACTCAAATGAACGATTAAGGACATGTACACACAAGACGATCTGGCTTTCTGGGTGACTGTGGTGTATGGAGAATCTGTCGTGGAACTCGATTGGATGGAAAGAAGACGCCACCTGGGAGCGTGCGTCGCGATATTTTACACTAATTTACAAACGCAGGACACTAACCATGTCGACCTCGCTTCCAAGGTATACCTATCAAGGAGCTATCTCGGAGAGATGAATGTCGTGGTCTATGGGCTTGCCGTACTGCTTGAGCGGCGCCAGTTGATCAGGCGTCACGTCAGCGTTGCGAAAGACGACGAGCTCCTCCTGGCCGTCTTCTTTTTCGATGCGCCAGCCGGCCCAGATTCTGTCTTTCGGAGCTGCAGCGAGCAGCGCCAGCTCGAGCTCGGCGTAGCGCGCCTGCAGCTGCTCCTTTCCCGCGGCATCCTGCGCGGCGAGGCGCGTGACGACGAGCGCCTCCTTGGGGGTAAAGGCCTCGTGGAGGACGTGTCGGCGGCCCGCGGCGTGCATGTGGAAGAAGAGGAAGCCGGGGTTGTTGTCGCAGGGCTGGTGGCAGCCGGCGGTATGGTCCGGGACGGCGCCGGCAGGCAGAAAGGTGGCAAACTTGGCCATGACGCCCTGGTTGGCGGGCGTTTCGATCCACGCGCGGTGGACGGCGGGCGACTGCCAAGGGGCGGTGATGGCGACGCGGTGAGCCGAGGGGGTGGTGGTGGTGTCGGTGTACATGCGGCTAATGGAGGCTCGCTTGGCGCACTCGTTGGGGTGGTTGGCGCGGACCCAGTCGTCCTGGATCTCCTGGCACTCCATGACCGTCTCGAGGAGCTCGATGGGATCATAGGAGTCGCGGAGGGTAAAAAGGGCGAACTCGGTGACAGGCATGATTGATTAGGAAGGGGCGATGAATGTGCAGCGGCTGTGGTGATGGTGATGGCGGCTGTAGAGTTGGAAGTCGGGATAGTCAGTGTGAGGCGAGGATTTATTGCTTGTAACGGCTTGACCTAACTAGCAGCTTACTAGAGGCTGTTCACCGTCTCGGATGCGGGGAAAAAAAGGTGCGGGCTGGAGAGGTGGTGAGGGGCAAAGTGGCCGTGGTTCGCGGACGGCGTTTCTTTTTTCGACGGGGTTGGTTAGCGGGATAGGGCGCTGATGGGCGGGCGGACAGCTCTGGTCGGTGACGTTGTCTGCATCGTGAAGCAATTCGTAACCCGTGACCTGAAGCGAGATAGCTGGCGCTGGATAAGCCAAGAAGCGGATAGGCTGACGAGCAGGCTACTTGGGACAGATGCAATTTATACAGTAAGTATCGGGATACCCGGTGCTACGCGGGCAAGTTATGAATGCGACATGCATTGGCAATCCATCCGGCGAAAAAGAAACGTGAAAAAAAAAAGGATAGGTATAAAGAAGAAATAAGAAGATATGAAAAAAAGCCAATGTCACTTGCATCGTGCCGGCAAATACGGTTGTCTGACGTAGCGAATGCTCTGCAGAGCTCACTTGCCGAAGGGCTGTTTGCGAGTACGAACGAGGCTGCCGGAATCCGGGACGGCCGTGTCTTGGTTCGGAGGGCTATCGGAGGCGGGAAGTGTAATTGGTCACACCTGGGTGGTAACTATTAAAACTGACCCTCGCTTGACTGTTTGAAAATGATAAACACATTTTGCAGATTGTATTCCTTTTTTTCCTGCCATGAATGAGATTGATCCATGTTGCTAGTCGTTGTTTTAGTTACAGTTCATGGTAATGACGCAGCGAGACTGACGAGCGGGCGGCGCCTCGTTTGGCCCCCCCCTTCGCGGTGTGAAACAGTGCCGGCCGGCCCAGCAAGCCGGATACGCAGGCTGCAGGAAGATGGCGTCGCAACGAGGCAAGGTTGTTTGGGAACCTGCATGTTGGTGTGGCAGATGGGATTGGAATTAGGGGGCTTAGAAGGGTTAGGTACGTGAGCTACAGGCGGTTTTAGTGTGAAAGCTGTTGCTAGTGGACAATGAGCCCCTGTATTTGCTCGGTGGCTGCAGGTCAATAGTGGGCTGCTTGGATGATTTCGACGTTGGTGCTGAAAAATCACCAATATCATGACGATGGAGAAAGAAAAAGAAAGGAATCAAACAATGAAGGAAGCGCTGCGGCGGGTGTGCCCTTTTGTTTCGTCCTCTGTGCGACTGAGTTGAGCGGGCTGTTGACGCTGAGCGTATTCGTCAGGTACACGGCCAATTCCGTCCCCCAACTTGTTTCCCTCTTAAAAAGCCCACTGCAACCTTGCTATCGATTTTTCCTCTCTCGATGAATTGTACGGCGCGAGTCCAACAATATCAGGAACGATAACAACCTGCTCCCCTTTAATATCATCTCTCTTTTTATTTTTATTTTTTGGCTCGCATCTCGACATTGATTACCCCGAATTCTACTACCCGAGCGCACTGACTACGGACGCCCCCGCGCCTCGTCCCGCCAAAAACCTTCCAATTGGCGCCTGACCATTACTTACTCGTCCCATCCGCCTTCTTCGACCACCGGCGCTGCCTCCCCTTCTTTGCTCCCCTTTACTGCGCGCCGTCGTTCCCTAATTCCAATTCCTCCCCGCCTCGCTTCGCTTCTTACGGTAGTGACGGGAGTTACTTCTTCTCCTTCTTTTCTTTCACCACTGCTGTCTCTCCTTGCGCTGCCCCTCTGGTCTCGCGAGCGTCATAGACACACACGGTGTGGTACTCCTCCAGCCTGCCTCGACCACACACCACAACCACGACACAATCCCATATGCGACCGGCCTTGATACTTTAACCACCCAGATACCCCTCCAGTTCAACACAATACCATCTCAGCGACCTTCAACGTCTGCGTCCCCCCCCCGAATTGCCTCGCGACTACAACTCGCCCCCTTAGCGAAATGCCCCCAGCCGCGCTTCGCGATCCGCACGTCCCCAATGGACGTAGCACAAATGGTCACTTGCACGTCAATGGTAACGGTGCCGCTAATGGAAGCTCCCATGCCGTCATGTCGCATCGCGTGAGCCCTTCGCGCAAGCAGTCCAGCCCTATGGCCCCTGCTTTCATGGTCTCGGCCCCTGGCAAGGTGCTCTTCTTTGGCGAGCACTCTGTCGTCTACGAAAAGGTAATGCGATCGAAGCCGACGTGTGAATACAGATGCTGACCCTGCTAGCCTGCCATTGCCGCCGCCATTTCTCTACGATCCTACCTCCACGTCACTACCCTCTCCAAGTCGCGACGAACAGTCTCCCTACGATTCCCCGACATAGATCTGCTCCATTCTTGGAACATTGACGAGCTGCCTTGGAACATCTTCCACCGCGCCGACAAGAAGAAGTCATACTACTCCCTCGTCACCAAGCTCGACCCCGAACTCATCGACGCCCTCCAGCCCCACCTCGACATTGTCTCCCTCGACCACCCGGAAGAGACTCGCAAGGTCCATAAGAATACCGCCTCTGCCTTCCTCTACCTTTTCCTATCGCTTGGCATGCCCTCCTTCCATGGTTGCCTCTACACACTCCGCTCCACCATTCCCATTGGCGCCGGTCTCGGAAGCAGTGCCTCCATTTCTGTCTGCATGTCCGCCGCTCTGCTGCTACAGCTACGAACCCTTTCCGGCCCCCATCCCGACCAACCCCATGAGGAGGCTCGCCTGCAGGTCGAGCGCATCAATCGCTGGGCCTTTGTTTCCGAAATGTGCATCCACGGCAACCCCTCTGGTGTCGATAACACTGTTGTCACCCAGGGCAAGGCTGTCGTCTTTCAGCGCACCGGCGACAGCAACCCCCGATCCGTCCGCCCTCTCTGGGACTTTCCTGAGCTGCCTCTCCTCCTCGTCGACACCAGACAACCCAAGTCTACCGCACATGAAGTCGCCAAGGTCGCCAAGCTCAAAGAGGCTCATCCTAAGCTCGTCAATTCTATCCTCGAGGCCATGGATCGTATCACAGTGTCTGCCGGTGAAATTATTAACCACGACGATTTCGACGAGGAGGAGGAAGAGTCTCTACAAAAGGTTGGCGAGCTGATGACTATCAATCACGGCCTCCTGGTTTCGCTTGGCGTCTCTCACCCACGGCTGGAGCGTGTACGAGAGCTGATTGACCATGAAGGTATCGGTTGGACAAAGCTCACGGGTGCTGGCGGCGGCGGGTGCTCCATTACGCTGCTGCGACCTGGAGTCGACAGGGCCAAGATTGCCAGGATGGAGAAGCGCATGGAGGACGAAAACTTTGGCAAGTTTGAAATCACGCTCGGCGGCGACGGTGTCGGCGTGCTGTGGCCTGCCGTCTTGAAAAACGGCACAGACGAAGATGAGGAGGGTGGCATGGAGATTGATCTCGAAAAATTTCTTAGCGCCGAAGGCACCGAGGGCGTCGAAAAGCTGGTCGGCGTGCACGGCGGTGGGACCGAACGAGAAGGTTGGAAGTATTGGCGCATCGAGAGCAAATAAAGCATGTCACGGCGTTTGGGGAACCACGGATAAGCGCGGATTGGCTTGGAATTGATTGTCTGGACTCTTCTTTAGAACCTTTACCTTGCGGTACTTGAATACTCATTTATTTTCTATCTATTTAGTCACTTTTGTATCTTAGTCTCTCTTCTTATCTTCAACTATCCTTTTGATTCTACCAGCCGTGGCACCCCTTATACCAACCAGCCTCGACGTAACTCAACATAGTCCAGACTCGACCCCCCTTCATGCACGACTGCATGGATGAGACGATTGGCCGCAAACAAGACGGCCCACGACAGCCAGCAAAATCGTCGCACTGCGCCTGACGAGCTGTGTTTGCTGCAACACCACCGACTCTGTTTCTGCTCCTGCAGGGCTGCCACTGAAAAGAGAAGAGGGCGGGCTCGTCGGCCGTGGGAAAAGCCGCCACCGGATCGCGACACGAAGAGAAGGGTACCACGAAAGAAAGAGGGGAAGAAGATAGTACGAGGGGGGAGGCGGAACGCACATTGTGCAGGAGCAAGCCCGTACTACCAACACTCGTCTTACCCAAGACCACCCGATAGATAGAGCGCAGCAGCTTGTTCGTCCTCGCCACCATTCTGTGTGCTCTCTTTTCTTCTGCAGCTGTGATTATTTAAAGAGCGTCGCTGGCTCAGCTCATTCCACCTTCCTTTCACTTTCTACTCACATGCACCAGTCTACCTCGCTGTTCTACAACAACTCCGTTTGCGCCTCTACACCCTTCTCTCTCCCCCAACACCAGTTTTTTTCCTCTACACAGTTCCAAATACATCTTCCTTTTACCCCTCGCCATCATGAGCCGGCAGGAACAGCAGCAGCAGCAGCTCCCGTTTGGCTACCTCTCCCAAATGGAATCCTACCTGTCCGCCGTCACGGCACAACCACCACCGGCGGCGCCGCCTCCGCCAACCAACACCAACGCGATGACGAGCAGCGCCGGGCTGCCCGACTGCTTCCGCACGCTGCGCTGCGACGGGTGCGAGATGCTCTTCGCCGAGGCGGCGGCCGACGAGCCGCGCTGGACGTTTCCGTGCGGCCACGTGTACTGCGCCGAGTGCATGCGGCGCGCGCGCGCGACGGCGGCGCGCACCAACGTCCACGTGCTCTGCCGCCGCTGCGCCAACATCATTGTCCGCAAGCTCGACAATGCCCCCTGCGCGCATCCGATCCCCATTGTCTCGTTTGACGCCCGCCGCCCGGGCCCGCCGCCGTTTCCGGAGCGCTACAGGCTGGCGCTCGGTCAGCGCACGGGGCCCAAGTGCCAGCTGTGCTGGCTCGTGGCGCGCCTGCAGAGCCTGTCGTACCGCGCCGCGCAGAGATGGCAGGTCCGCGACTGGGGGTTCCCTGGGGAGCTGTTTGCGTGTGTACAGGTGGACCGCGGAAGGATCGTGCATGGTATGCGCAATGAGCTGCCAGAGGTCTCCGTCGACGTCGATAGCGACGTCGAGCTGCATCGGGCGCCCATCAGGCAGGAGCTCGGCATGCTGGCGTCGGATATCTGCGGCGGGCTGGGACAGGTCCCGATGGAGCCGAATTTCGACCCGAGGGGGGATATTGTCGTGCAGTACAGACTGCGTGGGTTTGCTAGGTGGGTGCGGGAGAATGGCGTGGAGACGGGCAACATGCCGGTCGGGTTGCGGGCTATCGTGTACGGGGAATGGTCGTGAGGGAGTGCCTCTGACAGTTTGGCAGGAAAAGGGCATTGGCTGCTGCTGGAAGATGTATATAGTTGCAACGGACGACTGCCGCTGGAAGAGTTACACAGTCTGGATGGGAGTGGCAAAGGTAAAAGACTTGGAGAGCAACATGGTGGACATTGCTTCAATGTATATAAACTCGACATTTTGACGGGCCAGGTCAGCTAAAGAGCAGCATGTGATGGGCCTAAAGGTCGAGGACAATATGAATGTTATTTTTGCTACACGGCTTCCCATGTTCAAACTAGTTGCTGGGCTCTGTGCTTCCAGTATCCCTCCCGGATCGGATCCCACTTCTCCCCCAGCCGCTGCAGGCACACCTTTGCCTTGTCCGTCTCCCCAGTCTCGGCGTACACGTCGGCCAAGTAGTCGAGCGCGTGGGAGCTCTGGACGCGCTCGGCGTCGGTGCCCAGCCCCGCGACGAGACCCTCAGCCAGCGCGCGCTCGCTCGCCAGCGCGCGCCCGCCCTTGGCCAGCACGGCGCGGAGGTAGTTCCACGGCGCCTGGTTCTGCGGCGCGGCGTGCATCTTGTCCTTGACGTACGCCAGCTCGCGCGCAATCACCGCCGCGGGCACCAGCGGGTCGTGCTGCGCCGGCCCGCACCCCGCCGTCGACGCGGCCGGGTCCTGGAAGACGAGGAAGAAGCGGTGCGACCACGCCGAGTTGTTGCGCACGTCGTCGTCAATCAGCCGCTCCGTCGAGGCGAGCTCCTCGGCGTCGGCCCACAGCCCCAGCCGCCGCACCATGTTCTGCCGGTACGACCAGACGTGGTAGTTTTTGGAGTCTTGGGCGAGCATGGTGGCGACAAACGCGGCTTCGGAGCGGCCGAGGGCGGCGGTGGCGACAGTGGTGGTGGCCAGGAGCTCTTCGAGGAGCAGCTGCCGGTGGTGCCAGATTTGGTAGTTTTTCAGGTTCTCGAGGGCGACCTCGTTCAGCCAGGCGATCTCGTCGGGGATGGACAGCCGCAGGGCTTGCACGATGCGGAAGCGGTACAGCCATACCGTGTAGTGCGCCGGGTTGAGCGCGATGACGAGCGCGGTGAGGCGCAGCGTGCGTGGCGAGTACTCCTTGTCGGCCATGACGGCGCGGAGGTAGGCGACGGCTGGGCAAGGTTAGTATCCTGGTTGGAGGACAGAAAGGGGGGGGTGGAAGAGGAGGGGACGCGAACCTTCTGCGTAGTCGTCGGGGTATGCGATGCGGGCGAGCGCGTTGTCGGGTTCTTCATGTAGAATGGGCGCGACATCGTCCCATTCGGGGTCGCCGGCGAGCGCCCCTATAATCTCGCCATACAGCTCTCTGTTGAGCGCCGCCATTTCATTCCTCCTCGTCTTTTCCTCCTCGATGTCTTTCGTCGTCAGCAGCTCGGCAGCACTATGCTGCTGCGCCGCCAAGTCGCGCTTTGTGCGGAACCGCTGCGAGAGCAGCCGGAGGGCGGTGAGGCGGGCCTGCTTCGCGGTGCGGGCGGCGTGCTCGGCGAGCGCGTACGTGCCGACGTCGCGACCGGCCTTGTCGGGGCCCCAGACGTAGGCCTCGTCGGCGCGGCGGATCGGCAGGGCCTCCTTGTTGACGGCCTTCCAGAACTCGCGCTCGGCCTTGTTGCCGAGCGGGACGCGCTGCTGGGCGACGGGCGCGACGAGCTGGGCGTGCACAAACGTGCGCTTCTCGGCCGCGGTCAGCGAGGACAGCCCGGCGGACCGGACGCGTGCGGCGAGGGGGTTGCTGGCGTGGAAGCGCTGCTGGGTGCGCTCGGCGACGGTGGTCGGGCGGCCGGCGGTGGTGGTGGTCGTTTGCTGCTGCGGCGGCGGTTCTGTGGTTTGTTAGTTACTGGAGGGAGAGAAAGGAGGAAAAGGGTAAAAGGAACCTTGAGGATTGTTGGTTGGCTTAGCTGTGCCCTTGGGCTTGGGGGGCATGACGGCGTGGGCTGGAAGCGAATGGCGGGGTGAGAGCTTGCTTTGTAGCAAAATCGGGCGTCGAAAGGGCGTTGGCGATGTTTGCTACCCCGCCGATTTTTTTGGTGGGCCGCGGCGTGTAAGCCACGAAAGAACAATACTAACAGGAGCATCAATGCTGTTTAAAGTTTGGTGCTAATTTTCTTGCTAGGATTATTTTGGACTATTGGAATCATCCGCTGCTCTAGTTTATCCGAGTGGGGTGCCGTCTGCAAGCTAGATAGATAGATTGTCGGGTCGTGCGCCAGTGTTGCTGGATGGCTTCATTTACGAGGCGTGGTGCGGCTAACGATCGACCATGCTAAATTTCTGTAGTTTTATCTTTACTGTATACATGATTACAGGAGTCCCCTCGGATACGATTTTGGTCTGCGCCTGCAGAATTGATGACTTGAAGTTGCATGTTTTCCGATCATGGCGCCGCGAAACGTGTTGATACTGCAATAATTTGTCGAGAATAGAAGAGCATTCACAATTTTGTAGCTTAAAAATGAATATAGCAAAAGTGCATAGATATCATACTTTATTCTCCTTCTATCGAAGTTTTGGTAGCCCTTTGTCGGCAGGCGCATGTGCAGGAGCTTACAAGCTGAGTTTTGACGCTGGGAATGTATTGTCATATACACACAACACACTCGGGCGTCTTCTAGCATGGCAGACATGGTCTCAAACATATATGTAGGCAGAAGATATAGGCGAAAATGCCTGCCCTTCGATACTTCCCTACCGACCTATGAAACATTGCTCATGGGCTCAGGGACAATATTACCATCACGAAGCCGAAACAACCCATCCGTATACCCCTCCCAACATACGGTACATCTTGTCAACTCGGACCCCTTTATGGAGTATACCAGCACAAACTCATCAATCGTGCACCACTTCATCTCGACCTCGTCCATGCTGGCGGCCCCGTCGTGCCAGTGCTCGACCGACAGCAGCCGCCTCGGGTGGCCGCTCTGCGGCAGGATCCACGCCTCGCCAAACTCCAAACCGGGGCAGTACCGACGAATCGCACCGACCGTCTCCTCGTCGTCGGACAGCAGCGCGGCCCTCCAGACGCCCTGGACGCGAATCTCCCGCACCAGCGCCACCAGCTGCAGGCAGACGTGGCGCAGCAGCCTCGCGTTGGCGGGCCCAATGTGCCGGAAGAAGGGCTCGATGCTGGGGCAGCGCGGGTGCCGGTGCGGCGCGTACGTGATGCGGAAGCGGTTCCTGGCGTACAGCGCGGCGGCCGCCTCGGCGTTGGTCGCCCGGTTCACCCCGAGCACGGACGGGTGCAGCCCCAGCGCGCCGTTGTTGGAGACGACGGCGAAGAAGTCGGCCTGCTCCGAGCCGGCCAGTTCCAAGAAGATGTGGTCCCTGCAGACGAGCAGCTCATTGTATATCTGCTGCCGGATCTCGAAAGGGACGGGCAAGAGTTCCATTTGGTAAGGATTGGGGAGGGTGTTGGATATGGCGTTTTGGGGACCCAGACTGGCAATTCGTCATGCGTTGGCCGTGCTCGATCCCATCGACGACGATTCTCTTTTATTGGAATTGCAATGTGCGTGTGGAACCGTGAATGAGTTCCGCTGCACCATGGCGGCTCGGCACGACCAACGCCTCGCCGCCCGTGATACTCTCTGCGCTGGTCTGTACCATGAGCGAATTACAACGACTCTAATCGACCAGTCACAGGATAGCACATTGGACGATTAGACGCGGGTCTGGTAGCGCAAAACGCATGCACAATATGAGGCGCAGGAGGCGAATCGGGCGTGACACGGTCGCGTGAGAGCAAGACGAGTCGGGATGCGGACTTGGGATGTTGCATTTCGAGTCCAGATATTGGCTCCCACCCGTGTCAACGTAGTGCGCTTCTGCTCGAGCACTGTGTCTATACTTGGTCAACGCCACAGCCGCGTTTCGAAAGAGAAGACGTGCTCCTGACGGAGTGATCGGCGTAGACGTGGGTTGAAGCTTGTCGTACCTGCCCCAACCAGCGCTCCATGAACAGCGCGCCTTTGTAGGCAAATCCGAGTTAGCGGTGGCTATACGATGGAATTGTTCGTAGCCCATGATGACGTGGCGACATCCGAGAAAGAGTACGACTGACGACGCAAACGCCGACGTGCTTGGCCACGAGCTGTAGACTCGGCACAGTAGCCTGGGCGCCTCAAATTCTACCCAGGCGGGCAGGAGCAGATTCATTCTTTTGAAGTTAGTCCAGGACGCGCAAGCCGTGGTGGCACAAATCGTGGTCCGTTTGCTTCATCTCCTCTCACCACGGAGCGACCGAGCAAGCAGCGCCGTACGTTGGGCCCCGGCTTGAGTCGCGAGGCCAATCGGGCAACGGGCATGCAGAAAATGTTCGGCCACAGCACGACAATTCTCCGATTATATTGGAGGCCATGGTTGGTGACAAGGGGGGCTGGGTGGAAAGGAGAGGTTGAAGCCGCCAAGACTGCACACACTCGATCGATGATGGGCTCGCAACACCGTTTGTAATTGGCCGAGATCGAGTCCTCCTCAGATGACATCGTCGGGCATATTATTGGCGCCCTCGAGTCGTGCCGTGCGCGAATTCCCGGCTGCGAGGTGGGATAATGCCAAGAGGTGGCTTCTCCGCAGTGGATGATGGATTAGTTACTGCCAAGACGGACTTGATCGCTGCCAAGCTTCAGTATTAGTAAATCGGTGCTAATGGTGGGAAGACGAAATAGATTTGATCAAATAATATAGCCCAAAATACAGCGAATGAAGCCTGGCAACCTGATATTAACCTGGTAAATGTGACCCAACCCATGCAAATCCAACTTGTCCCTCTCTTTCCGCGGCCGACTCAGTCTATTTTTACTCCCATGACATTACTTTTTGATACTAGTCGGACGCGTCGGCCGTCTTTGTATTCGCCCTGTAGCTGGTGCTCTCCGCAATGGGCTCGTCGCAGTCGCAGTTGTCGCACATCTGCTTGTCCTTGAAGAACCAGTAGCGCGCCATGAGGGGGATGACGACGGCGCACCACACAGCCGTTGCCACGACCATGCCGACACCAAAGTTGTAACCCTTTGTCCGTCGGAAATTGGGCGCATCGGCCGTCGGGAATACCACCTGCTGCGCGGGCGCTTCAATGGCGCTGCAATGTGTTAGTGGGCGTTGGATGGTGCGGCACGGGAAGGGGGGACTTACTAGCCGACGGAGATCATCATGGCCGTGATGAAGGAGCGCAGCTGCTTGTTGCCGCCGCAGCTGCAGTTGATCCAGCCACCCAAGAGCGGAGAGAGACCGCCGTAGGCGCCGCCGATGAAGTAGGCCGTCATGCGCAGACCGTTGTTCTCGGTGCCGATGAGGAAGACGAGGTAGGAGAAGAGCATGAACATACAGAGCACGAAGAAGGGCAGCGCTCGGTTGTTGAGCGAATCGGCAGCGACGGCGCTGGTGAAGATGAAGACGAGTTGCTAGCCACGGGTGTCAGCACTGGGTTGCAAGAGATTGGCGGGCTGGGAAAACGTACCATGGCGCCGATGCCAGTCGGGATGGCCTGGACCTGTGTCTGTCCCCAGCCTTCCTTCTTCAGCCATAGGCCCATCCATCGCATCAGGTTGTTGCCGCAAGTCAGCTCGACGAATCTGGGGAGTGGTCAGCACTCTGTATAGGGAGAAACGGTTGCAGTACGTACCCCCAACCGATGATGAAGCCGTAAAACTGCCAGGACCGAGCAATTTGGCGGATGACATCCCATGTCCAGACACTGGTAGCATCACGTCCATCTCTCTTCATTCTGTCGACGGAGAGTTGCTTCTCCTCTTCCGTCATCCACCAGATCCTCTTTCCTCTGGGCTCGTCTATAACTAGTGAGCACAAGCGTCATTTGGAACAGTGCAGAGTGTACTTACGAGGGCAGACGAAGAATCCGAAAATGGCAACGGGAACTCCCAGAAGAAAGTCGAAGATGAACAGCCAGCGCCAGGCGGCTAGGCCTGCCACACCATCCATGTGCTTGTGGCTAGGGAACATTGTTAGCGACGGTATTGGGTAGTATTTATCCGAGTCAATGTGTTCTAACAGTCCAGCTTGAATGTAGCCCGAGCACATGGATCCGAAAACGGAAGAAAAGAGGAATATTCCGGTACGTCGGCTGATTTCGGATTTGGTGTACCAGCTACCGATCTGTCTTGGACTTAGTTCTGAACCTTCACATCTCATTCAAGGGGTACATACCACGTATAAACAGCCAGGGTAAGCACCGGCTTCAAACAGGCCGCAGCAGAACCTAGTCGCAGGTCAGAGAATGAGCAGGCAGTCAAGAGCGCGGCCATACCTGAGAGCAAAGAGAGTAGAAGCGTTTTCGGATTTGTACATGAACAGTACAAAGAAGGACCAGGCAATGGTGCAGAAGGGCAACCAGTATCTCGGCTGCACTACTGTGAGCATGCACGTCGAAATGGGCGCGCCGATGATGACGCCGACGCTGAAGTAGGTCGTGAACCAGTTGAGATCGTTGGCCTCTGGTGAGACTTGTTAGCATCGTGTCGGCAAATGAGTTTGGAGAGACAGCATACTGAGGTGGAGATCTTTTTGCATGCCACTGAGCCAGGCGTTTGTGACATTGGTTTGATCCTGCAAGAGTAAGCAGCGCAACTCGCCGACATGTTGGAATCACTTACCAAGTATTTGACAAAGAACGTCTGCATACATGATTAGTTGGAAGCCGGACAATGAAGAGACGGAGTTTTGACGTACAAGGCAGGCGTAGAGCAAAATGTAAAAGTCGAGTTTCCGTAGTAGCTTTCGCTCTGCCTTGCTGGCACCGGCATCATACCAGTGAAACCAGCGTGTCGCCATTGGGCGCTCAGCCGGCTTCGAAGTCAGACCTGCGGATGCTTCCATGATGAAGAAGAGCCTGTCGTCTGGTAGTCTCGGTAGATTAGATTAGATTCTGAGTTCCAACAGAGAAGACCAGGAAAACACGGGTGAGATGGCACGTTCGGAAACGTTTGTTTTATGCAACGGCCACGCACCTTGATGGCCGCAGCAGAACCGGAAATAAAACCGAAGCAGCCATCTCGGAAGGACTGTGCCGGCTTGTTCCCCGCCCAGACACGGGTTTATACGCCATATTTGGCTCTTCCTCGAATCAGGCTGAGCAACGGGGACCCAATCATACATGCTCAAACGCTCGCAAAGTAATATTGGCTGCGGTCGCCGCATCCTGCATGTCCTGCAATGGGACCCTGAGGGTTGAAGCGCAGCAATAAGAGACCCGCGATGGCGTGGGAAAAGAGTTTTCTTCCCCATGCCTGCTGACAAGCTGGCGGTCGCTTTCTCTTTGTGGAATATTGACGAGCCTGCAGAAGCTGCCAGAGGAGCACGACAACCCTTGTTGACAGGGCGGATCTCGCCGAACATGTTCTTGACTCGAGCGCTGATCTCGGCCAACTTGTGCCGCCACGGACGGGACCGTTTTGTGGCCTGGACAAATTTCGTTTCCAACTAACGAAATTAAAGTGTAGTTGGGAATGCACGCATGAAAAAGCTGCAGCCACCAAAACTCAATCGGTTCGTCTCTGCTCAGTTTCCACGTGTTGTTGTGTTGAAGGAGTTGATGATGGCGACCGGCCGGAGCCGGAGCAAGCTTATTGGTGTATGGGTTCAATGCGGGGAGGCGGAGGCATCTTTTTTTTTTTTTTTTCTTCAGGAAGCCCGGAAGCGAGCACGACAACTCATGCATATTAAAACTTTTATTCTGGTCTCTGGCAATGGATGGACTGCCTTTATTAGTTCGCTCCCATCCATCGCATGTACTTGCTCTGTTGGCTTGTGTTACACAGAGGCTCTGCACAAAGACAAGTCGGTGTCTACTTCGTCTCAAGAAACGGTTGGTAGGACAGAAATCTTGCAAGTGAATTGTGGACTACTCAATATATTGAAAACCACCCACCCTCCATCCACAGCGCAGCCTCGACCTGGCACCCCTACCACTATAACAAACCGCCCCCCTGTCAGCGAATGCCAGCTTGACAGACAGCAACAACCCCCCTACAACTTCGAACAAAAGAACGTCTATATCTGACGATGCACATCGCGCACCAGAGCCGCCTTGAGCAACGTTGCGTCGCGCGGCGCAAAGTACAATCCCGTCGGCCGCGGCGCCATGGCTTGGTGGCCGGCACTCTCGCATCCCGAGATGGCGTCCGCATCGACGCCCTCGTCGGCCGAAATCTCAAACGACGCAATCAGCCGGGTAAAGAGCGTGTACACGACGTGGTTTGCCAGCGTGTACCCCGCACACATCCGATAGCCCAGCCCGTAGCTGAAGATGGGCTGATCGGGGTCCTCCAGCCAGCGCTCGGGCCGAAACGTGTTAGGATCGCGGAATATTTTAGCATCTGGAATTTTAAGTCTGTCAGCCCCTCCTCCTCGCGGGTCACGTCGTACTGAATGTGACTTGATCATTACCTCTGTTGCATGCAAATGTGTTGAGGATGACGGTGCTTCCTTCGGGAATAACCTTGTCTTGGTATACAATGGGCTGGACCGCTAGCCTAGGCAGGGCCAATCGCGACGGTGTGTAGAACCTGTCCTTGTTATTAGATTGGATGCTCTGATCAAGGCGGGCCAATTTGCAATCAATAAGGCGAAACATACCGGAGAATCTCGCGCACCAGTGCGCTGATATAGGGTATGTCCTCCGTGTCCCGCAGCCCATCCGCAAAAACCTGCCCAACATCCGGGTACGCCTTCTGGATGTGGCGCAGCGCCGTCTGCTGAATATCCGGCCGCGTCGCCAGAAGCACGAGGCCCCAGTAGATGGTGTTGCTCTCCGTCGCCAGCCCGCCCGACAAGAACGTGAGGAGCACCGTCGACAGCTCCGTCAGCGGCAGCGGGTGCGCCGCGGCCTCGTTCTTGGCCCACAGGCACGGCTCGTTGGTGCCGCTGCGCATCTTGCTCTTGACCTCGTCGTTGAGCTGCTGCACGTAGGCGTCGCGCCGCGCGCACAGCCGCGCGGCGCCCCTCCGGTACCGGTTCAGCGGCCAGACGCGCAGCACGGGCAGAAAGTCCTGCAAATTGTCCGTCATGCTGCGCAGCTTCAGGATCTCGTGCTCCACCTCGATGATCTCCTGCGTCAGCGGATCGCCAGAGAACATGCGCCGGCCGTAGCAGATGGACATGGACAGGCTCAGCGCCAGCCGCTTGATCAGCTTGGACACCTGCAGCGCCGTCCGGCCCTCGCTGCCGTAGCTCAGCACCTCGTGTATAAAGTGTCGCGTTTCGAGGTCGATCTTGTCCAGGTTGGCCTTGACGGCCGGCTTGCTGAGCTCAGCGGCTGTGGCTTTGCGGCCGCGCTTCAACGCGTCTCCGTACACGGCCGTGCCGATGGTGGGCCCGAGTGTGCCGGCGATGAACTATTCTGCCATGTTAGTTGCGATTCTCTTTTCATCACATGATGCATGCACAATCAAATACTCAAAACAGGTTTTAACAATTGGGATAAAAAATTAGGCTCAAGTTTACCTCGTGGAATGTATGAAAGATGGGACGCGAGGAGAGGGCGGCAGCGCTACCGGTGAAGATCTCCTTGGCCGAAGCGGCCGTGTTGACAACAATGACGGGCATGTTTCCAAACTTGACCTGAATCACGTCACCAAACTGCTTGGACCAGATGAAGAATTGTCTTTCTGCATGACAGCGGTACAGGGATGGCAAGTGGCCGACAATGGGCCATGGTCGTGGACCTGGAAAGTTGGTCGTTGTCGACGACTTGAGCACCAGTGCCAAGTAGATGGCCACGCACGCAGCCAATGGTCGAAGCAAGCTCAACACAGACAATTCCGGCCATGACAACTGGTAGAATCGATGAGGCAGTTGAACAAGGAGTTCCGGCAAGGGCTGAAAGACTTCCAAGATGTCCATGGCGTCAACAGGAACTCGGGGCAAGTTACTGATTCTGAACTGACAGCTCACGCACAGAAACGAAGACAGCAATCAGGGCGTTGGGTTTTCAAGTGGGAGACGATTACGTATCGGTTCTTGTTTGTCCTTGTTTTATATCATTCCCGCTTTTTATGGACATGGGCGCAAGAAAGAAAAAAAAAAGAGAAACGGAAAGGACCCATGTCGGGAGTGACGAGCAGCCATTCGCATGCGGGCGCTGGGCCAAAACAAGCACAAACAAAGGCTCCAATTATTACTTTTCTGCGAAGAGAAACAGAAAAAAACTCAACGCGTTCCAAGTAACGTATAACTGCGTACGAAGTACAACGTTTGAACAACCCTGACCTGGGACGGACTCAACTCGTTGCCGCTTTTACAGACCCCCCTCCCCCGGCGACTCTATGCAATCTCAGCAAGATGTCTATGTAGATCGTTTAGACAAGGGGCGTGCGATCGTTGAGGGGGGCGTGTAATGGACAACCACGCCGGCGGCAAGTCTAGCTGGGGTCAAGCTTTGGTGCGAGACAAAGGCGGGTTTGTGGTTTGTGGCTGGCTGGACGGGCAAAAGGTCGCGATGGTCCGTGATTCTCCGGACGGACGGGGCGAACTAACTATCGTGAGCCGTGGTCCGACAGTCGGCGTCGGGTCTGCCAAGGTCGTTGCGACGGTCTGAGAACTGGCGGTCGAGAACTGGCGTTGGGTCGCGCAGGTTGTCAATTTCGAGATCCCAGAACATTCATCATGGGCGTGTGCGCAAATTTTCCAACAGCCGCTACGGACTAGTTGACAAACTAGTCTGTTAGCTGTTAGCTGATGTCTGTCTAGCTCGTTGCCGGTCCGTCCCGTTGGGGATACTCTCCGACATCAGCCCCTTGGGTGACGTGGTAGATTGGACAAAAATTCATAACTTGTGTATTCGGAAATGTACGGTAAACTAGAACATTTGCCCCAAAAAGCCAAGACAAAAGTTGCATGGCTCTTCGTGTACTTGCACAACTTCGTCTGCCCCATCCTGAGGCTGAGAATAGAATGTCACCTGCACAACTCGTGTGCCCCGACCTCACTCGGAGAATCGAGAATGAGATATGTCATCCTTGGAGTGTCAGCCTTCGCGACGAAACAGTAGCAATCTTGCTCAGCACCGGCATATTCGGTGACGAGAAGTTTCCCGGCTCCGGCAGCCCCGTCAGCTCAACGCCGTCCTGGAAGAGCAGGACATAACTCGAGCCTCCAAAATGAAACGAGCCAATCTCATCGCCCTTTTTGACATGCTGTCCTACCGTCGCCGTAATCTCACACGTGCTAATCTCAACCATGCCGACCGCGACAAACGCAACCAGGCCCAGGTCGCGGTTGTCCGCCTCGATGACGATGACGGCCCTGGTCGCCATCTCGCTCAGGTAGCGCATCGCGTGCCCGAACCCCTGCGGCTTGCGCGGAAACGTCACGCCCGGCTGGTCGAGGCCGAAGAAGCGCGGGAGGCTGTAGTAGGTGCCGTCGACGACGCGGGCGCTGCGGATGGTGCCGGCAACCGGCGCGTGCCAGCGGTGGTACGAGTGCAGGCTTAGAAAGGCCTGGTACACGGTGGCGTTGTCAAAGGCGGCGGCGGCGACGGCGTCGTGGCCGAGCATGTCGAGCACCGAGTACGGCTGCGCCTTGACGAAGAAGGTGTCGCGGAGCCGCGCCCGGAGCCCGACGGTGTGCGGGACGGACTCGCAGGCGTTGACGATGACGCCGTCGTCGTGGGGTTCGGCGACGGGGCGCACATGCGGCCGGAAGCGACGAGTGAAGAAGTCTGGGTACCGGGGTTAGAGAATGGAAAGGGGATTTGTTCGTTTAAATTCGACTTGCCGTCCCAAGAGCGGAAACCGTAGTACTCGTCTTCCGCATCGCACTCGAACAAGTCTGCGAAGCTGGCCTTTGTTCCGGGCTCCAGATTGGCCACGCTTTCCAGCTCAGCCAGGGAGTCTTTGCCCAGCCAGCCGGTTGAGCCGTTCTTGACGTATACCAACGAGTCGCGGCTCTGAAAAAAACGAACAAAAAATGTTAGCAACGGCTTGTCTGTCACCCACACGGGGCTGGAAAACGTACCCCGAGAAAGGCGGCCCATTCATTCAAGATGCCTTTGAGCAGGACGTTGACCTCTGGGTCAAGAAAAGCAGCGTAGCCACTATCCATAAAACACTTATCAGCGAGTCCTCGAGAACAAAAAAGATGACGTACCTCGCGGTACTGGCGGGATCTGTCAGTATCATAGCCATGGGCGGGAGGGGCACGCCCAGCCCGGGAGACGGCGCCGTTGTGACAATGTGGCTCAGCAGTCGCAGCATGTGGTTATAATCGCGAAGCACAGTCTGGTTATCGCCATACCGAACGTCTTCAGGGATCTGGGTAAACATTTCGGTAAAGTACATGTACAGGTGCGACTTGGTCTCGATGGCGTCCTTGAGGCGCTGCGTCGCGGGCGACAGCGGCTGCTCGGGCCGGGCGTCGACCTCTGCGACCAGCTGCCGAACATATGCCTTGTGTCTGTCGTGGTCAAGATAGGGCCAGATCCTGCTCCCTGTTAGCGTTTGGAGCCCTTCCATCGTCTACACCGACGTCGGCTGGGGCTTGTTTGCATACTGCGGATCGGCAGCGGCCGTCTCGTCGGAAGAGTCGAGCCTGGTAGACGGGACCGCCTCGCGACTTCTATCGAGCGACACAAAGTTCCAGGTTGTGAAGAGCACGTATAGTATCATAATGGCCCATAGTAGAGCTCGCCCTTTTTTTGCGCGGTCCATGGGAGTCCGTGGTGTGGTGACGATTGAAGATGCGCTTGTGGGGTTGTTGCAAACAGCGTTGTGAAGTGCTGCAGTGCTGCGGAGAGGCTTACTGCCTTGTAGCTTGTCAAGGTAGAAGTGTGTAAATGTGCAAGAAGAAGAGTATTGCATTATTTTCTAGATTTTGAGCAAGACATACATGTCGCACGTGTAGGCGGAACACGAGCGGCCCGGCTCTGGCACCTTGCAGTTCCGCCCAGGGCATCGATCAGCCCTGCAGCCACTGCTATGGTGGCTGGCTGTTGAGATCGTACGATTGAGGGAAAATATCGATAATAGTCAAGGCTGCATATAATTACTATTTTACACCAGAAAACACCATGTACTATTATGCAAACATAGTTTGTGAAGTCATCTCAGACTCCCGCGATCGTCCAACCTTTTATTATACAGTCTGATCAAGTCTCTTTGTCAAGAGCCCATCAATCGAAGCGTACGCGCCTCCCTCATTTTCCGCCTTGTTTTCTTTCTTGCCTTCTTTATTGTCCATCTTGTCGTCGTTCTTGTCCTCTTCCTCCAAGACGGAGAGGGCGGCCGTCATGGGCACTCTCTCCGGTGCTGGGGCTGACAAGAACCGGACGGCGCGCACTTTGTGTACACCGCGGAATGTCTGTTCAACAATACATTGTTAGCAACAGCCTCAATTTATGTAAAGGGAAGAGACGCACCCTCATCTGCTTCACGATGCGATCCATGACTTGCACAATGGCCTGGTCCTCGGCTGCGTCGCTCTTGTTGAGCTGCGGTCGGAAGCAGTGCTTCTTCATGAGGGCAAACACGCTCCTCATGTTTTTGGAAATGTGCATCCGGATCTCGTCGTCGGAGTGATACGACGGGATGCCGATGAAGGCGTCCATGGAGAGGAAGATGAGCGTCTGGCTGCCCGACAGGCCGCCGTACTCGACCGGGCCGTGCTCCGTCTCTGCCGTCAGCCCCCAGCTGTGGATGCCGGATACGTGCCGGACCCAGAGGGCGCGCGAGACGTTGGACTCGTTCATGTTGTCGTAGAGATGGAGAATGACCTTTCGGGCCTGCTGGAACACGGCCTCGGTGTAGGCCAGAGCGGCCTTTTTGTCGCCTTGCTCGTAGCTCATCATGGCGCGTATGATGCTGCAGTACATTGGCGTAGCCTGTACAATGGAGACGAAAAAAGAGTAAGAAGACGTTTCCTCCAGTCGATCCTTGCAGATGCAGCGCGTGGACTCACCAGACTCTCGGAATCGGAAAAGATCTTGCACCAGGCCAGCTCCGTTTGCTGAACCTCTTCCGACAGGCCTTCGTTGACGCGATAGGTCAGCTTGCCCTGGGCGTCAAAGTTGTAGATGATGTTGGCCATGATGTTTCCGCTGGGCGAGGTAATGTCTAGATGTTTCTGGATATACGACCATGCCAGGTCCAGCTCGGGCGGGAAAGCTAGCTGCTTCTCGTTTTGCGCGACGCGGACGACGGGGTTGGTTGCCCATCTGCGGCACGATTTGCGGTTAGACTTGGGACGAAGCTGGTTATTTAAAAAAAAAATGAAGTAAAACATCTCCACGTACCTGTAGGCGTGCCGAAGACAAGCTACGCAGGAATAAAAGCCATTGAAAGAGTCGCGGCCAAGCTCGTTCCAGTGACCATCCAGAACCAACTGCAGACACTTGGCTGTGGCGTTGCTGTCCACGTTGCGTTCCAGGCTCGCACGCATGCGCGCACGAAACTCGGCACACCTCTTAACATTGAAGGCATCATCGAGAGACGGTTCTGCCGTGGCCAGCAGCGGCGCAAGTTCGGCATAGACCGTTTTGTAGGCGCGCAAAGCCGCGGGCCAGTTGTCATGGCGGGCCACCGGCGGCCAGCTTCCCGCACCGTCGTCGCGAACCAGCTCCAGAAACTGGGTTCGCAGCTCATGGTGATCTTTGCATTGCTTCAAGTCTTCAATGCCTGTTTCTGGGACTTTGTTGGCGTGCATGGGCGGGCAGGACCGCGCTCGCCGCCAGGCGTAGACGAGCGCGGCGGCGGCGAGGAGCAGCGCGAGCGTCGCGAGATGGAGCATTGTGGTTACCAAGACTAAATACGGCCAAGGGAATGAGCTCGCAGGAGAGAGAACCGGCGAGAAGCTTTGACAAAACTTGGAGAGCTTGAAGCAAGGGGAACTCATAGCTCGGGCGTCCGTCTCAGTGACCGTGAAAAAGGCCGCTCAACCAACCGCACACAAAACACAAAGGGATGGAGCCCGACCGGCGACCAAGAACCCAGCTTTCCCATCAAGACGGCAGTGGCTAAGCTCATAATCTGCGTCTCCGAAACATGTGCTACGTGCAAAGCAGCCAGCCTCCAGTTCATCTGCCTCCAGTTTGCTTTTCTTGTTTGTCTGATCCGCTCAGTTCTCCATTTCGCTAACCGCACACCACGAAAAAGCCGGCACTAAGACGGACCCGTGAAGCCGGGGTCAACCCTGGTTCGAGTTGTGAAGTCTAAGCTAGTAGTAGTGCCAACACCCCCCTCAACCGCCTGTCATATCTGCCAGTTCCGACTGGTCGGCGCAAGTCTTTGAAAGAAAAATATCTAATGTATACGGATGACGCTTGGGTGCAGCCCCCAGAAGCTAGCTGATCTTCTATCCACCTGTCTGCATGGGTTGAGTGTAATTCGTAGATGATTACTCCGTATACTACACCGGTTACGGTTCAAGATGCGAAAAAAAAAGAAAAAGTTTCAAAAAAGTTTACGGGACCGCTACTGCATCGAACCCAGCTCTCTCGCTCAAAAGCAAGGTTCTGCGAATACCTACTAGATACCCTGGCACTCGACATTCGGGGGCGGCGCGTCTGGAGTGAACCAGTCTCGTCCGCAGTCTCCGGCGTAGAAGAAGTCCTCAATGACCTGTCTCTTGACGGGCTTGCCAGTCGCCGTCATCGGCAGCTCCTCGCCCGCCGCCAGGATGCGCATCGCAACCGGCCGCTTCCGCTCGTCCAGCTTGCCCTCGAGGTCCGATCGTACCCGGGCGAGGCTCATCTCCGCTCGGTGGCCCTGCTTGGGGCGGACAACTGTCCCGCAGAGTTGCACAGATTCCGAGACAGGCAGCGCGACGACGGTCGCCTCCTCAAAGTACCCCAGTGCCATCAAAGCGCGCTCCACCTCGACGGTCGAGATGGACGTGTCGCCGTGGATGATGTCTGGGGGTGTTGTTAGCTTGGAAAAGAGCAGAGGCCGGACAAGGGGAAACGTACAGTCATCTCGCTCGCGGCCGTGGAAGAGCAGCTCGTCGCCCACTAGCTCAGCAATGTCACCGGTCTTGTAGAAGCCCTGGTCATCGAAAGCCGCCTTGGTCTTCTGTTCGTCCCCCAAGTAGCTAGATTGATTCTATTAGCTGAGGTTCATACGTGTATTCACAACCTTAGTTTGATTAGTTGCAGTTTACGTACCCAAGGAATCTGTCCGGGCTTTTTATGAATAGTCGGCCATGAGTTCCTTCGGACAGCTTGACCTCTACGCCTGGAGCAATCTTGCCCACTGAGCCCTGGAAGTGCATCACTAGTCAATACAAAGCAACTCAGAGAAGAGGATAATAACAAACCTTGATATCGGAGATACCCAACGTCGGCAATCCACCAAGCTCAGTAGAGCCGTACCTGTTTTGGAACGGGTAGCCCAGCACATCGGTCCAAAACTGAACGGTGTCATGGTCGACCAGGCCGCCAATGCTGAGAAAATACGTCATGCCTCGAAAGTAATGAGCAATCTTGTTCCTCGTCTCCGGCGTCAGCTCCCCAACCTCTTCCAGCAGTAGCTTTTTCATGCCCCGCAAAAGGGCCGGGTTGAAGACAAAGTGCGTCACAAGGTGCTCCTTGAATTTGGCCAAGACGTCGGCCGAGGACGCCGGTGTGGCGAGGGCAAAGACCGTCTTGCCGGTCAAAAGACCGTCGATGATGTGCTTGGTGCCGCCCAGCCAGTGGCTTGCGTTGTAGTTGACGACGGCGCCGTCGCCCTGCTCGAGGGGCGCGGCGGCGAAGCAGTATCGGCGCAGGACAACGCCTTTCGAGTAGCCAGTGGTGCCCGAGGTGAAGACGACAAAGCCGGGTCCGTCAGGGTCCAGCTCCGTCCCCTCCACGATGGAGATGCTGTCGGGGGCGACGCCGGGGTGCTGCCAGGAGATGGGCACAACATCCAGCGACGCGACGTGCTTGTCGCGGATATAGCGGACTGTATTCTCCGCGTCGGCCACGCTTCCCTGGTCCGCGAGGATGCACGTTGCGTTGGCCTTCATGAGCGTGTCCGCCCTGCGCTCCAGCGCGGCAGCAGCATCTGCGTGAGTTAGCTAGCGAACGAAGTCAGGTTTGGCCTGGCGGTACATTTTTACCCAGAGGAACAAATGCGCCGCCCAGAGCGCGAATAGCAAAAAATGCAACGGCAAACTCGTAGCCCGTCTTGGTGCAGGCCGTCTGGTACAGAAAGATGTCCGTGAGCAGGCCCTTGTTGTTGAAGCTTGTCGCGGGGAGGCAGTATTGAAGCCGGTACCGTGTCTCGAGGATATCGCCAAGTAGCTCGGGGTATGTCTTTTGCAGCCCGTACATGTCATGGATCATGACGCGGTCGTTGGGGACCGCTTTGGCGGCGCGGAGCAGCTTGAGCAGCAGGGGATCCTGCGGGAACCAAGGCCTCATGGTGGCAGCAGACATTGTCGTAATAGTAGTATCGAGTTGAAGATGAGAAAGTGTACTCTTGGCAAGTTGAAATGATGTATAATCGGAGTTTCAAATGAAGAGGGGTAATGACTTCTTATAGGGTTGAGAAAGAGGGCACTTGAAGTATTACACAATTGCACGTGCAGACGTAGCCCAAGGGGTCTTCCCTGACACATTTGCTCACGTGAATAATTACTGTCTCATTTGACGATCATCTACATCTAAAATATGTCTATATTTCTAACGAGGGGATCTACAATCAGTCGACATCATTCAGTCGGCGCAACCTTGTCCGGCTCACTCCGTCTCTCAGCAATCTTCATCGTGATGTTGTCGGGCATAACCAACGCAGCCTAGAAAATGTCAGTACCAACTCAAAGCCAGCCACATGCCCCAACAACGTACCTTGCCATAGGAAAAAGTGTAGCCCTCGGGATGCTTCCAGTCGATGTTGCGCACGAGCTCGCACAGCGTGCACTGCAGCATCTGCATGGCAATGTTGAACCCCAGGCACTTCCTGCCGTAGATGCCAAACGGGAGGTACTGGCCGCGTGCCTGTCTCTGGCGCAGCGTCTGCTTGACGGCGGCCGAGTCGGCTCCCCAACGAAAGGGATCAAACGAGCGGGCCGTCTCGCCCCAGACGCGCGGGTCGGTCTGGATGCCGTACGAGTGCCAGCCGAGCATCATGCCCTGGGGCACGGCAATGTCGTCGCCGAGCACGTACGGCACCGTCGCGATGCGGTTCGACATGTGGCCGAGCGGCGGGTACAGGCGCAGGGCCTCGTAGATGACGGCGTTGAGCAGCGGCAGCTGGTCGAGGTCCTTGCAGGCATAGTCCCACGGGATGTCGCGCGTGACCTCGTCGCGGAGCAGCTGCTGGATGTGCGGGTGCGCGCCGAGCTCCTCGAGGGCCGAGTTGAGCGTCGTCTCGACGTTTTCGTGGCCCGCGATGAAGAGCTGCTTGTGGTTGCACTGGTAGTGGAACTCGGACATGAGGCCCTCGGCGCGCGCGCGGTGCAGGCTGAAGCCGATCTTGTTCTCCCCGCCCGGCGGCGGCGGCGACTGGCAGCGCTCCTCGGCGAGCCGCAGCAGCCGCCGCTGCACCTCGTACAGCAGCGCGTCCGTGTGCCGCGTCACCGGCAGCGTGAACGGCAGGTTGTCCAGGAACGGGAAGAGCCCCTTGAGCCGGCCCATGAACTTGCGGTTCTGCACCCCGAGCACCTGCTGGATGTTAAAGGTCCGGTAGTCCATCTGCGCGTCGTCAAACTGCGCGTCCAGAAAGTACTCGCCCCAGACGGACAGCGCCCAGCGCCAGACAAAGGGCCCGACCAGCACGCCCGACGGCTCGCTGTCCTGCGCGCGCAGCAGCTGGTCGGCCAGCAGCCGCGCCTTTTCGCGGAACGAGTCGAGCGGCGCCGGGAGGCAGAAGCCTTCCTTGAGGAGCTTGCGGAACGTGGCGTAGAGCTCGCCGTCCGAGTCGATGATGTTGATGCCAAAGAGCTTGGCGCCGCTGCCCCAGGGGATGCGCTCGGCGAGGCCCATCTTGTTGAGCTTCTTGTCGCTGTTCTTGAAGATTTGCACGAGGTACTCGGGCTTGGTCACCAGGATCGTCCACGCGCCCTCGTTCCAGAAGGCGACGGCGCCGTGCTCCTCAATCAGCCCGCGGACGAGCTTGTTGTACACGTCCGACTTGGACGCGCCGCGGAGCACGGTCCAGAAGTGAAGCCAGAGAGGCACGCGCGGGATGTTGCGCGGGAAGTTGCGCGGCATCGCCGTGCCGTAGGCCACGGCGCAGACCACGGCGGCCACGAGGCCGAGAACGGTCCACATCGTCCTGGAGATGCCCTCCAGGGCGGGAGGCAGACTGAGAGAGTGAATTGCGCTCATTTTTGCTAGGAACACTTCCAAGACGAAAAGGCAATGGGAACGAAACTAACGAAAACAGCTCGAGTTGCGAACTTGGTCGGGGTACGGTGAAGCCTCTGACCCGTATCGCGCGCTGACATCACTCCTACGCTTTCCCGCTCGGTCGATTCACAGATGGCTTTTATTAAGTTCCCCCCATTGATCTAGCAGGGGAACAGATAATGCCCAGCACCCAATTGGCTGATATTCGCTCGCAGACTTTTCGCCCGCGGTTGGTCTCGGAACAAGTGCACCGGCAAAGGCAAGGCGCACCAAGGAATATGTTCCAAAAAGAATTGCTTCATTCCACCTAGCATATATGGGCATAAATGTCTCTTCTGCGCCCCAGAACTTTCCTGCAGCTGAAAGCTGAAAGTGTCCCTAGCCAGGGCCGTGGACAGCAATGTCTCAAATATGGCCAAGACATTTATATGGTAAAGACGGCAAGATCTGCCTATCCACTTCCCATCCCACCTCCGTGCTACAAGGGGATAGGATAATTTCTCCTTTCAATCTTTGGCACTACACTGATCCGCTCTGGTGCATGCAGGGCTGATCGGTGGAGTGGCGGCGTGTTGCATGAGATTGGGTTCCTACACACCCCGATGGGCCCAACTACTGGTACGGTACTGATGTATCGAGCAAGTACTCTGTGTACCGGGGGAAGATAGGCATCATGGTTCAAAGTGGAATATGTATGTGCCAGCGCCGACATTGTGTCTCGGTGGCAGTCATGGGCAATTACCCTGTAGAACCAGTCCTTAGACGTTGTGTTGCCTTCAGCTCCCGTAAAACTCTATATTTCCGGTATGAGTGGCGTTGATACCAAATTGCCAGCCAATACTGTGGCAAAAAAAAAAGAAAACGTTCGGTTCGTGGCAAGGGGACACGACGTTGCACTTATTGGATTGCCACCAAGCTGCCAAGCTGTCCAGCTACCAAGCTCTCGGCATACATCTCCTCCGCATCACGCACTGTGAGGCTGCAGAACGCGACAGGATTCAATCATCACTGTCGCACCTCCAAGCTTCACATCGTGACGGGTTCCTTGAACAATCTGCACCAGATCCAGACTGTCAATCGAAGCGTCCTGTGTCTTGGAAACGCGCGCTTACACCGGACTTTTTGTATAAGATTCCTGAAAAATGTTGCTGCCAGAGAATCCAGAAAGCTGGCTTCTTGCGGCATCGGCCCTGGGCGTATGCGGTGCGAGCATCGTCGTCGCCTCGCGCTTCACAACATGCGCGGCCGGCTTCGCCCAATTGGCGGTCCGCGCAAAGCCGCAGGACAACTGGTACGAAGATGAAGACGGCAAGAGCACGCCAGAGTCCATGGCCCGATTCTCCAACAAGGCGCCCAAGCTGCTGTGTCTGTTTCTTTCCACCGTCGCATTTGCGGCCTCGGTGGCGGTCTCTGTGCTTAGCACCCTCTACGCGGAAACACGCAATGGGCAAATTTCGTCCTGGCTTTTGACCTTGGCATGGGTACGTCTTTTGTTTTCACGCTCTCTTACAATTGATGTCGCAATCTGACCCTGACAGTTGATTATTCTCCTCCAATCCGTGTCTATCCGGCTCGATATTGCCCCCGTCCGATGCTACGAGGCTGGCCTCCGGGTCGCTGCATCGGCCGCCTTGATCGCCCCAGCCATTGTCCTGCAGGGGCTGTTTGTCGCTCATCACTCGCTGAATTCGAGACAAATTATTCAGAGCCTCATCGTGGGAAATGCATTTCTCTGCCCTTGCGTACTCCTCAACGGGCTGTCCTTTCCAAGACGCCCCGACGTGCACCACAACGGCCGGCCCGTGTCGCCCGAGCAGTCCGTCTGCGCGCTGCAGCGCTTCATGTTCCTCTGGGTGCGGCCGCTGATTCGGACAGCAGCGCGCCAAGGTGATCTCGATCACAACGATGTTCCGTCCATGGAAAAGTACGCGAGGGCAGCGCACTTGACTCTACAGTGGATTCGTGCCAAGCACACCGGACGTCTCGTACGATCTCTGGGCCGCACATACTGGAAAGAACTTACAGTTCTTTGGATCTGCGTCCTTGTTCGCTCAGTTATCGGTGTAGGGCCGTTTTGGGCCATGTCGCAGCTTATACAAAGGCTGGAGAAGGTGGGCACTGAGCCCCAACCAGGGTCGAGTCTCTGGATCTTCCCCGTCCTCATCGGTCTCTTCACACTTGCTGACCAGGTACGTCAATATTCTCCAACTGTGCTAATGCAAACAAGGCGACAGCGCTAACGACTCGGACTATTAGATGATGGCTTCCCGGATCATGTGGCGCTCGATCAAGAACATCTTCGCACCAGTCCGGGGACAGCTGTCCGCACTGATCTTTGCCAAGGCCCTGCGCCGAAAAGACATCAAATCCGCCGCCCATGTCGGAGACGAGGATATGCCAGCTGTTGCCACAAACGGGACAACCAGCAACGACGCAGCAAAGCAGAAAGAGCGAGACGCAAAAGCAAAGCCCCACGACACCGCCGAAGACTCGTCCAAGTCGCGCCAGGCCATCATGAACCTCATCGGCGTCGACGTCAAGCATATTGCCGACTTCGCCATGTACCAGATCCTGATCGTGAGCAGCGTCGGCAAGCTCGTCGTCTTTTCCGGCTACCTGGTGCAGGTCATAGGCGCTGTGCCGTTTCTCGCCGGCGCCCTCGCCTGGGCCTCTCTGCTCCCCGTCAACGCCATGGCCTCGCGCCGGTACATTGACGCCGAGACGCGGCTGATGCGCGACCGCGACCAGAAGCTGGCCGTCGTCAGCGAGGCCGTCAACGGCCTGCGCCGCATCAAGTTCTCCGCCCTCGAGGCCACGTGGGAGCGGCGCATCCTCGCCAAGCGCGCCGAAGAGCTCGACACCCTGTGGCGCGTGTTCCTGGCCAACACCATGGTATTTTGCTGCTGGGTCACCAGTCCCATCTTGCTGTCCGCGGCATCACTGGCGACGTACGTATTGCTGCATGGCCAGCTATCACCCGCGGTCGCGTTTGTGAGTATCGCCATGTTCAAGAGCCTCGAGTCGGCGTTGGCGGGGCTGCCCGAGCTGCTGACGGTCGGCTTTGATACGCTTGTGTCTATTAGACGACTAGATGCGTTTCTGGGCGAGCCTGAGCTGCAGCAGTCAGTCACGTCCGGGTCACGCATTGCGTTTGACAATGCAACAATTAGCTGGCCGACGGACACGCCGGAGGCGACTCAGCGCGACTATGACAATGAAACATTTACCTTGAGTGGACTGAATGCAGAATTTCCGCAGGGTCAGCTTTCCGTTATTACAGGAAAATCCGGGACGGGCAAGACACTACTACTCCATGCACTCATCGGAGAAGCCGAGCTATACGGCGGTCACATTGTGATGCCGGCCGCTCCTCAAGAGCCTCCTTCCTGGAACTGCACCGAGGACCAGTTCAACGCGGACGACTGGGTGGTGCCCGGCACGGTGGCCTACGTCGCCCAGACTGTCTGGCTCGAAAATACGTCTCTCCAGAACAACATCCTGTTTGGCCTGCCGTACGTCGCGAGCCGCTACGCCGCGGTGCTTCACGCCTGCGCCTTGGAAAAGGACATTGCCGCTCTCGACGACGGCGACGCGACGGAGCTAGGCGCCAACGGCGTTAACCTCAGCGGCGGGCAAAAGTGGCGCGTCTCGCTGGCACGTCTGCTGTACTCGCGCGCCGCGATCCTCGTCATGGACGACATCTTCAGCGCCGTGGACGCGCATGTCGGTCGGCACATTATGCTGCATGCCATTGCGGGGGATATTTGCAAAGGACGCACGCGAATTCTGGTCACGCACCATCTGGGATTGGTGGCGGAGGAGGCGGCCTACTTTATCGAACTGGGCAGCGGGACGATACAGCATTCGGGGCCGACCTTGAGAGACTTCATCGGGGTCGCAACGAGCGGCGGCACAGCCACGCCAAAGTCGGTCTCGAGCGTCGCGACCAGTTTCAACCCGCCCCGCCTCTCGGGCCAAACTGGCCACCAATCGGCAGGTGATGACGGAGAGGATGCAGAAGCAAAGAAGTACGTCCAGGATGAAGCACGTGAAAAGGGTGTAATCAAGCGCCATGTCTACCACAAGCTAGTTACGAGCGGCGGTGGTTGGCATCTCTGGATTCCGCTCCTCGTCTTCTTGACTCTGTTTGAGGCAACAAACTTTGGTAGGTTGTATAACCCCACGTCTCGTGAAATATTGTACTAACTGATCAAGGCCGGAATTGGTGGTTGCGCATCTGGACAGCGGCTAGCCAAGGCAATATGCCAACTGGTAACACGACGAGCCTGGCCAGCTTCCAGGCCGCCTTTGTCCAACCTGCTCTGATGGCCTTTTATTCTTCCGAGCATGATGTAGCGCCTCCAGAGTCCCATTCCCTCTCCTATTACCTGGGCGTTTACCTGCTTCTCTGCGCGGCGGGCGCGCTCATAGGCACCCTGCGTTTCTACTGGTCCTTTATGATCAGTCTCCAGTTCAGCAGGAAGCTCTTCCAAGACGTCGTGCACACCATCCTCCGCGCGCCGCTCCGCTGGATGGACACGGTCCCCGTCGGCCGCATCCTCAACCGTCTCACCGCCGACTTTGACATTCTCGATAGCCGGCTCATGGAAGACATGACTCTTGTGTTGGTGCACGCGTTCGAGCTCGTCACCATCTGCTTCGCCGCCGTCATCCTCTCACGTCTCATGATTCCCCTCGCTGGCGTGCTGATCATCGCTAGCATCCTCGTGTCGGGGCGCTACCTCGCCGCCGCGCGGCCCGTGAAGCGCCTCGAGAGCAACGCCAAGTCGCCCGTGTTCGAGACGCTCAACGCCGCGCTGGCTGGCGTGTCCACACTCCGCGTGTACCGCAAGACGGCCGACTACACGCGCCGCATCCACGACCAAATTGACGAATGGGGCACCATGACGCTTCACAACTGGTCGCTCAACCAGTGGATGACGTTTCACATGAACCTGATTGGCACCGTCTTCACCACGGCCGTCGGGCTGCTCGTCGTGGCCGACCCGGCGCATTTTGGCGCCAACCTCGCCGGCTTCGCACTGTCGTTTGCGCTCAGCTTCTCCTGGGCCATCACTTTTGCGATGCGCAACTACGCGACCATGGAGCTGGACATGAACGCCGTCGAGCGCATCACGGAATACGCCGAGCTGCCGACCGAGGACCTAGGGGGGTTGGAGCCGCCCGCAGACTGGCCGCGCAACGGTACCGTGCAGGTCGAGCACCTGCAAGCCGCGTATGCCGAGGGTTTGCCCGCCGTGCTGCGGGATGTCTCTTTCGAGATTGGCGACAAGCAGCGGGTTGGCATAGTCGGTCGCACGGGAGCAGGCAAGTCGTCGCTTACACTGGCGCTGTTTCGGCTCATTGATAGGCGAGGTGGGAAGGTGGTGATTGACGGGATTGATACTTCGATTCTCAATGCCCAAAGCATGCGCTCGCGCCTGTCCATCATTCCTCAAGTAAGCGAATCGCGCTTGATCATTCATATTGTCGTTCCGCCAACACTAACATGTACCCCAGGACCCTGTTTTGTTCTCTGGCACGATCCGCAGCAACCTGGATCCTTCCAACCAGCACACTGACGACGAGCTGCACAGCTGTCTCGCCCGCGTGCACCTCATCGATTCGGACAGCGACCGCAGCATCGCGGCCGAAAGCAGCGACGACGAAACCTCCTCCTCGTTGTCCCCGTTGCCCACCAACGTCAACATTTTCAAGCGGCTGTCCAGCAAGGTGTCCGAGGGCGGTGGCAACCTGTCGCACAGCCAGCGCCAGCTCGTCTGTCTCGCGCGGGCCATCTTGTCCCGTCCGAGGCTCCTGGTGCTCGATGAGGCCACGTCGGCGGTTGACATGGCGACGGACCGGCTGATTCAGCGCAGCATACGGGATGGTTTCCACGACACGACGCTCATTGTCGTGGCGCACCGGCTGCAGACGGTAGCCGACTTTGACAAGATCTTGGTGCTGGACGCGGGCATGGTGGTCGAGGCGGGCACACCAAGCGAGTTGTGGGAGAAGCCGGGTGGTGCGTTTCGGGAGCTGTGTGAACAGAGTGGTGAAGCTGTGCAGCTGCGAGAAATGATCTACGCAAACGAGGTCTGAAGCTATTATCAGCCCCTTTCTAAAAGTCCTTCTTTTTGCTTCTCTTCTTGTTCAAATTATCATTGTACCTAATTCGTCTGTAATAAAATCATGTATTCGCCATTTTTGAAGCGCAACGGTGACTTCCGAATATCGTACGTACGTCGGGGTAGGGTCTTTGGTGTTGGATGTAGAAGGATAAGGATAACTATTTAGGTACCTACAGGTATTTAGGTACCTAGTTCTGAGGCGATCACACAGCCTGTGCTAAAATTGGGTCTAACAGGATATGAGCCAATCAGGGCGCTGCAATATCGAGCCAACCGCCAAAATAAATACACCAAAATGCTTTTTACCCCTAAAATCCTCTCACCACAATTCTACGCAAGGTTCAGGAAGACCTCGAGCATCTTGTCGAACTTCGGCGTTCCCATACCCGTGGTCGGATCCCAGCCTCGGGTCGCATTGAAGCCCTTGTCCTTGCAGACGCCGCCTCCTGTGTACATGCCGCCCTTGACGACGTCGTGGAAGATTTCCTCGTGCTGGTACAGCGTCGGGTTCACGAAGCCGACCGGGCCCTTGCCCCTCTTGATGCGTTCCTCGTTGATGAGGTTGAACATGGCGCCGATGACGGGCGCGCTCATCGAGGTGCCGCCCTCGTACAGAATCTTGCCCTGGTACACGATGAAGCCAAAGTCGCCGGCGGCGGCAATGTCTGGGTAACCTCGGCCCGCACCGTTGTACACGCCGCCGCTTGCGTATGGGATCTTCATGTCCACAGTGCTGTAGTTGGCGTAGCCGGGATCGTGGGACTGGAAGTATCTGTGTCGTTGTCAGTTTGTTTTCATGGACATATTGGTCATGTCAACTGCCACGTATTTGTCATCCGACGTACCGGTTCACTGCGTGCTTTTGGTATTCTGGGCGAGGGAAAATGTTGCTGAATCCACCTCCGGGCGAGAACCACCGAGTCACCATCTCTTCATCCCCCGCATCGCCGCCCGGCACGATTTGCGTGGAGCCGACCGAGGTCATGTACGGGCACGAGGACGACTGGTCTGCTGTAAAAACATCACCATTCTCACCCAGACATCCTTCCTCTGCAACACCCCTGTCGCCGCTGGCCAGGAACATTGAGGTGCCCTGCAGACCCAGCTTCATAAACTCGTCACACTGGCGCTACACCAAAACATCAGAATATGCTCTCAACCAGGTCAGAAAAGATACGAACCTTTTGGTAGTTGACCGGGTAGTCCTTCTCCGGGAAGCCATACGAAATGCTGATCACGTTGGTCCTGTTAAAGACACCACACTGGTGCGCAGACGGGGTCCCGTCGACGTTGGGGTCATAACCACCCATGTAGTCACAGTAGCTGCCGTCAATCGCGTCGAGGAAAAAGTTAAAGTACCCGTGTGGGTGCGCGTCGTCGTACTCGGTCTGGAAATCGACGATTTGCTGCGGCCAGATGAGGGGATACGCGAGCTGAAAGTCGAGCGTCGACTCCTTGCCCGCCTCGGCGAGCGTGCCGTTGGCGCGGTCGTGGCCGATGATGTTGACCTCAGGGTGGGTGCCGTTGGGGATCTCAGGCGCAATCAGGGTAAAATACTTGTCCAGGTCTTCCTGGGCGTACTTTTGGTGCTCCGACTCGTAGATGCCCATCTTGTTGCTCGGGTCAGCAAGGCTACCGCGGGGGACGTTGTACATGGCGCGGATGCACTCGGGCGTCACGATTTGGGAGCATTTCTTGCGGTTTCCTAAAAGTCTGTCAGTCTCTTGCGCACCGTAGCCCGAAAAAAGTCGCATCATGGCTACCTTGGTCGTCTGTCAAGCCAGGCACAACAGTTCCCTTCGCCCGGGCTTCGAGGATCTTGCGGCGGGCAAGGCTGCTCTGCGCACCTCCTGCCGCTCGTTTACGCATCATGGCCAGTCCAGGCACGACAAAGTCGACAACATCAGAGACGTCGCTGGGCAAGCTGTACTCATCCGTTCCAATGTGCTCCACGTCACCTCTGGCGTGATGGTAGACGTGGTAGCGCGTCTGAAGAATGCTCTCCAGCCTGTCGACCGTGGTGGAAAAGTAGACGGAACCGCCGCTCTTGGGGACGACAAGGGACTTGTCCGAGATGCCCGCGCCGGCCAGCCATCTCTTCACGGACTCGACAGACTCATCAGCTGGCTTGAACAGCTCAGCAACCTGCTCGGCGCTGTAGTGTTTTCCGTAGTTGGGAGAGTTGGGATCGGAACTAAGACCGTGTTAGCTTGCACGTATTGTCCTGGGCTGCTCCTCAACACTTACACATCCATCAGGTAGTCCATGCCCTTGTCCAAGTTGCGCTGCTTCAAGGCAACTCGCACTTGGATGCGCTCGTCGGATGGCACCGCATCGCGCTTGGAAAAGTTGCTCCTCGCAGTCGTGTTACGTCTCTCATGGACAACATAGCGCGTGCGCGCCGAGGGCACTGCGGCAACCGAAGCCACCAGACCCAGCAAGTAGACCGAGGCCAACTTCATCGTAAAAGAAACAGGTAATAATGTCGATGAATGTTTTCGAGGCCAAGACACTAGCTTTCTTGTGCTGTTCGAATCTAGGTTGTGGCTGCGATGATTCTTTATACCCTCATCGCGAGACCAATGCTATGCGGGACTTGGCATCTTGCCATCTTGGCATCTCAGTAATGATCCAATCGTATGGTTGATTCGGCCCTCTCAGAATATTTCCCGTATGGTGACGCGTCAATACGAAGTCCGTCCTCTTTAGGAAGGCAGTTCAGTATCCCTCCATGCCATTGCTCCAAAGCAGGGCTTCTCACGGTTTATTGCGGGCGAGCAATCATCATGGTTACATCGATGAACACACTCTGTGAGCTAGTGTTTCAGGAACCATTTAAACTTCCACCGCGTTGATTAATCCTCTATGGCAGTTTACCCAAAGTGATGACGCGGCAATACGAGGTGGGTTCTCGTGAGGGTTATTTTGGTAATAGGCAATGCAACTATAGCAAGGTAGAGCTCTTCCACTTTCACCGCGTATAAGTTGTAAACTCCTCAACTGACGGATGAATTAGGGTTTCGGAACCGCTCGCCGAGATTGCCCTAGTAAACCTTCTGTTCACCGTGTTAGTCAACCCACCTCATTAGCCTATCAATCAGGCGCTGAGCTAGTATTCATGCTTAGTAGCTATGACGAACATGACCGGTAAAGTAATAGCAGTCGAAATTTCCAGACCTCTCAAACCCTCCAAACTCTGCCAATACAAGACATGAACAGATAAAGAAGTGGTGCAAGTGACCATATGCGGCCCGGGCGCATTCCCTCTGCTATCGGAGAGTTTGAATGAGTCCATCTTATGCCTGTAAGGGCGGCTCTTAACGACTGCAATCTGCCAAGTCCGCGGGAACGCGGCCCGCTCCACGGATCTAGCCATCGATTCCTCACCGACGTTGACTCTTCTTGGCAACAGGTAGACGTGCTCCATTCCTCATGCCATGTTCTAGCAGGGAGACGATAGGTAAACGGCCCGTTTCGAGGCAGGAAATCTAACACGAGCCCTCTCAAAGATCCATTGAACGCCGGAGGGTTTGGCGGGTTTTTAGCCCCATTGCTCCTGGTTAATCGCTCGATTGGTCTATTACTGTCAAGTTAGCGCAAGTTAGCAACAAGCTAACTAGTTCACTAGTGGCAATGAGGGACGGACCAAATCGCATGGACTGTTTCAAGCATTGTAAAACTAGTACGGAGTTTTATATACTTGTCACTCACTCGCCTTGCAAACTACTCCAACGTTAGTAAATGTTAGATAAAGGTCTGAATTCAGATGATTGTGATTACGTACAAATAGAGAGGGGCCAAAAAGGTCTTCAGCCAATAAGAGGCCGCAGTCACAGCAGAAGCCTCGTCCATCAGATTGGCCAATAATTGCAAAAGGGAGTGGCAGCTCCATCCAGGAACAAACAACAACAACACCAGGCAATCACAAACTTCACGCCTTTCCACCAGATTGAACGAGCGACCTCGCAGACATGAAAACCACACAAGCTGCCATTCGCGTGCCACTCGACGAGCGAAATGGAGGCGCCCGTGTCGAGGACAGCCATGATGGCGGGCAGGCTCTGCCTGGTGCAAATTCGACCCCCAAAAACACCCTTTTCAATGCATTCCATTGGCTCCTGATATTCTCCGTGAGCTTTGTGCAAAGTTCTTCCTGGGTTGATAAGCAGTGCGAGCGCTGGCCAGTCGAAATTTGGGGGTGCCCTGCGGGCTGCCTGGGAGGATGGTCCGCAGTAGCTGTTTTGTATGGGTTCCTGGTGGCGGCCTGTGTCAAAGGATGTAATCCCACAACGACCATACTCACTGGCACTGCTGCTCTTGTAGGGCTGAAGATGGCTGCGATTGCATCGGCAACGCTCTGGTACAAGGTCTTTTCTTCGGGAACGACGACAGGAAGCGATTGAAAACATGTACAACAGGCAGATTCTTATATACCCAGATGTTAACGTCGCTGGCTGTTGAAAGGCTACATATCCAGGGCAGGAGAAGGGGGATAGTGTGATAGTATTTGGTCTCGAGGTTTGAAACTACTGGATGAACGTTGTGGGTTCGAGGTTTTGGGATCCGGCTGCATGCGGAACAAAGCATTTATAGAGAAAATTTTGTATACCCAGAATGGATTTTGGCTTTATAAATAGACATCTGTCTCGTACCTCTAAATCCGGAAGTCATGTAACCCAGCTGATATGTCACGAGCGCTTCGTGAACAGTAGTAAGTGGTGATGCTATGGTACTTGCCTTGGGGGCCCATCAGGCCGACGATACATCACCATCCTTTACAGACTGCGACTTTGTATTGCCGGGGTTGTTGCTTGTTCTCAGCGTCGTTACTCTCCGCACAATACACGACAATGTAGCAAAGTTCTAGATGAGCGGCCCCTCTCGTCATAGGAAAATGGTCACGAGTCTCGCGAATACAACTGGACACTGGGGAGTATCACAGGGTGTTTTTAGCCGCATCGACGGGCACTATTTACAGCTCTTTCTGATTAGCCGCTTGAAGCTTGGGTGTAGTGCTATGGGTTCTCATTAGGCAAAGAACCAGTAGCGGCGAGGAACTGTCACCTCGATCTCTCACGCAGATCAATCGACGCGAATTGCAGTAACCTCTTTTGGTGCGGAGCTCGGCACGGGCTTGATAGCACTACGAGTAGGTACAGATGACGAACGGTCACATGGCGTACGGAACAATGGTTTGCTGTATGTAGTTTGCTCATGACGATTTAATAGCCTGTTATCACAATATAATAGAGCATCAGAGTGACTAGTTGCCTTGTCAAATTCGTGGATATCCGCGGCTAATCCCCTTGTGCTGGCACAACTATTCGGTTGGCATGCACAACGTCGACGGTGTTTTTAGTGCAACAGCATTCCCACAATGCAATGCATTTGTGGTACCCAAACGAAAAATAGCTATTTGTTTTGTGTGGGTATCGGTGCCGGCCCGGCAAGAAGTCTCCAAGGACCAATTTCCTGCGGCCCCAGTATGTGTCTTTTACACAATGTATCGAATTTGATTTACGAGTTGCCAATACAGATTTGACGCTGCTTTAAAAGCGGCGGCACCCCGCAACATCTAACTAGGTACCCCAGCCACACGCCCTCCCTGTATCGGTGGGTGGGCTGGTAGATGAGACGCTAGGGTTCGACAAGACAGGGTGTGCGCAGAGTGCAGAGTCCGGGAGACCAGATCTAGCCCTGATCCCTTCTAAGACATACATTACTAGATCCCAGCTGAGCTCGGTAGTTTCTGGCAGGGAACAACAACGCCACTAAAGATGAGATCACCGCCAGCCCGCACCTCGCAACAGCCACCTGCCACGCCGCCATGCACCTCGTGTCGTCTTAGTCCCCTGAACCAAGTCGTTGCGAGACCGGGACGGCCAGCTGTCATTTTGAATTCCTTTTTGCACATCCCACAGGTTGACTCGAAAGAGGGGCATAAATGGGACATTCCATCGCCTCCGCCTTGCCTCACCGACCGGCCGGCGTCATGTCTTGATGAGGTGCGATGATGCACGACGTACACGCCGCCGATGCGCCGCCCACTATTCACATGTACACACCCAAGACTACCAGTATCGTGTCCATGCCAGTAGACGCCCTCTGTCGCACGCCGCCAACCCTAGTCTTCAGCTCTGTTCCATGTCTCTCCTCGGCATCTGGCTTTTATCTTGTGATTTCTCGGCCATCTCATTGGACGCGATTGGCACGGTGCCTTGTGCCTACCGTCAGATTATCGCGGCGTGCATGCCCGAAACCAGATTGCTGGCCGACGGAGAATACTTCCCGCGCCGATACGCGGAAGACGGCGACCTGTTCTTGGCAAAAGCAAAGATACAGCAAGATCGCCCAAGAGGTGGAAATTAGCGTCAATGGTAAGCACTTCTGAATGCCTTGACCTTGACCGAGCTCAGCCAAGGCCGCTGGAACCGTTTTCTCCCGAATGACTCCCTGATCACGGAGTGAAAGTTGAGAGATGTGAATATTGAAGCTGATCCACGCACCTTCTACTCCGTAACTCTATAGTGGTTCTCTCCTATGCCTTCTTCACCAAGACGCCCCAAGTTCTCGGCAGAAACGTGAGGGGGTCGTCCTCCACCTTGACGTCCTCCAGGCCCTCCCAGTCTCCTGCAGCTAAAATGGCGCCGCGAATGTCCCTGTTCATGTTGCAGCCTACAAATGTGCTCCAAGCAGGATTCCAAAGCGCTGCATGTCCGTTAGTCGCTGTGTACGTAGTGGAAGATGTTGACGCATCACATACTCTGCGCAATTGAGGTCAAGGTATCTTGGCTCTTGCCGTGCTCCCAGAAAATGAACTGGCCGCCAGGCTTTAGGAGCTTGTATATTTCCTTCATGATGACGCGGGGGTCGTTTACGGCACACATGACCTGGATGCTCAGGATTGTGTCCATGCTGCCCTCTGTGACACCCTCCGCCCGAAGAATGTCGCTGTCCTCGATACCGCAGGCGAGAAATTTGTAACGCGACTCGAGGTCGGTATCCTGCAGCTTCTTGGCAATGTCATCCTTGAAATGGGGATTGGGATCGATGGCGTGGATGAACTCTACAAGATCAGAGTCAAATCGATGGATCTGGTTGCCTGGGCCCGGGCCGAGCTCGAGGATCTTGCCTCGGGACTGCTTAACAAGGGAGGGAACGACGGTTGTGCTCTCGTACTGGATGAAGCCCTCAGCTGTAAAATACGCACATTAGTCAGACGCAGGGCGTGGTATTGGTGGCGACGAGCGAGCTCTCACAGGTTTCGATCAGGAGGCTGGCGACGCCCAAATCGAGCTGCTTCGCGGGACTCCACAGAGCCGCAAATCCACGGGTGCGGAAAGCTTCCTTGAAGGCAGCCCAGTGAACTGTATCCTATTGTTAGCTTGGTACTACACAGACCGCCACGGGACACCACCTCTGTTCGCGTACTCGTAATGGCAGGCCAGAGAAGCTGCAGCGGCGACCAGAGGCTGTTGAGACGGGTAGGTTTCGGTCGCGGCATAATGAAGCACGTCTGTCTTTGGCAGTTTACAGCTTCGCGGTCTTTGTCAAGGTAATATACGCGCTGGAACGACGAGATAGATCTTTTGTAGATTGGGTAGAACGAATGCGGGGAAAATGACGGTTGTTGTAAAAAGACAAACCCGGCGTGTCACCCCAGCCGCAGTCGACACCTTGACTCGCATTGTGTCACGTGCGACTCGTCACTATGAACACGCTTTAAACACTACAATAAATTTACGAGCTTTTCAATATTTGCTACTTAGATTTACAGTTAGAATATTTCGAGGATTTTGCATCTAGCATGCTCTGGTGGCCACCTGCTTGCCATGTCGCTGCCTCAAGCCGTAGTCCTTGATGAACAAACAGAGGCATAGGTGGATCGAAGCGAGCACTGCAAACGTGACATATATAACAGTGAGACTATGCATATACGCTCCTGAAATTAGGCGTCTCTCCGAGTCGGTCAGATCCAGGTCTTTCAAGGCAAAGGCAGAGGATGTTAGCTCGGCGATCAGCTCGGGGCTGAAGCGGTGCTGTAATTGTGCGAAGAGCAGGTTGGTTAAAATAGTGCCAGAGACTACAACGAGCCGGTTAGTAGATGATTGTTTGATGAATCCTTGCCCCATGTTTCTAGCCAAGCAAGGACGTACCCGTGGTGCCAGTTGCGCCGCCCAAATCGCGGACGAAATTGCGCAGACCGGTCACAACCGCTCGGTTTTCTGTATCAGAACCTGCAAGCAATCCCACAAGAACTAACAAAAGCTGCAGCATTAGTAAATGCTCTCGAAATTTTGCAACTGGCATGTCGCGACGAGCACTCACCAGGCTGGAGAGAACAGCCGACGCCCAGTCCGTCTAGGACTCCCACGAGCGCAACTTTCCAAATTTCAGTTGTCTGGTTGAACATTAGTTTTCCAATTCCAGCAAGGACCCAGCAACATGCTCCAAAAACGACAACTGGCTTGTAGCGACCTGTGGCGGATATAATGATGCCTGTCAGGGCAGACGTAAGCCCATGGGCGATGACCATGGGCAGCAGGAGGGTGCCAGCGCGAGCGGGACTCGCACCGCGGACGTTTTGAAAGTACAGAGGCATCAGAAACAAATTTCCCCAGTAGATCCAGCCAATAATTATGTTGGTACCGATTAGAATGTTTGTGGATCGTCCGTATCGAAAGAGTTGCGCGGGTAGAAGAGGGAGTTTGGCGAAGCGGAATTCGATTGTCAGGAAGATGCTGAGAAGGACGACTCCGGCACAGAGCATGCCTATAGTAGTCGCAGAGTTCCATTGTAATTTTGAACCACCCAAAGAGATGGGTATCTGTAATTATTGTTAGGGTTGGCAGCCGCGGCAACTCCGTAATGCGACTTACAAGAATGAGCGAAATACCTGCCAAACTAGCCACCGCGCCGGGCCAGTCAAGAAGCTTCAACCTACTGCAAACATTCGCATCTTCGACACTCCTTGGAGACGAAGGCCACACAGACACCAGATAGGCAATTGCAGCGACGCACAGCGGGCAGACGAACCAAAATGCCCACCGCCAGCCAAAGTGCTGCGTCAAGGCGCCGCCCACCACCGGCCCGAGGCCGTTGCCAAACGCGACCGCCATGCCCACCATACCAAAGTAGTACCCGCGCTGCTCCAGACTCGTAATGTCCGCAATGGCAATCTGCACGAGCGCGTTGATGGCGCCGGCGCCGAAACCCGTGGCCGCGCGCGAGACAAACAGCTGCACCGGCGTCGCGCAGAAGCCGCTCCAGAGGTTGCCGGCGCCCATGATGGCGAGCGCCGCGACGAGCGCAGCGCGGCGGCCGACAATATCGGACAGCCGGCCGTTGATGAGCTGGATGCTGGTGCTCGTGATGAGGAAGCTGGCGCCGACGAGCGAGATGGAGGCGCCCGTGTCGAGGGCGGCCGCGATGGCGGGCAGGCTCGTCGACACGGCCGTCTGGTCCAGGAACGAGGTGAATTGGATCAGGGCGAGCGCTGGGAAGACGGCGAGGAGACGGCGTTTGGACAGCGCGTGGGACTGATTCTGCAGCAGCAGAGGGGTAGTCTCGTCCATGATGCCTCGCTTTGTCTGTGTTGCCTCTGTAATGGCCCTTTGCAAGGACTATGTTGCAGGCCGCACATTTACTTTTCAAGTCTTGATTACAAAATAATGGACCCAGTCCAATTATTCATCGGTCCCTGGGTGAATTAAAAATGACATTCGGAGTATCCTAAGCCTCCCATTTCCCAGCCGGTATCGCATTACTCTGTCTTGGGCGGACGGATATCCCTGTTGGAGTCCCTCTCAGGTGGCTTCGCGAGCACGCCAGGGGTGTGTCTTTAGACCCTGGCGCCTCGACTCTGCCAATTTCACAGCTTTCAACGTTGTAACTACATTTGTAGACCAGTTGCTATTCGTAGTGCAAGCTCTCATCGGGGGTTGTATTGCGTTTTGTGGGATGTTCCTTTTTTGAGCATACTTCGCAGCCCTGCATGGTAACTTTTGTGCAGCCGACCACCATGGCACAGATTCTATGAGAGATCAATCGCTAAAATTTCCCTTGTATATAAAGCGACTAAATCCCGACTCTTTCTCAGCCTTATTAGTCTCGTCACGATTCGCTAGCCTGCGCACCTCAAAGAATGCACATCTTCAAAGTGCATCAGCAAAGTGCCGGAGCCTGCTGCCCAAGCCATCCTGATGGTTGTCGTGATGTTGGTTTAATTGCTGTATCATTGGCCGAGACTTCACCGAAACCTAAATTGACTAAAAGACAACGATGCGGAACTACACGGCTTCCTCTGGAAAGCGCTTATTTTATGACTGGTCGTCATGCGGCGTACCGTTGGGTAACAGGAAGCACTGGTGCATCGGCAGGTTACTGCTTCCTTAGTCAACGGGTGCACGCAAATCGAAGGTCCAACTGGCAGACAGCCCGGCTGAAAACGATTTCCTACGCAGGTGAGCCCCCTTCAAAATGTTGCTCAGACCCTGTATAGCGATAATTCCAGCATCAAATCATCATGTCTGCTCCCTGCCAACAAGCTGCGCAGAGGTTGATCGACCTTCTCGAGCCTCTGGCGCGTTCCAACGACGACCATCGATCAGCGAGTGGTGCAGGTGGTACTGAACCCAGTATCCTTGGCGCTATCCAAGATGTCGTATCAGCTCTCGCTTCAGCGGACCAACTTCATGCCGCCTTTCATGATGGAAAGACTCACTATCCTCTGGGGCATAACCTATCAGCAGTCCTACCGACAGGTGCCCGGCGCTCTATCCGCGTATATGGGAGACTATAAGGAGGCTCTTTTGAAGATGTCGTAGTGGTCCCGTGTGCCTTTTCGAATTCGGTTTCAGTCAGATCTCTTCTGAAATCCAGCGGTACCAAGTGTCGTAACTTGGATGGTGCAGCATCGCAACCGCCTTGCGTCCCACCTATCGCCCCATTACCAGGCACTGGCGCTTCGTGCTGCATGCCCGGTCCCCGGCTGCGGCCTCGCCGAAAAACACGGCCGATTGAACAGATACAAGGCCGACAGCATCGTATTCCATTGCTCGTGCCATGGAAAGCACTCGATCCATCTGGCGGCACCCACTAAGGTAGCTCGCCTGGAAGCCAACGCGCCGACGCGCAACCTGATTCGCTCCATGAGTCACATTTTGGACAGCTCGACGCACCATATTCGAATCACTGGTGCAGATTACGCGGGCACGTACCAAGAGGTGTTTCTCTACCGACCTCTTGCGGAGTGGTCACGGTCAACGGGGCTGGGGCAGGGTCGTACACCACACATCCTGTACGCACCACTTGTGGTTGACTGGAGCGGTGCGAAGCTGTCGAAAAGCCTCTATGTCGGCGAGGGCGGCTACAGGACGATGGAAACCCTGGGTATGGGCGGACTGTGCAGCTATGCCAATCTCAAATCTCAGTATGGAGAAGTCGGCCTTCGGATCATATGGGCCGAGGTAAAGTTTTGGTTCGCGAACCCGCACAAGTTATTTCGAGCATTGTACTCGGTCGAGTATTTCCGGGGGATCTTGCAGGGAACGAGGTGGCAATGAGATCAGAATGGAAGTGTATCAAGCAGTTTATTAGTTGATAACAGGTAGGTACCTAGCCCGAAATTGTTACCGCAGTTGTCATTGAAGGCCTGAATTCTTTGAGCGAATCTTCACGTGATTCCATGGCAAGAACCTGTCGTGGTACCCTACCTAGTTATTAATCACCACAACACCAACACACAACACACGAGGTACCGTCCAGTTTTTCTTCCTTGTTGGCACAATATCAAGGCGCCTTTCTACCAATCTTCCTGGCTGTGATTCGCCTGCTCGTGCATTGCAACTGCTGGGCAGCTAGGCATAATACACCACAAAATAGCACCATTCTAAATCCACCACTCGAGGCAACATCTCCCACTTTTTATACCCACATCCTGCACAATGGCGCCTCGAAATATTCCGACTCCAGCTGTTTCTGGCACTCAGGCGACTCTTGGACCGTACCTGATTCGACGCGCGACCGCATCGTCAGCAGCCACCCCCGCGAAGCCGAAGCCCTCTTTGCACAGCAAGAAGCGTCCGTCAGCCAAGATGGACGTGTCCAACCGCGTCGAGTCCGACGTGCTCATGTCGATCCTGCCTGTGCACTTGAACAACATTGCCACGAGGCAAAAGAATCACGAATATCGCAAATACCGCCTGCAGGACGGCGTGGAGCGCCTCTGGTTCTACGAGACGCGTGGCACGCGCGAGGACCCTGGACGCGGCGCCATCACGTACGACCGCAGCCGATTTTTTTTTTTTTGGCCAGCCTCGTTCCTTGCTAACTTGCGACCCTCTTAGTCATATTGCTACAATTCCCCCGACAATACGCCATACGCCGGGCTCTGTGCCAGAGGAACCACACGGCATTGGCAATGCAGACTTTAATGCGGGTCTGAAGAAGTCGAAATATGGCTATCCGATCCTGGAACTGTACGAACTAGTCAAGCCGCTCACATTGGATGAGATGAGGAAATCGTGGGGATTGACTGCACCGATGGGGTGGAGCTATGTCAAAAAGGGCCTCTGGGAACAGCAATGGGGGAATGAGGACGGACGGGAACAGCGCCTGAAGAAGCTCTTTTAATGATATAATGACATAATGATAGAACCTGACGAAACCTCGAGGTCATTCGCGACCAGTCATTATTTGAAGAGGAGTCGAGGAGCCGAAAGGCGGTGAGTGTTTGTTTGCATACATACACAGTCACTCCCCTACGATTTGTAAAATTTTATACCTATAAACCCTTACAATCTAAGTTCCACGCCGCTAGCAGGGGCCTAGTAAAATAAGCTAATGCTAGCTCTTTCTAGTTACTTTCTTCTAACTAAATAATTAAGCCACCTATCTTGCAGTTTTTAGTGTCATGTCGGAACTCTTGGCTCTTTTCTTGGCGGGTCTCCGCAGCTACCAGACATCAGACACAACAGCAACATCAGCATCAAGAACAATGAGCAATCCTATATTTAATCACACGATACATATCGGACCTGTATACCAACAGGACCATTTTGAACAATTGAAAAAAGATACACAGCAACCCTCGTCTCACGGAAACGGAATGGCGTCCCATCGGATACGACGCAGGTGACGCTCAGGGTCCTTGATGTGATTTCGCGCATGCAGCCATCGCCTGTTGTCCATCAAGATGATCGTACCAGCCGGGCAGTCGGTCGCCTTCAAGTGAACCGTCGACCTCGCCGCCCAGTCCTCGCCGCCCGCCGAGCCCTCCAGCAGCCCATCCAGCTCCGCCAGCGCCGCCTCAGCCTCGGCCGTCAGCGGCTGGAGCAGATCCCGCCTGTACCGCATCACGCACGTCTTCTGGCCGCCCTCGGCCTCACGGACCGCCATGACGCTGCCCACGATACTCGTCCGCGCCGGGTCCTTGATAAACTCTGGCGGGATGGCGATGCGAAACTCGTCGCGGCGCAGGGCGGCGCGTGCCGCCGGGGACAGCGCGGCGCCGAGCGTCTCAATATTCATCGCCGAGAGCGTGCCGCCGCCGGCGCGGTCGTGCTGCAGCACGTGCAGCCCAAAGAAGCGCGGCGGCGCGCCCTCGTAGCTGCAGTCGGTGTGCCAGGGGAAGTCGGCCATGGTCTCGGAGCGCGCCTGGTGGTCGGCCGTCTGCAGCGGGATCACGCGGCCGTCGCTCGGCCGCACGTCCCAGAACCAGCCCTGGGACGCGCTGTGCGTGATGGGCAGCGCGTGCCCGTGCCGCGCGTGGAAGCTGCACACGAGCGCCGACAGGAAGTCGCTGCCCGGGTCCGGGAAGCCCAGCGTGAGCCGCGCCATGCCGCGCCGCGAGAGGGCGTCGTGCACGCCGGCCACAAAGGACGGCTCCGTGGCGCTGGCCGCGTCCGCCACGGGGAATGGAGGCGCTAGCTGGGCATCGTGCGCCGTTCGTGCGTCTTGTAGAGTGGAAAAGGATGGGATGGGGACGTGTTGGGCTCGAGAGGGCAGCGGCCGCTTGGTGGAAAGCCGAACGGCGGCCCGGTATACTCGGGGAAGTGCATTAGCCATTCTCATAGTCGCAATGCAGACAACAGAGGGACACGGGTAACTAAGGAGATGGCACTTTTCCCTTTTCAACATCCAACACTTGCTCCGTCACGTCATTGCTTTTTTTTTTTTTCATGCCCGATTAATACCCTTCCCAGTGATGCGGTGCGCATGGATCACCCGGTACGTAGCTTTTTTGATGCGCCTCGATGCTAGCACGCAATGCCCGGCGCGGCCCAGCCTAACCGTATCCGCAGCGTATATTGTATTAAGACATGCATTGATCATCGTATTCTTCAGAGACAGGTTAACGCTTTTTTTTTTACAGACATGGGTGGCAAGCGGGTCGAATGGGGGGGAGTGGCCGCATATTGTCGACACCCTACTGCCTCTCCCAGCTGCACCCCCTCGCGGTACCACCAAGTCACTTCAAAGTCACTGGTTCGTATTGTCGTTCCGATAAGCGTGCAAATTTCATTGCAGACATGGAGGAGATCCGCTGGGTCCCATACTTGCTCCAACTCTGAATCATTTTGCGCCTTCGCTGTCCGACCCGATAGCTCTGACCGGGGGTAGTGCAAAGTGCCAGGCGTTGTCAGGCTACCTACCGCAGTTTGCCAAAAGCCCTCGTCATGCATCTCTCAAGACAGCATCGCAATTGCATCAATTGAGTAGCAATGCCTCCGCTTTCAATTCAATCAGCAAGCAAAGGGGCGGCCTCGTCTGGCGCGCCTCTAGTTCCCCCGCGTCGCGAGGGCAGACTTCACACTTGGTTCAACAGAATCTTTATCTTTGTTTTTGCCATTGGTCTGTACTATCAACTCTGTGCATACTCTGGTCGCAATCCATCCGCGCCACTCACCTCCTCCTCTTCATTTAACCTCCATCAGACGCTGCTGTCCGTCCCCTCGCCCGACCGCGCGCGCGAATGGAGCGCCTACTACACCAACTCGAGCCACCTCGCGGGACAGGGCTGGGAGCAGGCCCAATGGACAGAGTCCAAGTGGAAAGAGTTTGGCATCCCCGACGTCCAGATTGCGTCGTATGACGCCGACCTGCCCGTGCCTCGTGCCGAGAACCAGCGCGTGGCCCTGCTCCAAGGCGACAAGGTGCTCTATGAGGCGCCGCTGGTGGACAACACCAACGGCAGCTTCACGCCCGCGTACTTTGGCTTCTCGCCCGATGCAAACATTACCGCCGGCTTTGTGTACTGTAACTTTGGCAGTCAGGGGGACTTTGACGAGATTGCGCGCGCCAACATCAGCGTCGTGGGCAAGATTGGCATCATGAAGCTCGGCAATGCGTCGCCGACGCTCAAGGCGAGCGGCCTGGACATCTTTCGAGGCATTCAGATCTCGAATGCCGAAAAGGCCGGGCTGATTGGCGTCATTCTGTACACGGATCCGCAGAATGACGGCACAATCACCGAGGCCAACGGCTACAGGCAGTTCCCGGCCGGCATCGCACGCCCGCTGACTGCCATTGAGCGCGGCGGCTTTGGCAACTCTGGTATGTCTGCTTCACGACCACAGCCACACGGATCTTTCATAGGCAGCGACTAACAAACCACGCGCAGAGGACTACCACATGGGCCTGCTGCCCAAAATCCCCTGCATCCCAGTCTCCGCCGCCGACGCCGTCGAACTCCTCAAAGTGCTCAACGGCATCGGCCCATCGGCTCGCAAAATCGGCGGCCGGTGGCTCGGCGGCGCGCTCTACGTCTACGACGTCGGGTACCACATTGGGCCGTCCCCCGCCGGCGTCACCATCAACCTGATCAACAACGCGCCCGTCGTCGCCTCGCAGAGCCACAACGTCATCGGCACCATCCCGGGGCAGATCCGGGACGAGGTGGTGATTGTCGGCACGCACCGCGACTCGTGGGGCCCCGGCGCGGGCGACCCGGGCAGCGGCTGCGCGGCCATCAACGAGGTCGTGCGCAGCTACGGCGCGGCGTACCGGCAGGGCTGGCGGCCGCTGCGGACCGTCGTGTTTGCGAGCTTCGAGGGCGAGGAGTTTGCGCAGATTGGCTCGCTGCTGTGGATCGAGCACCACCTGGCGTGGCTGCGGGCGACGGCCGTGGCGTACCTCAACGTCGTCGTCGCCGCGTCCGGGTCGCAGTTCCACGCCAAGGCGAGCCCGCTGCTGCACCGGGCCGTGTGGAACGCAACGGCCCAGGTCGAGTCGCCGACGGTGCCGGGACGGTCCGTCCTGGACGTCTGGGGCGGCTCCATCGACCCGGCCGGCGGCGGCGACGCCGTGCGCTTCCAGGGCCTGCCGTGCGTCTCGACCGTCGACATTGGCTTCGCCCCGGGCCTCGGCGATGCCGTGTTTCCCTACCACACGGGCTTTGACGGCTTCGCGTGGATGGACCGCTTCGGCGACCCCGGCTGGAAGCACCACGTCGCCAGCGCCAAGCTCATGAGCCTCATGGCCGCCCACCTGGTTGAGTCGCCCGTCGTGCACATGAGCGCGCACGACTACGCCAAGGCCATCCAGATGTGGCTGCATCGCATGTGCGAGCTCGGCAAGTGCTCCCCCGAGGTGGACCTCTCTGAGCTCATGGCCACGGCGGCCAGGTTTGCGCGCGCGGCTGTACGGTTTGAGGGCTACGCCGACACCCTGCGGTCCGACTCTGGTTCGCGGCCGGGCCTTGCGGGACGGTTTACGAATGTCGTGGATCTCGGTGCCGAGGCGATACGCAGAGTCAACAAGGTGTATATTGCCCTGGAGCGCGAGTTTTACCATGAAGGGGGCATGGATGGGTACAACAGTCTTCACCATGTGCTCTTCGGGCCCGCTGCCTGGCACAATGTCGCGGCTCCGATGCCTGGTCTGGATAAGAGCCTGAGGGCAGGCAATTGGGAAAATGCCAAGGTGAGTCTACACGCATGAATATCTTGTCCTGATTTTGCTAATTTCTTTTTTCTTTTGTAGAAATGGAGAGACGTGTTGATTGAAAAGATTGGCAATGCTGCGGGGTTACTGGAGGATCATCTGGAAACTGTTGGAGACGACTAGTCGTTACGTTTGTACAGTACCGTATAACTGCGGCAGTAGAAAGCACGTCGCTCATTGATACTTGAGGGCTAGAGTCGAGTCACACGGTCTGCTGCATGAGCCTCTACCTAGTCGTTTGCCACGACTGCGCAGAGTTGGCATCCATTGACACGAAAATATAAAATATATCTACCAGTTATCACGAGGGCTAATTCGTAAGGACTCACGTATCTTGATCTTCACCTCAAACTATATCATCTCACCATGCCGGCGGAGGCGAGCCCCATGTTCGAGTTCCCCATTCTTGTGTCGATTGGTGAAGTACATACATGATCAACCATCTTTTCAATTTATCCAATGAACACAATAATTATACTGCCATGGAGCCTAAATGGGAAAAAACTTGTCCATTCTGTGACTTGGTCATGGGCCGTAAATGGATCATGGGGTGGCTGGTCCAACAGGGCTTTGGATATCGAATCTCCCCTCTCCCAAACAAAACATAAAATCACTACTACGCCCTTATGTAGTTTGCTAACGTGGGGGACAAGAGCCGCCAGATATCCAAGTTGCGACAAAGACCACACAAGGCGCCGCCATCTGGACACCACGCAATTAGCTACCTCGGAGACAGAGAATCTTGAGACGACCAACCTCGGAATTAACACTAACTATCTGCGTCCTTCACTCCCCCTGAAGGACGTCTGTATTAGACTCACAGTATCCTCGGAGCATAGACTGATGAGCTTTTGTAGTGTACGGCAATTGCTGGCGTCTCAAATCAACGCGTTGACCCGGCTGCTACCCTATTGGTCAGGCGGCGGCGCTTGACACGATGTTGACGAGTAAACTCACACGGAGAGAGTCTTGTCAAATATTTGATCGATTTTTGCGCAGCGAATATGAGTGTACAAGTATCCCGTCCAACTGCACTTGCTCACACCCGACGTTCTTTGGTGGGGGACCGAGTCTGACTCCTCGTCTGGTTGACCTTGAACTCTATGTTGGTAGGTTGATGCCTAATAGCGGGATATGACGGCCGAAATACTACACAGAATATCAGAAAGTACCGGCGAGATGATATGTATCAATTGAACCCCCATGAGGGTTTTGTCTCGCGTTTGCTCGCGCAAAGTCACGTTCGTAGATGTGTGAGGTTGACGAAAGCCAGACACGTCAAGGTCTGAGCCAGCAAGACGACGAGCAATCAAAATGCAATCATGAGCTTTGGTGAACATTGAAAGAATTATCCGTGGCTTTTAACCTGTATTGGACTGTAACCAGTCTTGCGGAACTTTTGCCGGGTGGCCCGTAGCCTCTCCGAGCAGAGATGCTGGGTGTGCACGAGGCGGACACTCATCAGATTCGGCGACGAGCACATATGATGGGGGCGAGTCAAATTTATTTGATTGGACCCGGTGATTGCTGCTAGCATCCGCGATACAGCAGAGCCAACTCCCGTGCCTGACCAGGGATGATTCGGCACTGAGCTTCCCGTCTCCTCGGCCTGCTGCCTGGCCGTCATGAAGGCGGCCTTTGACGGGCGACAGCAACATTGTGAGAAAACAACACGACCAATGCGCCACACTCGGCGATTTCGAGCAGCACGCTTCCTTTTTTTTGCGGCTGTTTACGCGAGACTGGTACGACAATGGACGTGACTGGCGTGGCCGAGGTCAACAATCGCCCGCGCATAAGAGGGGACGCTTGAAATGGGTGGTTCGAGGCGAGTCCATCAATGCCCGATATATCTGTGCTGGTGGAAAATAGCCGTGTTTCCCAGCTCTCTGGGTCAGAGGGGGAGGGGGCCTCCCACGTTTCTCCGCCTCACTTATACGAAGGCATGAAGCAAAGGTTGCCCGAGCGAACCATACTCGACACATTGCGCCTGCCAGTCAACGTGGCTATACGAGGGGCTGAAATTGAATATAATGCCCAAAGTAGTGTTTATTTTCTACGTCGAGTGAAATGCCTCAATCTCTGTTCTGGAAAGGTCTTGTCCGTTTTGGGAATCACTGTAGCGCAGGCATTATTGGGCGGAATGTGGGAAAACCGAAGGCCTGGAAGAGTGGCACATTTGTGCCGGACCGCCTCTTTCTGAGCATTTTATGCGTGGCACAGCGAGGCTATTCAATGGCCCGCCCAGGCAACTGTCCGAGGGCACCGACTAGTGATGCAAGCCACAGAAGCCTAGAACAAATGACATGCAATAGTCATGACAACAATGACGCCACCGGCCAGGGGTGGATCTGGAACAAATCTCTGCGGTAGTTTTATCAATCGGAGCAGCCCATCGAGGGGTGATCCCTATGAGGATCTTCACCTACACTGTACTGATCTCATAGACGAAGTCGTCTAGAGGCTGTCAGGAAACGGAATAGGCCTACGTTACTACCATTGTTGTTACTTTGACACGCTGCTTTAGCCAAAAACAAAAACCAACCAATTGTACATGTGTTCCATGAGGCGGAAGAGGCACGCTTGTGGTTCCAATAATAGACAATGCATTGTGACCTAAGCAGCTTCCAGCTTGGCACAGACCGATTTCAACCTGATGAAAGCCCAAGCCCATTCTGTGCACATTTGCCGACTACAGGGATCCCAGTCGTTCCATTTTCCTAGCGGGTTAACTCTATTCAGAACCTTTGCGACCGCTCCCCCGATCCAGCGCCCCCCAGCTTTGACCGGCCCCGCCCATCATCAACCCACGTTTCTCAAGTAAGGCTGTTTCGAGGTACAAGGCTGACGATGCCCGACGGCCCGCGCTTGTGGTGTGGTTTGGTTCTGGGCCCTCGCATGAAATTGTGGTCGGGTCTGGGCTGTGCGAGCGTGGCCGACGCCTCCTTTCCTGGGCTGAAGTATTGGCAGGGCGAGCTTGAGCATTTGGTGGCGGCGAGCTGAAGTCGGGGGAGCTGGTAGCTGCCGGCTGATGATTGATGATCAATACACATGTTGGATACCGGTGAAGGATAACAGCCAGTAGATGAAGAAAGTGCTTATATAGTCCGGCAGAGGACATTTGTAAAAATATCCCCTGTTTTTTCCAGCACACTTGCTAGTCAATTGAGTGCACCGCTTCATATCATCAACCCTCTCTCTACCATCATGCGTCTCAACTCTGCCCTTGTGCCGCTGGCACTGCTCCTCCACGGCGCGGCCGCCGCGTGCAACTCGGACAACTGCGCCCGCGCCGTCACGGGCACCCGTCGCGGCGACCCCTTTGAGACGACGGCCAAGGCCGACTGCAGCCGCTTCATGACCAAGACTGTGACGGGCAGTGCCGTGTAAGTGGCCAGCGCCCAAAAAAAAAAACAAAAAAAACACTGTGTGCTGATAGTATACCTAGAACCGTGACAAACACCGTGTCCATTACCGCAGCTCCCAATGCTCCCCAAGCCACCGTTGTCAAGCGCGACGGCACCGCCGCCGTGCCGTCGTACGCGTCCGCCTGCTCCGGCACGAGCCGCTACTCGAGCGCGTGCTCCTGCTGGGGCATCACGGCCGGCACCGTCACCGTCACTCCTGTAAGCCTTTCTTTTTCTTCACCCAAAAGAGCAACAGCTAAGATCCCTAGACCTCCATCGTCACCGCCACTGTCACCGTCACCGGGACCCCCGGCGCGACCTACACGCCGCCTGTGCCGACCAGCTACGACAGCTGCGTCTTCGACCCGAGCACCACGGGCGACTTTGATCTGCTGGATCCCACCTCGGCCCTTCCCATTATCAAGAACGGCAGCCTTGCTATGGTTGTCCAGGACGTGACGAACCCCTGGGTTCCTGTGCGCTACAAGACCGTCAAGGCTGCCGGAGCGCCGAACGGGTATGGTTTTCTTCCGCCTGCGCACTCTGCTTCTCTCACATGGGCTAATCTTATTGCTCGACTAGTGTGTACGACCTTCAGCTGGTGGCCGACGGCGCCCCTCAGTTCCTGGCCATTTACAAGTCTGGCAAGGTCGGCTTCGTGAGCACCAGGTAAGCAACACACACACGGCCCTTCTCCTCCTCCTCCCGAACGATTTCCGCACGACCAGAATTAACCCCAGACTCAGCTCCAACGGGCAAACCTACACGGGCGATGGCGATGACAAGTACATCACCTCTGCCTTTTCCTTTACCTGCAAGGGCCGTCTCACAGCAGGCATCGTCGGCGGCAGCGAGTTTCACTTTTCCATCACCACCGACCAGCGCGTCGTTGTCACCACCTCCTCCTCCTCCGGCAACACCAAGCGCGACATCCCCGTCCCCGACGGCTTCTACGTCATCCCGGCGCCGATCCCCGGTGCGCCGCCCGGCCAGCGCTGCCCCGCCGGGCAGACGGCCGTGTCCAAGGGCCTGACGCCGACGGCCAACGGGTGCGGCGCCAAGGACGGCATCAAGGTGCCGGACCTGTCGTTTGGCGAGTGCTGCAACGACCACGACATTTGCTACGGCACGTGCAGCGAGCAGTTTGGCCCCTGCAACAGCAAGTTTCTGAGCTGCATGGTCGGCTCCTGCGCCAAGTTTGCGCCCATCCCCAAGCTCTTCCTCGCCTGCAACGGCGCCGCCGCCACCTACTACCTCGCCGTCCAGTTCTTCGGCAAGAACGCTTTTGCCGCGGCCACCAAGGAGATGTGCGACTGCAAGTGCGACGACAAGACCAAGACGGCGTGCGGGGACAAGTGCGTCGATACGACCAATGATCCCGAGAACTGCGGAAGCTGCTTTTTCCATGTAAGTGCCACAAATGCTGCGCGCCCGCCAACTTGATACCCCGACGGCATTGTATCCTAATCTCCCATGTCAACAGTGTCCTTCTGGCTCTTGCACCAACGGCGCCTGCTCCTTCAACTCGTGCACCGGCAGCACCTGTGGTGCCTTTGGCCCCTGCGGCCCGGGCGGGAGCTGCGTCTGCGCCTCCATCACCGGCGGCACCGGCTTCTGCGTCAACGGCCAGACGCCGTGCAACGGCCTGGCCGACTGCGGCTCCAGCGCCGACTGTCCGCTTGGCAGCGTCTGCGCCGTAGGCACCTGCTGCCAGCGCAACGTGTGCATCACCACGGATGCTTGCGGCGGGTTCCAGAAGCAGCAGAAGCGCGGCTGGCTGAATGCCACCATTGGCGAGCCGACAAGATGGGTTGACTCGTTTTAAGCACTCACGCGTGTTGACGCCGGGTGTTTGTCTCAGGGATGGCTCATAATTGTATCTAGCTTTTAATACAGTCTATATATTTTGCAATCCGAGAAAAGCTGCTGTTCTGCTTGACCTTTTACCTCTAGGGTACCACTGTGCAAGGATAGCTACCAGAGCAAGTGATAGGAGTGAATTGGCAAACTGTTCATAAAAGCTACTGAAAGCAGTATAGTAGGGCATTATATAGACAAGGTATTTTCACCTTTGGGGGGTATTTGCTCCGACGCGCCCATCCTTTATGACCATTACACCCCGACCTAGTCCCCGGCTTACACGCCGCGATCCGCACGTTGATAAATAGCCTCTCACGCCTTATCAACAGACTCAACAGGGTAACCAGCACGCCGGCCACAATCACCAAAATATACGGCCTGTCCAAGGTATTGTCAATGTCTTCTAGTAGCGCGCCGATGAGGTACTAGGGCATGTACAGAGCCTGGCGGGCAAGCAGGGCGATGTTGCTGCCCATGGCAAAGATGACGACGAAGATAAATGGCAGCAGGCGCACACCCGACCTCGATGCCGAGTCTGGGCGGATGACCTCGAAATATAGCGGCGTCATGTAGATGGGCAGGAATATTGCGATGCCGCCAGCGGCCGCCCTGGCAAAGAATATCAGGATGGTGCGGCTGGGAAAGAACTCGACGGGACAGACACGGCGAGCGACAGAGATAAAGACAGTGTAGACCTGCAGGAAGCCGGAGCCACTGAAGAGCACGCCCAAGGCGCACAAGGAGGCATTGATCTGGGCAGAGCTCCAGGGATACGTGACGCCACCAAAGGAGACGCCCACGACGAGGCTGGCGCTGACGGCACCGATGGGGAAGGCGAAGTGCTGCCAGGAGAGCTTCTGCATGCTAGGGAGCTCTTCGAAACTGCCGCGCGGGAGGCTCATGAGAATGATCATTTGGAGCGCGAAGAGGAACTTTGAGATGAAGATGGCGGAAATAGCCAGCTTCCACTTCCAGGGGAACATCTCACGGGCCGACTGCAGCTGACTGAGGCTGCTGCGAGGTACAGAGTCGTTACTCTTGGTCACCATGTTGACTCGATGGTTAGAGGGGTATTATTCGAAAGAGAAAATTGAAGTGGTTGGAGAGCAGAAGGAATCAACTGAAGTTGGTGTTTTTTTGCGAGTGTTGAGTGTATGGATAAAGGAGCATATGGATGAAAGCAAATGGATGAAAAGCGTGTGGATGGAAAAGAATATAGATAAACCAGCATATGATGGTGTGTAACGGAGGTTTGACCAAGATCAGATGCACGATTATGTACAAAACGAGGACAAGAAAGCAGGCTCCTTTTCTCGGGGGTTCCTTCCACTCTGGTGAATAACCCAAAGTAGAATTTGTCAGCCTCTGGATTCATTGTCATCGAGCCAGCTCATTTTCTCCCTGTAATTTTTGACATGGGCTTGACACGCGCAGACAGAAACAGAGAAATAGAGAAAGAGAGCTCAATGGGGCACAGAGGACAGAGGATGGGTGGTAAGCCTCCTGAGGCGTGAGGCTATTCGCAGTTCGCGGGCCGCCGATCCGCTGATGTTTGTACCATGGCTTGCAGACCTCGACCCCAGCCAGTGACTTTGCCTTGCAACTCTAATTTGTATCTTTTAATCAGGAAAAATACAGGCGCAAGCAAATCTCAGAGTTCTCGCTCTACAGAGGTACTTGATTACACCAACAACGCCCACCTGTGTGAAACCAACCAACAATGATTCTACCTTCAAAGTTTAATTGTCTGTGACCCCCCAAACCCACCTTTCTTCCTCTTCCTGATCCTTAGGCACTGACTTGGAATCGTCTGTGATCCCCCAAACCCACCTTTCTTCCTCTTCCTGATCCTCAGGGACTCCCTTGTTATTTTCCTAGTTGTATGATTTGGGTTAGTTTCTCACACAAGAATTGGGAAGTCCGTCTCTTCAGAGGTTGCCTACCGGGTCGCTCTTATCGGGTACCTGCGGGATGGCAGCAGGCTTGCATCGTATATGATTGAAGTTCAGTTCCTCACAGGTAACCCCGCCATCGATTTCGAGAGGTCCGATCCATTCAAGGGGGCATCGGGCTTCGACCGCAAATTGTTCCGCAGCGCCACCAGCAGCCCCGGCCGGGTCTGGCTTCGCAGCACACGACAGGCGAAAGGTGTCTGTCGCGTTCCGTTCGCAGGCGAAGCCGTGCGCAAAGGACTTGGCACCATTCCACTTGACCTGGCAACCGGCCCAGAGTTCGGACTCGTCGGCGGAAAGCGGGCGTTCGGCGCTGTACTTGTGACGCAGGTAACCAAAGGCCCTCATTCGCTGGCCCTGGAGATCGGTGAAGCTGTCGCGGAAAGGACTAGAGAAGACCGAGAGTGGTGAGAAATTAGCAAAGTTCTGGTAAACATGGCTGCGGGAGTCGTGGGAGTGTAGATGGCCGAGCCGACTTACAAGTAATCCATGAAATTGTGGTAGTTGCTCGGTCGCCAGGCACCACACTGGAAGACTTCGCCGCCGTTGTCTTCTCTCCTCTGGTCCAGGGGAATGCTGTTTGTCGCATTCTCCTGCGGCCAGGTATCGTCAATGTAATCACCAATATCACAGCCCTTGTCCCACGGATGCAACAGGCCCAGCCAATGACCGACTTCGTGAGTAATGATTTTGCCTCTAACGGCCTTGATAGTCGTGGCACGCATGGCGCATGCATCAGTGGGAACCACAGTCTTCCACGAGAGCTCGCCGTTCAGGTAACGGCGTTCCGGCAAGGTACAGGAGCCAGCGGCACCGGCGAGGTGAGCCAGCCAGATGAGATTCAGGTCCGCCCACTGGCCCCGTCGTATGCCACGTGTCAATGTCTTAGATATTTTCTTGCGGTCTGTCACGGTGGCCAAGGTCTCGTTCAGGGTATAGCTCGTGTTGACATGGGTGAATGAAATGCCAAACCTCCCAAAGTCCTGGTTCAGCATGTCGACGACGGATACAACGTCCTCTTTCTGCCAGAAAATTAGCCTGGCGCACGGTGACGATGGCGACATTGCGTAGAGCAGCATCAACATACCGATACATAACCTCCCTCGACAGTCTCGTTCGCGTAGACCACGTGCCCGAAAACTCGAAAGTTCATATCGGGATACTGCGGCGCTTGGCGGACGTCTAGAGACGGCGCAAGACTGGCGTTATGCTCATAAAAGGGCGCCGGGTCAGCAGACTCCAAGTCAAGGTCACCCTGACACCAGATTTCTGTCCCATCTTCAAGAGTTGGGTCGGCGGTGCTCGAAACAGCAACCTGTGCCAGAAAAAGGGGAAGCAGAAGAGTCAGAAATTTCGTCATGGTAGAGATCAGCTGTCATGGACGAGGAGACAGGCAAAAATGATGGGAGAGAAACAGTTGCAAGAGAGCTCTTTGGTAATATATATAGCGACCGAATAGGACAGGTTTTTGTTCTTTTATTTCAAAATATCTTTTAAAGGCTTCTGTCAGACCGGAATGGCGGAACCTCTCCATTTCGCATGGCGCCAATTTCCTTGATTAAAATTATCATCGTAAGTTGCAAATGCTCTGGGCCCATGACTTGGCACATATCCCACCCTGTGGGCTGTCAGATATTGACGGAGGCTGGAGATGACATACCTTTTAGAAATATAGGTATAGCTACTAAGGCTTCACGTTTGACTCGCGCAATTGTGAGTCGAGTAATTTGTACGGAGCTCTACTGGCATCAAGGCAAGTCGTCAAGTGGATGTATACTAGAGGGCCTATTAATAGCTAGGTAGTTTATTAAGCTCTGAGCCTGACTAGGTGGAAATCAGTCGACATTGGCTCGAATCCCGAGTTCAAAATTATCCGCCAACACTACATTGTTGTGCCGCTATCCGTCGTTAGCGCGGCTTGCGACAGCTACAAGAAAAGGAAAATATTAAAAGTAAGCTTGCCAAGCCTCCAGCTCATCCCAATCTATAATCACAAGCTATATCTCGATGCACTTTCCTTATAGTAGCGGCGGGCGGCCGTGTGCCTAGTTACCATGCTGAGTCAGTGAGTCAGCCAAGGAGGCATCCAAACTCATCGCCACGCCTTGGATCTCCTGGTCTATACCTACTTGCCTATGTAATAGCCCTCGAAATAGAGTGGCTTATTGATGACTAGCCTGCGTATTATCCCATGCTCTGTGTCATTGATCAGTGAAAAGCTCACGTCCAGCTGACTCGTTATCCAGGTATCCATACTCTCGTAGCGTCCTTTGACCTTTTATCCCCCCCCCAAGACACAGACTGCCTAGGTATTTGGCACGATTTCCATTATTCGGTACCTGCCTAAGTGCGTCGGTCCCTCGCCATTCCCCAGCCAACGCCTTCTCTTCTCCTTTAATCCTGTCGCTCCTTTTGCTTCACCATTCACCTCCTCGCCAATCCTAGCCAAACTTTTCTTCCTCGCCAATCTCTTTTGCACGAGCCGGATATCTCGATACACACTGCAGTCTGCGACTTGAAAGCCAACTACGAATCAGCAATACTCCGCGCCTGACTTTGGAGGGCTATGCTTCCTGCGTCTGACGTCTGACCATGAAACAAGCGACGCCTCTGGCTGCGTCCATAGTCACCTCCAGTTTGTTTCCTCTTGTTTCCTGTCATCTTGAATAGAAGTCTGTTTCGCGGCCTGGGCAGCAGGTCAGGCAGCCTGGTCAAAGTCAAGGATCATAACCTGTTGTCGTTGCGTCACACTAGTTGTGGAGCGTGAACTTGGAAGGGTGATGAATTGGTACTCTCTACGGAGTACATACCTCCAGAACTCCAGAACAGAGGCCGCATCTTCGTATGGCCATGTTCAGCGTGGCTGTGGCTGTGGCTGCAGCTGTTTGCGACGCCTCTTCCTTCGAGCGAGGCCTCCAACCACAGGCCCAAGAAGAAAAAGCCGGCCAACTGAGCGACCGTTGTGTATCATCGCGTCGTCGGTCAAGACCACGTCAGATACCCCACGTCGTCGTCTTCTGGCACGCACACATGGCAATATCGCGTCTGCAGGTTGTATTTTTCAACATGCATTAGCAGCAAAGATCAAGAATACGACGGTGAGAGTCTGTCTTATCTTCATCCCTAGTCGTCGGGCTTATTGGCTGACGCCTCTTCTGTAGATTGCATGCTGACGGCGGTCTCAGATGGCATGGATATTTCAGGTACATATGTAAGTATTACAGGCGTGCGAGACCACAACGCGATCACGACGGTTATTTTGCCTCAGCATACTGGTGACAAATTTCGGTGACTAGCCATCATCAGAGACAACTTTGGTGGTGTGGTTGTCAAAATAGACGACCACGCGGCGCTGCACTTGTATGGGTACTGCCCACCACTTTTGCTAGCACCCTCGTTTTGTTTGCATGATCGGCTCAAGGCCCGCTCGATACCGTTTTACCGGCTTGGCGCATAATAAACGGAGTTGGGAATAGCTTTTCGAGTCTGGGCCCATGGCCGGTCCGGAGTACAAGGCACAGAGACAAGTCGTTCTTGACCATACTGGAGGACTTTTTGCTATAATACTAAACTCTAAATTAGCTCAACACTTGTATGGTGCAAGAGTACAACGCATTATACCCCGGAGAGAATATGTCAACGAAAGGGCAGATTGGTGATATAAGCCAGTAGGTTCTTATTGGCAATCAGGCGGTACAATGCAGCCGGACATGATTATACGAGAAGAGTACTCTGGCTTTTATTTTGCTTCGCTTTTGAGAAGAAGCACCCGTGAACATGACGCAAGTTATTGATCAGCACTATTTTCGAGCATCTTTTGTGTACATCTTCTACTGAAAGCAATCCTACGAAATGCAGGCTACCCAACCGGGCTGCGTCTGTCAATATTTCTGTAACGTACTGGTATAGTTTGTACTCTTACCACCAACCCAGGTGGTGAAGCAGGCTAGCGAGAGTAGGAAATTGCAAAAGTGCCTGTGCCAGTGGATATATGTATCTGTATTATAGCCATCAGGCGAATTCAACTATGTAAAGGGCTATTCAGCTCCCCTGGCCGCTATTCAGCTCCCCTGGCCGCTATTAGATCTTAAACGGTCACAATCATATTTACCTCAAACTCCCTCTCTACGGACTACTATGCTCTTTATCTTTTTTCATTTCCTAGTGCTCCTCGCTACCGGTGCCATGGCACTATCACCCCGAGATGCTATCCATATCGATGATATCGATCGATACGATTCCTTCTTGGAGCAACTCGACTTGGATGTCTTCCTCGACATGCACATGGAGAAGAGCATGATCAATATTGACGTTTTTCGCCACCCCACAAATATCAGGATTCGCTCTGAGCAGTTTGCTCCAAGCGCTATGGCGCACGAGTACTTTGATCAGGAAGAGAAGATGGCCAACGAAATTTTTGGAGTGAACCCAAACGACAATGGAGACTTGATTGGGAAAACCAGCTGTCGTATGGCTGGTTCGGACCCTCACCCTGGGAGGAAGAGATCGGATGGTCTTGATAACGTCAGAAGGCTCTCAAACTGTTTTCAATTCTGCGGCTCAGTTGCCCATTGCCGTGGGAACAATGGATGTCCACACTGCTTTGCTATACGACAGGGCTGTCTTTGGCAGAAATGTTGTCGATGAGGGCCAACGCCAAAAAGCTCTACTGTCGGATCCTTCGTCTGCCTGATGAGAGCTGGAATGACATGATACTTTAGTTCTGTCTCTTTTTTTAATGTTACAGCGCAAATTGAGTAAAAAAAAAGTATGCACTGCGTCTTCTCCTTGAATTTACCTGCAAAGGCTGCTTCTGTGAGGGGATAACAAGCCACCTAGGCAGGCTACGGCATTAGGCCACACCCTACAGCCTCACCGCCGTTTGAATAATAATTTAATCACGAGTATTAATGCTAGTTACTCGACTCAGAGGGTCAATAGATTCTGCCTAGCCTCTAGAGTCGACATTTCAACAGCATTTAACAGCATTTACAAATTACCGTCTCTCTTGTCTTCCATGGTCCCTTGCCCTGTAATTCGATTTATTGCTACACCCCCTCAGTCTCTAGCAATCGGCTGTCCGTCCTCGGTAATGTACCCCTCAGCCACAAAGATACGATGCAGCAGCTCCCTGATCCAGCCCTCCTTTCGCAGGTTATAATCCATGCCGTTGCCGCCGACCTCGTTGGTGGCCGCCGCCGCCTCGCGCTTCACCCGCGCGTACGCCTCGCAGTCCTCGGCGTGCGCGCGCAGCCAGTCGCGCATGAGCAGGTGCCGGCGCGTCTCCGGGCACCCGGGGCCCCAGACGTGCAGGTTGCACCAGTTGTCGCTGTAGCCCAGGAAGAAGCGGTGGCCGTGCCACGACCGCTCGCGGCTGCGGAAGTGGAAGCCCTGCGCCTCCAGCGCCGGCGCGTACGACGCCTCGTCGTCGACGTCGCCCACCGTCAGGTCAATGTCGATGATGTCCTTGGCCGGCAGCCCGGGCACGCTCGTCGAGCCCACGTGCGAGATGGCGAGCGCCGACGCCCCGAGCGCCGCGCGGATCCGGGCCTCGAGCGCCGCGAAGCGCGACGCCCACGAGGGCTGCGCCTCGGTGATGGCCAGCGGCGCGGCTCCCTCGCGGCGCGGGCTGACGTGCTCGACTTGTTCGGGCTTGTATTGGTAGTCCTGGAGTATTTCCTTGACTGTGGGTTTGGGTTCGGTGGCGGCCATGGCTCTTGTCTGTTTGGTCCTTTTTTAGACGAGACTGGCGCTGATTCCTTGTATGATGCTGGATCTTCTGGCGCACTGTGCAGGTTTCAGTGTGTGAGAAGAGGGGAGATGACTGCTGGCAAGATACTGCGGATGGGGGTGCATTTGTATGCAAATCTTCACGCCGTCCGCCTCATAAGCTGTAAACGACTTGACAAGTTACATCCTGTCAGGCGTCGGCACCATCATCCCCGGCGCTTTTCCGCATCAAGCACGCCGGTCATGATCCACGTAGCTAGTGACTCACAGACTGATCAGCAACCACAAAATATAAATAGGCGGGACCACCCATCCTCACCCATGCTGATATTTTCCTTGTATTGCATCACTTTATTCGTAGCTGGGTCATCAAGTAGACGCTTCATACCGAAGCTCCTGATACCCTCTGGCCGCGGCCCTCCAAGCATCATCTCGGCCTTTGACGCCGTCCCTCCACTCCAGCAGCATCTTGATCTCCCCAAAGTAATTTACACCACCCACCTGCGTAAAGCCGACCTTCTCAAAGAGCGCGCGACTCCCCGTGTTCCCCTGCTGGATCTTGACCATAAGCGCCCGCAGCGACTTCACCGCACCACCCTGCGCATACTCTTCCAGAACGGCATCGAGATTCGTTTGTATGTACAGTAACAAACTCCGCACCGCGGCTTCACCGTAGCCTTGACCTCTATGCTCCTTGGCTGCAATCATGACATCGACCTCGCCAATGAGAGCATCACCCCCGCCGTCGTCGTCGTCGAGGTGGAGGAAGAAGTTGACATCGCCAACCATGTGCGGATCGGCGTCTTGCTTCTGCGCCGTGATGATCGTTTCTGTGCCGGCCACGACGGGTTCGCAGATGAGAAAGGTGAGTTTGTCGGCAGACGTGCGCCACGATTGCTGGTTTTCGTACTCTTCTTCTAGCGTCATAGGCTCCGATGCCGTGGCTTCCTGTATGTCCTGAACGAATGCTTGTGAGATTCATGTCATGCAAAGACATGCCTTTCGCGGGCGACAAAACGTACGGGATCCTGCATCCAGCCATGGTACTTGACCACATGGTGTGCCTCGTAGGGCACCAGAAGCGCCTTTGCCGCCGAGATGGCTGTCCAATCCAGTCAGTCGCAACTAGCCGAGTTGACAAATAGACAACTTACCTGTATTCTGATTGACTCGCATGATTGCATGGTGTTGTCTGAGAAAATCTGATGCTCGATCAGTTGAGCAACATCTCGGGAAAGTGGATATCGTCAAACGCAAAAATGCAATTAACGAAGCACAGCTCTACACCAAGAAAGACCGATGTTGCCAAGCCATGGTAATCCAATGGCAAGTTTATGACTGATTGGACAAATCTCTGTCGAACATTGTCACTCTAAACTTGACTGAGCTTGGTGAGCGGGATTGAAGAGTATTAGCAGCCGCAGGTCGTGACTACCGGGTGGTGTATTACGCCGGGTCAAATGGGGTACTACATATGCATATCGCAGTATATGATACAAAAATACACTAATTTACAGATAAATTCACAACCAACTTAGTTGGGGTCATTCGGTGGCGTCTGCTCCATGGGGAGGTCCGTCTCGAGCAGCTTGGCAACCTGCGCCTCGCCCATCCTGGCCTCCATGGCCAACAGTTCCACCATCTGGTTCATCTTGGACTTGGCCGCCTTCGCTCCCAAATACGCCTGGAGCTGCTGGAGCACCTCTGCGTCCGAGACATCGCCGCTGGCCATGGGCGGGAAGAGCGTCAGGTGCTTGTTGGCGCGGTCGTGGTTGGACTTGGTCTCGTTGGCGGTGCCGTAGGCGTCGTCGGCCTCGGGCTTGGCATAGGCCACCGTGCGTCGCGTGGGCTGCACGCCCATCTCGTCGAGTAGGCGTTTCATCTTGCCCGGCATCATGGGCTGCAGCAGAATGGCGGCGATGCGAAGGGCTTCCGCGCTGCGGTGGATAGTCCAGTTCAGGAGCACCGGCGACAGGGGCTGGGTCTGTTTGGCGAGAACCCACGGTTGCGTATCGGTGATGAACCGGTTCGTCTATTGTAAGATTAGTCATTGTGCCTGTGCGGTGTGCCAGATGTGACTTACTTCTCGTAATAACTCGTACACTTCGCGGATGGCACCACTAGTATTATAGTCTTTCATTTCGTTGGAAAAAGCATCTGGAGCCCGCGCAAGGACAGACTCTAGCGAGAAGAACTGCGCGTATTCCTCTTTGCCTTTGATTGTATCCAGCTCTTTAAAAGCGCCGCTGTTGCTAGCGTCGACGGCTTTCTCGGTTGACCAGCCAGCAGCGCTTTTCGGTTTCGCAATTCTATAAAAGAGGTTGCCAATATTGGCCTGCAGCTCCTTTCCGTAAATGGCAGAAATGATGTCGTTGGAGTAGCTCATATCTTTGCTAAAGTTGCCGTTGCGCATCAGAAAGTACCGCAGGGGATCAACGTCCCAGCGCTGTAGGGCAAAGACGGGGTTGACGACGTTGCCGAGCGACTTGGACATTTTGCGGTTCGACATGGTCCAGTGATTATGACAGAGGATGCCTTTTGCAGGCGGAAGACCAAGGGCCAGGAGCAGCGCGGGCCAGTAAATGGCATGGAACCGCAGGATGTCCTTGCCAATGATGTGCAGGTCGGCCGGCCATATGCCCATGTCCTCTGTCGGGCTGCGCCACTTGCTACCGTAGCCCGTCTTTGTGATGTAGTTGATGAGTGCATCGACCCAGACGTAAATAGTTTGCGACGGGTCCTCCGGGTCCGATACGCCCCAGTTGAGCCGCGAGACAGGCCTGGTCACGGACAGGTCCTCGAGGTGGTTTTCGACCCAGTCGCGCACCTCTTGCATGCGATTCGCCGGCTTGACCCAGTCCGGGTTCTCATCATAGAACTTTAGCAGCGCGTCCTTGTACTTGGTCAGTGGGAAGAACCACGTTTCCTCCTTGACCCATTCGACCTCGTTGTCCGACTCGACGCTGACCATGATCTTCTTGCCCGTCTGCGGCACGATGCTGGGCCTGACCAGGTCCGCGGGGTAGAAGCACTCATCGCTGACGCAGTACCAGCCCTCGTGAGTGCCTTTATAGAGGCCGAGCTGCGCGTGCTTGAGCTGCAGCCAAAACTGTGCGACGGCGTCTTTGTGGTCCGCGTCGGTGGTGCGGATGAAGAAGTCGTTTGATATATCGGCGTCGTGCGTCAGGCTGCGGAACTTTTCGGAATTGACATCGCAAAAGGCTTTCGGCTCCATGCCTTCTTTGGCGGCGGCGCGCTGAATCTTCATGCCGTGCTCGTCAGTGCCGGTGCACAAGTAGGCTTCGCGGCCGTTGATCTGCTGCCATCGCTTCACGACGTCGGCGAGGACGGTGCAGTAGAGATGACCAATGTGGGGGGCTTCAGGAAGTTAGGGTCGTAATTGCCAGTTGTAATCGTGTATTGCGCATACCTGCATTGACGTAGAAGATGGGCGTGGTAACGTAGAAGGGCTTCTCCTTGGTTTGCGCGGAGCTGTTCCAGCGGCGCGACAATGGCCCATTGGGGCGACAGCTGGGGCAGATCCACGACGGCCTGGCCAGGCGATGGAGTGACTGGACTTGCAGACCTCTGAGGGGCTGTAAGTGTTGCAGCGTCATTTTGTCTGCGCAGTTGTCGCTGAGAAGCTCCTGTGTCAAAAGAAATGTGAAAGAAGCCTGCCACCAAGCTATGCCGCCAAAAGCTCGCTGGTGGATCTGCGCTGCCTGGACGTATTCGTAGCGCCTGGTGGATCAAACAGCATCAACTTCTTCATCCAGCATATCATCTCTCATGCCAATCATACAATACAAATTCACCCGAAAATAACCAGTTATACCAAATTTTCCATATATCACACACAAAATGAGCAATTCCAACCTCCCGGATGCGCACACCCAGGTGCAGGTCTCTAGCGAAGGTACGGCTGCCAACATGCTCCCCAACCGCCCAGACAACTGACCAGCCTGCCAGCCGCCGACAATTTTGTCAACACGTACTACCAGTCGGTCAACAGCAAGGCCAACCTTCAGAGCTTTTACGTCAACACGTCGCCGCGGTACTCGATACCCGCCGACATCTCCATCAACGGCCAGCTCGTCGCCGCGCCCGCTGACTACCTCAAGCTCATCGAGGCGCAGGGCAGCGGCGTGCACTACGACGTCGAGTCGCTCGACGCGCACGTCATGAACCCGTCCTTCAAGTTTGGCATGCCCGACAACGTCCACGACGCGGCCCGCGCCGAGCGCAACGGCTCCCGCATGAGCCTCGTCGTCACCGCCGTCGGCCGCGTCCAGTTTGGCCGCGGCAAGGACGCGCCACAGAAGATGTTCAACGAGACGTTTGTGCTCGTCCCCAACTGGGATGCCATGGCGAGGAACCCGCCGAGGGGGGCCAAGAAGTGGCTGATTATGTCGCAAAATTTTCGCGCGCTGTGAGAAGAGGCGGGGCTGGACGGGAGAAAAGCAGAGATGGCAACATCAGATATGGAACTTGATTTTGGAATAGCAGGATAGGCGCAATGGCGTTGGATGGCTCGGTAGAGCTTGTTTGCAGCACCTTTAGTTCTGCATCGTGTGCTTTGACGGCGTTTGACAGGACGGAGTTGAGTTGGAGAATATATGCAACTCAACATGCCGTAACTCTTAAATCGACAGAAGCGACGATTTTGTCTCTTCAAGAAGCCTCCCTTTGAGAGTCGCGTGAGCTTGCTGAAATGCTATGTTTAATGGTGCATTACCGCCAATGTTTAGTGCACCACACAACCTGCGATTCAGTTCATTGTAGATCAGTAGTAACTTTGAGAAATATTGAAGGAAAAGAAAATAATATAGAAAAAACGCCGGTATCCTATTAACTCACTTATGCTCGCTATCCCGAACACCACAAGGAGCAGGGGTCCACACATTCCACCACCTCAGCCAATCAGTGTCCCCTAAAATTTACCGACTCCAAAGCCAGCATCACCATCCATGACCAAATCCAAGCTTCCTCCATTCATCTTCAACCACGCATTCCCGCCACAATGCAAGCCCTCACCCGCATAGCACGCCCCGTGCTGACGTGCAAAGCACTTCCCATCCGGTACACTTCTCTCCTCCGCCGCTCCACCAATGCCTGCGACCTGACTGACCCCTTGGCCGTCCTAGGACCTTTACAACCCTCTCCCCCCTCCGGCCGAGCCTCTACGCCAACCCGATGCGAAGACCAAGCGCCATGACGTGCTTCACACCTCTTCCCTCGACCACCACCGCCGCCGCCGTCGACGTCGTCGCCCCCTCGGCCATCTCCGCGCACCCGGCGCTCGCGGGCGGCGCGAGCCAGATCCGCTGCGGCCCGCGCAACACCATGAACGGCGCGACGAGGCTGGTGCAGAAGCGCCGCCACGGGTACCTCGGGCGCACGCGCACGCGCACCGGTCGTGCCATCCTGAAGCGACGCCGGCAAAAGCGACGCGCCAAGCTGGGCTGTCACTAAAACGGGGGGGCAGCGGGCGCCTGATGGCAGCAGGCAGGGAAGAATCTGCTTGATCCAAAACCGCGACGGTAGCATATCGAAAGTAGGGGGGTTTGAAATCCCGGGCTCCATTTGTTGGTGAATGGGAGCGTGTAGCATTTTCCGTGTTTGAAATAGACCAAAGCAGGCTGAGCTGGAGCTTATTCATGGTGGCATTGGCAGAGTGCCACAGACATTCGTGTACATTACAATCTATTGGCGAGTTTATTCTGTCTCATCTTCCCCTCTTTCTAATCGTGTTCTTCATTCCGTTCAACCCCTACCCCGTACCCCATCTACACAGGTTTCTAGACGGGGCCCTTGACGCCAGACTCGCACGTCATTGATTCGACATGACAGACCGTACCCAGAGTATCACTGGCCTCACCGAGCCACACCTTGTACGCTCCGTCAACCTTGGGCACCACCCAGTCCTGGATCACCGTGTCCCAAACACTGAGATCCTTGCGCGTCAGCCGCAGCTCGACCGTCGCATTGCCATTCGGCGCCAGCGTCTCCGTCTTTTCGAAATCCCGCAGCTGGATGACGGGCGTCTCGTAGCCGGCGTCCTCGGGGAACTGCAGGTACGCCTGCACCGACGCCTTGCCGCTGCGCGTCGCGCCGACATTGGTCACGCGCACCGAGAGCGTGTACGCCGTGTCCCAGAGCGCCGGGTTGCCGCCCTGGCCGCCGCCCGCGCGCGGCCCGGGCTTCTGCTCGGTCGAGTAGCCGGCGGGGTACGGGTACTTCTTGCTGGCGGCGTCGCGCACGGCGGCGTCGGCCTCGGACTGCTTCACCCACGAGTAGATGTAGCGGAAGATCTTGCGGAAGCCCGCCGGCTTCACGCCCTCTTGCGCGGTGGGCATCGCCTGCGTGTAGTCGAGGATGCCGCTCTTGGCGGACCGCGGCGGTGGCGTCCTGGACAGGGGCGTGACCTTGGTGATGGACGCGTCGCTGAGGCGGAACGTGGTGTAGCTCAGGCCGTGGCCAAAGGCGTAGCGCGGCGCAATCTTTTGCTTGTGCAGCCAGCGGTAGTCAATGTACAGGCCCTCGGTGTAGTCGTCGGCCTCTTGGTTGCCGAGCGCGAAGCTGATCAGGTTCGTCACGCTCCGCGGCATGTCCTCTTCGGCACGCGTGATGCTGTACGGCAGGTGCCCGCTCGGCGACACGTCGCCGTAGAGCACCTCAACGAGGGACCGCCCGGCCTCCTGGCCGGGCAGATGGGCAATCAGCACCGACTTTACGGCGGGCAGCTCGATCCACCTTTCCAGCAGCATCGGCCCAACTGTGTGCGCGACAACTACCACGTTTTTGTACTTGCTGGCAACATCTTGCACGAGCTTGTCGCCGTTATGCCAGGCGTAGAGCTTGGAGGCGTCGCGATCACCGTGGTTGCCCTCGACTGTGTACGTATTCTCGCCTGAGTCGGAGTTGATGAAGACAATGGCCACGTCGCTATCCGCCGGTGTGGGCAGGGACCGAGGCATCGAGTCCGTGTTGTGCAGAGTGACGTTGGGCACGCGGGCCCGCAGAGCGCCAATAGGATCATCCAGATACATGTAGTCGACAGTGCCGCTGCCCCAGCCCTGCCCGAGCGTGCCCTTGTTGCAGTTTCGATCTGAGCACGCGTTAGGCCCGTCCGGGTTCTTGGCCGCGTCTGTACCGAACACAGTGATGGACTGCTCCTCAGACAGAGGCAGCAGCGGGCCGTCATTCTTGAGCAGCGTGATGGCGTCCTGCGCCACCTGCCGGGCCACGACGTCGTGGTCGCCGCGGACGTCGATATTGTCGTTGACAACGCCAACGGGCGACTCTGGGAACGCGGCGGGATAGAGCATGCCGCGCGTGTCTCTAGTGTTGTAGTGGAAGTTGGTAGCGGGAAAGTCCTGGTCCTGGCCCATGTGATACCACGCCGCGACGATGCGCGTGGCCATGTCGTTGAGCCGGGTCATGGGCACCGAGCCATTGAGGACGGACCGCGTCAGCTCAAACATCCAATAGCTGTAGCCCAAGAGCGGCACCTGCTTGTCGCCGGGCATGTCCATGTCCAGGCCGGCCAGGGCGGAGTCGACACCGGACATGTGGCCGAGCCAGTCGCTCATGACGAAGCCTTGGAAGCCGAGCTCATCCTTGAGGATGCCGTTGATGAGGTTTGGATGCTGGCTGCATGCAGACCCGTTGACCTGAAGAAAGAAAGAAAATGATTAATCAACCAATAGTTTTACTAAAAGCGTATGATGCGACGTACAGCGTTGTACGCAGTCATGGCGGCCCCCACGCCGGCATGGACTGCTTCGGCAAATGGCCACAAGTACAGTTCATGCAAGGTCCGGTCATCTTTTGTCCACAAATGTTAGCTTTCGGCCGACTCTGAACCCGAGCTGGGGGGATAAACAATACCGATATTGGCACTGTACGCTTGCTGAAACGGGTGGTACATGCGGTACATTTCCTGCTCGTTGCCCACGAGGTGCTTGATGGTGGCAATGACGCCCTGCTCCTGGATACCCCGGATAGTCAGGCGCGCCCCGACCGCCTGCAGCGCAGGATCCGCGCCAAAGCCCTCCCAGTTGCGGCCGCCCTTTGGCTTCCGTCCGATCGGCCCAACCGTGGGACCGAGCAGGATATGGACGCCCTTACCCCGGGCCTCCTGGCCCAGAGCTACGCCACGCCGGTACAGGAGCGTCTTGTCAAAGGTGGCGCCGGCCGTGATACCACCAGGGAAGGCGGTGACGTGGTCGGCTTGCCGGATGCCGCTGGCGCCGTCTTCGAGACACAGCATAGGGAAGCCGACGCGGAGGGCCGAGCCGGTGTTTCCATTGCAGCGTCTGAAGGATTGTTAGTGAGCCTGAGTTACTGGGGGCACAGTATAGGGGTGTATGATGGGTTCGGAGAAGACGTACCCTATTCGCAAGTTAGCCTGATGTCTGCATGAAAATGGGGGCCCCAAACTGTTACAAGATGGGCTGCATCGCCCCCCGTCTTATTACCCCTCGGGAACCTCGACTTACCCATGAAAACGCCAGTTCCACCCGTGATGTTGGTCTTTTCGGCCAGGGTCATGGAATCAACCAGCCGCTTCGCCTTTTTGTAGCTCTCCCGCCACTCAACTACCCAGCCACCGTACGGCGCGGGATAATACGGTGTCGAGTCGTAGGCTGATACCGTATTGTCGGCGCCGGCCGGCCCCCCCAGAAGGAAGATCAGGATCAGAGCGCCTGCCACCGAGGCAATAGTACTCTTTCGCAGCAGCTTCTTCTTCATCTTTGGTAAGGATGAGGATGCTCAAAGTAGCATGTTGATGGAATCTTTTGAAACCACCGATTCCAAGATGAAAGAAAAAAAGAAACCGACAGAGGTTTAATGACCACTCGCTAGCGCACACACGAGACTGTCGCAGGACCAGAAAACAAGATGAACTGGGCTGGTGCTGTTTGCATGAGACGGCGTGCATCTGATGACGCTCACATGTTGGAAAAATGACACTTTCTTTGCCGTAGCACCATTGTGAGCGCACCAGCTACCAAGTTAGACGAGAGGGTTAGCAAGGGGCACGCGGCGCTACGGACGGGGTATCACACTACCGGAACTGATTTTGCGGATAAGGGTTTCGAGAGAGGCATTCAGTACTTAGAATTGGTCACTCGGGCGATGATCTGGAAAGTAGTCGGATCGCGGTGCGGGCCATCGCTTGCAAATCCTGGTCATATGAGTATTGCGTTCCCACCACATTGACAAAGATTACTTCATCTTCGACTATCCGTGATAACCCTGTTCTATTTCTCTTGTCATAGTTTCATAATTATCGTTGCCCGTGTAGTCAAGTTTTCGATGTTAAGACAGCAGATAGCACGCCCTAGTTCTTTGTGACATGTAGCCACTTGACTTGCTACGCCACATCGCGTGCCCTCGAATGTCGTACCGCCCGTCTATCTTTTCTCCTTTCATGCATTGAATAGTCGTACGAGAACTGGGGTTGGCGACATGGAGGGTTGCTCAAGGGTTGCTGCAAGACATCTTGTGGTTGAACTGTCACACTACACTGGATGCTGCACATGTCCACTCGCGCCTTTTACATTTTAGGCACGATCACAAGCATGAAATTTGCGGCTGGCTGAGACGGACTGACCGGCGCAAGCCACACGCAGTGCTCAGCTTGACGCGGGGTATATCAGCAGGCGTAGTATTGCATCTCACCAAATGACTTTATTTCACAGCGCGTCGACAGCTGTTATTTTATTGGTTGCGATAACTTATTGTATTCAAGTATTCCACGACACAGTTTACGAGACCCTATCAGTTTGTTTTCTGACTTTGCTCTGTCACCCTTGTAGCCCAACCACCGTCAGCCGAGCCCATCGCGAATACCAAAGCGACAGCAGTCGGGCATCGCCCTGATTTCACAAGGAAAATTTGATTTCCCTTCAGATGCGATTCCTCGGCCCCTTGTATACATGCACCTTTGTGCTGTCTCAGACGCCACGTTCTGAGACTGGCATGAATCTATCAACTTTTTTTTAGTTACTTAACAGAGGACACGTATTGGCATCTGTCATCGTATTATTATAAGCTAGCTCTCGCCGGATCGTCCGCGCCATGCCGGTGGTTTATCCCTATCAGGAAGGTTTGATTGAGCCAGTCCACACTAATACCCCAGGTTGCCAACACACGGCTTTGGCGCACAGCCTTGGCGGGCGGCTGACGAGAAGCCAAAGCACACTCTCTTGCATGGGCTTACCAATTCCTTCATATAGAGAGAGGTTCGTGTCATGCGACCGTATAGCATGTCTGATATAGGGCGCTCAGGGTCTTTGAACTATCCTCCCGACTCCAGCACTGCCATCTCCAACGCAGTGTATAACCTGCAGACTGTAGAGTAGTTTTTCCATATCAAACCGTAGATTGTGAGTCGAGAGCAATTCCATTCCGCAATCATCGACAGTGTCCAGGCGTCGGCAGAGGACAGAACCATCACCCAACCCACCCCGCAAAGGCTGGGGTCAATAAACCCATCATCTCCACGCCGCCCGGCATCCAGACCCTCAATTCATGGCGGTGAGATGGGGGCTGGCCCGCTACCAATTGAGAAGCTCTTTTTCGGGACCCCTTCTGCCACCAACACTAGTTGTAATACAACAAATAGTGATTGTGATGGTTTCGGGGAGTTGCTCCGACGCTATCGCTTGATCAAATAGACGGACGCCAGCTAAAAACAGCTCGCGCGCAAGCCCTAATGGCAGTGACAAGCAAGCAAATGTCTGCCGAATAAGACTTGCACTAGGTAGCTATATCCCAGCTAACCTATGCATATTGGTGGGCTGCGCACCCACATGCCAGGCGATCCTTTCGCAATTCTTTTAACCCACAGAGGCGGTACCTGGAAGCTTGGCGATGCAGACCTGCCTGAACTATAGCTTCCTTACGAGACGCGCTATCCCTCCGTAAGCCGCTTCCACCGATCCCGCTCCGGCAAGGCAAAAACGCTCTCAAGGCTAGAAGCGGGCATCGCATTGGTGACTGTGTTTAAACTGACTAGTAGTTCTACTCCAGCGGGCCTTGGCTTATCTGTTGATCAAAGGCATAATCCGGCTTACATTGTGCAGTGATATTGGAGCCCGGAGCCCGCATCTCGTCTATTTCCACGGTGGCCGGCACGCGCGAAGCAGCGGCATGGGAAACCCGACATGCAGGGTACTGAACGGGCGCATGCGGCGACGCTCCGTCAAGTCCGGCGGCCAGCTCAGGCTTGGCTAACTAGACCCTTAGGTTCTTGGAGAAGTCGGCGCTGTCCCCCTTGCAGATGCAAACTCACCAACGCCAGCTAACTAATCATCAACAAGGCTATGCCGGTCCAGGAAAGGTACCCCGGCACCAGAAACGTAGCTCCCCCGGCAACTTTTTTTCCGTCTATCGTGCACTTCTCCTCACCACACTGCAGAGTCGGGGCCAAGAACTCGCAGCGCCCATGTCCGGCGGGGGGGCTATCGCATGACCACGGCCTTGACTGTCCTCTTTCCTCCCTTTCCGGCGAGCAGATTTGCGAATAGAGGCTACGCAGGAGTGCGGGGATAGCGCAATGATTATGTCTTGCCGGTGCGTCGGGAACCAATGTGCCGCGTTTGGGTCGAGACGATATTGAGAGGCTCAGACCGGGGGGAGTAAGAATGGCCGTTGAGATTGTGTATATAAGGACACTAGCCAGTCCATGAAGAATCAGGTTTCTACCAGCAGCTTCAGAAACCAAATCCTCACTCCTACTTCTCGCGGGTTACATACTTTTGTCTCACTTACACCGACAAGATGCGCGTCGCCCTCCTCTCCCTCGCCTCGGCCGTGGCAGCCAGTCCCATGGCCAACTACCTTTCCACCATGGAATCAAGAGGTATGCTCTGTACCAAGACAATGCCCCCCCCCCTCCTCTTGCAAGTCCCTCTCACTAACACCGGACAGCCGCCACTCTCGACGACAACTCCATGAACAACTTCCGGTTCTACGCCCAGCACGCCGCCGCCGCCTACTGCAACGCCGTCGGCCCCTCGCCCGGCGCGGCCGTCTCCTGCGGCGACGAGTGCGACGACGTGATGCGCAACGGCGCCACCATCCTCCGCACGTTCCAGGGCAGCAACACAGGCATCGCCAGCTACGTCGCCGTCGACAACGTCCGTCGGGAGATTGTCTTTGCGACGCGCGGCAGCAACAACATCCGCAACTTCGTCACCGACGTGCTCTTCCTCAGGCGCGACTGCGACTTTGCCGCCGGCTGCCAGGTGCACAGCGGCTTCGCCGACGCATGGGGCGAGATCGCCGTCGCCGCCACCGCCGCCATCAAGGAGGGCCTGCAGGCGCACCCGGGCTACCGGCTCGTCGTCACCGGCCACTCGCTCGGCGGCGCCGTGGCCGCGCTCGGCGGCGCGTACCTGCGCCGCGCGGGCTTCGCCGCCGACGTGTACACGTTTGGCGCGCCGCGCGTCGGCAACGACGTGTTTTCCACCTTCTCGGGAGCCCAGCCGGGCGGCGGGCTGTTCCGCATGACGCACACCGACGACCCGGTCCCGCGCCTGCCGCCCATGATCTTTGGCTACCGCCACGGCGGCACCGAGTACTGGCTGTCCAACGGCGGCGCGCTGCAGAACAAGTACCAGGCGACCGACGTCAAGATTTGCCCGGGCATCGCGAGCATCGAGTGCAACGCCGGCACCTTTGGCTTCGACATCCTCGCCCACCTTCACTACCTGACCGACACGTCCGACTGCGCGCCGCTGGGTATCCGGTGGAAGCGCGAGGATGGCCCGTCCGACGAGGAACTCAAGCAGCGCCTCACCAAATGGAGCCAGCAGGACCAGGCGCTGGTCGGTGGGAAATAGGCTGCAAAAATAAGCTTCCATGTGACGCGGTCCGCGAACTGGCCGACCAAGCATTGGCGCGAAACCGCAATGTTGATGATGGAAGGTACATACCTATGAAAAAGCGCATCGTACATAGTTCAAACGAGCACATACTTGGCATACTTTTTTGTTTATCCAGTTTTTCTTTTGTATATAGTACACCTTATGTTTCCTTGTTTATGATAGACTGACTACATATCTACACACCTCCCAACCGACCACTGCTTTCCTTCTTACACCATGCTTTCCGGCCTTCTGTAACGACAGAATATTGAAAAAGTTTAGTTGTCTCTCTCTACAACAGAGGCCCTATCCCTCTTGCCGCATTCGTAGCAAGCTTGAACCGTGACTGCGTCAGCACAAGTTGTCATTAATCCTAATCTTCTCCTTCAACTGCGACCGTTTACATTTCCCATACTACAAAAGCTCAAATATCTCTCAAATTAGGGTGACAACAGTCGTGTCCCTTCCCATCAGCCCATGGCTCTAGTGAATGCCCTCTGTCACCATACCCAATGCATTCGGCACGCCAACCAGAACTACACCTCGTGGAACCAAGACATCCTTGATTTTCATGCATCCAAACACGTTGACGTCCTTAATGTTTGGACAGGCTCGGAATATACTGCCCAAAATAAAATCCGTCACCTCTTCGCAAAAGCTAATCTCCAATGAGCGTAGCTCCGGATACAATGTGTGTTCTCTAAAGGCCTCCTCGAAGGCCTCGCGCGAGATGTGCCGGCAGGCATGGATATTGAGATGTCGGATTTTCGGCCCAGAATGCGCCATGAGTGCCTTGAATCCCTCACTGCAAAGACCTATATTCTCCGGATTCTCGCGCGGACGAGCAGCGTCGATCTGCCGACACTTTTGAAGGTCAATGAATGCCACCTCGGGGTTTTCCCACCCGGTAAAAAGCTTCACAAAGCCGGCATCAGTCATAGCTTCGCTATCCGTGATTCGTAGCTTGGTGAGCGATCGGCAGTGGTTGTGAATTGCCATCAAAACTTCGTCTCCGGCGTCTGGAAAAATCTTCAATGACAATGTCTGCAAATTTGCACCGACGCCAGCAATACACTCGGTCAGGTCTGCTGATGCGATTTTGTGGTGAAGTTGAAGGCCGAGATGTTCAAGGGAGGTGAGGGCGCTGATTGCCTTGACACCTTTGCTAGTAAGTTTCTGATTGTTTGCCACTTTGAGCCGTTGCAGTCGTGGGCAGTGCTTTTTTAGCTCAACAATGGTGTCATCTCCAAAGTGCAAATCCGTGTAGTAAACCTGAAGCGTTCGAAGCTCGGCACCCTTCGCAGCCAGAAACTCGTGCCATTTTGCTTCACTCAGCAAATTTGCACCATGCAGATAAAATGTTTCCAGGCAAGTATCGCGTGATAGCAGGTAGTCCATTACTTCGTCCTTGAACTGAATCGCACAGCGCACTTTGAAGTGTCTTAACTTGGTCGCTACTTGGAAAATGCTCATGAGGTCATTTTCACCCAGCCTAGCACCGTCATAGATGTGCAGTACATCGGTATTCGGACGAACGAAAAGCGGTAGAGTCTCTGGCTTGAGTAGTCGGCGCTTTGAAAGAATGCGCCCAATTTTGTCAATGAGGTGTTGCGGTAGATCACCCAAGCTCTCGGCCATGTCCACATTCTTTGCCAGAGTTTGAACGCAAAGCGTGGCCAGGCTCTTAGTTCCCACATCACCGTCGAGAATTCGGCTTTGCGTGGCTCGACGTGCCCCAATTCCGCCCGTTTGCTTGCGAGGCTGTTTTTTCGGTTTCTGTCCCTCTCGCTCTTTGGCTATCTCGCGGCCACAGGGAGCACACAGGAAACCCCCGTTGGGCCCAGCCACAGAATACGGGGTGACGGTAAAGCGCTTTTCACAAATTTCACAGTTGTCCATCTGGCCAGGTAAGGGCGCATGGCTTTGCTCAAAAATGGCTCGCGCAAGGTCATCCTCGTCTTCATCGTCGTTGCCGCGCCTCTTGCGCTTCTTGAATGATTTGCTAGCCTTGATCTTCTCGATGGCCTTTCGTTCTTCCTTTTGCTTCTTGGTGGCATTCTTGCCAGCAGGCGCATGTTGGCTTGCAGTAGTACTCGACTCCGCTACTGCCGATGAATCACCGTTTTCGCGCGTCTGGTTCGCTGCGGCCTGTCGCCGGGAATCGGCAAGATCACGAATCTGTCTTGCTGAGATGTTATGCGCCTGGAAGCTGTTAGCGACGGGGCCGGGCAGAATGAGGTGATGTATCAAGACTGACAGCTAAAAAGTCCGTCAAGGCCGATTGTCTTCTATCGGTTAGCAAATCTCGAAAATGGCACGAAATTTGTAGGTGACATACGGTCCAGTAATATTTCTGGTCCGCCTGGGAGAATTATTTTGCTCAGCGTCATCCGTGGGAGTTGGGGCCGATCGCCTCCGGACCCTGTCGGCACGGTTAGGAATTATCTCTGAGTTTGAAAATGCACCATAAACTGACATCTTGAATGCTAAACAATCTTTACCCCTTCTTACTTGATAGTAAATATATGTCGCCCGCAGCGCGGCGAAGAAAGGTTGGAAATTTGGAAAGAGCGAGTGTGTCCAAGGCTAACTATAGGCAAGAGCACAGTGGCGCTCATGAGTTGAATGTAGCCAAGTGCAAACGCCGTAGCGTGTCAAGCACTTCCTCGCGGTTCTAACACGGTGTCACGTGATCGGCTCGAGAAAAAACTGTAATTCGCACTGTAGACTTCACCTAGGGCTGTGCCAAATCGCGGGGTGTTGTGCGTGGCGCACAGTGTGGCGTACCTGAATACACTGGCTCTTTAGTTTTTCAGGCCCCACACGTGCAATCGTGTAAAGTGGGAGACTAAGTCGTCATTATTGGCACTGTGCTAGGCAGTAAGTCAGTCACGGTGGCAGCAAAAAGAAACGAAGCCACCATTCACGGTATCACACCCATTCAAACGCATGCGACACTTTCATCCTCAGTTCTATTTGCGGCTCTGACCATCCTTTCTTTAATAGTATCCTGCATTGCTGGCTCCATTTGACTGGCAATTGTATCTAAATCGCTACGGGCAATTCGTCGCTGCTCGCCACCGCCGGGTATCTGAGCTCCCTGGTTGGTCGCCCTAACCAATCTTTCGCGCTCCAGAACCGACGCATCGGCACAACCTGAATCTTCACAGCGGTCTGCTATTCGTGATCTCTGTATTCTCTTCTTTTCAAAGACAACACAAGATGCAACCTGCTCGAGCATCCGGCGGTGCCTCCACCCCGGTAACTGGTACGTGAATTATCTACCGATGGCCCTCTTTAGGCTTCGCTAACACTCTATTCTCTGATCTGCACTACAGCTAGCAATGGTCTCAGGCGGTCTGCTCGATCATCTCTTCGTGCAAGCTTGAACTCCTCACGGGCACCATCAGTCACAGACTCCATTCCCAGCAGCAACGCTACTCATCTCCGTCAGACTGTTGCTCACGCGCCCCCCAGCGAAACTGTTTCCTCCGCCACTACGCCTGCAGAGCTTACTACAGATGAGGCTAGCGACTTTACTCCTGCCACCAGCATGATGCCTACACCACTGTCAAATGAGGCTGGGAACTCACCTGACAAGCGGGCATCCTTTGTTATTGAAGTCCCCACCGCCCAAAGTCGTGCGGAGAGAGAACGTGCCGTGCGCACAAGCGGCTTGTCTCTCAACTCAAAGGGCAAGCGTCGCGCTGATCTTATTGACGACTCTGATGATGACGAGGCCTTCTCTGATCACTCCCCAGATGCCAAAGTTGCCCGGAGACTTCAAGACGAGGAATATGCCAAGACCCCTTCCTGGACAACAACTGTCCCAAATCATTTGCAATATACTGACAAAAACGGCGGTATAATTGACAAACCCTGCAAAAGTTGGCCAGCAAAGAGGGCGCGCGCCGATACTTCCAGTGGTTCCCGCCGCCACTCAAAGAAGATCCGAGTGATTTCAGATTCTGAAGCCGATTCACCTTCAGACATTGATATGGACGCAGAAATCGCCGCTGCTGTTGCTTTTGATGACGTTGGTATCGCTGATACTACTACACATCAGCAGCACCCCTCCTTTGTGATATCCGATTCCGATAAACTCAGTGACCTAGACGACTCAATATTTGAAGGCTCTAGCGATGGCGAACCGTCATCCAAGTCCAAAGGAAAGCAGCCGATGGTCTTGGCACATCGTTCAGGTCCTAGCAGCCGCAGAAACAAGTCGCTCAAATCTGGAGGTGCGAGTAATGCAGACGCCATCAGCATTGCTAGCGAGGACTCTGATGCTTCGTATTTGTCCGACCTTTCCACAAAAAAGCCCTTTGACGAAGCCGCTGTTCTCGACGAAAGGGCTCAACTTGAGAGAATCACTGCCTCGCGCAAGGCTTACAGACGTGGAAACAAGCGCCGAGACCAAACCGAGCGAGATCGTCTTGAGGCTCATCACCCAGAGCTTCTGGATATGTGGACAGACCTGGAAAATCTGCCAGAAATCGACGCAGGCAGGGCAGAACAACCCACCACTATTTCACGTCGCCTCAAACCCTTTCAGCTTGAAGGCCTTGCTTGGATGAAGGAGATGGAGAAGCGGGAGTGGCGTGGCGGCCTTCTCGGCGACGAAATGGGTCTGGGCAAAACGATTCAAGCCGTGTCACTCATCATGTCCGACTATCCTGCCAAGCAACCTACCTTGGTGCTTGTGCCCCCAGTTGCTTTGATGCAATGGCAGTCAGAAATAAAATCCTACACTGATGGGACCTTGAAGACGTTCGTCTTTCACGGCACAAACGCCAAGACCAAGGGCATGCAAATCAAAGACTTGAAAAAGTACGACGTGATTATGATGTCGTACAACAGTCTAGAGTCTATTTATCGAAAGCAGGAACGTGGCTTTAAGCGCAAGGACGGGCTCTACAAAGCAGAAAGCGTAATCCACGCCATCCACTTCCATCGCATTATTTTGGACGAAGCCCATTGCATCAAGACACGAACAACAATGACAGCCAAGGCATGCTTTGCTCTGAAGACCAACTATCGCTGGTGCTTAACGGGAACTCCGCTCCAAAACAGAATCGGCGAGCTCTTTTCTCTCATCCGATTTCTCAACATCAAACCGTTCGCTTCGTACCTATGCAAACAATGTCCCTGCTCTACCCTGGAGTGGGACATGGACGAAGACCACCGGTGTCACAATTGTGGCCACGGCGGCATGCAGCATGTATCGGTTTTTAACCAAGAGCTTCTCAACCCAATTCAAAAGTTTGGCAACTTTGGCCCTGGACGCGAGGCATTCCGCAAGCTGCGACTGATGACAACGCGCATCATGCTCCGTCGGCTGAAGAAGGATCACACCAACGCCATGGAGCTGCCTGTCAAGGAGGTCTTTGTCAATCGGCAATTCTTTGGCGAGGAGGAGAACGACTTCGCGGGCAGTATCATGACGAATGGGCAGCGCAAATTTGACACTTATGTTCATCAGGGTGTCCTGCTCAACAACTACGCCAACATTTTTGGCCTCATCATGCAGATGCGTCAAGTCGCGGATCATCCCGATTTAATTCTGAAGAAGAATGCCGAGGGCGGACAGAACGTTCTTATCTGCTGCATTTGCGACGAGCCGGCCGAGGACACGGTGCGCAGCCGCTGTAAGCACGACTTTTGCCGGTCCTGCGTTGCGAGCTACATACACTCCACTGACGAGCCCGACTGCCCGCGCTGCCACATCCCGCTGTCTATTGACCTGGAGCAGCCCGAGATTGAGCAAGATCAGTCTATGGTGAAGAAGTCTTCGATTATTAATCGTATCAAGATGGATAATTGGACTTCATCCTCCAAAATTGAGCTTCTCGTTCACGAATTGCACAAGCTGCGGTCGGACAACGCGTCTCACAAGTCCATCATATTTTCGCAGTTTACGACAATGCTGCAGCTGGTGGAGTGGCGCCTGCGCCGCGCGGGCATCACCACGGTCATGCTGGACGGCAGCATGACGCCTGCGCAGCGCCAGGCCTCGATTGAGCATTTCATGAACAACGTAGACGTAGAGTGCTTTCTCGTGTCGCTGAAAGCCGGCGGTGTCGCGCTGAACTTGACGGAAGCATCTCGCGTCTTCATTGTCGATCCGTACGTCCCATCCCTTGCGGTCCATCGCCATGTGTACATGTGTTACTAACATCTTGTGTGACAGATGGTGGAACCCGGCGGCTGAGTGGCAGTCGGCGGACCGGTGTCACCGCATCGGGCAGACCCGGCCGTGCACGATTACACGCTTGTGCATCGAGGATTCGGTAGAGAGCCGCATGGTGCTAATCCAGGAGAAGAAGACGAGCATGATACACTCGACTGTGAATGGCGACGCCAAGGCCATGGAGTCGCTGACGCCCGAGGACATGCAGTTCTTGTTCCGCGGTAGTTGAGCGTGGTGGGTGGTGACGTACCCTACAGCAGCACCAGGGAAGCCGGCATGGAGTTCTTGGGCGTTTTCTTTCATCTTTTCGCTTTGGCTGTTATGATGTATTGGCTTTGAGGCGTGTAATATCATAGAGCAGATGACTTGCCATGTTGTGTTGATTCTTTGCTGAGGAATATCTCTGGGTAGCGCATGAAGTGTGGGGTTCGACTAGAGAAGTTGTCACTCTTTCGTTTTTAAGCTGGGTAAACCCCCGAAATACGCGTGAGCCGAACTATGTTTGAGACTAACAGCATTACTGCTACATGATTTACACTAATGCGCATCAAAGTGCAAACACCCATTTCATCATCACAGCTACCACATTTGAATTGAGTGTTTGATATTAACTTCGGCAAGTCTATACGACGAAAATGTAATCCAAAATGTGGGCAATTTCCTGCCCATACAAGAATGCGCAACTTAATAGTGTGTCTACATCGTAAACATGGCAATGCTATGTTTCCTGTTCCAGCACATTACATGCCCATCAGGGCATTGATGGTAGGTTCAGAGGAGACGTAAATGACGTCGTGAGCGTTGGAAAAGCCATTGAACTGGGTGGCAGAGCACTTGGTGTAGGCGCCCATGTCCTCAAAGTAGAGCCAGTCCCCGACGTCGACAAGGTGGGTGAAGCGGGTGCTATCGGTGATGCGGTCGATGCCATCGCAGGTAGGACCCCAGATCGAGTACTCGATGCCGTCAACTGCGGGGCCAGTGATAGCTGTGTCGTAGACAGTCTCGCCGTTGCGGCGCAGGACCTTGGCAACTGGGTGCTGGTGGTCAAATATGATGTTGGAAAAATTGCCGTAGACGCCGTCGTTGATGTACATCATGTAAGAGGTGACGCCGGTGGTGGGGTCGTCGACGGCGCGACGGGCAATGACGTTGCAGGCAATGGTAAATGCCGAGGCGACGTAGTAGCGACCAGGCTCGGCAATGATTTCGACGTTGCTGGTGGCGGGAAAAAGCTCGTCGAGGGCGCCGCTGAGGACAGCGGCATTGACCTCAAAGGTGGCACCGGAGAAGCCGCCGCCGACGTCTAGGGTACGAAGGTGGAAGCCGTGGTTGGCAGCCTGCTGGAAGACGAGATGGGCATCCTTGACGGCGTGGTAGTAGGCCATGGGGTCGGCGGAGCCTGAGCCGACGTGGAAGCTGACGCCGACAACGCTGAGGCCGAGCTCCTTGGCGAGGGCGAGGAGACCATCAGTGGTGTCCATGGGAGCACCAAACTTCATGCTGAGGCGGCAGGCCGAGGAAGTATCGTCGGTGATAATGCGCAGAAAGAGCTCAGCGTTGGGAAAGTGTTTGGCGATCTTGTAGAGCTCGTCGCTGTTGTCAAAGGTCATCTGGCGGACGCCGACAGCCTTGACATAGCGGACGTACGAGTTGGTCTTGCAGGGCTGGGCATAGATGATGCGGTTGGGTGAACAGCCCATGGCGAGGACCTGATCGATTTCGGTCTTGGAGGCGCAGTCGAAGCCGGTGCCGAGGGCAGCAAGGAGACGGAGGACCATGGGGTCGGGGTTGCACTTGACGGCTACACAAGTTAGCGTTTTGGGAAGACGGAAGAGACGAGCGTGGAGAGGCCGAGAGGAGAAGAGACGAGCGCGGCCGGAACTGAGAACGTACCGTAGAAAGGACGAACACGGGGGAGATTCTTCTTCCAGCGCAGGTGCTGACGGTAAACGTCGCCCAGATCGGCTACGAAAAAAGTGTCCTCATCCCCAGGCTCGCAGAGCTCGTGGTCGACGGCCTCGACACGGCGGGCAAGGGCATTGCCAATGAGCTGCTTGGCAATGGCAGGGCCATCGCGAGAGGCCACCGAGTGGACGGGGAGCCTCTTGGCTAGAAACGGAGGTTGGTGAATGGGATCGACATGATGGTCCCAGACGGCCGTCGTCATTGTCATATCCGAGGTATTGAAGTTGTTGGAGGACAGAACAAATATGAATATTTGTTGCAAGTTGTAAAAGCCGGTGGTGGGAAAGGTTTGTTAGGGTGGGCGAAGGATATAACAAACGTTTCCTTCAGCGGACTGGCGAGGCCTTCTCGACTCTTCCTCGGTCAGAGGAAGAACCTCAGAACTCCTCCTATGCGGCAGCTGGTGGGATTGGTGTGAAAACGGGGGAGGAGGTTGATGATCCAAGTCACCAGGAGTCAAGAGAGGCTGGTTGGGCAGGCTAGAGGCAGCGGCAGGCGGGCTGGGGAGGAGGAATGGCGTTGATGATGTGAGTATGCTTGCAAAGGCAGAAATTTTTGTCGGCGAAGTGGACGACGGCCTGGGGAGCCGTGGTGAGAGTGGTGCCTTTCGAGTCGAACCCAAAGGCTAAGGCGAGAGTCTCGGGGACGATATTTTTATAGAAATCGGGCAGACGGGTTTGTTATGGTGAACGGTGATGGGGTGCCTGTTGTTGTGAAAGGAGAGTTGGTCAGCGGTCAAGTTTTTTCATGTGGAGTCATGACGCATGTGCTCGGGGGAGATGGAGAGGTGTGAATAACAAATAATGAAGGGACCAGGAGAGAAGGCAAAACGGCAGAAATAAGCCGTGAATGTAACGGTCTGGATGAGGCAGTGTGTCAAGTCTTTCGGGCCGGTGGTTTGATTGTGATTGGTGCTGGCCGTGCGGTAATGTCGTGATGGGTGGTGGTGGTGAGGCGGTGGAGGGGGGAGCAACGGGCACAGCGGACGAGCATTGGTAGGATGCGCCATTTGCCGCGGGGGAGGAACTAACCGTGCGGGAATTTCGCAAGGACGACGATTGGAAAGCGGACGAGCTAGAGAAGAGCTAGAAAGGAGGCGGGAGCGTAATTGGGGGGAGGTGGTGGTGCAATATAATGTTGCGAGGACACGGTGTGTTGTGTCGGAGCAAAAAAAGGACGAACTGTGGGAAACGAAACGAGCAAGGTTGGATGGAGGCTTATGGCGGGGGAGTGTGGGCTGGACAGGGCAGAAGCACGAATTTTTTTTTTCACGGCCGGGCTTGGGCGCTGGCTGGGAACGGCTCGTTGATGACGAAGACTCACCATATTGTTAGTGCCTCGGCGCCCCCCTTACAGCTGCCTCCAGTGGCTGCAGCGGCCCTGATTGATCAGCTAGCGCAGCGCGGGAGGCTAGGCCGGGTTGCGCCTGGAACGCCCATCGAGGCCGCTGAAAGACCCAGAAATATAGCGCCGGTCAGCCAGTCATACGTTGTCGAAAACGCCCGCCACGAAAAAGACGACACACAGATTGGTTTTTTGCTTTTCTAACTGGCTCCTCCAGCAGACCATCGCACCCACAACTGTGGCTGAACCTGACCACCAAAATACACGGTCGGCATCCGTACCTGACTATCCGTACCGCTGCCCGAACAACTTCACCCGAACTCGTACGTACTCTCACCACCCCCCTGCACCTCTACACGAACCATTTTCCGAGACACATGCACCCACTCACTGCCCGGCTGCTCGCCCGCCTGTAGTGCTGTCTGCGCAAAGCAAACGACTTCGTGGCGAACCAGGCTGTGCTGCCCTTCAACACGCGCAAACGGATAGTATGACACTCGGTCAATCACTATGCGGGAATTAGACAAGTCAGCATCTTTCCCTTTGCTGTCAAGTCCATTTCTTGGCTAGGTACAAGCCGAGCTCAACTCTCAGCGCCGTGCTCATCAATGTTGGGACACCCACCCTCCCCCACTAGAACCGCCAAAAGGAAGCCGAACAGCACCAGTAGTTATCATCACCAACCCTCTACATACGACCTACCGGCACTCCCATCCTTATCTCGCCCGCATATGCAAGCCTCTCTCCGGATGCCCTATCCGCACCGCACACGCGCTGAAACGGGTGAGCTCAACACATTATCCGCAGCCTTGCAGCCACGCCGTGGCGTCACCTTCTAAAACTTGATAAACGAGCCTACGTATAGGCTCTATTTGAGCTTGTTGCACCCGCGTCTTGACCTCCCGCTCTGATGCCTCCGGCCTCTGATGCACAGGATACCGTATTCGATGCTACAAGCACGTCGTCGGCCCAAAGGGCTCCCAAAAGTATGGCCATGGACTGACTCCCGCGGACCACTGTTACCAGCTTCCAATGCAACGCCTGCAAGATGCACGCAATACTACTACCCAAGACACGTCGCACCACCGATTTTTCCCAACGTGCGAAGCAAAAGATGCCTGTGTGTCGATAGTTTCTAATGATGAATCTATGCACCTGCCACATCCCAGCGGCCCAAGAGCCAGCCAGCGCAACCACGTCCCGATGCCGCCCAGCCGATGCTTGGCGATCCGGGCCCCCCGACTGAATCGTGCCCCAATGCAACCCTAGCCTTCCTCGGACAATGACCATGTGTCGAAACATTTTCCATGTTACCCTGTCGAAATCGGGTCTCGCATCCTCCCCCCCCCCCCCCGCCCGGCGTGGTGGCTTGCCAGGTCTGCACTCTGACTGATAAGCTTACCTGATCGAGAACCACGAGCGACTAAATAACTAGAGACTCGAAATTCACCGTAGCCAGAGCCTCACCCTCGCCTTCAAACATACAACACCATCATGTACACCCTTCTCGGCTGCCGCCTCCAGCACCGCCTAGGCCCTAGCACATCATTGTCGCCACGCGTCGCAACCTTGGACGCTACCTACTACTACCCTTACTTTTTCGTTACCCAAAATAGCCTTTCGTCAATCGGCACCCTACATCCGGACAGGCCACACGCTCCCTCACCTCTCCCTCAATCGAAAGGGCCATCATCGGCATAAAACGCACAGACTCTCTGCCCGGCACCATGGCCCGATCGACCTGCCAGGGAGCTTGGGCCTTGGCTCGTCCACTCTCACGCGACAGCGGCGACATCGCTTGACGTGCTGGGGCCAACCTGGACCAACCGGCGTCGACAAGTGACGCACGTCTACATGTACCAGAGCGATTGTTCACTAACTAGTTTGTCAAAACAAAAAGGCCAAAACGTCATGTGTTCCGTCCAGTCCGTGTTGACGTCCTGGCATGGACTAGTCGAAAACTGCAGGCTTGCAACAGCACTAATACCTCATACAACTCATGCTTTTGACGCCAGGAGAAAAAAGGTCTCATACTACAAGCTCGACTACCGAATTCTACTTGATGAACCATGCACGCCACGCCGTCGTCGCAAAGTATCCCTTCTGTCACGACCGGGACTCATAATTACCGACCGATTCGTTTTGCTGTCCTTTCACCCCCCTCGACATCGTGGGATCGCGACGCTTACTCGAACATCTCCTCCCTCTTTCCCCTCATCGCCGAAACGCCTCTCGGGGTTGCAACCCAAGCCCGTTGACTGTCCCATCGCTCATCATTGTTTTGTTTGACCCCTCCCCCCAATCGTAACCTTATTGCCCTGCCTGGTCATCCTCTTGCTCTCTTTCGGCATGTACTCTGTTCTTTAGTCCGGCAATTCAATGCTCTGCGATCCCCGGCTCTGAGAGAACGAGCGATTTTCCCTGGCCTCTTTCCCCTCCCCAAGACTTCCTCCCAGCACCTCCAGTATCAATTTCCGCTATCCCCTTTTCGTCTCTTGAAATGTCTTGCTCCAAGCCCACCCGCGTAGACCGAAAAAAAGGAGGCCTCCATTCCGCCATGTGTGGCAATTCACGCCCCCCTGGCCCCATCGTCTGCTGCTTGTTGACCGTTGCGGTCGGTCAACCCAGCCCGCAGCAACGAGGCGGAGTCGTAAACTGGTCACAGCGAGGACGAGAAGCGCGACGCAAAAGAGACGAAAAGAAAAGCAAGTGGAAAAAGAACCATCATAAGCACCAGGATCGTCCAGCAGGGAAAGGAAAACAAAACCGGAAACCTCGTGTTTGCTCTTGCGTTGCTCTGTGGCCTCTCTGCCATGGACGACGGAAACCGGAGTTCCCATCGACAGAAAGGCGTATCGTATCTGAACGCGTCATATCATCACACCCCGCCATTCCCCCTCCTTGCACCAGCAGCATCTTGTCGAGTCACATCATCACAGCCGCTCAGCTCCTTGTTCTGCACTAGCAGCATCTTGTCGAGTAATCCGTCGACATTGGGAGAAGAGTCGTAAATTTTTGTCGGTCTATGCCAAGAAAAAATATACCTCTAAACTGTACACACATTTCCGTCTTTCTTCTGGCCCGCCTCGTCATTATGGCCTCTGTTGGTACACTGTGCCCCCCTGGTTCATATCGTACACTGCTGAAAAACAAGTCAATCACTCTGCACCGCCGCCCGGCACATTCATCTCCTCCACGGTCCAGCTGCCGTCCACCCAGGCTTTCTTCTCGCCGAGGAATGAGAGACGCTCAGCGCCGCCGTCCACCGCGCGCGCTAGGTATTGGTCGGCAACCGTCTGCACCTGCTCGCGCGAGACGTCGAGCAGCTGCGCGCGCTTGGCCTGGCGCATGTCCTCGGTGACACCCGACAGGAATCGGCCCATGCCTTCCTCGTTGACCGCCTTTGGCGCGTCCACCGACTGGAACACGGAGATTTTGGCCTCCTCCAGGTCCCGGTCGCTCCATGCCTTGTCCGCCGCCCATCGCCCAGCGTCTCGCATGATGCGGATCGTGTTTTGCGGGTTCGGGTCTCGGTACGAGTAGAACCCAAAGAGGCCGTCGAGCGGCTTGGCGTAGGCCCCGCCGCCATACGCGCCACCCTTCTCGCGAATCTCGTGGTGCAGGTGCTTGTGCGTGAGCATCTGCGACAGGATCTGCAGGGACGCGCCGTCGGGGTGCGTATACGACGTAGTTGCCACAGAAAGGCCGCCGTAGTATACCTGGTATGGCAGCGGGAAGAATGTCTTCTTCGTCTTTGGGAGCGTGAGGACGCCCCCGGCTGTTTGTGGCAGCTGCGGCTGCAGGCCGCGAGTAAACGTCTGCAGTGATGTGAGGTTGCCGGCGACGCTTTCGCCGCTACAGGTTATGGCGGCGCGGAGCTTACCCGTTGTGAGTACAAGATGTTGGATCTGCTTCAGTTTGGCAATCACATCTTGGAGCTGGTCAAACTCTGGGCGGCCCGCGAGCGAAGTGATGAGCTTCACCTGCGACAGACCGGCCACCTGCTGACGGAGCCAGGCAGCCCGCGTCAAGCCGGACTCGGCGTGGTTCATGGCGAATCTATGCCCCGATGAGGCAATGTCGTTAACGACGCCGTCGGCGGACGCCTGTAGCAGCTGGCGGATGCGAAGCGCCGCATCGGGGCTGTCAAAGTTGGTATCTAGCACAAGCTTGCGCAGTAGCTCAAACATGACAGGTACGTTTCGGTCAAGCGCCATGCCGGTAAAGATGATGCCTTCGTGGGCCTCCTCAAAGTTGGTCGGTGAAGCGGTAGAGTGGTACCCGACAGACACGCCACCGGTCTTGAGCTTGATGAGATCCTCCAGTTGCTCCATAGTCTGGTCTTTAGTACCTAGACGCATGATGCTGTCGGTAAAGAGTGGAATAAGTTGGCGCAACTCATCTGATAAACCCTCGATCGTGTTGATGGCACGGAAGTAAGTCAGACCGTTGGTGGGGGCTTCACGCCACTGGATAGAGATACCCTCGTTCACTTCGTCGCGCAGTGTGACGCGGTCGATGCTTCGGGGAATGTCCTTGACGTAGACGGTCGGCAGGCAGCTAAGGTCTTCCGTATTTGTCTTGTTTTGTTCGACCAGGAGATCCTGCTCCTGCTGCTCAAAGGCGGCGCGGGCTTGTTCCTCACCACCAGCGTTTTGGACTGCCTCAGCAATCTTGTCCGCCAGGCGCTCCTTTTCCTCGTTGACCAATACTTCTCCAAATGTAGCTGATGGCGTCATGGTGAATGTGAGAGTATTGTCATTGAGCATGTACTTTTCAACCAGCCCCTCCAGGTAACCGCCTTTCGCCAGCTTGGCCTGGAATCCAGTGATTGTGTCATTCCAGGCTAAGGATTCGAACGGATCGACGCCATTGAACCACTTGGGTTTGAGTCTATTGAGCATAGAGAAGCCAAAATTCGAAGTCTTGTGCTTCAACGACAGCTCGAGCTGATGCAGTGACCCGTCAATCTTGCCCTGATCAAAGCCGTTTTCGCGGACGTCGCGCAAAATATCTTGGACCTTGGCTTTGAGCTTGGGTACATCTGCTTCTTGTACACCAGTGAGTCCGATGGAAAAGATTCCTCTTTTGGCGGAGCTGTCATAGCCAGAATTGGGACTCCAGTCAGCACCCATGCCAGTCTCTATAAGACCACGATACAGCGGCGAGCCATATCCGTCCATCAAAAGGCTAGACAAAAGAGCAAGTGAGAATGACTCCAAAACATCGGTAGTGTCTCCCATGATCCAGGAGACAGAGGTCTTGAATTGGCGATCTGGATCAACCAGGGGGTCAAAGGGGCCGGCCAATGTAACATCTCTTGGTCCAGAGAGCACTATTGGCTCGTGAATCGTTTTATCGGCCTGAATTTTCTCAAACGCCTGCAATCGCGCATCAATGTCTTGCAAGTGATCGGCCAAGGGCATGTCGCCATATGTAAACAGCTTCGCATTACTGGGGTGGTAGTGTTCAGCGTGAAAGTCCTTTAGCTGTCGGTATGTGAGGTCGGTAATCTTTTGAGGATCGCCGCCAGAGTTGTTGATGTCGGGAAAGATGTGGTCTTGGAATCGAATATAGTACAAGTATCCCGCATCGGACATCTGGCCCTTCATCTCATTGTAGACGACACCCTTGAAAACAAGCTTCTTGCTCTCCTCATCCGTGGCCAGTGGATTTTCAGGGCCGATGCGCCACCCCTCTTGTGTGAAGTCGGATTCTTTGAGTAGAGGATGCAGTGTCGAGTCGAGGTAAACAGACATGAGGTTCTTGAAATCCTGGGCGTTGGTAGTGGCAAAGGGGTAAAACGTGTGATCCGACGCCGTAAAGGCATTCATGAAATTTGACAAGGTTCGAGGAAGCATTTTGAAAAATGGGTCGCGAATGGGATATCTATCTTGAGGTTAGCATAATGCGATACCTGCTTCTGCGTTTGCGCATTCACTTTTCACTGCCACAGAGCGTCGTGTGTTCGAGGATGTGGGGAATTCCCGTATCGTTTGGGGGATTCGTCTTGAAGCCAATAGAAAAGACGTTATTGCTGTCCTCACGCGCAATATGCAAGTAGTCGGCACCAGTTTTATCATGCTGAAGGTGCAAGGCCGTGAGCTCCAGCTCAGGGACATGTTTGGATCGGACGAGCGTGAAGCCGTGCAGTTTGGAACCTGGTTTGGGGTACTGTGATAGCTCGGTCACGGCCTTGCGGGCCGCATTGCGCAACATAATGAATCAAGCTGCGACGGCGGTTAACGGAGGGTGAGAGACGGACGACCAGAGTATCCGAGCGCTCAAGAACAATGACTGGTGCTGGAAATTTGAAGCATGGGTTGGACGTCATTGTACTGTTAGTCAGCATTTCATCGCCGCTTTAAACGGCCAGGAGTGGCAAGATAAGAGCAAGATTGAAGCAGTGTTTCCACAGGACAAGGCGCATTGTGATGCTAAGCATAAATGAAATTTAGTCTATTCCGCACTGTTCATGTCCAAAGCAGAAGCTACCTCTTATCCATGTTGACTCAGGCATGTGGTATCTCATTAGCCTAGGTACTAATCAGTATCCTGACTTGGGACAAGTGCAGACGATAAAGTGTACTGAATTACAGACGAATTAATTTATAGTAACTACCTAAATGGCCTAGATGGTGAATGAATGAAGCAAGCACCAAGGGCAGCTCGATACATATTGGACTGGGCGCGGGCTCAAGGAAGCCGACTGTTATAGCAGCGAGTCATTGTCCCGTTTGGGTTGGACATTCGTTCACCCACCAGCTGCAGCACGCAGGCGCCGCTCTTCAAGTCCACTCGAGGCACTAGCCAAAGTCGTGCATCGTAGAAAACTACGTCGTCAACATCCATTGCCCAGCCTAATAGCCTTCAGCGACAGTCCGCACTAACTAAACTGACTGAATTACTGCGACCTAAATCGACTGCTGAGCGCCAGCTGGCACTATACCCCCCTGCTGCTCGGCCTCTGCTGCTCCGCTCAACTCGGTCCGCTCACGTCGGGACGAGGAGAACCTCCGCCTCCCATCTCGACGATCTCGCCCACAGCAGCCCGGTCCTGGGCTCTCGGCGGCGACTGCGACCATAATCATTCTATCCGAGGTAGCCTTATCATCTTCCAATGCCATAACGCCGACGGTTAGCCTTCCGTGCGACAAAATACGACTAAACGCACACGAAGCCGACCATGCCAGCGACGCACGCTGAGCCGGCCATTTCCAACGGCCACGATGGTTCCAACCAGCTACCGCCTCCCTCAGGGAAAAAGAGCAAGGCGAGAAAGGGTCTTGACTCAAACGAAGCCTCGAGACTTTTGGCGGCTCGCATCTCGCAGCTGGAGCAGGACGCGGCCGGCGAAAAGGACCAAGAGCTTGAAATAGGTACGGCGCGCTGTACACTCGCAGTCTTCTCTTTAAAAGCTGCTGCTAATAATCGTCGATTATAGAAAGAGAAGTCAAGCGCGCGACCCGCGACCTCGTGCAGCAAATTTCCAAAATGGACGACTCACAAAAGATTGACCATCTAACGAAGCGGTCTAGCGAACTGCTAGCGGATATGCGACGCTTAGAAAAGGAAAACCAAAAGAACAGGAAACGTGGTGATATCCTACAAAAAGAGCGTGACATCAACCGTACTGAGCTCAGCAAGACAGTGGGACTCAAAGAGAAGCTGGAGAAGCTGTGTCGTGAATTACAGAGGGATAACAACAAGATGAAGGTTTGCGGCCCGTTTCGTCAGTTGCACATTTCTACCAGTCGCTGACCTCTTTAGAACGAAAACAAGGAACTCCAAGCCATTCAAAAGCGCAACACCCTATCATGGGACGAGAAATACGCCACCCTGCTCTCGAAGCTCGAGGGATATCAAGAAGATAAAGATATCCCACGCAAGCAAGTTGTAGATATGGAGATGGAAGAGCTGTATGTCTTGTTTTGGAACCCATTAGCCTCCCGCTAACACGTACAGGTTCCGAGTTCGCTTCAAATCCTTCATTGAGCAGTACGAGCTCCGAGAGTTGCATTTTCACTCCCAAATGCGAACCAAGGAGATCGAACTACAATACCACCTCTCTCGCTTCGATCGGGACAAAAAGGCCACCGAGGCTGAACTGGCAAAGATGCGTCAACTGCAAACACAAGTGCAAACGTTATCGAGGAGCGAGACGCAGCTTCGCACAGAACTTAACACGTATATTGATAAGCTCGGCGAGGCATGTAATGTAAATTTGACGTGTCTGCTCTTTTTGGACTTGCTGACACAGTCTACAGGTCAAGTCTGCCCTGGACCAGCGAGACGATATTTTCGCCAGACAACGCAAAGAGATGCAAGATCAGGCCAAAAAATGCAAACGTCTTGAAAAGGACAATGAGGCACTCAGGCGCCAAAAGGAAGCTACAGCAGCCAACATTATTCGAATGGCAGAGGAGCGACAGCACTGGAAGAACAAGATGGACATAGCCGACAGAAAGACGGAGAAGCTTATGAGCATCATCCAACAGATGCAGCAACAGGGCCGCAAAGTCCCGTCAGCTATGGAATCCACGCTGGAAAGCTGTAAGAATGGCGAGGACCCCGGCGAGGATGCCGAAGAGAGCGATTACTCGGAGGATGACGAGGAAGAGGGCCGCGATAGCGACGCGGACGACACAGAAGAGGAGACGCCGCCAAAATTACAACCACAACCTCCGCAGCCCGGCCTTGCACCGAATAAAGTACCGTATGGGCCGGAGCGTCCTCCGATACCGCCCGGCAGTGCCGCCATCAACGGACACTAGGAGGCCGTGATGCGCACGTACGACGTATCGCGTCCAACGATCACGATTGACTGGACCAAGTTCAGCACGGCGCAAGACTCTATATTTTCCACAACCACGTTCCTGCAGGATAACCCCATGATTTCCGATATGCTCGGTATCACGATCGACCAGGCGTTCTCGGGCCGCGACCCTGTGCATCTCAGCGCGGCTGATCGCGAGGCGTTTTGGAAGAAACTCACGGCGGCGCATCGCGCGGATGAGGGCCGCGAGCCTTAGGTGTCGTGAATTACCACAAGCATCGAAGGAGTTGGCTAGAGGAACTCTGTATATTGATGTATGCTGCATTCTTGGAGTTGCTGGACCTAGGGTGATTTGCTTGATTTGCTTTTGTATCCTTCTTGTTTAAATACACATTTTATACCTCTATTCGGAGGAGCAGAGGAGAAGCGAGGAAAGAAGTGTGGTGGCAAGCGCGGATAGCATTCCTGAATAATACTTGAGCCGCATTCTCATGCGGATTGACTTCACAACTCCAGTACTTGCGATTGTCCCTTTTGAAAATGAGCAAGTTACCTCAAATATGCGTGTCATTTACTCACAACAGAGCAGGCAGTCCATAAACAGCCTCTCGGGAGGCTTGTTCCTGTTGTCCCAAATTGTATGAGACGCTGGTTATCTTGACCAGGGCCAAATCGGGCGGACCAAGGCTACTGCTGCAATGCTGATGTCTGCTGGAAGATTGAAGCCCGATTGTCGTGGTCGAGAAGTACTTCCTAATCCTGGCCAGCAGTGGCCCTGGACAGCGCTGTCGGTGGCCTCGACGGCAGAGCTTGGCTAGGGGAAAGTCATTTGGCTAATACTGAACAAAGTGCAAGATTGCCAATGGACGTACGATTCGAGGACCCGAGTTGTGACGTGTTGGGACAGTGTTGCTTGGGCTGTGCGCTGCAATTCAACTCGGCCCGCCTTGCCATAACCCTGGACTCATGGGCCACAACGGGGGGACTCGAGCAGACATTGACAGGTGACCCCCAACTTGAGAGTATCAATGGAGTGGATACATGGTATATCCGTACGGATACAATGGCCCCCGTTTCCAGGGTCTCTTTGTGGCTCCTCTCATTGCCGGCCCTTGCACCGCAACGGTCGGAGCCACAAACGGACGATAGTCTTTGTCCCCCCCTGTCGCGCGCGACGTCCGCGGGCCCAGCACCGAGTCCGCTTTCTCGGAATCATGGTGAACCCCATTCGCCAACAATCGCGCAAACGAGGTTTTTTTTTTTTCTCTTATTAGCGGCCGCCGGGCGCTATCTCGGCCCTCCGCCCGGCTCCACACCGGCTTCCTTCCGGCCGTTCAGACTACTCGAGAAGTGCCCACTTTGACAACTTAATAAACGTTCAATTTTGCCCCCTTGATAAAAAGTGGTTTGCCTGTTAGCTGATTATCAGTCAGTTTAAAGCCTTTTTTTTTTCGGATATCGTGGCTTATTACCTAGTGGATGGCGGGGGGGGGCCAAAGGGTATATATGATTGACAGGGTCTTTGTCATGCCTTATGGAGGGAACTGGGTAAAAGGACCCTGAAACGCAATTGGCCGACACCGGTAGTTATAACCGTCGGTAGATATCCGGATCGGGGAAATGGGCGCATGTGCAAAGTATAATTAGTTATTACTGCGGCCATTGCTGCGGTTCTCGACAATCCATGTTACCGCGCCGCCACCTTGTCGACGACGATCCTAGGTCATTTTCCGCTGTCTTTCTCTGAATTCGAATTGTAGCTTTTCTATATGGCCAAGATTCCCGTCGTTTCTAGTTTCCCTTCCACTGGCGCGGCTTTGAGGTTTCTTGGAGAAGCAGAGCGAGCTTACGAACCCATTCGTAACTAGCTTGGGAGCTTCTCTACTGGATTCGGCACGCTCGTGGACTTGACCTCCTCAAAGCACATGAACAGAAATATATCCTCGCCGCCACGTATTCTTTCCCTGATCCGCAGCTGGGGCGGACAGGGGAAACCTGGTCCTGCACCACTGCCCGGCGGTGCGCTCAGCCAATCCACGAAATGCCGATAACCCGACTGTGGGCGCGACGAGTCGTGTGCAGCGTGATTCGAGACGAGCACTACTCAGTTCGACAGTCATGGTCTTTCCAATCGTCGAATGTTGTGTAACCGTGTCTAACTTGTTTCCATGAATCAAATGTGACCAACTTTGGCTTTCAATCAAACTTGACCTGTCAGTTTCCAAATAATGCTCTCGTTCGTAATTTTCAGTGACGTGGAGCCATGCTTCCTTAGAGATGCCTCTTCCACGACCGACATTATCGATATTTTATTCTTGCCAAGACATCAATACCCGACATCGGTAATATTACTCTCTGGCCAGCCCCATCAGTGGGTAGACGTGCAAAACATCGATTGAGGGTCCAAGCAACGACCCTGTCACGATGGCCTGCTGCACAAGCACACAATCAATACTGTGTAATGTTGGGACTACACTTGCCAATGTCTTGAAACGGCTAAACAGCAGTTTTGCGTAATGTTCCACTATTTTCTCGTCTATATTTCATAGTGCAACAAAGATGTAAGAAAAATGTCCAGTCTAGTTTGAATGGTACCTCTGAAAAGGTTATAGCAGACCATGTTTACCGCAACTAGCAACTGTATCATGCTGTTGGCAGCAGAACAGAGAGCTCATCTCAACATTTGTACTACGCGGTATCCTGCTCCTTGGCCTTCTCCCGGAACTCCTCGCAGCGTTCGCGCAGCTCGCCCCTCATGTCCTCGTTGGGCACCAACACGTCCTGGTTTTCCGCCTTGTCGCAGACGTTGAGCACATCGTTGACGCTCTTGAGCCTCTTGCTCTCGGGCGACGGGGCCGGCTGCTCGGACTTGCGAAGGCGGTCGCAGGCATGGTCGACGGCGTTCTTCCACTGCTGCTCGCCGCGGAACCAGCAAATCATGCGCAATTTGAGCGTGTTTCCGTAAATCTCGGGTACCTGGGGGCCGCCAATGGCCTCCTGGAGGCTGGCCATGGAGTTGTCGAACCATTTCACGGCGTTTCCGACCGGGTTGTCCCAGGCCTTGACCATATCCAGGACGTCGTGCGCGTAAGGTGAGAGCACCGCAAAAGCGATGGCGCCACCAGCACGGGCGCCGGCGCGGAAGTTTCTGGACACCTTGGTTCGGACCCGACGACCTAGTAGCATGATTTTAGTCAACAGTGTATGCTGCGGGTTCGCTGAAACAAGGCTACCTACCTGTTGGGGCCTTTGCGGTATACTTGGCCGGGTCACAGAGAGCGCGCTTGACGCCAAAGCCAAAGGACGAAGGCGACTTCTTGAGAGCATAGTCGTGGTTCTTGATCTTGGTTCCGCGGGCGGACGGGTTGTCGATCTTCACCTCGTACGCGTGCGAAATGCTCGATGCGGGAACGGACCCGGCCACGGCAAACTCCTGGTTACGGGCAACGGCCGGGTTCTTCTCCGGGGCGTAGATGCCGGGCACCCAGTAGCCGTCCGGGAGGTCCTTGGGAGCAATGACGTAGACGTAACCAGTCTGCAGCTTCTCGCCGCTGCGGCCAAAGGCGTACGACTCAGCCGTCTCGGGCGACCGGCTGAGCGAGACGAGGCCCGAGTTGCCGACGAAGCTGAGGTGGTTGCGCAGGCTCTTGTCGCTGCCCTGGGGCCCGAATCCCTCGCTGAAGATGACCGAGGGCGGGCGCGAGTCGCCGCGGTAAAAGACGCCCTTTTCGCCGCCGCCGGGCGCCTTCATCTTGGAGGCCACTTCGGCGGTCACGGTCGAAGGGTCGCTGGGGGGCGACTGGCGGGAGGCCAGGGGTTGGATCTCGGGCATGGTGGTGTAGTCGGAGAGGATCTCGAAGATGGGATCGACGATGAAGTTGCTGTCAAGCTCAACGCCGTCCTCGACCACGATTCCGTCGACATCAACAGAGGGCTCTTCACCCGCTGACTGGGGAGCCGCAAAAGCGCGGAGCGCAAGGAGCGCTGCGAGAAGATGAGGCTGCATGGTTTTTCTGGTGTTGTCTTTTGTCCGGATTGCTGTAGGTTGCTGGAGCTGTAGGAAGACAGTTGTTGCTAATGACTGTCCTTGACTGTCGGCGGCGCTGCTACTTATTACATTTCGTCGTCGGCTGTATTTGCATCCCAAGTCACCAGGTATCATCCTGTCGTGCCTTTGTCCATCTTCAAGATTGCAAACTGCAAGTATTCGGAAACGAGTCATGACCTGACAGCGCAAATGCCTAATTCATCACGCGACTCCATTGCGTTGCTGGCATAAAAGGCCCGGGTCGAGTTTGTCGAGATAATAAAACAAGCCGTGGAGAATCATAATGCTAAAAGCTGTGCGTATCGTTGTAGAAGCATATCGGTGCCAAGACGTCCACAATTGGCTAACTGCCGAACCGCTGCCCCCCTGCTGTGCATCTATCGTGGCGTGGTTTGTGGTCGTGCGCTTGGGGACCCTGTTTGCGAATTGCGGAATGCCCGAATATCGGATTTCGGATACCAGCCCTTGGGCGTAGCTATGCGCTTCTTGTGCCGAGTTTCAGGCACGTTGAAGGCCCCGCTGCGGCAAACAACTGTCATCATCGCAATACGCGAGTAGCCGTACATCCTATAGTTCAACATGTTAACATCTTCAAGGCCCAAGGAGGCTGTGGTGCAGGTATGTATGACTATATGGGATGATGCCACTTTGGAGATCAAGGCGGTCCGCTATCACGGCGGCGTGAATCGTCGTTGGTCCGCTCCTATAGATAATCGGTCCGCGATGAATTTTGCTTGCATTTAGCTTCGCATCACACAGGTTCCTGCCGAGCATCCCGAAAGCTGCAGCTACTGACGAATATGACACAAGGAAGCCGTTGCGACGGTGTGGGTATCTTATCCGGCAATACCGCAAGTTCGTAAGCTATTGTATTGATTCAGCATAATTGATATCCTGTCAAGTTCGAAGTGGCAAATGTGGTCAGGTCTGAGTCTTGTCTTCCCTCTCCCGGTACTTCTGAGAACCTGCAGGTACATGTCCAAGGACGAGGTCGACACGATAGGGCGTGGGAGTAGCGGCGACAAAATACAACAAGGACAAATGGCTATGAATTTAGCCCAGAATATGCTCATATGGGTAATCCAGCAGAAAATCGCGGTGCGTTGGATTCATACTGGCGGGTAATTGAGATGAGACATGACAGAGTTCTCCCGACGGCATTGAATTATGATTGCGGCCGCGAGCGCTTCTTGAAGACAGACCGGGTGACGGGTCATGCGATTGTCCAGATAAGCAACAGTAGAAGAAAGGGCGTCGTGGGCCATTACGATATACATGGTGAGGGCGAGAGAACCGATGAGTGTATCGAGAAGCAAAACAAAGCAGCAGGCGGCTCAACGAGACTCCAATAGTAACACTCGTAGGACATGGTCATGTTGTCACGGAGGACTCGTCCCCAACAATCACCTAGGCGCAGCTGAAAATCCCGAGTCTTGAGTCTTTGGCTCATTGCTGCAGAAAAGCAGCCGCCTAGCCGCATAGCCGCATATGGAGTATTATTGGGGGGGTGTATGCATTGTAACCGGGAATAATCCCAGGTGAGTGCGTACCGCCATCTCAGGAGCGACGTTGATGAATCGAATTTGCCAAGAGTAGAAACTTGTCGAGTTCTAGGCAAAGGGGCATTTTCAGCTATGTAAAGTCCATGGACTGCCTTTAACAGTGAGCTGGTGCACACATTCAGCGCAATTGATTGACATGCTGCAACTTTCAGCGTGTCTGGAATCGTCGTTACATGCCCTAGGGTACCGTGAGACACGGCGCTGGATGGAAGGGATATGACAAGTGCCGCTCATGGTGTTTTGCGAGGTGCTGGGCTTGAATCATGTGTCGTACTCGGTCGGAGTAGCTGAATATTCCGAGTCCAGTTGTAGGTGTTTCTTTGTCTTTCGAATCGGCGCAGAACATATGTGTTGATCTCGTTATTCGCGGTCACTCGCTCCCCTGGCATGGGGGCATGTAGACATGAGGAGATCCCGGGAGCGCAACATGACGGCTCGAGAGGGCAAGAAACTCCTAGTGTGTTTATCAGGGCTCTGACAGAGCAGGAATATCATAGATGTAGAAGTATGCACCTGATCTTCTCACAACTCATCGTAGTCGTTGTATAAATTAGAAGCATCGCCATCGTCATAGTGTGGGGAAATCAGGAACGCGAACTCAAGTGGACACCCTGGCCTGCCGCGTGCCGCGCCGACGCTTATCCAGGAGCTCCATCGCAGCGTCAAACGTCAACTCTTTCATCAATCTTCACCATCAAACCACTGTCCAGACGTCGTCGGCTGCGAGACCAGCTAACCCGTCATCATGGACTTTCTCCAGGTACGCCGGCCTCCCTCATTCCACTGATGCGGCTTGCCCAATTGGCCCAGCCCCTCCCCTCCCCTCCAGCGATCACATCGTGTCCCCATCACACAAGCTAACTTTTCCCATCTCCCAGCGCCTCGCGCAAATACTCGACCGCCCGCTCTTCCCATGGAAGAAGCTCATCCTCGGCTTCTCCGTCGGCCAGTACATCTTCGAATCGCTCCTCACCCTTCGCCAGTACCGCGTCTTGCAGGCCACCAAGCCCCCCGCCGTCCTCGCCAAAGAAATCCCCCAAGACACCTTTGACAAGTCGCAGGCCTACGGCCGCGCCAAGGCCCAGTTCAGCCTTGTCAACGGCCTCTGGTCCCAGATCTCAAATGTTGCTTTCATCCAATACGACGTCCTCCCCAAGCTCTGGTCCCTGACGGGCGACTGGCTGCTGCGCTTCGCGCCCGCCCGCTTTACCGGCGAGATTAGCCACTCCATCGTCTTCGTCCTCACCTTTGTCCTCGTCCAGCAGGTCCTCGGCCTGCCCGCCAAGCTCTACAGCACGTTTGTCCTCGAAGAAAAGTTTGGCTTCAACAAGCAGACCCCCGCCCTTTTCGTTACAGACATGGTCAAGTCCAACCTCATCCTCGCCGTCATCGTCCCCCCCATCCTCGCTGGCTTCCTCAAGATTATCCAAAAGACGGGCACCGGCTTCATCTTTTACCTCTGGGCCTTTGCCGCCGGCATTCAGCTCTTCGCCATCACCGCCTACCCCATCTTCATTCAGCCGCTCTTCAACAAGCTCTCCCCGCTCGAGGATGGTGAGCTCAAGACAAAAGTCAACGCCCTCGCCGACAAGTTCAAGTTTCCCCTCTCGGAGCTGTACGTCATCGACGGCAGCAAGCGCAGTGCCCACTCCAACGCATTCTTCTACGGACTTCCCTGGAAGAAGCACATTGTCATCTACGATACTCTGCTCGAGAAGAGCGACACAGACGAGGTCCTCGCCATTCTTGCTCACGAGCTCGGTCACTGGAAGCTTGGCCACACCACCCGTCTCTTTGGCATCTCCCAGGTTAACCTGCTCTACATTTTCAGCCTCTTCTCCGTCTTTATCAACAACAAGTCTCTCTACTCCTCTTTCGGTTTCCACAACGTCCACCCCATCGTCATTGGCTTCATTCTCTTTTCCGATGCACTTTCCCCCATGGATACCCTCCTCCAGCTCGCCCTCAACATGCTCTCGCGCAAGCATGAGTTCGAGGCCGATGACTTTGCCCTGGGCCTCGGTTTCAAGTCGGAGCTATCCACCGCCCTCATCAAGCTCCACAAGCAGAACCTCAGCACCATGGACGCCGACTGGATGTACGCCAGCTACCACTTCTCCCACCCCCATTTGTCGGAGCGTCTCAAGGCCCTCGACTGGGAGAGCGACCGCAAGGTTGTCCTCGAGGAGAAGGACGAGGTTGTCAAGGCCTCTGGTCGCGAAGAGCTGTAAAACAGAGGAAAAGCAACAGAAAAGTGCGTGTACATGTAGATTTGATGAATTGCATACGACGTTGGAAAGTACGCCCATGGACAGGCATTGCTAACGCGGGCATTGAGGTTACAAGATGAAGAGTTGGCTCTTGCATCAGGTCAGCAACCGTACACGGAGGTACGTCAAGTACATTACTCACTCTCAATTGATTCATTCATGTTCGACTTGTCTTTCCGCTCTATAAAATTGCCTTGTCGTATTGCGATGATGGCATTTACTTTTCCATCTATAGTAAACCTACTCCTCATCCGACTCTTCCTCGTCATCCTCGTCATCGTCCTCGTCCTCGTCCTCGTCATTCTCGTCATCGTCCTCATCATCGTCGTCCTCGTCCTCGCCTTCCGGCGCCTCGAGCCCGTAATCATCGTGGAAATCGCTGAGTTCCCGTGTTTGCACCTTGTATCCCATGGCCTTCATGGACGTTTCCATGTTCTGTTGCAACTCGTTAGTTCGATTCCCTTCTTCGGAGTTCTGCGACCCTCTTTGGGTACATACCTCGGTCATAATCTTGGCGCAGGTAATGGTTACGTTGCTCTTACCCGGCGCAAAGCACGGAAGGATGATATCCGTCATGGCCGCCCGAATCTCCTCCTCTGTGACGGCGCGCACGCGACGCAGAATCTCCTTGCTCCAGTCCTTGGGCAGGCCGCGCACGACGCCCTGCACGTAGTTTTGCTGCGCGGCGCTCGGCATGGTTGATTGCTCGTCAGCAAAGGTGACGACGATTTGGGAGACGCTGCCCTCGAGCAGGTGCTTGTCAATGGGAACGTCGCCGTCAGCGATTTTGCGAATAGCCTCGCGCGAGGCGGCAATGGCCTTGGCGGCGTCGGGCGAGCGGTACACGCGGTAGCACAGCACGCCGGCGTCGATGCTACGCGAAAAGTGGGTGCCGTAGGCGTAGCCCGCGCCGCGGACGGCCACCCACAGCGGGCCCTCGACCTGCTCCAGGTAGCTAATGGCGACCATGACGGCGGCCAGACGCGGGTCGGCGTACGATGACAGGCCGACGGCCGTGCTCACGCTAAAGGAGCCGTCCAGCGAGGCCATGGGCACAATGGTGGTGCCGACAGAGCCGGGCGCCCGGCCTTCGTCGTTGAGGAGCGCTGACAGCGCCGGCACGGGGATCATGTCCTTGACCTCGCTACCGAGGGCGGAGGCGAGCTTGTCCCAGGTCGCGACGGGCTCGGGCAGCATGGAGATTCGTGCGGCGACGAGGAAGCGTAGGTTCTCGAAGGTGAAGAGCGAGGCACGGATTGTGTTGAACCACGACACGACCTTGGCGGGGTCGCTCTTGAGGAGCTTCTTGAGGCGCTTCAGGTAGACGGCACGCACCAGGATGCGCTTGGCGACGGTCACGCTCGAGTGGTCCAGGTGGATGGCAGCGTCAATCTCGGCAGCCATGCCCTGGCCATTGCGCTTGGACTCGGGGATGTCAGCGAGAGCCTTTGAAACGGCGGCCTTGAGCCTCTGAGGGTCAAAGACGGAGTTGAACATCATGGTCCGGATCCACTCTACGGCGGCCGCGTACTTGTCGGGCTCAATCTGGAACTGAATGACGAGGCCCTCGGGGTCGCCGAGTAAGCGTGCGGAGCCGATTCCGTAGCCGACGCTGTCTCGCTCTAGCTCCATGACGACTTGCTCAAAGTTGACGAGCTTGTCATCGCGCATGATGTGGGTGTTGAAGAAATTGTCGGAGAAGATGGGCATCAAAGGTTTCAGCTCGACCGGCACCTTGGACGTGCCAAGATGAATTGTGATGTGGACAAAGTTGGTGGGCACGTCCTCGAACTGGATGAACAGAGGCAGCTTGCTGGCTTGGGCGGCATCGATGGCGCCTTGCGTCGCGCCAGTTCCCAGACCAATAGCCTTGGCCTTGCCAGCGCGAGCTGTGTCGGACTCGATGAAGTGGATGGACTCGGTGCCAGGAACATCAAACTGGTCCAAGACTTCGGGTGGAATAGGCTGGTCATTCTTTTCCTGGGCGTCCTTAAGCTTCTTGGCCAGGTTCTCCAGCCCCTCCTTGCCGAGATCGGCCTTGCGCTTTGCGACACGCTCCTCCTCGGCCTTCTTAGCCTTTTCAGCGAGCTTAGAGGAGGGTTTCCCCAGAATGGAGACGTGATGAGCGTCAATGAACCATTTGCTAATAAAGTCGCGCCAGTTCTGGTCTGTCCACTTCTCCAAAGCGGCGTACTCGTGCAGGCTCTCGAGATCCCTGAGCGTAGAGCCGTCGCGCTTACCAAAAAGGTAGTCGGTGATGATGTTGGTGGAGAAGAATGACTCTGAGTTCTCAGCATGGTACTTGACCTGTCGCTTCTCTCTCTTGATGCACTCGGACATGTAGTCCATATCCAGAGGCTTCGCAGCGACGTCCTTGAGAATCTCAAACAGGCGCTTCTCTACAGATTCGAGCTTGTCCGCTTCGACACCAGTGGGCTGCAGCCAGATGACGGAGTTGGGACGAGAATCCCACCAGTGAGATACAGAGCTGGCCAGTTCTTCCTTTTCCACCATGATGTTCTCGAGTACCGAGACGGAGGAACCGCAGAGATAAGTCAAAACAATGTTCAGAGCAGATGTGGCAATGAGGTCGACACAGTTGGGGCCAAAGAAACCAACGAGAATCTCGCCGGTTGATTCATCGTCGTCAGGAAATTCGGCGGTGGTCACAATTGTCTCTGTCAATCCCTCTGGCTGCTCCGAGTCGACCCAGGGTCTATCGCTTGTTAGTAGGGATCGCGCCGATTTGGATGGTTAGCCTTACCTCTTGAATGGCGTGTTCAGGGCAGGGATATCAGAGATGATGCTTTCTTCAAAATCATTCAGTTTCTGAAGGAGGTCATCGTGGTCCGCCTCACCAACAATTACGACGCAGAGGTTACGGGGTTGGTACATTTCCTTGTGGAATTCGCGGATTCGGTCGGCCGTGAGAACCCGCAGGGCACCGGGCATACCGCCAGTCTCATATCGGAAGCCAATGTTCTTGTTGTAGAGGAGACGACGCGCCTTGAGGTCCATGATTTCAGGACCATTGTTCTCGACGCTCTGCATCTCCGAGTAAACGACACCAGCATCATTGCCCTCGCCATCAATATGCCAGACCTCTGTGACAACACCCTCATCGGTCAGGGTGGGCAGCAGGACATGTTCGAGGTACAGCGGCAGGATTTGTGAGAAGCCTTCCCAGCCTGCAGTTTCGAGTGTGTAAGCAGTGTGGTCGGTGGCAGTCCATGCGTTGGTGCCAGAGTATGCGCGCGAAGACAGCTTGTCGAGAAGTCCCTTGTAGGGGTAGCTCTTGGATCCGAGAAAGATGAGATGCTCGAGTGTATGGGGAGCACCAGAGTCGTCGAGAATTTCGGTGGCTAGAGTAAAGTAGCCGTTGACCTTGGGCCCTTGACGGTCGGCAACGACGACTTGCATGCCACTGCGTTCAGAGACATATTGGGTAATGGTGCAGGGCGCATAGTCCGTTTTGAAGCTTTGAAGTTTCCGGAACCCAGACTGGCGCTTTTCGGAAGGCATCTCAGCGGATGCTACCTGGGTAGGCAATGTTAGTTCTGTCTACACTGGGCAGCCAGCAGGCAAAGTGTACCGAGAGCTGCGGATTTGATATGTGTATTTCTATTCGTAGATTCGTAGCATCTGTGAGTCACAGTTGACCTCTTGCACGTGTTGGTATCCTGCAGAGTGGAAAGTTAGAGGCTTGTTCTTTGGCATGAAGAACCTGTGCGGGCGCATGGCGGGGTAGCAATCGGCGTGACTCCAGCGGGAACGGCACTGCGCAGAAGAGCGACAACTTACCAAGACGTCTTTCAGTATCTTCCTTGCGTCTTTCGGCGACCAATACCGTCGAGAGCAGTATTTCTACTGCGCGTGAGGTGTGTGAGTCAAGTACAGGCTGCACCGCATGGCCATGAATTATTCCAACTGAAGTGGAAGGTGGGGTGCAGCAGTGCCACCACCCAAAACGGCGCTAAACGCAATCAGGCATTGCTCCTTGTTAGGCCGCTGGATGACCTCACAAGCTGTCCTGAAATTAACACATTGCACATGCCGACTAATACCGACCGACGACCAGCCCCCTGCCACGCGACATAGCCATCAATCGAGCTTCTTGCCATGCGCACAAAATTCATAATTGACGCGAGAGGAACTACAAACTCTGGGGACAGCCGGGCTAGGCGACAGTCACTGGCGTCTCGGAGCTCCTAGAGGGCTCCTTGAATACATCTCTTGCCAAACCGACACGGCAACATGGCTGCCACCATGGACCCGGTCAAGATTGGTGATGCCATCATGGCATTTGCCATAAATGGTCGCTTTCCTGAAGATGCCGATACCCTGCCGCCCGTCTCAGGCACCGACCTCCAGCCCGCCATTGACAGCCTGAACCAGGCGAGGGTAGAACTTGAAGTTTGTCTCCGCCGCTTGCCGCCAAGTGCAGCACATGCTGACCAATTCATAGGCCGAGATACATCAAATAAACGAGGAAACAAAAGACGACGTCAGCCTCTGGGCCAGGAATGCAAAATCGCTGCAGGAAGACATCATCCGCTCCAAGACCATGGCAAACGAAATCACCCGCCAATCTGAGGCGCCTGACGTTTCAGGTGAAGCTATCCTCGACGCCGAAGAAAAGGTAGCATTTATAAATCGCGAGGTCCAATATAGCCAGCAATTACACGAAGTCCTGCGCAGCCTTAAGAGAGTCAATGACTTGCAAAACCAAGCCGAGCAGGCGCTTGGCGAGAAGCGCGTCCTAGAATCTCTGCGCTTTCTGGAAGAGTCGTGGGCGGCCTTGGACAATGTGAATGCAGCGCGTTCAAGTCGCGTCATGCGACTTCTCGATGTTCATGCTGTCGAGCTCAAGTCGGCGGCCTACCAAGTTTTCAATCAAATATGGAAGTCCATGGTCAACATTGACGTTGACGCCTGCAAAATTACAATTCGCGACATGTCTGAGGACGGCAAAATGACCCTTGCTGATGCAGCCATTGGGCTCAAGGCATATAAGGAGGTCGACGAGCGGTTGGAGCAGCTTTGGCACAATCTCGACACGAGTATTCTATCTCCGCGTATGGACCGCCATGCCACCTCATTCCGAAGTATTTCTACCACGGCCGACGAGCTCAGCTTCTCCGGGCCAACGGACCGCTCCATTGATAGCTTGCTTACAGACCTCGAGACAATCTTTTTGTTTGTGGCAAAGAAGCTTCCGGCTGATTTATTACCCAACTTCTCTGCCCAAATGGTTGGAGACGTGATACCAAAACTCATCGACAACTGGCTCAATACAGTTGTTCCCTCGTCGCTCCAAAATATGGACACGTTCCAACACGTCATCCACCGAACTCAACAATTTTGCGCAACGCTGAGCGAGAACGGATATACCGGCCTGGACCGAATTTCTACGTGGGCTGAGAAGGCACCCATGACGTGGCTTGACAAGTGTCGAGATACTGCGCTCGACGGTGTGCGGAACAGGCTTGCCGGCGGTATCGGAGAGCCCAAGAAGGTTGAGAAGATCGAAAAGCACATGGTTACTGTTGCAGAGGGCAAGGAGCTTGCTACCACAGGCGCTGGCGCCGCAGCGGATACTTCCGATTGGAACGAAGACTGGGGCGATGCTTGGAACGAAGAGGAACCATCCGCCGAGGTGGCTCAAGAAACCGAAGACACGCCGATGCAAGATGACGATGGTGCGGACGCCTGGGCTAGTTGGGGGGAGATCGCAGAGGACAACCAGGAAGCTACCACGCCTGAGCCAGCCCAAGCCTCCAAAGCAACACCGGCCAAAGCTGCCCCTAGGCCGAGGCCACAGGCTGATGAGACGCGCGAACTCATTCTCAAAGAAACCTATAGCATATCATCCATGCCAGAACCAGTGTTGCAGCTCGTCTTTTCAATATTGGAAGATGGCATGGCTCTAACAAAGGAGGGGGGAGAATATAGCCTGGTGGCCGGAACAGACGCTGGTCTCTTTGGCCTGCCAACCCTTGCTCTAGCATTATTCAGGGCAATTTCGCCTCATTATTACTCGCTTGTTATGGGCGGCAATATGTAAGATTGCGCTATATGCATAGAGGAGCTCTACTAACAGCAGCAGGTACTTGTACAACGACGCGATGTATCTGGCCGAAAAGCTCGGCGAATACAGCGTGGACTGGAAGGAGCGGGAAGATGTGACACCCCGAGCAAAGGCCATGCTTCGCCTCGACAACGACATCAAGACGTTGCAGAGCTTCGCCAACCGTAGCTACGCGGCGGAAATGAGCATCCAGCGGACCGTACTGCAAGACCTGCTAGGCGACTCGCAAAGCCTGCTGCAGCAGGACGAGATGGATGCTGCCGTGGAGGCCGGGACGACGCGCATACGAACCATGGCCAGCACCTGGGAGCCGATTCTCGCCCGGTCCGTCTGGTCGCAGGCGATTGGCTCGCTGGCGGACACAATGGCGACACGTCTCATCAACGACGTGCTCGAGCTGAGCTCCATCGGCCAGGACGAGGCGTACAATATTGCGCGGCTCATATCGGCCGCGACGGCGCTCGACGACCTCTTTCTGCCCAGCAAGCTCGGCGACACGTCGACGCCGCCGCCCACGGACGGCGAAGAGGTGCCGGCGACGGCGCAGTACGCACCCCACTGGCTGCGTCTCAAGTACCTGAGCGAGGTACTCCAGAGCAACCTCAAGGAGGTCCGGTTCCTCTGGTGCGACAGCGAGCTCAGTCTCTACTTTACGGTAAATGAAGTGGTGGATCTGATCAAGGCGAGCTTTGAAGACAATGCGAGAACACGCGATACGATTCGCGAGATTCGTGCCAAGCAGCCGCTCTCGGCATAGACGATTTCTGTTTTTTTTTCCTCCTTGTCAATCGATCAGATGACTGACTGGTACGCTGGCTATCCCCACCCCCTTCTTTTGGAATCAATGTCTTTTTTTTACGGCTTTGTTGGATGACACGTTGTTTTTGGGGCGGGGGAGGGGGAAAGAGAATGCACGGCAAGATTAGTTATGCGCTTTCTGCTGTGCAACGCACCTCCCAAGGTACAACCAAAAAAAAAATGTCTTGTATTTTCAAATTTTGGCAAATACGTTTTTTTGCGTGAATTAATCTGTCAGGGGAGGGGAGCAAAGAGGGAAAAGGAAGACCACGACAGGGTGACACAAGGCTGAGAATGGCGGCGGGCATTTGCTTGGGACGGGAAGCTGCAGATTTTGATTTACAAAGCTCGCGTTACACAGCATGACCCTTTTTTTTTTCGGAGAAAAATGAATTACCAAGGAGGGGAGAGGAGAAAAGGGAGAATAGAAACAGAAAATGGTTGACCGAGGTTTTTTTTGTCGGCATTGGTTCCGTACTAGAAAGGGAAAATGTGACGCTTGTTGTTCGTTGGCCTCTAAACGTTGTTTTCTATGCAAGTGAAATGTGACGTGTGTACTTTTTTCTGCTGTTACAACTGTAGATTGGTAATATTTTGCACAAGAAAGAAACACAACAAGAGGCGTGTCAAGGAAGGAAGAGCAAGGGGCGTGGATGGACGCAAAAGACTTGTTCACGACGGGGTGATTGATTTCGAGGCAACTCGTCACTTCTCTTTGTGTGTTTTGTCTCTCTTGGACGAAATGCTCCAAGCAAACAACAACAGCAGAACCTACCTGCGCCCGCATCCCAGTGGCGGCTTACCCAGGACCAGTCGTCCAAAACAGAGGTTCCGGCCGCTGGATGTGACTTGCCCCCCCCCCCCCTGCGCCATGAGGGATAAATATTTCATGCATGTGTTGTACAAAGGGAAGAAAATAAAAACAAACAAGAGAGAGTATCAGTAGTCAGAGATGAAGAGCTTTCCCTTCGTTTGGTCTGTCCAACAATTGGTTCCAAGACAGAAAAAATGGGCTTCAGCCCTGCCCGCATACACATTGCCTACCTACATTATCAATACACCCTTTGATATCAACGCCGGGTGGGAAAAGGAATGGATACAGGGAGAACGGTGTGCAAAAATGTCGAATCAACTTTTAAAAAAAAAAAACATGCAAGCATGCAGCCAGCCAGCCAGCCCATGGCCCTTGTCAGAAAGAGGTTGGGCGAATGCTGCGCGGGCGGCTGAAGCCGTACAGGCTAGCAGAGGAAGTAAAAAAGGCAAATCATCACGCCATGTTTTCGATGGCCTGTTTGTGCGCTTTTCTCAGTTTCTTTATGCTTTTTGGTGTGGCCATCGTCTTTGGGGGAGGGGGAAGGGGGGGGGGGGGCTGATGCAAGACGCACATGGTTTCTGCGCTGGCAAAAATGGTGCAGTGGGAGAAAAAACGTCATGATGCTTGGTTCCGGTCTCACCTTTTTTTGAGATTTGGGAAGCACGCGACTTCTGCTTCCCCTCCTTAGTCCTTGTTCCTTTCAAGAGATAAAGGCGTTACTGTGTTATTGCTTGGATCAGCGGTTTCGGAAACAACGACCAGTCACGGATTAAGCCATCCCATCCATAAACGTGAGGCAACGGTACAAGTCAAGACAACTCGCCAGCTTGCCTGCGAGTTGGCACAAAAACCAGCCCATGCATTTGATTGAGTCAATCCATGCAGTCCAACATCACTAGATTCCTACTTTATTAGACGTCAGTCTCGACCCTTGTTCCTGACCGATGCAGGCTACCCTAGAGCGCCGCTGTACTGCGGAACGACTTGTGCATCGCACAATCGGCTCGGGCTGCATGAGCCCATTTCGGTTGGATTGGGTGCAAGGTCATCGCTCGAAAAGAACGACACGATGACTTTGATGCTCCGTCAGTTTGGTCTTCGCCGTAGCAGGACCGGGGAACTGCACACGAGGCCTGATGGATGAATGGCGAATATCGCCGACGGCGCCCTTTTGCCGATAAATTAAAGCCAGGGTCTTCGATGCAGCTACGGAGAGTCTTGCGTCTTTTCCGACGTGCGCGGAAAGACCGGCAATTACTGCTCCGTACTCCGTGCCAAATGTGCGGAAGTTGGTCTTCGAAAGCCCTGCCATCAGCCTGTTCTTGGATCCATGTCCGTAACCTCATCGCCGACCAGGGCATGCTGGCACAAATCCTATATCCAGAATGATCGGCTCCAGCATCCGCCGGTCCGAGTTTACCCCCTGTTCATGAGAATCCGACGCCATCGTCGACGCACCCTGACCCCGCGTCTTGTCGGACATTATCACCAGTGAACATGGCGTTGGCAGCGGAGAACGGGGAGGCGTGTGCATGTCGACTTGATATCTCGCCGAGTGGAAAACGGAGAAGAAGAAAGAGGAAGAACGGCGTCAATGAAAAGACATAGTGCTGCGTAACATTGCAGGAGAATGCAGTCTAAAATGCGGGGAAGTTTGCACATGCAATGCAATAGTCATCGCAGGCAAAGATATTATTGCTGCACGCAAAGAGACACAAGGACATGTCTCGGCCAGATTTTCCACTGCAACACCAGGCCATGGAGGGGACCCTTTTCGAGGCCCATTGTCGTCATGGGCTGCGTGCTGATAACTACTACTGTACGAACGAGCAGCAAAGACAAAACGATGCAAGGCCTGGGCTGCAGGAAAGCGGCGTGATGGTCCATCGCGTCCTTGCTGGGCGGGAGGAAACGACAGAGCCCGAGGCTACGGTACTGTGAAAACGGCACATTTGTGCCCAATGGGCTGGCCACGTAGGTTAAATCAAGCCCCCCCCCTCCCCGGCCGGTTTGTATCATTTCGTCAAAAGAGCTGAGGCCGAAAACAAAACAAGAAGAAAATATCCGACGTGCATTTCTCGGTGGAGGTGGAAACGGCGATAAGGCTCAAAACAGGTCCTGGTCCATGTCGATGGCGCTTGCTCACAGGGCCTTTTTCAGCTGCGAATACCACCCCTTGTCCGTGGTAAGGAGGGGGGAAAGACGATTATGATATATGATGGTGATGATGGTGATGATGGTGATGATGGTGATGATGGTGATGATGGTGATGATGGTGATGATGACGATGGTGATGATGCAGCGCATACATGCATGCATTGGGTAGATTTGCTTGCTTGCAATCCTTCGACAGGATGCGACTGGTCACCGAGGACTTGTGAGCTGGAAAAGCACCCTTTGCCACGGCTCGCTCTACGCCGTCTGCGAGATGCCGCTGCTGGTCCGAATACCATGGCAATCGCGCAAGCGAGTCTTCTCGATCGTTAGTTAGCCCGGATAAGACTCGAGAAACATCGTCACGCGGGTGCTTCCTTCGAGCTTCAGCCCGATGACAACAACTCAAGCCACCAAGGGAATAGAGCTAACGGATGAGGAGAGCCGTGGGCGCTAGGAAACGGGCATACCCGTGGGCGGAGGGGTTGGATGGCAGGCTCTCCGCCCCCGAGTAAGACCGAGGCAGAAGTGTCAGAAATGACAGTCGTCTCCTTCTAGAAAATCAAGTCCAAACTGAGCAACGGTGGGACACGTCAAAGAACAAAAAGTTCCGCTGTGGGAATAACGAGGACGAGGACGAGGACAACGAGGTTCCCTCCAAAGAGTCACACACACACTCTCTCTCTCTCCTCCCCCGGGAGCTGCGATGCGGGCCACGTGTGAGTGGCAGTGGGCAAACCAAACCAGAGAGTAAGACAAAAAGTCCGGACACAGAGAGAGGGAGACCTGTACCAACTAACCCCCCTTTTTTCTTGCTCTTTCCTTTTGGCTGGCCTGCTTTGGCAAAACGGGCCACGCCACCAAAAACGCACCAGCGAGGCCGTGCATGTCCTGGTGACCAATACTTGTCCAGGAGCGAACCAATCCCAGTCTCCGGGCCCATGTCTTGTCCTGGCGGAAAAAGAACGCGCAGTAACTATTACCTGTTTGATATTTGAAAAAAAAAAAAACAGGCTGTCCAACTAGTTAGTTGGGTTATCCCGTAGGGACAGCGTAATCAAAGGCGACGGATATAGTTATTATGCGTGCCTGCGGGGGACGGGCTACTTCCTCCCTCTCCTGACCGTCATCGTACTCGGTAGTGATTGCTGCCAAAGCAAAAAGGAGAGACACAGTTTCGGAAAGGGGGCTGCATCCCAATGGGCTATGCATAGCGCTCCCATGGAATAAGTGGCATGATTGAAGGCGCTCATCCTTTTTGTTTTCCTCGACACAGTAATCTGTAAGATGACGCTGTTTCGTCGGCATTGACAGCGCGCGGCCGGCGCCACCGAGACCAGAGACCAGGGGGTTTGTTGACGAAAAACGCCCATCGTTTCTCTTCTCCGTATCCGGAAGGATTACAAGTAGAGTGTACCAGGTGTGTACTCCACGCCTGCTTGGTCTCCTTCCTTTGTTTGGATGCTGAAGAAAATCACTTGATCAAAAGTGCTCATCGCACGATGCGCCCGCGGGCCTTGTTTCGTGTTTCGTATACATGAGTGTGTGGCCTTAGTTATCTTCCCCTTCTTCAGCAATGGCCGTATCACAAGTCAAGGCGTGTCATGATGAAAGCTTTTTGATACATATGAGCCACCACCAATTTGCCACCCCTCGGAATCAGGAACAGCCTCTCGTTTGATCTTGTGCACCAGTTTCCGAGATTAGAACAGAGGTGGCACCACATATTAGAAACGCAAAAGTTATTACGGCATCAACTGGGACGATTGGATGCGCTGGGCTTGGCCCTACCCTACTTTCTCGGCAATATAGAGGAACCAGTCAGTCATTGCTTGCTGGGTGCACGCCCCCCCTTCAAATCGTACTTCGTACATGCGAACCAAGTCTTGCTGCATCTTGTTGCGTGAGGGGCTTGCATGGGAGGTGCGCAAGGTAGTATAACCATACAGTAGCGCTGCATTGTCTGGTGCTGGGAATCTGGGGTACCGTGGTCAGGACAAGAGCTGTCCACGCGAGCAGCCTTGGAGCTGGAGACCTGGAGACCTGGAGACCTGGAGGGGCTGGAGGCTGGAGGGCTCTGGTGCCCCGCGTTTTTATTTGCTTTCTTGATAGTTATTCGTTAGTCGACCTTGGCAGCGAGAGCACGACACGGCTGGCCGTCGGACAACGCTTCTGGTCACCCTCCTTGAAGCTTCAATATTGCGGTGAAGCCCGTCGACGGGCGATGCAGCAAGCTGATTGGGCCTGTGATGGAGGGACCTGTGAAGAAAAATGGCAATGTGACCCCGATGCCGCTTGTTTGCTTTACCGCTGCTTTGGACTGCCTGGCTGGCTGAACCCTTCCCTCCATGGCCAACGACGACAACTCAGGCTCGGGCAAGGCGACATGACGCTATGTATGTAGGTGACGACGCACCACCGTGCAGGCAGCATGGGAGGCTCCGCAAGAACGACTGGTCGCTGGCTCGTCTTGGCAGCGTGTAGCCGTTTTCCTCTCCTCTTCTCTTTTCGGGAGGCTTGGTTTTGGTACGGATGCATCGGTCGCGCAATGACGACAGGGTACTTGTTCTTGAGGTTGGCGGGTGCGAGAAAAGAGGGGTGTGTCAAAGGGCTGTGTGCATGAGGATAGGTATTTAGGCTGGGCGGGAAGGGTGAGGACGGGGAGGAAAGGAGAGGAGAGGAGAGGAGAGGAGAGGAGAGGAGAGAGGAAGCATCAGCCTGCGTACCACAAGACGCCATCGTAGCCTGCAGCGAATACTGGACGGAATCCCAGTCTAGCTAGCTACTGGAGTTTGCGCGACCGTACATGCTCGTAGTGCCGGTAACAGTTTCTATACCCGTACCGAGTAATGCTGTTGTGGTACGCGTACTCTGTCATAGACTGCATATTGGTCCGATGCGCTCTCGCGAGAATACAGTCGTTCCGTGATAGAATTCAGCAGTAACGCAATATTAAGCTTGCAGACAAAGTGTGTGGAACAAGTCGCCCAGACAGTTCAGGCACAAGGCGCCAAGGCTGACCTGCGCGATGCTCATGCAGGCTGCCAGGCGCGCTGCACAGCACAGAGTCAGACGGGGCTCGAGGCGGCTCCGTGCAGGCGTATTACAAGATGATGCACAACTTTGTCGTCTTCCTTTCCCCCTTCCAAATTCCAAATTCAGGATGCCGGCCCTTATTGTCTCGGGACGGTTGCACAGCTCGCAACCACAGCTCGCCACTTACACATGGGCGTCCGGGACCGAGCTTTTGGACGAGTCAATCGTGCACAGAGACAACCGACCGGCCCGCTCGGGAACTGGGAACTTGTAACCGCCGCTATTCTGGCTCGCTGCTCCCCTCGCATTGACACCCGTCTGAGTAAGGACGGCGCTCCCCCCACTCCCAAAAGGTCCAGGAACTTCTGGAAGGTCAAGACGAACGGCCAAATTGCATTGAATACCAGAGCGAAAGAGGAAGGCTGGCCAGCTGGCAAGGTACAGGGGGACAGCGTGTTCACAGGAGTTATCGGTAGGGATGCTTGTTTCATCAGTACTTGGACGGGACCATGTGGAACAGTCCAACAGATCGATTTCTGTCACGGTCTCGAAAGGGGAAGGCGGCATTGTCGTTTCCGGACCCGAAACCCTTGGTAATTAAAAGCCCGCAAAGGAAGACTGACATGAGTACATAGTGACAAGAGTAGCAGAGAGTCGCTTTTTTTTGGCGTTAGACTCTGCCAGAAACGTGGAGGAGAATTGGCCACTGGCCATATGCTGGCACGAGCCCGGGTTGCTTCAGGCCGCCGTTATGCAGCAGGCTCGGCGCTGCCCCGCGACAACACATGTCCGGGCGCCGCCGAGTTATGCGTAACACGGCAAGTTGTTTCCCTTTTGTCGTGATGCATGACAAAAAGTACATGAATTACTGCGTAACGAGATCTGCCAAGTTCGGACGGTTTGGGGGGCGAGTGCGTTGGATCGCCGGAGGGTTCGGGGTATCTATTCGTCCTGGTGCAGATTTGTGTCATGCGGACAGAGCCTGGGATGGGAGAACACGCAGCCTCATTTGCGTCTTTTCTTGGATGGGGTGATTTTCTGGGCCAAGTCATTTTCGTCCAATGGCGATAATAATGCCAGGCACCGCAATGCAGGCCGCATTGGTACTTGTCGCATGCTGGATGCCAGAAGAGGTTGTGGAAGTTTCCAATAAGCGGGGTGTGTTTGCAAGCAAAGCCGGCCCCAAACCCCGCATCTCAAAGCCGAGTTGCGTGGTGCATTTCATAAGGAGACGGCGAGACCTGGTTGCTGTATGTAAGAGGGAAAGTACTTTTGGTGACGCTGGAAGAGGAGACCAGAGTTTAACGCCGCCGCTGACCAGAGGCTCTGATTTGCCCGGAGCGGAGTCATTGACGCTGTCATTTGCTGTTGGCTCTTTTCCTACAAGAGACTTGTCAACGTTGTACATGTACATTCATCTGGTGGCGGTACACCCATGAGTAGCCCAATCCTGGATTTTCAGTACGACATGTCGAAACGATTCGGACGGTGCCAAAGATGGGAAGAGGTGTACCAGTTCACTAAAGTCCATAACAAGAGGCCGGAGTACTCCGTATTAAGTAGAATACGAGATGTGGTGCGGGGTGTGCTGGAGGACTCAAGGGAATGCGCTGCGCTGCCAAGAGGCCGGCGCAGGTGCCAAGGAACATGTAGTCAGTCCACGACCTCGGCGCAGGGGTATGTATAGCGGTTCCAAGGGGCACATTTTGGCGCTGTGCGCTGTACGCTATAATGCGTTGTCCTCGTTAGTTGTGAGTCAAGTAGTTGTACAGAAAGCAAATGTACATACCCTATTTTCGACGACATGCGGCGACAACAAGCTTCGAGTCCCAGTTAATAAACCAGAAATAAAACGTCTGCTTCTAAGCCAATAAATCATCGGCCAGGCCATACTAGCGCACGTGCTCACGACACGACACGACACAGCACAACGTTCTTTGTTATTGTCACCAAGCCGAACGTACTTGTTCAAGGCCTCTGCTTTTAGAGCCCTGCCAGTAGTCCTTATGACGACATGCGCAATTTTAGGCAATGCTTTTAAGCCCTTCCCCCCGAGCAACCTGGCGCGAGCAGTAGCGTATTGGTCCTTCGGCGATCACTTCGCCCCTCCTATCTCCTCTCCAGTACGTAGTACGGTGCATTTCAGCACTCGATTCTGTTTCTTAGACCACTCCAAATCGGTAATTCGTGCCTTACTGGTAAATCCCGTGTTAGGGTTGCTCCCTCCTACCAGGGGCTTGCTGTTGGTCTAGGCGACGGACTGCCCACTGCCAGCTACTGCCTTCCCCTGGCGTGCCAAGGGTGGGACTCGGGCGACCAGGGAATAAGGAAGCTTGCCCGATGACCTCATAGTGCGTTGTGTGTTGTTGGTAAATCCAGGCCCTAAGCACAAAACCCTCCTATTCCCAGTAGCAGAGAGGGGACGCGCGGCGGCATGACAAACTGACAGGACACAGCGCCGCAGAGACATCGACAGGACGCGACAGGGGGCTGATAACATGTGTTCTCAAGCCAACGAATGCGGCGACAACAGTAACCGTCTTGCCGTCGAAGACTCCCAGACATGGAGCCCAACCAATAGACGCGATGGCTTGCATGAGACACCTGCCACAATAACGCGTCATTTTGACATTTCTCCCGTCCTGATATCATTTCAAAACCTCGAGCCTCTCTCTTGTTTCACTGCGCTCCGCAAGTGACATTCAGGCGTCACTGCACAGAAGCCCACTTTGTGGCGTGCGCCGACGCAAGCCATCATGTTTCTTTTTTTAACAGCCAAAATCCTGGGAGAGTGCGAGTTCGTTACCAAGCTATCCAAGCCGGATTCAGAAAATGGTTGACGTAGGGCGTCGTATGCCAACGAGAATGCACCAATAAGCATGAGAGATGGAAGCCACAGCTCGAGAGCAGCCAGTAGGAGGCGTCCAAAATCGAGTTACACTAAGCCCTTTGCACCAAAGATCGAAACGGTGGCATGTTGTTCGCGTAATCCTGATTAGGCCAAGACTTGAAAGTGGTGGTCGTAAAGGACACAAATTGCCTGTGTGCGCAGCATGACGCGGGCTATTCTTGTTTGGTAGGCATCCGCCAGCCCGGATCAGCCAACTGACATGGTACGGAGCATCCGTACTGTAATCTAACTGGTTATCAGCCTCAGTAGCGAAACAACCCCGCTCGAAAGACTGCTTTGGCTTTTATTACCACTAGAGACCGTGTCTCCACAGATGAAGTACCGGTACGTGCTGGAGCCAAGGAGCTCACAGGGCTTGAGCGGGCTTCAGCATGATGTCGATAGTAACGAAAGGAGAGGCCAACAAGGACGTGTCTCAGGGAGTCATGCCTCAGGGTCTCAGATCAAAGCAGGGGGCAGATATAGGCTCTTGTCGCCTGGGGTCCTGACAAGACGGCGGTCACCCTGCTTACAGCCGACTGGGAAGTACCTCAAGACAAGGCTCTGTCGGTTTGCGCGCGACAAGGGGGCTTTGATATGTATCTCTACAAATAGATCCATCCTGCAGCGGGGCGCTTTCGGCCAATGCTCTGGATTCGAATCCAAGGCTTCTCGCACCATCGGGGGCATGGGAAAATAAAACCGAGAATATCGGGCAACCTCTGGGCCGTTGATGATAACCCCCTGGCAACTGGCCATATTCGCCGGTCTCTGAGTGCTTTCGCAGCCGTCTTTGATGTTTGAGAATTCAAAAAATATGCCTAGGATGAGAATTACCGCGAAAACGGCAGTGGTAGGTTTTGTCTCAGTTGTCAACTTATTGGCTTTCTTGTTTCCTTCTCAGCTTCCCCGGATTTAGGGAACATGTAACATCGTTTTGTCGAAGATCGTCATGTTTTAGTAGATATTTTGCCCTGTCGGAGCGGGCTCATCTTGCTTAGTGTAAAAGCTAGAAAGGGCTCAAAAATTCCTGCCTCCACGACGTATAGACCGCTGATCGTCAGAACTAATGTGCAACGAGAGCCGCCGACCTCCGGCCGCTTTGCCCTGGCACACCCCCTTTGACGAGCCGTCAGGAATGGTTCACCGACTTGACGGTAAGTGTTGCGACTAGAATCGACCGGTTGTCGGTGCTGGCATACATCTCGCGGAGGACGATGTGTACCTGCACGAAACAAGAGTACAGAATGCGACAGCTCAGAAATAGCTGATCGCCGCCATCCAGGCACGGACAGGGAACCGACAGTTCTTTTTTTTTTCTTTTTTCTTGTTGCTGCTTCCTTCTGAACAAGGGCAGCGAATGGCAGATCTCACCTCAGATCCGAGCCCCATCCATGTGGCCCCCTCTCTCCCAAAAGTCTGGGTGCACAACCCAAAGAGCTGGGAAATGGGCTGAGCTGGGCTGAGCCTAGCGATCAAGGGGGGAGGGGTGTGCGAAAGGAGAGCTCCGGATAGCTGGCGGCCAGGCAGACTCGCAAGAACACGAGCAACTGTAGGAGTAAAAAGGCCTGACCGCCTCTTTTCTAGGCGGCGTCAAGGTTGTTTCTGAGTACGAGGCTGTTGTTGGAGGTAATCTTAGCACAGCATAATAGGTATTTGGACTCGTATGTATCCGTAAGAAAACCTAGAATAAACAACGGCCCCCTGTAAGTTATGAGGCAATAGCAGTTCGCAAGCAGGGTACGTACACTGAGTTGACCCTGAGTGAGTGGTTGGAAGTTGTTGCTTGCTATGTTCGGCAAGCCACATCCAATCTGGCGGCCCAATAAGCAAGAAGCCAGTGTTTCGATAACTACCTGGATATTGGCATTGCTCTCTCCTTTGTCTCGTTTGACGCATTTCAGCTCTAAGGTGTTAGCGGCCTTATTTTCGGGCAAAACGCTGGCAAAAGAAGCATTAAAAAAGAAAAGAAGTTTGAACGACAAGGTTGAGCCCGCACGTCCATCAGGTACTGATTTGTGCACTTTCCGCAAAGCGCCGAGAAAGTAGTCAAGTCGTCATGACAAGAGAGAAGGTCGACTAACGTTCGGTAAAAGGGGCACGGGTGTTGCCTGGAATGTCCACTAATACCTATCAGCGCGAATGTCTTGTGGGAGAGTCGTGCTTTTGCCAAGAACTAGCTCATGCTGAAGCTCGCCAGCAGTTTCTTTTAGGGACCTAGGGGTTCATGCTAACGGCTGGGTGGTGAGGGTACGTGTTTGCCCCGGCTCATCCGTCGTCATTGTGCCTTGTGGTGCCCCGCCAAAGTCTGAGTCTGGTGGCTCCATTTACAAGGGCAGGTTGTCTTTTCGTGCACGAATCGCTGGGTGTTCTGCTTGGCGGTACCTCGTGGCACTGCATGGTTGGATTGCAGGGGGCTGTAAGACGCTGGCAGGGCTCGTTCAGTGCGTAATCGTGGCTGGAAGCTGTCATGGCTGCTGTAGATGCAGGCAATGTACGGATACTCTGTAGGCAATGCTGCAAAGAGCTGCTACATTCCATGACTGATGCCGAGCTAGCAGGTCGCCTTGGATACTGTAATAGTTAGACCAGACTGCCATGTTGGAGAACAGCCTAGGACTACCCAATGTTGACACTAGTATGTAGCTAGTAGCGGGAGGGTCAAGATGCAGCCGCTGTTTGTCTGGCGTAGAGTGATTCGCAAGTGCAATCATGCCTCTGATATCGGGCAGGCGAACAAGCCAGGAAAGCGAGCGAGCAGTACGAGCGAATGTCATTCGCCGCCGGAAAATAAAAAGAGTGAGACGTTGAGGCGGTGGTGTCAGTTCAGTTGCTGACCGTCACATTGAATTACCCCTCTTCATGGCGTTGGCACACCGCGTCTTGGTGCTCATGTGGACAGCGTCGTGGCCGTGTTGGTAAGCTCGGCTGGCAGGCAAGGAGCGCCGCGGAAGGTGTGGTTGGCGGTGCAGCTTTGATTGGGTAGGATAAGGTAAGGTTTGCTCGGTTGTTGCGAAATGCTGGACCTCTCTTGTTTGTAGTCTTGCGTGTTGAGTATCACGTCGATGGCCATGTTGTGAGTCATGTTGATGATGATGGCTTTGTACCTCTGCCTCGCAATTTGGGTGCAAGGAATCAAGAGCTCTGCGAAGTTGGGAAGGAACAGCAGTTTCAGCACTTGCGCCCCTCCATTACAGCAGTCCACCACCGCCGCTAAAATTCCAGCACATCACTTCGTGGCCAGGGAGATACGGTACCTGGAGCAGCGCCGCTACAGCAGGTTAGTCCCTGTAAGCTACTAAGTGGGCTAGCCTTGCAGCCACTGTCCCTCCTGTCGTGGCCACAAGTACCAGTACGACACGGTGTTTCCCTCCCCCTCTTATTAGCCGTTCTCTGCTAAGCCACGCTAGATACACGGCTGCCTCATTCCACACGCCTCCCTCCCTCTCCGGCCATACCCATTCTTCGGCTAGGAAAAAAAGGGCAGAAAAAAGAAATGGAAAGGGGGGAAAAGAAGCAACAAGGGCCAAAAAAAAAGAAGCATACCCCTCCCCCAGGCTTCGTGTGCTCCGCAGCGCAACTCGGAGGCCCGGCTAATACCTTTTGACTCAAAAGATTTTTTTTTTCACAGCCAAAAGTTACTCACATTTGTCCGTGTTGTCCTGTGTTGTCCTAGTTAGTGCCACCCTCCGCCACGACAGCAAGTAGGTACTTCATCATCCACCACCCACACTGACCTTAACTAACTAGCAATTCGCCTCCAAATCTCTTTTCAACTACAGACCTCTGTTTGTCTTTCCTTCAAAAACAACCTTATCCCAACATTCATCAATTTAACGACGGATAACGACTACTTCGAATTCCCTAGCATCCGCCGCGTAGGTTGCACATACTGACTGCCCCAAGTCTTCGATTCTTGCCATCTTCACTACAGCGACACCCCAGAACGCGAAAGCTGCAAGCTGTGATACCTCCGTCCCAACTCGTCATCTCGAGAACCACGCAGCTTCTCCGAATCTGTCATTGACGCTGCTGTGCGACTTGTGCGCCACGGTCCCTTTTCTGCTTCCTTGCCACGCCAGCCGTACCGACAACAAAGGTCTAACTTGACCGGGCCTCGTCCACCACGTCCCTGTCGTATCCTGCTGGTAGTCTCTACCTACCTAATAACCTGCGTCTGCGCCTACGCCCACGCCCACGCCCACCTCGTCGACGACAGGCACCCAGTCCGCATACTGCACATCGCCCACAATTGACGTGGTCGCTGGCCTGCCTGACGATACCTGCACTAGGAGACTACGAGACTCTGACTTGCCAGATCGACAACATCCCATCCTTGGTGCTTGCTCTAGTTCCCGCTCCCGCACCACGCGCGCGCCGCCACACCCTGCGCCCTGCCTGCATATCTGCCTTCTTCACCTACCTATGCAGCTTTGCAGCTTTGCTTGCATCCATCCATAGCCTCTGCAGCCTCAATCTTGCGACAGCTCTTGCTCCTCTCCAAGCACACCAAAGCTTGACGGACCCGCTTCTGCTGTTGCCTGTCTTGCTTTACGCCAGCGCATATCCGTCCAGACACCAACGTGCAACCCACAGCCCACGAGACACACAAGTACAGAGGCCAGCCCTCTTCCTCCCGGCACTTATTAACCTCTCGACCTCGCTCTCGCCGCTTTGTGCAACTGTCTCGTCTTTCTCGTCACACTTCAACATGCGCGCTGTCTCTTACACCCGCCATTCATAGATGTCGACACTTGCATAGAGGCCGCCTCGCCTCTTCTGCTTAACTTTTGTGTGCCCCTGCTGCACCCTCTCTGCAACCGCAGACATCATGGTCATGCTCTACAGGACTGCACGACCCATGCCAACCACATCTCCAGCCCAAGACACGAGCAACATGTCTTCACCAACAGCCCAACTTCGGCGTCGCCCAAGCCCGGCCATAGTGCAGACAAATGTCCAGCCTCAACACTCCAACTCGGCCCCCATTTCTGCCATAAGCGCCTCATCCGTCGCCTCCTCTCGCCAGGCCTCCCCCGCCATGTCGCCTGACACCGCCGTCCTTACCACCAATTCCTCTCTCCAGGCCTCCCCGGATGCCCCTCTCCCTCGACCTGACGACGACGTCTGCCCTCCCAACTTTCAGCTGCCAGAGTCAATCGTCTCCCATAAGACGAGCGTCAACTCACTGGCCCAGGGCTGGACTGGCAATGGCAGCCAGCTGACCGAAATGGCCAGCAACGGCCCCGCCTCGCCTGTTCCTACCCCGGCCAAGACTAACCTCATCCGCCGCCTCTCCAGCCGCGCATCTCGCAGCATAAACAGTCGCCGGAGGCAGTCCTCCGCTGCTCCGTCTGGTCGTGACAGCAGTGTTGGCCCCTGTTTCCTGCGAAGCCGCTCCGATAGCAACACCGGCGCTCCCCCCGAATATGCTCCCGCGCATACAGACTCTGAGTCCGAATTTGACGACAGAGATGAGTTTGGCTCTCTGCTCCAGAACAACTTCATGCTTGACGGCAGCGTCCGCGATGTTCCTAAACCTCCTACTCGCAGCGCCACCTCGCCTGTTGGTGGAAGCTCAACCACCATGGCTGGCCCGGTCATTCCTCTGCAGCTCCAACAAGGCATCTGGCTTCGCAAGATTTCCAAAAAGAGCCGCTCTAAGAGGATACGTCTGCAGTATGACCCCGACTCCAACAAGCTCGTTTGGGACAAAGCCCGACCCCAAAAGTCGCTGCACGTCGACGAAATCCGTGAGATTCGCACTGGCTCCGACATCCAGCAGTATGGTCGCGATTTCAAGATTCCCGAATCCGAGCGCTCTACCTGGTTCTCAATTCTATACTCTGTTCCTGAGCGTTCCAAGTCCAAGTTTATGCATCTCATTGCCGACGACACCGAGGCCTGCAACATTTGGACTACGTTTCTGCACGCTATGCTACGTCATCGCCAAGAAGTCATGACTTCGCTCATGTCCTTCAATGACAAGGCCATTGCCCAATACTGGCAGACTGAAATGGCAAAACAGCCTGACTTTGGCGGCGTTACCGAAGAGTTGGATCTCGCCGGTGTGAGGCGCGTCTGCCAAAACCTCCACATCTACTCCTCTCATATTATAGTCCAGGCAAACTTTCGCATTGCCGACGCACGCGGCCGTGAGCGTCTCAATTTTGGCGAGTTTCTCGAGTTTGTCCGCCTCATGAAGCAGCGCAAGGATATTCGCCACATCATGCACCTCAACTCGGCTAACCCCGATCTTGGCATGACGATGCTTGAGTTTTTCACGTTCCTTCGCGATGTGCAGGGTGAGGACGTTGACAGTAACCGCGCTACTTGGGAAAAGTCGTTTGCCCGACTTGCCCGAAAATACCGATCTGAAGGAGCTCAAGAAGGGGTTCCAGAGGGACCTGAGGAGCTCATGTCCGAGGACGCATTTGTCGCTTTCCTCAGCTCAAGGCACAACACGCCTGTCGCTGATGAACCTCAAGACTACACCCTGGATCGTCCCATGAATGAGTACTTCATATCTAGCTCCCATAACACATATCTCCTTGGTCGTCAGGTCGCTGGTAGGTCTAGCATCGAGGGGTACATCGCTGCCCTCGTGCGTGGCTGTCGTTGTGTTGAAGTCGACTGCTGGGATGGTTCAGACGGCCAGCCTCAGGTTGTCCACGGCCGCACCCTCACCACTTCCATCAGCTTCAAGGAAGTCATGACCACCATTAACAAGTACGCTTTTGTCAAGTCCAACTTTCCTCTTTGGATCTCCCTCGAGGTGCATTGCAATGCTATGCAGCAAGCTATCATGGCCGAGACGATCAAAGAGGCTTTTGGCTCTCGCCTCGTCACCGAGCCGCTCGACCCGTCCTCCACTAAGCTGCCATCGCCCTCGGAGCTCATGGGCCGCATTCTCATCAAGGTCAAGGAACCGCGCATGCGCGATGACAGCAACATGAACAGCACGTCAATCATTGCTCAAGCCACCCGTGGCCGCGGCAACAGCGTCGGCTCCTCTAGCCAGGTAGCGCACGTCTCGCAAAGCCCCGCGCCCTATATATCGCATTCGCTTCCCCAGAGTCCTCTTCTTAGCGGTTATCCCGGACGCGTGGCAAGCAACAGCCGTCATCGCGTGCAAACTATCAATGAGGAAATTCCCCCTATCCGTGACATGAGCAGCCACAGTGATACCGAGAGTGGCAGCGACACCGGCTCTGCCAGCCAATCGGCTAACAAGACCATTCCTGTCCTGGGCAAACTTGGCGTGTACTGCGCTGGTGTCAAATTTCCTGGCTTCGATGCCCCAGCTGCCAAGAAGTTTAATCACATCTTTTCCTTTATGGAGTCGAGTTTCTCCAAAAATTCGCGTTCCAAGGAGGACAAAATGTCTCTCAACATTCACAACATGCGCTATCTGATGCGCGTCTACCCTGACGGCACTCGCCTAGCGTCAAGCAACTTTGACCCCCTCCTCTATTGGCGACGTGGTGTCCAGATGGCTGCGCTGAACTGGCAGACGTTTGATTCGGGCATGCAGCTCAATCGCGCCATGTTTGACGGCGGTCGGGACTCGTCCGGCTACGTTCTTAAACCCCCAGAGTTGCGTGACATCCAGGTGCTCCCTTACAACTCGGACATAGCTCGTGGCAAAAAGGAGCGCTCCATCGTTTCTTTTTCCATTCACATGCTGTCCGCGCAGCAGCTGATGCGTCCCGCCAACCTCGCCGCCAGTAAGTCGATGGACTTCTACGTCGAAGTGGAAGTCTTGCACGCCAATGACAAGCGCGACAAGAAGGAGGAGCCTTTTGACCGCGACCGTGAGACGGACACGTCTCTCAAGTTCCAGACGGAAGTTATTCGCGAGAATGGCTTCTCGCCCATGTTCATGTCGAGCCAGTTCAAATTCAAAGTGGTGACCAAGCACCCGGAGCTGGTTTTTGTACGGTGGTCCGTCAAATTGTCCAACAACGGCGAAAGCTACAGCACCAAGGACCGCCCGCCGATTGCAAGCTACACAGCCAAACTGTGCAACCTCAACAATGGCTACCGCACGCTGCCGCTGCTCAACCACGCCGGCGACCAGTACCTCTTCTCGACACTATTTTGCCGCGTACAAAAATACAACACTGAGAAGACGCTCATTGACGCGCCCCGCGCGCCCCCCGATGGGAGCAAGCTGAACCGCTTCGGAGGCAAGGTCTTTGGACGCAGCAACACGAGCCCGCGCGGTACAATTGAAAAGACGAGCATGGAAAAGACGAGCTTTGAGAGCTTCAGCTAGCCGGGTCGTCGACATACCAAAAGTACTTGTTTTTGCTAGCAGCGCTAGCTGAGCGATGTTGAGTATCGCCCCTCCCACTCCCTCTTTATCATATTTCTTTCTTGTTTCTCCTCGAGCCTGACTCGAGGAATATTATGTATTGATGGATATATATTTTGCTGAGTTTGCCGTTTTCTTTGTTTTCGAAGCATGATCTGTAGCACAGACACACACACACACACCATATCACCACTAGTTGGAAACAAAATACCCCCTGCCTTGTTTATTTGTTTATTTGCTTGTCTTGTCTTTCCTTTTCTTCTTCTTCTTTCAAGTGGCACAAATTGCGCCAACGCTGCGCGGGGCTGGTTCATGTCATCACTTGATTGGTCTTCTTTGAAGTATGGGCTTGCCAGCCAAGACCAAAACACCCACGCTTTTTATACTACACACTGCATGTTCTGTCTATAGCATTTTACGCCGGAGGTTTCAAAAATCACACACATGTCACGGTTTGGGAAAGAATGGATGCTTTTTCTGGGAGAAGGATTCGGTATAGAAGACGCACACACAACAATGGAATTTTTGGACGAGATATCATCTTTGGATCTCTGATTTACCTTTCCTCACGTTTGATATGTTGTCTGATGTGGGTTAATGATTTTATGATGATATGATGATGTTTTGACAGATGGTGACGCTGAGCAACATGCACCATAACTGTCTTGTACACTTGGGCAGATTGACGTCTGAGGACACTCTGTAAATATGTACATGGGAGTAAGATAGGTTCTTCTTTTGCAATTCTGAATAGGTCATGTTATTATGTGATGTGGAACTTGATCATGAGAAGCCACAGGGTTCTATGCCCTTTGCCAAACAACCCCCCCCCAAAAAAAACACGAGGTTTAAAACACGGTCTTGACGTCGTAGTGTACATGTCCTTTTGTTTTCCTAGTCTACGCCTTGGTCTTCGTAGCCCGTGGCCGCATCATCCCGCTTGGACGTCTGGCGAGCGCCGCGTAACATGCCGCTCGCCCCGCCGCGGCCCCAGTTGCTGCCGTTGCTATTCATGCTATTCATGCGTGCCGGACCGCCGCCATTTGGACGCAGCGGCTGCTGCTCCTGCTGCTCTTCGTCCGAGCTCATAATGTCATTGTCAATATCTTCGAGTTGTTGCTCGAGGGTGCGTCCACGCGGACTGAGACGCCGGAGGGGTACGGTGTTGCCGTTGTCGTTTGAACGTGGGTCGGGGTGCAGGTTTGAATCGCGACCGAGAAGACGGTCTGCTTTGCTGGACGGCTGCCGCTGCTGCGGCGGGTATTGCTGCTCCTGCTGCTCCTGCTGTGGCGGCTGGCTATAGTAGGACGGCGGTTCCGGCGGAGGCCCTGCCTCGCCCCAGCCGGCATTGATCTCGCGCTGGCGCTGGCGTTCCCGCTCGATGCGTAGGCGTTCGCAGGCCTCGAGCCACCTGGGGCTCGCCTCCCACACCCAGCCGTCACCTGTGGTGTTGCAAACGGGTATGAACCAGAGCGCGGGGGTCGGGCCCAGCAGGTGCGTCATGTTCCTCCGCCAGCCAAGATCAAACGCGCTGGGCAGCTTCTCGGCGTCCTGCTCATCGAGGTACTCCTCGTACCGCTGACGGCTCTGGTCACGCTCTAGCTCCGCGTACGAGCGCTGTGCGGGCGGCCCCCGCGGTGGGTGGTACTGGGCGCCCGGCCGGTCCTGCGCCCAACGCTGCTCCTCGCCCTCCTCGGGCGCGGTGATGCCCGGCAGCGCGGCCGCGTGAAAGTCGACGATCTGCTGCGCGACGGGGTGAAACTGATTGTGCGGGTCGTGCGCGAGATTGTAGGAGCGGCGCAGCGGCGACAGGTAGCGCGTCTTTTCGAGGCACTCGATGGTGGTCTGCCCGCGCATGGAGAGCATAATGTGCCAGCCGGTAAAGATGGCGAGCACAATGCCAATAATGCCGCTCATGACGGAGAGCATGATGTAGTTGACGGGCATGAGGTTGTCCACCTCCTCGGTGATGCCGCTAATCACCTGCGTCCACACCCAGGTGCCACTAACGGCAAACGCGTAGAAGCACAGCAGAGTCGTATAGCAGAGGAAGAGGAGAAAGGCCTTATAGTTACGCAGGCCGACGCACGTCGCCAGCCACGGGCAGTGGTGGTCCATCTTGAGGACGCACCGCTTGCACGTGGAGCAGTGGTGCGCGCGGTCTGGCTTGCGCGCCTGGCACTTTTTGCAGAACCGCAGCTCACCATTGCTCTTGACGGTCAGCGATGTCGAGGGTCGCTGGGACTGCACCGCCGTGGGCAGCAGCCCGTAGCCGTCGGTTGTCGTGGTCGAACCGGCGGGCGTGAAGACAGCGACGGTGTAGGACCAGTTGGCGAGGAGGTATATGGTAATGCCTACGGCGGAAGACGTCTTGCCTGCAGGGAAGAGGGGGAGTCAGCACGGAGAGAAGCTTGCTTTGGTCGGTCCTTGGATCGGTTGGGCCTACCTAGCCACGCGATGCTGGTGTCTTCATTGCCAATATTGACAATCGTAAAGACGGCCCACGTTGTCAGACCGTAGACAAAGAGCAGTGGGAAGTATTTGACGATCGAGCAGCACGTGCGCTCGAGCCGGCGCGCCCATCGCCGGGCCATTCTGTCGTCGCCGAGGCGGCCGGCCTCGAGGTGATGCTCAGACTCGGAATCCAACGTGTCGGTGCGCTCGATGCCTTATTGTTGCTTCATGGATATGATTCGTGCCGCTGCTTATGAGGCCTAGCTTCGAGAATCGGTGTTGGCTCGGTTTTCTTGGTGGAAAATGTGTGGTCAGTGTAATATGTTACAAAAGTGTTTGTAACTACAGCCACAGGCGAGAGGCAGCACAGCTTAGGTCATCAGGGGCGAAGCTGTGCTGCGCCTACTGGACGGCCTAAGCGCACCTAATTGCCTAATTGCCCATCGCCTCATATCTGAGTTAGGGCAGTTTGTATAAGCTAAGATATTACTTCCTAAAGCGCTGAGAAAACTCAAGTGCCGTTCAGTTTTTTTTGTTGCGCGTTTTTTTATTTCACAGCAGGTAGTTAACTCTACACTCCTGACCGAGCTTCGTCCGGCATGCTCTTTTCAACGCCCCCCTCTAGTTATCACCAGAAAACTTTGTCAGTTGACTGATTCGCATTATACTTGACAGTGCCATGTCTACCGCTGGAGTCAACCCCTACAATTCCTCCGGTGAGCTGGTCGATGAATGCGCCATAGTGTTCCGTCTCTCGAACTCGGCAGTGCCCCGCGGACTCCGCGTGGGATGAAATTGCTTCCACCGATTTAAAAATCCGCGAGCATTTAGGGCACTGATACGACTTATCGCCATGTGCGGGAGACTTTAGATGCCTGATGATGGCTGGCTGGTTATCGAAGCATTTGCTAACAGAGTTTGTTAGCCTGATCGAGTGCATTGATGTACTATAATTCTCACCCGCATCCAAGTTTAGGGCAGACATATTTGTTCATGCCGATGCAAAAATAATTAGAGGCGCAGAAGTATGGATGCTCTGGGTCGTCCATATCCATCTCATCGGCTAGATACTCGGGCGTCGCCCTTGTCACCTCCGCTGCAAGCGTAGGCCGTGCGATGCACCCCTTCTCGCGGTCTTTTGCGAGTGCCTCTTGGATATCTTTGGTCCCCCAGGAGCCTTGCCACTTAGTGACTGAGGAACTTTTCGATGTTTCCGGGGGTGACTTGTCTTTTTGAGAGGTTTGTCCCTTGCCCTGTGTTGAGGTCTGCCATTTGACTGCCAGGTCCGATGATAAATCAATGAGCAAGCTTTGGTCGTCTTGCTCAACTGTTATTTTCTTGCTTGGCGGGCTTTTCATCTCGTTCGATTTGGGGAGCCCGGGAAAATCAACTTCCGAGACCTGTCCCGGTTTCTCAGCACTCGGGGCTTCAGAAATATCAATCCACTGTGAAACCTGGATTTTAGACATATAGCTGGCGAAGCTTCCTTTAATAGGCCCATCAGATCGTTTCTCGAGCCCCCGGTGAAAATCCAGCTTCGTTTCCCGTAGCTTAATCAAGTCTTGGGAGCTGATGCCAGTGCATTGCCCACGCTCAATATGGCCGACCAGCATCGCGAGTCGGATAAAGGGGCCGCGGCCGCAGCCTGGACAGTGCAAATTATGACTAGGCTCGTGGGACTGTGGTCTAGGTGAGAAAAACCGGCGAGAATGTGGCAACAGTAGAAGGGCGTACCCGTTGGACGTGTAATAGTTCACTCTTGGCCGCCTCGAATCTCTCATTGCAGAAAGCGCAGGTTTTGTGATCCTCTCTACCTTGGTCTCGCATCGCGGATTTATGATCCCACAGCTGTTCCCAGGAGGGAAACACAAGGTTGCAAGGTTTGCAGGGGAATTCTGGATCTGGCGCAGGTGAGGACATGGTTGCGGTACTGGTCGATTGGAAAGGACAGTTGAAGTTGACAGGTGGTCAGAAAATTGATAATGCAAAGTGGAACGTAAATCAAGGTGTTTGTTGTGTGCGGCGGTTGGCAGTGCTTGCCACCTGGCAAGCGGCAGGTGTAGCTGGCAGCTGGCAGTGATGCAAACGCTGATGTCGGTTCTAAAAGCCGGCTACTCTAGCTCAGGGTAAACTTCCTCCGCATAGTGCCTATCATTCAGGTGCCCACTGCTAAATTCGTATCTATAGGGACCGCTGTACTCGCGACCATTGTAACCTGGACCGTTGTTGTCTTGGCTATTATAGTCATCTGCTAACTGATCCAGCTGGTCATCCTCCGGCTCAGAACCGCTGCCATTGTCCTCGTTGCTGTCAGCGCCAGAATCCTCGTCGTTGTCCATGGCTTCTATGGGCGCTCGGCTGGGTGAGCTTGCAACCGACGCAGGATCATCTGTCATTGATGCCGCTGGACGAGTCTTCAGTTTCACGTTGTAACCTTGACTTTTCCTCTTCGGTGGCTTCCGGCCACGCAGTGCCGTGAGCTCCTGATCTGTAAGCCGCAAATTGGGCAACGGCAGATGAAAGTTGCTTGACGTTGACCTTGGCGGAGTCATATCACCAAACTGTAAAGTAGGGGTAAAATCTGCCCGCGACAGCTGCCTGCCAAACCGAATACCGACCAACTTTGTCTTCATAACGGCCTTAACCTTGGCCCACAGGCCGCCGTGGTACCAACCGCTGCTAACGTCCCAAGTAGGGCGTACTGCTGCTCCGTCAAGAAGCTCGCGTAGTAGAGGGTCGGTGATGTCGCAGACTTGCCAGACCTTGCCGTCCGTGTCGTATGTTTCACCATCGAAAATATGACTTGCTGCTCCCGCTGGTGCCTGGCGCCCCTCCACCTTTTCGGGACGAGTGTATGTCCGCACCGTGGCAGGGCCTGAGGGTCGCTTGTGCTTGGTCAACTTGAACATGAGAGTCTGGTATTGTCGAAATTTGGGATCCGTGCGCGGATCAACACCGTAAGGCACGACACAATCTCGCCAGGGACCACCCTTAAATTGGTAGGCGGCGTAATTGAGATATTTCTTGAGCTCGTTCCAGCTATCAAGCTTTTTTCCGAGATGATTCAGCAATGAGCGACGTGTCCAGATAGGACGATCTGTAAAGGCTGCCTCCAAGTCTGCCAGAACTTCCATGAACCGGACATCCGTCACATCCGGGGGCTCCTGAGGGCCGATAGGCGCGGGATCGTCGGCGCTGATGAAGAACCCAACCTGCTTGACAGCGGTTACATTGAATGTACCGCCGTCTGCAGTGGTGCGAACGTATGGATTCTGGGAGTAAAAGTAATTGAAGGGCAGACTCATATGTGTGAATATCGGCGGTGGTATCACGTCTGAGTTTTTGGTCTTGTCGATGCCGGGCTCCAAGGTGAAGGTCTTCATCTTTTCGACTACATACATGTTTAGCATCAGTGTCGTCGATGTTGAGGAATAGCATACCGTCTCTAGAAAAGACTTGGTCTACATATCGGTTCGCCAGCGACGATGTCGACATGTCCCAGTAAAAATCTGCGAGACCACGGAATTTATGAGTGTGGCGCACAACACCTATGGCATCTACTTTGTAGCGGCCAACGTTGTCTTTCAGTTTTCTTTTGAGGACTTTGGGCTCGTCTTGGCGGGCGATTGAGCAAACATAACTTTCCTGATCGACATCGCGGATTTCTTGGTCTCCTTCCCAAGGCCCTGCTGAGCCACGTTTCCTCCTCCGTCCAGTTCGCTTTGGGACGGTGATTTTCAAGACAACGTTGTGTGAAGCTGAATTATGGGACATGATTGGATTGCAGAACGGGCTCTCTGGATTGAGATAGAGAGGCAGCGAGTTACGTAGAGGGTCCATAACCTATCATCGCCATTAGTATGTGGACGTGAATGATCAGTGGTTGTCTTACATGATCAAAGGATGATAGACGACCAAAAGCACTAATAGCGCGGTCGATATTTTGTACAACAGCAGGAATTTCTACGGCCGCAATCTCTGCGTTGGCTATGGTGTAGGTTGGTGCAAATTGAGCTGGGGTGTCGCCAGTCGGGCTAGGTCCAGGAGGCGATGGGGGCGGCGATTGATTTGAGGGAGAGGCCGTGGCGCCAGCTCGGGAATATGAAGCCATTGTACCAAGAGGGCGGGTTAAGTGAGGTACGATTCGCGCCGCTCTCTGCAGTGCATGCGACTACCATACAAGAAAAGGGGATGTCGCAAGGGCTGGGGTTATGGGCGTCGACACGGGCTCGAAAGCGGCGGTTATGGATGGTGAGTTGCAGAGCTTGAGCTGGGCGTGTGTGAAGGCCGTGTAAATACTGTATGCAGACTGTGCGAAGTCTAGCGTCTGCGGCGCAAAACAACAACAAGCGATCACAAAACGGGCTGAGTGGATGCTGGGCGAAACTCATTTATTATTAGGCGTGATTGGGCCGTGCCCAACATGATATACATAGTACAAGTATTGACTGGCATTTGAGGCGGACATCAGCATTGAGTTACGCACAATGAGCGCAATTCAGGATGGTAATACTGCCGAAGAGGTACCAAGATATCTCTCGAATCGGTGCGGCTGCTAGCCTGGCTCAGGTGGTCTGCCCTCCAGCGGTGTTCTTTGTTGATGTGAACGATGCGAACACTCCAGTTGTCATGAAGAAATTGATTTGATGATGCAGGTACTTCATGTCTGTGTGGCTGCTTTATTACCAGTACAAACACGCCCACAAACAACCAAGCCAGATAGCTCCAGCATACCTAGGTACCTAGGTAGAGAGGTAGAACTCAACCTCATCACACCTGAGGCCCCTGGACCATGGTCATCTCTAGCGCAGTTCCCCGCCTCCAGCGCCTCCACCAGTACATCCCCAGCTCCTCATATAAGTACTCATGTTAGTCCACAGGCCAATACCGCCACCTCTGTTTAGCAAACGCTACCTGCTTTGCCCACTTGCCGACCACCAAGCAGAGAGTGGTAGCAACCGCACTCTACCTTGACCCTCGCGCTGCAACAACACCACCATTTGGCTGCTCGGTCCTCTCCTCTTCACGGCCGGCGCGCCCTTCATCTCCAGTCTACCTCCGTCCATCTTCAACCCATCGTCCAGCCTGCAACTCCTCCTCGCATATGAGGCTGCAATCTGGCCCCATCGCTACTCGCCTACTCGCCAAACATACCCTCATCCTGGCCGACATCTTGTCGCGCGTTCAAGCCCCCTGACTACCGCCATCGCGTCGAGCTACTATCGAACTTTTCTCTGCCGCCACCGCCGCTAGTCCATACTGCCGCCAGCAAGCAAAGGTCTTCATCTTCGCCTGCGCCCTTGTCCCCAGCGCTCGTGACGCGCTCACCTCTGGTTGGCACCGCTGTCCTCGCAGCACTGCCGCGTTGTCGCCCTACCCCGCCAGAGCCACAACCGTGCCACCCGAACAGTACATGGGCGAACAACTTCAAGACAAGATGAAGCGCTTTAGCCAGAAAGTCGTACGCCTGATCCCCTATGCTGATCCGCCCCGCCGTGAAGCAAACCCCTAATAATTTCCCTAGCTCTCTCGAGGCAAGGACTCCACAAAGTCGTCCAAGAAGAACAAAGACACCAAAGATGGCACCGCGTCGCCTTCTTCGCGGGACCCATCCACCCAGTCGCCTACTTTGACCCCGACGTCGTCGACCACAGCTGTCAATGACATTCGAAACAAGCCTCTCCCGCCAAATTCCACAGACGGTCTCGGCCAGAGCGCTGGCGTCGACAGATTCGGTGCCATGGGTGCCAACTCGAGCCCCAATGGCAACTCCAGAATGCCTCCTACAGTCGTCATCAGCCCGACTCCCGGCGTAAGCCCCTGGTGCCCTGCACAAAACCTTCCTCAGCTGCAAGCTAACACGTCTCCAACAGCATGTCCCACCTCCAGGTGCCGCCGAGACGATGCCGCACGACCTGGCCCCCCCAAAGTCTGGCCAAAAGTCGCTCATGATTCACCGCGGAATAGATAACCGCGATGCTATTCCCGAGGGGCTTCGAACGCCCAAGCGACAACACTCATCTCGCTTTGACATTTCTACCAACCGAGATCTGGAAAAGCTACCCGGATTCCACGAAGTCCCTCCCAACAGGCGTCAGGAGCTATTCATGCAGAAGATTGAGCAGTGCAACGTCATTTTCGACTTCAACGATGCCAGTGGCGATATGAAGGCGAAGGAAATAAAGCGACTAGCTTTGCACGAGCTGCTTGACTATGTCGCTAACAACCGACAAGTCATCACCGAACCCATGTACCCCAAGGTGGTGGACATGTTCAGCAAGAACCTCTTCCGTCCCATCCCGCCCCCGATGAACCCACAGGGCGAACCCTTTGATCCGGAAGAGGACGAGCCCGTGCTCGAAGTGGCCTGGCCTCATATACAAGTCGTTTACGAGTTCTTCTTACGCTTCATCGAGAGTCAGGACTTTAACACCAACATTGCCAAGGCCTACATTGACCACAGCTTCGTTCTTCAATTGCTCGATCTCTTCGACTCGGAGGATCCCCGTGAGCGTGATTTTCTCAAGACGACTCTTCACCGAATCTACGGCAAGTTTCTTAACCTGCGTTCGTTTATCCGCCGATCCATCAACAATGTCTTCTTCCAATTTACCTATGAAACGGAGAGGTTCAACGGCATCGCAGAGCTCCTCGAGATTCTTGGCTCCATCATCAACGGGTTTGCGCTTCCCCTCAAGGAAGAGCACAAGATCTTTTTGACCCGTGTTCTTCTTCCCCTGCACAAGCCCAGAAGTCTGAGCATGTACCATCCTCAGCTTGCATACTGTATTGTGCAATTCCTAGAAAAGGATGCATCCCTAACGGAAGATGTACGTGCTACTATACACACCCGTCATCCTCTTACTAACTGTGCAGGTTGTCCTGGGACTTCTCCGCTACTGGCCGAAGGTAAACAGCACAAAGGAAGTCATGTTCCTAAACGAAGTCGAGGATATCTTCGAGGTCATGGATCCTGCCGAGTTTGCCAAGGTGCAAGAACCGCTTTTCCACCAGCTGGCCAAGTCTGTCGCTAGCCCACACTTCCAGGTCGCCGAGCGAGCTCTGTACTTCTGGAACAATGAGTACTTTTGCAACCTCGTGAGCGATAATGTCGAAATCATTCTGCCCATTATGTTTGCGCCCCTCTATGAGAACTCCAAGGGCCACTGGAATAGGTCAGTTGACTGACACGCCTTGAATGTTGGCCCAACTAACATGTATAGAACCATTCACGGCATGGTGTATAATGCTATGAAGCTCTTCATGGAAATCAACCCGCAGCTGTTTGATGACTGCTCCCACGAGTACACAGAGCACCAAAACAGCGCCGCGGAGCGCGAGGCCCTGCGTGAGCGCAAATGGGCAGCCCTTGGCGAGCAAGCTGAGTCGCGCCGCAACTCCATGGCATCGGATGTGGGCGAGCCCCCACAAAGAACACAAGTCACAGCCATGCCTCGGGTTGACGAAGCAGACCAGGGCGCGGATGATAGCCAGAAGCGACTGGACTCTCTACGACTGCAGGACCAGTCAGGCCGCCGGCCTAGCGTCCACGAACGCCAAGGGTCGACGAGCTCAACACGCAGCCGGTGAGAGTAGAGCGGCAATGACCTGCGCATAGTGCTGTAGCTCCATAATATACAACCGACCAAATATTGTGATCAGTTTTTGGAACTTTGCAACGGGGGTTTCGCCCTTTGCCGGGCTCAAAGCACGGCGCGCCGGTCTGCTCTTCACGACAAGTCTCTGCATTGTTTTCTTGAGTACTTTAGTACCTGCATATCGACGTGTGCGGTCTTCATTGACCCGGTTTGCCAGGAGACGTCTTGATTTTCTTTCTTTCTTTTGCGGAGACTTTCTTTGCCAGAACAAAAGGGGAAGTGGCTTACGTTGTCGGTCTTTTTATTTGCGGGAAAGGTGGAGGAATTTGCAACTGGCGCACAAGGGATACAAAACTTTTCACTGCAACGTTGAATTGCAATGGCGGAAAAGCAATGCAGGTCGGAGAACGGGGAAGGGGGGACTGCGTGGAAGGGAACACACGGCTTTGCGGGCATCACTGGTGCCCGCGGGCGAGGCTGGACACAACGCGGGGGGACAAAGTGGGCTGCTTCTCTTTCTCTCTTTCTCTCTTTCTCTCTTGTTTCTTTTTTTCTCTCGATCTCGTAATGGACACACAAATCCTTGTCGAACGCATCATTCATCTCCTCTGCTTACCCGCTCGCGCGTCTGTCTGAAAAGGGGAAGAGGCAAAGAAAAGGGGGTAGAGGGGGAGGCGAGAATCGAGAATCGAAAAAAGGACACAAGACCTTTTTTTGATCTGGGCTGGGGGTTCTTTTTTTGCGTAATGTAGACGATGACGAAAGCACGTTGGCAGAAACATTTTTACCTTTTATCACTTAAAATTTCCCTTTGTCGGCCAAAAGAATAGATTTTCCCCCTTTCTTCAAACTCTTGCTGAATCCTTTTCTATGCGAATGCTGATTGTGTCATGTGCCTGCCCCCTTCAATATCTTCAAGAAGGTGTACTATGCTCTGCCACGCTTACTACTCTTCAAAATCTCCCTCGACCGCGGTCGTAGCCTCCTCTACCGCGCTGATTATTGTTCTTTCCGCCTCTTGTACTATGCATGTCCTGTTGATATCCATTATTGTACCTGTCTTGCGAATAACCTTGCTGAGGTGGTGGTGGAGGCGGCGGTGGCGGCAGAGGAAGCCCTTGGCTGGCGGACCACGCCATCATCATCTGGTTCATGACGGCTGGATCGGGCGTCCAGTTCGGCGGTAGTGGCGGCGGCACCGGAAGGGGCCACTGCCCTGGGAAGCCGGCTTGAGTTGTCAGCGGGGGCGGCGGGGGCGGCGGCAGCCCCCCAAAGTTTCCTGGAAGAGGTACACTGCTCTGCGGCCGTGGCGAGGATCGCCTGTAGCGCGCATCGGGGCTGTTGCTGCGACTGCGGTTCCCGAGACGCGGAGACGGTGTGCGGGTGCGACTACGACTGCGGGAGTCGGACGAGTATCTTCGCGGACGCTTCCGTGACGGCGACGGCGAGCGCGATGCTGATGACGGCGAGCGCGAGTAGGAGCGGCTGCGCGGTGCCTGCGTCCTACGGGCCCTCATCTTTTCACAGAAGGGGCGCGACCAGCCGTAGTATGTATCAGCGCGCAGCACGTCCCCGGTCGCTTGATCCACGACGAATCGCTCCCCGAGCTCGTTGATGTCCTCGAGGATACCATCTCCGACGTCGTGGGCGTCGGGGTCAGTGGTAGCACTACTGTTGGCGTATATGCGATTGGCATGGCGTAGGAGCGTCTTGACGGCGTCAACGAGGGGCGCGTCGGCGAGGCCAGCGGACAGCTGGATCGGGCGGATGCGGTCCGGCACCATTGGGCGCGCGGAATTGGGCGTCAGGTGGGGGAGCCATGTGCCCATGGGCAGGTCGTACCACGGCGTGGACGGATCACCGTGTGAGGCGGGCAGCCTGTAGGGAGCGTCCTTAGCAATTTTGAGAGACGCTGCGGCGGGCGTGGCCTCAGCCTGTGTAACTGCGGTAATTGTGCCATCCGTGGACACGGCATCGCGCAGCTGCGACTCTACTTGTGCGGAAAAGTATTGCTTCTCCGCCCATAGCGAGATAAGGCTCTCGAGCTTGGCCTTGTGCTTCGGGCACTTGTCAAACGAGGCGGCGGCGGCCATGAGCGTCACTACGTGCGGGGCCCAGGTTTCGGCACAGGCGCGAAAATTGGTCCGCGCAGCGTGGTGCAGCGCGTCGCTGAGGAGGTAGAGAATATGCAGCCGCTTGCGCTTGAGACTCGGGCGCGGGGCCGCGTCGGTAGAAAAGCTCTTGGAGAGCACGATGAGGTACTTGGCGAGGCTGGCGCATCGCGCGGGCGAGGGCGCGACATTGGCCATGATCCAGTTCTTGCAGCTCTGTGGGCGGTGTGGCAAAAATGATGTTTAGTGACGATGGACATGACTAATCTGGGGGGAGACTGGCACTGCGCAAAGAAAAGACGGCAAATGCGTGGTCCCCCCTTATGCCGGTGAAGCTTTCAAACCTGAACATTGTGTCGCGAACACTGGGCGATCGTGGCGTCGAGCAGTGGAAAGAGCGTTTCGACGTCGGGACGGGACAGCGATACGGGGTCGGCTCTGAAGAGGGAGGCGGAGAGAGCGGCCTTGGCAATGGCCAGCTCGGGGGAGGCCATGATGGCAAAGAGATAAAGTCGGGCGCAGTTGGTGATGACGATGGGAGGCAGCTTTTGTTGGTTGCTGGAGTTTGGTGGAGGCCAAAGCAAGGCTCGCGGTAAAGCCTCGGCGTGGTGGGGCCGATGTCTAATAGTGGCCTGATTTTGGGAAAAGTTGAAGGAGTGAACAGAAAGGAACGGTTTCAGTGCGTGCAGCGCGAAAAGGGGCAATTGGTCATGTATTTCATTAATATATTTTTCTAGTTGTACAGGTATTGAACAGCGTTACGCAGTCTCAAAGAAGCTCGTGTAGCGGGAGCACCCTCTTCCGCAACGTCAAGTTCACTGGCTTGGTGACTGCGCGCTCATGAGAAGCGGTCGCCCTTGCGACTTGTATAGCCGACCTTGCTCTCGTATGGACTAACGTCTTCTTTGTCTCGCTTCGGGGCGGCGAGGCCCTCCTGTCCGGCGGGGGAGGGATCATTGCTGGACTCGGCGCTGGGCGAGCCGGCAGTGTCGGCTCCGGAGGCGGCGGCGGCGCTGCTGCTGCTGGGGGCCATGGGCTGGGATGGGCCGCCGTATTCCATGGCGCGAATGTCGGAGCGTTTCCGGCGATGGGCTTCGAGCTTGGCCTTTCGGTCGGCGTTGATTTCGCGCTTCGCAAAGTAGTAGGCGCCGCCGCCGGCTGGTGGACTGGTCAGTAGCTGCGTCAAGGGATCGAAGGGGGGAGGCAGGCTTTCGAACCGACGCAGAGGGAGCCCCAGCCGAGCCTGATTGGTGAGATGTTAGCTAAAACGGATTGAGGCGGGAAGTTTGGTGGCGGGAGGCGAACCAGAAGGATTTTACCTGGGAGAGTTAGCATGGAGAATAGGGGGGGGGCAATGCGAGCATACTGTGTTCATGTTGGAAATATCTAGGCCGTATTAATTGTTTTAAAAAAAAAGAACGTGGGAGAGTTGTGAGCTTGAGTGGTAATGGTAAAGGTGCTTGCGAGTGGTGAAGTATCAAAGGTGGAAAGTGACGAAGTCAGTGATGTAAGGCGACGAGGTAGGTAAAGAAGACCTCTTAATTGCGGGTACCGCAGGTTTGGTGTGCCGGCCGACCAGACGTAGGTACTGCCAACGTTCCGTATCCATCTACCAAGAACAAGAGCATGAGCATATCGTCAAGAGGTTGCTTAAAGGATCTTGAAAGGCCTTTCTGTAATACGGTGGTATTTTGCCAATTCTCGAGCTGTGCAGCAGCGTTTTAGAGCCGGTTTTCGATCGATCCAAGGGCGCTAACTAGCACTCACCTCTAGGCCATAGGTGCCTTGCTCCTTGCTCACCTTAATATGACTGCTGTGGAGGCTTTGTACTGTGCATGAACTCAGCCAACACTGTCTGTGATGTGCCCAATTATACCCTCTTACACAGTGCCAGCCGCTGCCGCTTCGGTTCTCGTATTACCTTGGGGCTGTCATCCACTGTGAGCCCGCCGCAGCCCGCTATTGCGCCCCGCCACAGCGCTAGACCACCTAAGGTATGTGTAGGTACTACGGAGTACACGGAGACAAAACGCGAGGTAGTGCCTTGAATAGATCTCTCAGCTGTTTTGATAGATTTATAATTCCGTCTATTGAAATTCTGCAATAATCATGTTGTATACCCTCTGTATAAACATAAGTCCTTTCATTCACAAAAATCACAAGTCTAAAAGTCTGTCGTAGGAGACCCCTTGCCTAACGGCAACTCCCTTAAACCGCAGCCTACTCCGTGGGGCTTCACTTCTGTGGCAACCGCCCATCAGTCTGTCTCAGAGACACGCAATCACCTCAACGCGACTCTTGTGCCACATTAAATTACCATGAACCCTGCCTCCTTCCCACGTCTTTGACTTCCCGCCAAATACGCCAATCTGCCGCTTCTACACACTCTTTTATCTCCTCTGACGTCTGCTTTCCTCAGACTATTCGCCCGTTCCCACCAACCTTTTTTCTCGATTACATTCTTTCGTATTCAGCTGCCACCGTCTTCCTCGTCCCTCGCCCTTCTCTCGCTCGACCGCATCACGACTCCTCGAAGCCGCTCTGTACCTCTTGATGCTCCCACAATACCCCGACGTTCCTTACTCTCCTCGGGGACGCTGAGCCTCTACCCACAGCTGCGGCCTGTCCCAATCGCTCGCCATGGACCCCCCCGCCGACACCACAGATGGCTCGTCCATCGTGAGTACTTTGATGGCTACTGGTCCTGTTAAACCAGCTGATAGTCTGTAGAAGCCAGTCTCGTCTCTGCTCGCGCGGTTTGAGAGCATGAACAACGCGCCGCCCCAGTCCAGCTCGGCCATTCCTCGATCGCCTGCCCCGAAGCCTGATAGGCTACGAAGTTTCAAGACGACAGCCGAGACAGCAGTGCCGCCAGTAACCCCGACCAAAACCCCCATCGCAAAAGGAAAGCCTCCCGCCAAACCAAAACCGCTACATAGTACCGGTCTATCTGTACCTCCCCAGCAAATGCGCCCGGCTTTAGATGACACAGTTGTCCTTCCTCCTCCCGTCACCGTCCAACCGCCGCAGTCGCCACCTCAAGAAGCCCGGCGCCAACCTATACGTGGTGATCAATCGCCATTTCTTGACCCGTCAACTGCCACATCACATCCCTTAGCTTCGTCGAGACCATCTAGTGCAGCATCTAGTCGACCACTTACACCCACACACGGCCTTCCGCCCCCGCGATCGCCTCGTCTTGCGGGTGGGAAGCCGCCCTCGCCTCCTCCACCGAGACGTTCCCAGGATCCTCGCCGCGATAAAGAAGCCCGAGCTTTGACACCTGCGACTACTGGTCGCTCCGAAAAGCGAGCGAGCACACTGCTCACCCTTGCGGCATTTCCAGAGCGGCAAGACTCTTTACCAAGAAACAGCTCTACAAAAGATCCGTCGCCATTTACAAGCCCTCCATCGTCAAGCTCCGAATCTGAAGATGAATCGCCGCCTCTGCTACCTTCGCGACCCCAACAAGCAGCAAGTAATGCCGCAACCAGGCAACATCAGACCGCAACCAGCTTTCAGCCTCCACCGTTACACCACAGCGTGATAGACAAGCGGCGAGATCATAGCGATGGAGTGGGCAACTCCCACCAAGATTCTTATGATCTTCCGAACGATGACAAGCCCCCACCGCCGCTACCTGTGCGCCGCCCAACTCACGAGACACCAACGAAGACGCTCGTGACCACTCGCGATATGCCCCCACCTCCTCGCCCGGTACGAGTACCAGCGCAGCATTCGCCTCCTAAACGAGACCCTTTGCCAGCTCCTTATTCCCAGTCTCTATCGACGCAGAAGTTTCTTCCACCGCCAACGCGAAATAGGTCCAAGACGCTGGAGAGCAAGAACTCGGACAAGGGCGATCATTCCACATCATCCTCGCCTGAACCCAAAGGGCCTGCCGAGGAGTCCAGCTTACCAAATATCGCCTCCATTAACCGCCGAGCACCATATGTGAAGAAGGGCTGCTGTGATATCCAAACACGATATGAGCCGAAGCGATTCGATGTCTGTGGCGACGTTGTGTGCACCAGCGGCAGCTTTACACGTGGCTGGAACACAATGGACGGCGAACAGTTCATGAGTCTCGCGCATACGGAAGGTGTCAGGGCGACAGCCATCATCTTCAAGCCCGGCGCGGATCCCGACACGGAGGGTACTCGAATTTGGATCGGCATGAATTCTGGAGATATGATGGAGGTGGATATCGCCAGTAGTCGTATTGTCTGCAACAAGCCGGGTGCTCATGGACGATACGAAATCATCGCCGCTTACCGGTACCTGAACGAAATTTGGACATTGGACGAGTCTGGCTGTCTGCACATCTGGGGCCCGGATGAGGACGGAATCCCAAATTTGAACAAAAGCCCGACCCAAAGCTATAAAGTACCCAAGGGTCACACGTTCTCACTGGTAGCGGATAGTCAATTGTGGTTTGCTACGAGCAAAGTGATTCGAGTTTTTGAGCCGTCATTGGATGGGTCTACCACATTTCAAGTCCTAACCAAGCCTCTGGTCACGGAGGGGACAGCTGACATTACATCTGGGACAACAATGGAAGCACACCCTGGAAAGGTCTTCTTTGGTCATGTTGACGGAAAGGTTAGCATATACTCGACAAGCGACTACTCGTGCCAAAAGGTTCTTCATATTAGTGGTTGGAAAATCAATACAATGGCAGCGGTGGGCGCCGATCTGTGGGTTGGCTATTCGACTGGCAAGGTCAGCATTTACGATACGAAGAAGCAGCCGTGGGTGACCAAGAAGGAATGGCAAGCACACGATTCCGGTATCTATCAGCTCAAAGCGGACGTGACGGCGCCGTATCGCATTGAGCGGGCGCAAGTCGTATCTATTGGACATGATGGCATGGTCAAGTTCTGGGATGCGTTATTGCAGGATGACCAGCTCGAAGAAAGTCTCAAGTCCAACGAGATCAAATACTGCCAGTTCAACGATCTGTCGCTTCTAGTCATGAGTTGGAATGCCGGAGCCTCGACGCCGCACAACCTGCGATACTCGGACGGCGATTCAAGCTTCTTCCAGGAATTCGTACAAACAAGTGGATCTCCAGACATTCTGGTATTTGGCTTCCAAGAGCTCGTGGACCTCGAAGACAAGACTGCGACGGCGAAGCGGTTTCTCAAGTCGAAGAAAAAGGACAGCTCGGACAGTGAGAATATGAGCCACCGATACCGTGACTGGCGGGACTTTTTGCTCAGGACGCTGGACGAGTGTGCGCCGCAAGGGCATCTGTACCAGCTTCTGTACAACGCCCCTCTTGTTGGTCTTTTTACGTGTATTTTTGTCAAGTCTTCGCTGCAGGGGCGCATCCGCAACTTGCAAGGGGCCGAAGTCAAGCGTGGCATGGGCGGGCTGCACGGAAACAAGGGTGCAATTGCTGTCCGATTCCAGGTTGACGACAGCTCGTTGTGCTTTGTCAACTGCCACTTGGCTGCTGGGCAGACGCAGACGAGCTCGCGCCACAATGACATTGCCGCCATTCTGGATGCACCTCTGTTTTCGACGGAACGCGACGCATCAGCCCGACAGGACTATTACCGCGGCGGAGGCGATGGCACTCTGATTGTAGACCACGAGATTTGCGTCATCAACGGCGACTTGAACTACAGAATCGACACCATGTCGCGCGATACCGTCGTCAAGGCGGTGCAGCAGAACAACCTGGGCAAATTGCGGGACCGCGACCAGCTGCTGGTCTCGCGGCGCAAGAACCCTGCGTTTCGCCTGCGGGCCTTTGAAGAGCTGCCGCTTGACTTTGCGCCCACGTACAAGTACGATGTCGGAACTGACCGCTACGACACGAGTGAAAAGCGGCGCAGCCCGGCGTGGTGCGACCGGCTGCTGTACCGAGCCAACGGCAAGATTGAGCAGCTCGATTACGGGCGGCACGAGATTAAACTGAGCGACCATCGGCCGGTGAGCGGCAGCTTCAGGCTGCACGTGAAGAATGTGGATGAACGCAAGCGGGCGCAGGTTGTCATGGAGGCGTACAATTCATTTGAAGACGTGCGGCAGAAACATCTCGAAGACGCCAAGTAAGTACAGAGCTAGAAAGACGGAAAGAATGGCGGCTAACATTACGTACAGGATTCACTACCTGGTGGTTACCTGTGGGTTTGACGAGCCCACGAGTAAGCTCTTTATACAAAACAGAGCCGCGAAACACAGAAGATAGAGAAGGAAGCCCACGGCTAGGGTTGACTACGGAGGCGTTGCGGAGTATCATATGGACAACCGGAGCGTCCGTTTCATTTTCTTTATTTTTTTCAAGCACGCATATATCGATAGACTTTTCACAGCGATCTAAAGCGAGATATAGAATTACAAATCACGCGTTACATGAATGGAAAGGTTGAATCACGATGAAGATGTTTGCGTCTGAAGCAGCAGAGGCGGGGGTTCGCAACGAACTTAACACAGCCCTCTCGGGGATAGTCGGACTGGAGCAAGGCTGTGTCGGGCCAAAAATATCTCGGCCGGTTTTAAAATACCACAATGCATGACGCAGACGTGGCAAGGGTGGTTGGTGGTGGTGACTTTTGGGCAGTGACTTGTTAACTATTACTCAGTACTGTCTATCAGAACCTCAGCCACCACTCGGAAGTCGCAAAAGCTACCAGGATGGCCTGAGATTGCATCACCGAGTGGGCGGTGCAAAGCAAAGGAACAGTAATATGGCCCACAAGGGGGGCCTCTGGGTGCGTTTGCCCGTGGCTGCGTTCTTAGCGCCTACTATTAATATCTAGGCTTGATTTTTAGATTGAGGGGGAGCTAAAAAGAAGGAACGGTTGGGGGAGGGGATGAAGGAGAGAGAGAGCCTGTTGTTGAAGTTGATAACTAGTTGAGGATGGGTTAACTAGTTATTCAGGCCCGGATGAGTTGGGGGCGCAACACGGGCATAACATGGATGTTGTTTCAAAACCCCCCAGGTTCCCGAGCTGTTTCCGACGAGTTTGTCGCAGAGCGCCGCATAGGGCAAAGGAGCAGCCAACCGCAGCAGCACACCCTCATGGATGCATGTATTATATTGACAACTCGGTGGGGGGGGAGGGAAGCAAAGCAAGGTTGAGTGGCTGTCAACCGTCCTCGCATGCAAGCATATTGGTACCTTTGTTGAAGCAATGTACCTTGGGGGCGACTCCTTGCATCCGCCTCTGTATTATCACTGGCGAAAGCCGCCAAGATGCCATCATCAGCACTAAATACCAGGGTCGACGCCCGGGCACATGGTTGCATTGGCAGGCTTGGTCTTCTCCTTGGCTTCCTAGGGTGGATTGTGTGTGGATTTTATCTTTTCTTCAATATTTACAAGGCCCTCGGCCATTTCTGTACTGCCGAGGGATGTTTGAATCCGTTGTCAAAACAACACACATATATATATATATATATTTACTTGCTCACTCACTAGACTCGTTTGGCCTATTGCGCCTCTAGTTCGCGCCACTTTACAGACCTGACGGGGGGAAACGAAACGCTATCCGCACAAATGAAGTACACCGCGCTCGCCGTGACGGCGGCCGGCCTGGTCGCCGCCGTCGCCGCCGGCCAACCCGACGCAAAGGCCTGGACGCCGGCGACGCAGACAAAGCCGCCCGTCGCGGGCTTCACACTCCGACCGACGCCCGCGGTGCGTCTACCGCGAGCAGGCCTCAACCTACGCAACGACAATCACAACAACAACAACAACGACAACGACAACGACGACGATGACGAGGATGACCGCGCCGGCAAGATTACACACGGCACCGTCGCGGCGACCGGGAGCAGTAGCGGCTCGTCCACAAACGCACCGCGGCCGTCGAATACCTGCGGCTGGGACCAGAACGGAGGTGCGTGTGAATTAACGACAAACGAAAGAAAGACTTTTTTGTTTCTTTGGTAAAATGGGCTGACACCCCATTGTTTAGGTGGTTTCTACGCCTGCGCCGACGCGAAAGCAACCTGCCGCTACAGCAACGACGTGGTTGGGTGCTGCACAGGGGACAATTGCAAAAAGATTCCCAAAAAGTGCGTCGCGCAGTCCAACAACTGCGACTCGGACGACAATGGCGGCACGCTATGCTGGTAAGTTTTTTTGTTTTTTTGTTGTCCTGGGATGTACGAGGCGCCGCCCGGCAAACTGACAAAGACGACAAACAGCCGCCAGGCTTCGGCCCCGGCATGCTACACGTGGCTCATTCCCACGTCGACCGACGGCAAGCAGTCGACGTTTTCCATGTTTGCCTGCACGGACAAGGCCGGCACCGGTACGCTTCTACCTACGGACCCGGCCAGCGCCAGCACCACCACGACCAGTAGCAGCACCGCCGGCGGTGGCAAGAGCAACATTGGCGCCATTGTCGGCGGCGTCATCGGCGGGCTGCTCGGACTGCTCGCCATCGCGCTGTTCATCTGGTACGTGCTGCGACAGCGCCGACGCGGCCGGGCGGAAAACGCAGCGGCCGCCGCCGCCCGCGACGGCGACGAGAAGCCAGCCGCACAGACCTACGCCGACGTCTACGGGGCGGTGCCGCGACGCAAGGCCGTTCCGTCCGGGACCGAGGAGACGCTGCTGCGTGACCGGAGCGTGACGACGAGCAGCGGTGGTGGGTGGAGTGCGGCGGCGCGCGAGGGCACGGCGTCTCCCCAGGAGCACCTCGCGTACTCGGTGTCGAGCGGTAGCACGGCAGGCACGGGCGTCGTGTCTAGTCTGTCGTCCGCGCCGCCGCCGCTCGCGGGGGTGGTGGAGGCGCCGGACACGGCTGTGGCAAATACGGCCGATTCGCCGGTCGAGGTGCCGGGCACGACGGTCACGAGGGAGTCGATGCACAGCCGGGCGGAGCTTGCGTAAAGGAATGCGGCAAAGGGGTTGTATGTATGGGGGTTGTATGTATGGGGTGTGACGTTTTTTATATGACGCCGCAAGGTTTTGGCGTATAGATTGCGCTCCGTAACCTGCGTTGCAAGCAAATGATACCAAGTCGCAGCATGCGGCATGCTGCTGTGTCTTTTTTTTATAGCTTTTACGAGGGATTGATGCAACAGCGTTCCTTTTTTTTATCCATTGTACAGACCAAACGTGCAACATACTGTTTTGCCAGAGCCAGTATCTAGTATATCCGAACCACCCCTCGGAACTCTGCTCACGCCCGTTCACCACGGTTGAATGCCGTCGCGGGTGATGACCTTGCCGGCATCCGCGTCTCTATTGCCCTCGATAATGTCCTTGATGAAGCCGCCGCCGAGCGCGGGGTCGCCGGCGCCCATGGCCTTGTTGGCGTCTTGGTCGCCGCCGAGGCAGGTGGCTAGGAAGCCCGGGGAGACGGCCCAGGTCCTGACGCCGTCGTCCTTGAGCATGCGATGCCATTCCCTGCACGCCGTGTTAGTCCACGCAAGTTTCCTGGTGCCGCGATTCAACGGCCGTCAGAGTTCTGTACCGCATGACCATGTTCAGGCCGGCCTTGGCGGCGCGGTACGAGGGCACCATGGTGCGCATCGGCGTCTTGGGCCAGCCCGCGTTGGAGGGCTTGTTGGTCGGCAGGTCGCCGTTTTCGGTGCCGAGGAGCGTCGAGGTGCTGCTCGTGAGGAAGAGCAGTCGCGGGTCGGCGGAGCGCAGCAGGAGCGGCGCAAAGGTGTGCGTCACGACGTGCGCGCCGGTGACGTTGATGTCCCACGCCTTGGCCCAGCCCTCGCGCAGGGAGAGATGGCCGCTGACGACGGCAAAGTCGGGCAAGAGGCCTTTTCAGGGAGGGTTTTTTTTTAGTTAGTCGAAGTTTGTAGCAAGGTGCAATGGTAAGTCGCAGGGAGGCGGCATACCGGCGTTGTTGACGAGGACATCGATGCGGCCATGGCGGCTTTGGACGAGCTCGGCGGCGGCCTCGATGGACTCATCGGACGACACGTCAATCTCCAGCGGCGTCACGCTGGACGCCGCTGACGGCAGGTCGCGCGCGATTTCCTCGACGGCGGCTTGTGCCTGCGCAAGCTTGCGGGCGGACAAGAGAATCTCGTAGCTCCCTCGCTCCGAAGCAACCAGGGCCTTGACAGCCTCGAGGCCGATACCCGCGGCGGCACCGGTAATCAGCACAATCCTCTTATCTACCGTCATTTTTTTTTTCCCTTGTTTCCGAAAAGGGTTATTATGCAAAGTTCAAGACCAGCTTTCGCATCAAACCAGGCAGAGGAACTATTATAGCGCTCAAGCATCCTAGCTCATAGTAGGCAACCCCTCTTCTCATCCCCAAGACAAGCATAGAGGGGTGGTGTAACCTTTGTGCTGACGGTGTCATCCAACTGGAAGCTTGTGGCGTGCATGGCCGGGTTGGACAAAAAGGCGCGGCCGCCAATGGGGGCTGTCAAGGGACAAAGTGCCGGCTTACTATTACTAGCCTCCAACTCAGCGAAAGGGGGGCCTTGACACCGGCTCAGGACGACCGGGCCTATGAGACAACTTGGATTGCGGCATCTCGCGATGCTAGTGACGGGAACCAGGGTTGCCGATGCGGTTCTGTGTGGCTTGGCGCCATCGTAACTAGTTGGACTTGCGGAAGGTGGCCGCGGCGATTATACTGGGCGTTTGCCTCACCGCGATCGGCGTTTTGTTTTGAGACTGCAATGTGCTGGTTCCGTGAGACGTCTGTCCCGCGAGCGTTGAAGACATGCGAGCTGCATGCGAGCTGCATGCAACAAGTGTAGCCTTGCCTCTTGATGTAGGTTATCCGTATGCTTGGTAGAACAGGCAATAAATCGTAACTCGCTGGCTCTTCGGAACGCCGGCCATTGATAGCCTCTGCGTGGATCCTCGATGAGCTGACGAAATCTCTAAATTGTTTCAAAGAGGACGGATTGAGAAGAAAATGTCTTGAACAAAATTGGCAGATGTAATTTGTAGATGTGGCAGCAAACCCTTTTACGAATACGCGACCAGGAGATAGAGGGTCCTGGCGTTTTTAGCTACCGAAAACCGGCCAGCTCACCTTGCCAACTACCTAAGAAACAGCTCTACGTGGGTGAGATTGACGGCCTCGTTTTCAATTCAAAGCTGCTAATTGCTATCTGTCGTGCTCGCAGGACTACTTGCGCTCCAGTCCCAACTCGGCCGCCGCTGGATTTGATCGCACTTGACAGGAACCAGTGCACAGCCCCCTTGACCAATATCGACATCCAGGGGCTTCGGCTTCACTCTCAACCTTGCTCCCCACAGACACAACTGCGGCGACACCTCAGCTCAAGCATCCTTCATAAAATGAGCTCCCAAGACGGCGCGTCTACCCCGCGCAAGACGCCCATCCTCGCGCCCACGCCGGACAGCAAGCCGCCGGCCCGCGCCGAGCTCACGGCCGAGCAGGAGGCCAAGTACGCGTCGCTGCTCGCGCAGGCGCAGGCCTGGACGGACGTGACGTGCGACAAGCAAAAGGAGCGGTCGGGCGCGCTCGCGGAGCGCGAGCGGGCGTGGCTCACGCGCGAGTGCCTGCTGCGGTATCTGCGGGCGACCAAGTGGCAGGTCGACGACGCGGGGCGGCGGCTGCGGGCGACGCTCGGCTGGCGGCGCGAGTACGGGCTCGACGACTTCTCGGCCGACTACGTCTCGCCCGAGCAGGCGACGGGCAAGCAAATCATTGTCGGCTACGACCGCGCCGGCCGCCCGTGCCAGTACCTCAACCCGGGCCGCCAGAACACCGACGCGAGCCCGCGCCAGATACACCACCTCTTCTACATGGTCGAGCGCGTCGCCGACATGATGCCGCCCGGCGTCGAGCAGCTCAGCCTCATGATCAACTTCAAGCCCAGCAAGAAGCGCCAGAACACGAGCGTCCCCGTGTCCACGGCCCGCGAGGTGCTGCACATTCTGCAGAACCACTACCCGGAGCGTCTCGGCAAGGCGCTGATTATCAATGGTGTGTGAACAAGCCCCCCCCTCCCTTCCCCCCTTCTCTCAGGATGTCCGTGGGAAGAACATCATCACTGACAAATGGCAGTGCCGTGGATCGTCTGGGGCTTCTTCAAAATCATTACCCCCTTCATCGACCCCGTCACCCGCGACAAGCTCAAGTTCAACGAGGACATGACCCAGTACGTCCCCGCCGAGCAGCTCTGGAGCGAGGACTGGGCTGGCCAGATGGACTTTGCCTACGACCACGACGTGTACTGGCCCGCTCTCAACGAGCTCTGCCGCCAGCGCCGCGAGGCCCGCGCCGCCCGTTGGGTCGCCGCCGGGAGCCTCGTCGGCGAGTCCGAGGACTACCTCGCCGGCGGCACCGACATCAGCGTCACGGGCTTCGCGTACGAGGGGCCTGCTGCCGCTGCGCTCGAAGAGAAGCTGGCCGCGACGACGTTGGAGGAAAAGACGCCCGTCGCAGCGGCGGAACCCCAGGCTGCCGTCATGGCCTAGGTATGATGGCCGGGCGGCGGGCGCTGCTTCATCGCAGTTTCATTTACACACTGGCGAGTTGATTCCCATTCTAAAAGGCAACGGAATATGAGTACTTGCTGCATTTAATTTTATTATTCCGAACCCTCTTTTCTCTTCTTTGCAAAATGTCTACTCCTCAGTGTCTTAATACCCTTCCTTGTCATAGCACAACCCACTACAGGCAAAATCCTCACAAAGCTATTCACGTAAACATCACAGGTGCCACAACTGACTTTCATGTTGGTTTTCCTAAGCTAATCTTACTAGAGTGAGTTGAGATGGTCTAAAACAGATGCCGCCACGAAGCAAGTTTTACTCCTCCGTCACAGGGAGCGGCTTCGCAAGGCCGAGTCTCTCCAACGAGCTGGGGACCGCTCTGGGATCAGCCGCGTTCGCGTCGACAATGAGGGTCTTGGGCGACTTGTCCACCATGAGCCGGATGAGATCCGGGCGCATATAATGGCCTCCCTGTTCCCTTTTTGTTAGCGCACATGCAACAAGCTTATTTTCAACAAAAGCATGGGGGGGGGGGGGGAAAGGGTCTTACAAAATCAGCCAGGCGCTTCGTCAGCAAGTTCTCGTCCAGGTCGACGTCCACAATGACCAGGCCCTCGAAGGTCTTGGGCGGGTCGTCGACGGCGCGGAAGCCGTCGGGGCGGTAGATGCGGGTGAAGCCGTTGCCGATGACGGCGTGCTCGGCGTCGACGACGGCCTCGTCGTCCTGCAGCCGCTTGGGCAGGTTGAGGCGGGCGCCCTCGCGCGTGACGACCTGCGTGGGCGCCAGCGTCCAGGTGCCCGTCTCGTAGGCGTAGGCGGGCGTGACGAGCTCCGACTGCACCTCGGAGATGTTGGTGTACGGGTCGGGGTACTTGAGCGACGAGGCGGGCGGGTACACGGGCCAGGCGGCGACGTGGATCTCCTCGTGCTGCGCGCACGAGAGCGCCTTGAGGAACGGGTTCATCTAAGTGACAAGGGTCAGCTTCGGGGGGCGTCCAACAACCAGGTTCGTCGCTTTGAAGGGGGCGCGTCGCGCACGCACATTCTCCCAGCAGTTGAGGTGGCCGAGCCTGCCAATCTCCGTCTCCACCACGGTGTTGAGCGAGTCGCCGGTGCCCTCGCCAAAGACGAGCTTCTCGACGTGCGTGGGCTTGATCTTGCCGCGGTGGTTGATGACGGCGCCGGTAGGGTCGATGATGATTTGCGCCGTGTACAGCGTGTGTCCGTCCAGCTCTGAGTAGCCCAGCGAGACGTAGATGGCGGCAGCCTTGGCGGCGCTGCGGATGCGCTGCATCTCGACCGAGTCGGGCTTCAGGCTGTTCTTGTGGTAGTCCTTGAGAAGGGGCAGGGAATCCTGGTAGTTGACGCGCCACTGGAAGTAGGGGTATCTAGAAATCTGTCAGCATGCACAACCAAGGCTATTTCGCATTTCCAGTGAGTTGTTACCCGGGAATCCCTAGAGATTTTTGTTAATGGCTGCGAATGATAGGCATCTATCTGTTGGAGGCCACTTACATAGCTCGGGAAAGGCAATCAGCTTGCAGCCCTTTTCGCCGGCCTCACGGATGAGATCGATGGTCTTCTGGACCGATTTTTCGAGGTTGAACCAGCCAGGTTCCGCCTGGACGGCAGCTGCCTTGTACTGTCGGATGGGTGCAGACATGTCTGTTGATTGCGATGGAGGATAGAGATTGATTGGTGTAGAGAGAAGTGGTTTGGATGGATTGTGAGATGGAAATGGCGATGAGAGTCTTGACTGCCTTTTTATATATTCATGACCAGATACTGTCGAATTTGATGATGATTGTCTGTCTTGTTCGCAAGGCACTCACTCCCTCCGCTGCCCGCTGCCCGCTGCAGGCTTCATCGGTGATTCTCGGCATCACGGCAAGTCGGAGAGGCATTTGTCATGGACTGTCGTAGCGGTGCAGCGCAATCCCGCCGTGTTTCCCCCGGGCTCTTGATCACACCCGTGGCCCACACGGAACTCGGTCTGGCCATGTATAACATCACGCCACGAGTTTCTGCATGCTAACAAGAGCGGCCCGTGGTCAATGGCGTTTCTATAGTGGTGGATACTATTCTTAGGTTTCATCGACGACCCCGCTTACCGTCACATCCCAGCTGCTGGTAACCGGGCATCCGTGATCAGGCGGGTTTCTCGTGAATGATACAAGCAGGCTAATATGTGGGCGATTTACACGCTCCTAGCCGTTTATGGCCAGAGGTCGCATTCACCATCCACGGACATCCCTACCTACCTATACCTGCCGCCGTTCTCCGTCCCGCCCAGCCCTCCGCCTCCTGGAAGACCCATTTTCGAGGTCTGTGGAGGGAACGAAGGCTGTTTGTTAGTTAGTTAATCAATCATCAGGAACCTCAATTTGACTGTTATTATCCTTGTTTTATCGTAATTCGAATACGCCCTTATTCCAATAAATACCAACGGAATCTGAGCATAAAAGTTGTTCGTACATCCACGCAGCTGTTTTTTAAGCAGATGCACAGTTACAATAAGCTACATTCTAGCGATATGTGGAGGGACCTAAAGTTCCCGGCGACGAGACGCCATGACGAAACTACATAGCGGATGCTGTGGCTTGCGGGCAGGAAGCGTATGCAGCGTATACAGAACGAATGGTGAGACTGACTTGAGTAGCGGCATGGAGAGGTGGTCGTCAATAGTGCCGCTACAGGCTATTATAGATAGAAAAGAAATCAAATCAAAATCAAATGAAATTAAGCGCAGACAACACTGCAAACCAGAAAATGATATAATAGTGCGTGTAGATTATGTAGAGCCAACCTAGACTAAGTCACATACTGACAGTACGTCGCACCGAAAGCGATGCTACTGTGCTGGCATTGTGGCGTATCCAGGCACGGCATCCTGGGTAGCTAGCCCTCATCAGAGCACAAATTTCGTTGTAAGATAATTTATATACGTAGAAGCCGAGAATCTAGACCTGGACAGTGCCAGAGTTGACCTGGCCATCCTTGGTCACGAAGCCAAGACCACCAGTCATGAGCTTGACCTCAGTGATGGGAGTACCAGGCTCAACCGAAGCAGCGCAGATGGGAACGCAGGCGGCGACGCAAGGCGCGTCTCCGTGAGTCATGCAGAAGAGCGTGCACGCGGCAAGACACTCGGGGAAAGCAATGGTCTGCGGTACAGGTTAGAAGGGGTGCGATGGAGGGAATGGAGGAACCTACGCGGTCCTGAAGAGCAGCCACATCGGCGGGCATGGCAGCCGCAGCTGAGATGGTGGAAGCGAGAGCAACAATAGAGAAGCGCATGTTGGCGAGAGGAGATGGGAGTGAAGAAAGTTTGTCAACAGATCAAGTGCAGCGATGGTTGCCAGCATTGACTAGCAGCGATGGCGGGCGTATTTATATACATCGATATTGCGTATGCCAATACCATCATCGGAACTACGACAAGGCTCTCGACTTGTCGGCATTTGTTTATTTTGCAGTTCGGTCACTCACGATGACGTCGGGATAGCCACATCGCTCCGTATACCTCATCAGGAAATAGCCGATTGCTTACTGTGCCTAGACCGTCTATTGAAGCAAGGCCCGGCGTGAAGTCTCACGATATGAAACATGTTGTTCAGCTCGCAGTGGTCCAAGTCAGGCTTTGACCCGGAGAAGGAAGCGGCTCCCAGCCTGACGGACACTCTGCCTCAGTTTCTTACTCATATCCTGGCTGCAGCACAGGTACTACAATATGCATGCGGCGGCTGCTCAGAACAGCTGAGATGCCGAACAACATAAAATTTACGCGAGGCTGATGCAACCCTTTGTGGCTCCAGCAACTACCCACAAACACAGCCTGATGGAGTAGCTGAAACGGTGGATGTCATCGTGCGACGGGCCGGCATGCATTCCCGTATGAATGAGTTTGCTATACACTGTTTGGAAGTAATTATAAGGAAAAGATCCCTTTGAGGTATTTTGATGTTGACTTGGGTAACTTCCAGATCTGGCACGCCAACAAGCTCAAAGATGCCGGCTATATGTTTCACTCTGCTCAGTGCTTTTTTGTGTTTAGCCAAGACAAACGCCAAAGCTCCCCTCAAAAAGAGATTTGCTTCACCAGAATGGCGCGAAGAGGCTGCCATCGTTGGCTCAACGTCACCTATGCGCCTGCATCTGGCCTTGTCGCCGCAGCGCCGCTGGGAAGACGCCGAAGTAGACCTCATGCGTGTATCTGATCCACAGTCTTTGGACTTTGGCAATTTCTGGACGTCTACAGAAGTTGTTGCCAAATTCGCTCCCGCGGCAGAGGTAATTCGGGAGACGCTGACCTGGCTGGGTGAGAGTGGCATTCGGCCCCAGGGCACGCGCCTCTCCAACGATAGGAGCTGGATTCAGATTGATACGACAGCAAAGCAGGCAGAGCGCCTTTTGGGCACCAAGGTCAAGATGTACTCGCATGCGTCTGTTAGCAGAGCAGAGCCTAGATTCCACGAGTACAACATCCCTGAGCATCTGGATGCGTACATTGACTTTGTCATGCCTCTTGCTCAAGAGACGACCTTGGCTGCATCTCGTCTGCCAGCAAACAAGCAGATTGTTGCAGCAAAAGCCAAGCCTATAATTCCGCTAGCAATGCCTTCTTCGAAGGAAGCCTCAAGCTATCCGTTTACCCTCGCCAACTGCCACAAGTACACCACTCCCGACTGCCTACGAGCTCTCTACGGAATCCCATCCAACATCACGAGCCATCCCAAAAGCTCCATCGGCGTGCTCGAAGTTTCTTGGGTATCCTGGCTGCCGGCCGACCTCGACGCCTTTGCCGACGCCATGAATCTTGCCACAAAAGGTAGACGTCCAATCATCGTCCCCATAAACGGTGGCTACTGGCAAAATACTACCCAAATACCGTTCCTCAACATGGAAGCCGATTTAGATTTTGAATACGTAATGGCCTTGACCCATCCCACGCCCGTGATGAACTACCAGCTAGGAGACATGTTTGTTCCTGGCACGCTCAACAACCTCCTCGCCGCCTTTGATCGGTTCTATTGCGGCGCTTTGAACAGCACCATTGACGGCACGTATCCGAGCGGGCAGCCAGGCGGGTACAACCAGACCACCGACTGCGGCACCATCGTCAACCCGACAAAGGTCTTGTCCATCTCCTATGCGTGGGACGAGGCAAGCTACCCCAACGAGTACCTGCGGCGGCAGTGCCTCGAGTTCCTCAAGCTGGGACTGCAGGGCGTCACTGTCGTCGTGTCCTCGGCGGACTGCGGTCCTGCTGGCCAGTCTTGCCAGTGCACGGATGCTCCCAACAATACCACGCGCTTCCGCCCGACAACGCCAGCGAGCTGTCCCTACGTCACCGTCGTGGGCGGCACACAGTTGCCGCCCAACGCATCCGTGTTGGACCAAGAGGTGGCCTTTTATCACACGGCTCCGTCTGGAAAAATTAGCTCGTCGGGCGGCGGCTTTAGCGACGTCTTCGGCGCTCCGAGCTGGCAGGTTCCTCACACGCAGGGCTACATCAGCCAGCAAGACCATGGTCTAGGTCATCTACATGGACGCTTCAACCCACACGGTCGGGGTATTCCAGATGTGGCCGCCAGCGCTGCAAACTATGTCGTGGTTGTCAACGGACAGCTGCAGACGGTGCTGGGGACATCGGCCTCGGCGCCGACGTTTGCTAGCCTGGTGAGCAAGCTGAACGATGCGCGGTTGATCATGGGCAAGGGGCCAGTAGGATTTATGAATCCTGTCTTGTACAAGAGAAGCGAAGCGCTCAATGACATTGTCAAAGGGCACAACTACGGCTGCGGAGGAGATGGATTTCCCGCGGACAAGGGGTGGGATCCGGTCACGGGCCTGGGCACGCCAAGCTACCAGAGGCTGTGGGATGTCTACAAAACGTTGCCTTGAATTCAATAGACGGAAGAAATTTTATTTGTTTGGAGCAAAGTACTGCTCAAACTCTTTGCTGAGATCTGGGTGATCCTGTAGCAGTGAAACAACCTTGGTCCTCAGCGCCGCAAGATGCTTGTCCTTGCTTGCGTCTGGCGACGCGAGTGCTTTTTGATATTCTTGGAACGAGGCCAGGAAGCTCTGGTAAGTTTCAGGCTGGCTTTCCAGGCGTTTCTACTTGCTGTTAGCAGACTGGTCGTTGGTGGGGGGTTAGGGGAGCTGACGTACCTGGACATCCAAAACGAAAGAAAGAGGGCCGTTGAGGGCGGCAGGATCAAAACCTGGCCCTGGAGTCTCCTCTGCGAGCTGCTTTTCCATGGTGAGTAGTGTTGCAGGTCAAGAGCCCAAGCAAGGGTGGCAGCTAGTTATTTTAACAGGCACCGGAATAATAATCCTCCGGAATGGCAATCCTCTAGAATACCAATCCTCTAGAATAACAATCGTCTAGAATAACAATTCTCTAGAGCTCTCTAATACTCCTCACCACCTATATCCCTAGTTTATAAAGTATATAATTAACGCTATTACTAGAGAGTAGGGGGTAAGACTAGGTAGTAAATAATAAATACTATTATTAGATAAGAGAGATAAGATTAAGTAATAAAGTATATTAATAAATTATAATAAAAAATGTTTAACTATAAAAGTAAATAAATAATAAGTTATATAATTATATAAAAGTAATTAATATGTTATTTGTTAATTAGTATAATTAGTTTTAAAGATAATTGGTAAATTTATTTCTAGTTAAAATATTTGAACAGGATTAAGTAGTAAATAAAGAAAATAATTATTAAGTTATAATCTTAGTGTCACATATTTGCTGGCAGACTACAAAGTACGGTACCCGGCGTACTCCGTAGGTGGTGGTAGCTGAAAAGCAGTCAGTATACGAAGCAACTGCAGGTCAGCTACCAGTAGCGACAAGGAGTCCGGGTACGTCTGTGTCCGAGATTTCGGCGGGCAGCCGTATTGGTCGGGAATGTCAGCTTGGCCTTGTCCATCTCGGAGAAGGCTCGTTCGTCTGATCTCCGATGAGCCACGTATGCCAGTGCACGGTATCCTGCAGGATGCGTCTGGACTGGTCCATGACGCCGTGGCTAGCCATGATGACAGCTGGGTCGGCCCGCGGACAGGATCTGTGGCCTGTCTCGTCTTGGGAATGTGTGAATGATCTTCGGGTCGCACGAAATTTTTGATGCAATTGCTACCACTTAAGGGTTTGTACGAGAATGAAGATGCATTGTATCCGTATCGGGCTATGCCCGTGGTGTGTGTGGGCCGCACACAGACAAACACCACAATAGCTATGGAGTATTGTCATGAATAACATAGCAAGATACAGTGTCACTATACCTGAATAACATAGCAAGATACAGTGTCACTATACCTGAATAACATAGCAAGATACAGTGTCCCTATGCCTGGCTCTTCCAGCTGCACGCTAGTTATGACACGTCTTATACAGACTTGAGGAATGTGTCAGCGGCCTTCATCGACCACCCATGCGCATATCTGAGCGCAGAGTCCAGCACCGGCTGTACATGCGCCTCATCCGGCGCAATCGTCAGCACCAACGCCTTTTCGGCCACCATCGCCACCTTTTCGTCCGCATCCAGCACCACCATGTCCGCCCTCAGCAGCTCGCCTCCGAACCTGACGCACGAGTCAAATAGCGTCTCGCCTGTCCCAGTGGTCACCAGCATTCTCTTGGCCACGGCCTCCGTCGCCGCCGCTGCCTGCGGAAAGGCCGTCCTCCACACTTGAGCAGCATCGTCCGCTTCTATGGGCGACGCCCAGACTTCGGTCAGAGATGGCTCAAACAGCTCGGTAAACAGATCCATCTGCTGGGCGGAGAGGTAGTCGCTCTCGCGGTTGGCGGTAAACGAGGCATCGGTCGTCTTCATCGTCAGCCATGGGGAGAAGAGGGCCACGGCGCGGAGCTGCTTCCCCTTGGACGGGCCCAGCTCCGTCAATGGCGGCGCGTACGGGCAGGGATGTACCACGTGCGCGAGAAGGCTGGCAATCAAATGACCGCCGGCGCTGTCGCCCGCTATAATCAAATTGTCCGGCGTTAGGCTCGCAAGCTCAGTACCGGGGAGGGGGTGGTGCAGGAGGTGCTTCACCGCGGCCACCATCTGTATGAGCTGGGCAGGATAGCAGTGCTCCGAGCTGAGGGCGTACTCGATGAAGACGACACGCCTCGCGCTGCACGATGCGGCGCAGCGCAGCGCAAAGGGCATGTGGCCGGGTGCCTGCAAGGGGTTGAGGTAGCCCCCTCCATGGGCGTAGAGCAGCGTCGGGCCGTCCTCGGGCGCATTGGCGGGCGTGACAATGTGCAGCGTCGGCGGCGGCGGCGGCACGTGCGGGACGGTGGTGGTGTCTGCGGACGCAGCCGCATGCTCCGGCAATGCTACGGCGGCGGCGGCATAGGGAAGCCCGCGGTCGCTGCAGTAGGCGCGGACAGCCTCGCCGGTGAGTCGCTGGTGGGCGTGGGCAAAGGTGTGGCGGGGGTTGAGCGTGCGGCGCAGGGCCTGCAGCAGCGAAATGGACAGCTTCTGGCGCCAGTGCAGAGAGGAAGAGTCGATGCTACGGGATGCAAACGCCAACAGGGCACGGGCGACTATGAGCGAACGGAGGAGAGAAGTTAGTCAACGGCGCAGACTGTAAAACGGAGACGCAGTCGTACCTGTGAGGGGGACGAGCCATAGTAGTGAAACTTTGTCAAAGGGGCCCATTGGCCCAGGCACGAGTTGTTTTGATGACATGATTTCGGAGATGTGTTTTATCGTGTTGTTTGTTACGAGTTTGCGGTTCTGCTTGGAACTTGGCACGGATGAGATGAATTAGCGCGTCAGGATGCCGAGGCTAGTGGGTACATCGCCTTTGTACGCTATAAGACGATAGTTGTTGTTGTGGTCTACGGCGCTTAACGCTAACATATGTTATGATGGGAGAGTAATTTCTTGGAAATCTACTGTTTTTTAGGAAGATGTGAAAAAGAAGAAAGAAAAAAAAAGAAGGGCGACCACACCGACGAGTACTATCACTATCGTGGCTCAGAGGGCTCTCGGTTGCCTGGAGCTGAAAGAAGAGTAATGCCCAACTACACACTACAAGTGCGAGTAATAACCAAGCCGGGTCGGATGCATCGGACTGGAACCCAGCGTAAGTATAGATTCACATGATGGACGCCACCAGGGCTAAGAGGAGGCCGCCCGTCTGGCTGAGGAGGTACAGATGCCCGTTAATAACGTTAATAGGTACTGTGCTGTAGGGTAGGCACGTCGGGGCAAGCATACCCTCGCTGGTTCAGACGTGAGGAACTACATCAAGATGTCGACTTGAACCACTTCTGCTCGGCCGAATGACGACGCCTTTTACATAATATGTACGCTTGTTTAGGCAACCGTGCTATTCGAGCCGGCCTCATGACCCAAAGCCACGTCCCGCTAGACTATTCCCGTGCGCTCTCCGAGGCCGAGTGATAATCTAATCAATCTAAATCGCCGAGGAGATGACTGATGATCGACGGTGCGGGATACCGATGACTGTACCTCCGAGCCGACGCCGACTGGGATAAAATATAAAAGAGGCAAAGATGCACCCGAGAATCCATGTAATGATGTACATATAATTAGGTATATGCCTCTTACTTATAATCTCCCACTATCCACCTCCATCATGCCCCCCGCAACGCCCCTCTCCACCAAGATCGCCCACATCACGGCGATTGAAGCCGGCGCCGAAAAGGCCTTTATCAAGGCCGACACGCATCTCGAGCAGGCGCTCGCCAACACGGCGCGGCACGGCCTGCCGGCGATCCAGGTGTCGGCGCTGCAGGGCCAGCTGCTCGGGCTGCAAGCGCGCTTCGTCAACGCGCAGACGGTGCTCGAGGTCGGCGCCCTCGGCGGGTACTCGACCATCTGCCTGGCCAAGACGGGGGCGCGCGTGACGAGCATCGAGATTGACGCCAAACATCGCGACGTGGCGCTGGAGAACCTGCGTGCCGCGGGCGTCGCGGAGCCGGACATGATCCTGGGCGACGCGCACGAGGTGCTGCCGGCGCTGGTGCGCGAGGGCCGCGTGTTTGACATGGTGTTTATCGACGCCGACTGGGGCACGCAGGCCGAGTACTTTGACTGGGCCGTGAAGCTGACGCGCAGGAACGGCTGCATCTTTATCGACAATGTCGTGCAGGAGATTATTACCTGCCATGGGGGCAGTGTGGGCGAGGGCACGCTGATTGAGAGGATCGGCAAGGCGCAGAATGTGACGGCGACGCTGGTGCCAAAGATATCGGGGACGGAGGGCGTGGTGGATAATGCTTCTATTGATGGGTTTGTGATTGCGACTGTGAATTAGTTTTGTCGAGTTGCGATTGATTCCATGTGCGAGGTATTCCGAGTTGCGGACGTTAGCCAGGTCACTAATAAACTTGCACTATTTGCGAACATCTCTACAGAGGGGCTACCTTGTCGCTCGCTGTACGCCGCACTGGGCATGAGGTGCGGCTACAAGCTAAAATTAGAAGCTGATCAATGTGAAGAAATTATGTCCAACTTTGTCTCCGAATACAACGATTAGAACGTGGTCATGAGGTATGTCTAATATGGGCATCTTCACGGTCATAAGCTGCTGATGGTTTGGCGGGTATGGTATGAGCCCAGTTGAAAGCGAGTTTCGCATGGCTAAGCGCCGCTGAAAGTACGAGTACCACTTGCTGAATCCGCACCTAGCGGTTCAGTCGCTAAAAGCCGCCTCGGAATCTTGCGCTCCTGACCAATAATTAATACCCGTCTGCCCAGAATAAAAAGCAACACCATCCAGGTACACATCCGCCACGCCGCCATCGATCGGCTCGGCCCGGCGATCCTGCGAAAGCTGGCGCAAGCCTCTGTTTCCACTTCCGTGCTATGGCGTGAAAGGACTGCTAAAAATGGGTATAGAACATGACGACTTATTGGCACACCTACCATATAAAAATCAATTATTTTTACTTCCGCCGAGAGCCCAGGGACTGGCGCGCGTGGCATCGCGACCAGCGGTGTTCTGACGTCCCGCTCTTGTAGGTACTTGCCTGCTGCCACTTTAGACCAACTGCAGCAACCAGGGTCCGCAACATGAATTCAAGAAAATGAAGTCGCTGGTAATTACAAAAAAAATCCACCAACATTATTCGCTACACTTGGCTTACTTCTTTGCGTCTTGCTTCTGCAAAAGGCATCACGACTTATCACGGTATGTGCCTCGCCGTCATGGTCGTCGCAGTACCGGCTACGGCACTATCCAGGACCGAGTTGGAGATACGGCAATGGGGGCGCAGCACACATGTTTCTACAAGCAAGCTGGCCCTTTCAGCTGGGGGCATGGGCGAGAAGATCGCAATAACAGCCTTGGCAGTCGAGGCTTGTTCGGGCCCTAGTCCTAGAAGCATACCCTGCTCTCTCTTGTATATTTTGTTGGAAACAGGAAAAACAGACACAATGACATATGAGGCCTCCGTGCGTAAATTACCCATGCACACTATGGGTTGAAACGTACGCCAATCTACATTCCATGTTGCGAACAGGCTCGCTCTCTAAGTAGTCCAACCACTGGTTTATAACTCTGGTTAGCCGACATGTGGGTAAAGCCCAAATGTGCGCAGAATCCAAGTTGCAAACCCGCGCGTCCCCCAATGTACCTGCTTAATAATTGCATAAAAACCTCTTTCAAAAAGGCTCAGCTATGCCGAAGGAACGCGAGCCGATGGCTGAGAAACACGGGAAATTTAAAGGCGAATAAAAGCAGCCAATGACGCCACCCCCGCCGATAACGCCTTGGCAGACCAGCCAAGAGCGCACCACCAAGTAAAGAAAATATAAGCTTCTTTTCGCAACTGCCTAACACGGCAGGTCCTTTGGCGACGCCGGTGCAAAGTGCCCAACGTGATGTCCTGTGCTTGCGTCTTGCTTGCTTGGCAGGTCCAGACCGTCCATCTTGTATCTTGGCAGCTACCACGGGTAAACTTGTTTTAAAAAGCCCCAGTGACGAACTCTTTTCTTTCCTTCTTCCTCAATCACTTTTTTTCTACATTGATAAAAGCCCCATCATACACTGACGCCATGAAGTTTTCAACAGCGGCGGCTTTGGGCGCCTTGGTGTTCGGCCTGTCGCATGCCACTGATCCCATCACGCCCGACAAGGCTGTCAAGGACATCCGAGTTCGAGAGTAAGCGGCCCCCCCCCCCCCCCCCCTGATCAACGGCCGGAATGGCTCGTCTGGACTCGTCATTAACACGAGCCAAAATAGATTGGAAAACGTGCTGTGGCACTTGCAAAAGATTGCCCGCGACAACGGCGGGAACCGCGCCCACGGCCTGCCCGGCTTCAAGGCGTCCCGGGACTTTGTCCTCGAGCGCGTGCAGAAGCGATTTGGCGCACGCCTCGACACGTACGTGCAAGAGTTCAACCACACCTTTTCGCAGGTCCGCAAGATTGAGCTCACGGGGCCGTCGGGCGAGGCGGTCGAAGTCATCGCCCTGCAGTATGTGTCGTCGACGCCGCTGCCCGACGGCGTGACGGCGCCGCTCCTCGACACGCCCGTCGACGACACGCGCGGCTCCATGTGCTTCGCCGACCAGTGGGAGGGCATCGACGCCGCCGGCAAGATCGTGTTGCTTAAGCGAGGCACGTGCGCCATCTCGGACAAGCTCAAGCTCGCTAAGCAGCACGGCGCGCTCGCCGCCGTGCTCTACCACAACGCCGCCGGCACCCCGGCCGGCGCGACCCTCGGCGCCGCCAACGTCGGCCTCGTCGTGCCCGTCGGCCTCGTGACCCGCGACGTCGGCGAGGGGTGGAGTAAGAGGCTGGCAGCAGGGGAGAAGCTGAGCGTGAAGCTGCTGGTGGATGCCATTTTCGAGCCGCGGCCGGGCTGGAATATCATCTCGGAGACGAAGCTCGGAGACCCGAACAATGTCGTCATGCTCGGCGCGCATCTGGACAGCGTGCAGCCCGGACCCGGCATCAACGACGATGGCAGTGGCACGGCTGCGTTGCTGGAAATCGCCACGTCGTTCCAAAAGTACACTGGTTTCAAGAACAAGATTCGCTTCGCCTGGTGGGGCGCTGAGGAGTAAGTTTCATTAAATCTGCAAATCTAAAGATGTGTTGCTGATACTTCCATGTACGTAGGCTTGGACTGATTGGCTCGCTGTACTACACCACGCACCTGTCCGACGCGGAAAAGGACAAGATCAAGTTCTACTTCAACTACGACATGATTGCCAGCCCCCAGCCCAAGTTTGTCGTCTACGCCGACAACGAAGCCCACGAATACGGCGCCATTCCCCTCTTTGAGTACTTAAAAGCCGCCGGTGTCGCTCCTGAATACGCGTACGTTGTCCTTTTACCCTCTTGTAACACTCCAGCTAATCCTTGTTGGCTAGTAAATTCGGCTCCTCCTCCGATTACGTCGGCTTTCTCAACGCCGGCATCCCCAGTAGCGGCCTCTTTACCGGCGCCGGCGCTCCCTTTGACGAATGCTACCACCAGCTCTGCGACAACCTCAACAACATCAACTGGGACGCATATGAGAAGAATGCCAAGGCCGCGGCGTATGTGGCGGCCGAGTTTGCGCTGAATCTGGACGGCGTGCCGTCACGTAACAAGACGAGCTCGAATCCGCAGTCGGCGCGCGGTGTGCAGAACAGTTTCCGCGACTGGTCGAGTGGCATTCAAGTCGAGGAGACGCACGCGAGCTGTGGCGGTGAGCTCACCTCCGTCTAGGTATACAGTAGATGCACCTATCTAGAGGAAGACTATGAGCACGCTGTCGCTGAAGTTGTTGGACGCCTCAGACGAAACCAGTCTTCGGCAGACAGCTGCCTTCAGTAGAGACTCTATTGTGCAGGGTCCCCGTTTAGTCCCTAGTGATGCACTAGTACTAGTAGCTAGTACGAAGTATTGAATATTCGGAATGGGCCAAGGACTTTATCTGGCAGGTGCGATGTTTTGATCGTAAAACAATTAGCCCATTAGAAAGGCCACTGTTAAGTAATGGGTATCCAGGGCTCTATCCTCTGCAGCAGGCTTCTGATTGAAAAGGGCTTCAAGACAATGCCATCCATGCCCGCCTCCTTTGCCGCCTCGATGTGGGTATTGCGCACATTCGCCGTGACTGCAACGACGGGTACGTGGCTTGCTATTTTGCGACAGCGCTCCATGGCACGAATTTCGCGCACGCACGTGAGGCCGTCCATGTTGGGCATTTCAAGGTCCATCAGGATCAGCGACAGACTAGCTCCACTGGGGACACAAAAGTGCGTCTTGTTCAAAAAGTCCAGCGCCTCCATGCCGTCATTCGCAGCGGAGACGTGGCAGCCAAGCTTTCTCAACTGCTTCACGAGCACTCTTTGGTTAATCAGGTTGTCCTCCACGACAAGGATATGGGTATTGACGAGCGCCTCGTTGGGCGGCGTGGGAGTGCGTGGCTCCGTTGCGGCCTTTGTTCGACGCGGCGACGGTGGCAAACGTCTCGAACCCGCAGCAACACTTGACGAATGAATATCCATGTGGCCAAGCGCCTCCGTTATTCGAGCCGGCGTGGAGACATCGCTCGTTCTTGCCTGCACATAGAACAAGAACATGGTTCCGTGCCCTGCTGTAGACGCCACGCCAATGCGGCCCCCGTGAAGCTCCGTCAACTTCTTGGAAATGAAGAGCCCCAAGCCACTGCCGCCATATTTCGCATGCGTGCGCGGTGACGCCTGCTTGAACTTTTGGAAGAGCGCCGTCTGCTCGCGCGGCGCGAGCCCGCAGCCCGTGTCGTTGACTTTGAAGCAGACGTAGACGGGCCGGCCACGCCCCCACTCGCTGGCGTTGTCGGTTGTCCGGCTTTCAATGTCCGAGGGTGCAAAGTGGAACTCTGGCACGTCCGTCTCCTCGGGCGGGCTGGATTGTATACACGTGCTCACGGTGATGACGCGGTTCGTGCACGACACGGTGAACTTGATGGCGTTGGAGATGAGGTTCACCAGAATCTGCAAGACGCGGCTGGGGTCAAGAACGACAGAGGTGGCGGCATCCTGGTCCTCCTGGCCCGGGACACGGTCAATGATGAGGCGAACGTCTTTTGCCAGAGCTTCCGACTCAAACATTTTGACCGCGCGCCGCAGTATCGTTTCCGGTTGGGTCACGGAAGGTGTTATTTGTAGAAGGTTGGAGTGCAGCTTGGAAATGGTGAGAACGTCGTCGACAATGGACTTTTGGTGATGCACACAGAGCGAGATTGTCGCTGCCGCCTCGTGGCAGGCTGCCAATGTTTCCTTGGTTGGGTAGGTGCTGTCTGCGTCTGCCAAGGAAGACGAAATGTCATCGGCGCATTGCAGAATAGCGCTCAACGGATTGCGTATCTCGTGCGAGGTGATGTCGATGAATTCATTCTGCTGCCTTCTCATCTCCTCGGCTTCTTCGAGTTGGCGCGCTTGCAGATTTTGCGCCCACTTAAGATGCGAAATATCTGTAATGGATCCCATGACGGACTTGAGCGAGCCATCTAATTGTGTCTCGACGTGCGCTGTGAAGAGAACCCAATGCTCAAAAATTTCTTGCGCTTGGCTTTGACTAGGAGGGCGACTCTTGAGTAGCAGCTCACCCGACCAAGATGTCCTCTTGTCGCGCATTTGTGCCCAAGCCAGGCTTATCGACTCCTGGCTCGTACTAGCCACGCAGTCCGTCCAGGACATGGGCAGCCGACATTCCTTGTCCAAGCCCGTCATCTCAAAGAACTGCTCATTCGCCTCGAGCAAGACCCCCTCTGGGCTGATGAAGAACATGCCCAGCGGCGAGAATTCCGCCATCTGGCGCATGCGATTCGCCTGCAAGCGCAGCTCCTCCTCCAGCAGCTGATGCTTCTTGGCCGCCAGCGCGGCTGCTTCCCGGCTGCGGCGCACCTCGGACTCGTAGAGAATAATCGAGGCCAGCGACGTGGCAAGCTGTCGGTTGAGCATGCGCAGAAAGGCCTCGTACTCGTCGTCGTAGATGCGGCGCGGCGCCACCCCGAGCACCAGCACGGCGAGGACCCGGTCTTCGTTGGTGGGACGCACAGGAAATACAATGGCCTGGTGGCACGGGTCGCCGAAGCCGCGCCACTGGAAATCGGCAATCAGGGGTTCTGGTAGAGAGCCATCGCGCGTGTGGAGAAGCGTCGGCCCGCGGTTGCGTATGGCTTCGCGAAAGGATGGGATAAAGCCCTCTCCGCGGCTACCGTTGAGGTCGAGCTGTGGAGGCGTGGCAATGTGTCCTTCCGGTATGCCAAGGGACCCTTGGAAACGACACGTAGTAGCGGCAGCACTGTGGGTTGATGATTCTGCATCTGGTATTTGGTTCGCGTCATCCATGGAGTATAAAAACGCGAATGGGATATCGTAGTGATAATCCTCAAAACACGCAATGACGCAGGGCCAAAAGTCTTTCACTGTCTTGGCCTGCGCTGTGCTCTCTCCTAGCTGCGTGACGATTTGCATGCGTCGCTTTGCCACGACCTCTTGCGTCGTTTCAAACGGCGCATTATAGAACCCCAAGATGCGGTCCGTACCGCCGTACAGTGGGGTAAACGACCAGTTGAAGAATGTCTCCTCAATGATGCCTTTTCTGTCAATGGGTATATAGTCGTAGTCTTTGCGCACGCTCGTCCCGGTGCGGCCGCACTCGGCAAATATGGGGCCGGCATAATCCCACAACTCGGCAAAGGGCCCGGAAAAGCCCGTACCCATGAGCGACGGGTGCTTCTTGCCGGCGACTTCCACCGCATAGGCCTCGTTATAGAGCATGGTGAGCTCGCTACCCCAGAAGAGCGCGGCGGGATGGGGGTTGGACATGCACAGGTTGGCGGCCTGGCGGAACTCGCGCGACCAGCTCTCCATGGGGCCGAGGGGTGTCTGAGCCCAGTGGACGCTGCGCGCGTGCTGGATATGGCTGGACAGGAGGCCTTTGGGGTGTGCCACGGTCCAGTCCGCAACGGCCATCTCGGGGGAGGAGAGCGAGATGCAAGGCGCGTAGGAAGACAGAGAGGATCCGTTGGGGGCAGAATCAATGGTATAGCGTCTGTGTGAGGCGGTAGTAGACTCAGAGAAGACGGACTGAGAACATACCGAGTCCTCAGTAGTGTGGGTAGCCACCGTTCCATCGTCCATGTCGGGTGCTGCCTTGCCTGCATGTTCCGTGGGCATCAACGCCTGCAAGTCTGGCCCTTGCCACGCCTGGTTGCCGCTGATGAGTCGCCATCGCCGTCGGATGGTAGAGCCTGTCCACAAAACACCGTTGTAGAAGAAGCCGACGGGATAGATGTCTTTGGACCCATCATGCTGCGTGGCGCTTTCGGCCCAAGCCTTGAACTGCGCAAATGTCGTCGCCTTGTTGTGCTGGTTGTCGGATGCACGCGTCGCGGCACTCGGCGCAAACAGAGACTCGCAAAGGCGCTCGTGAAATTGTAGAGCTTCGTTGGAAAACACCGGGTTGATAGTGTGCTCCAACGCGAGGTCTCTGGGGGCCGCCAAGTCAAGGTTGGGGTCGAGATCGAGAACAAATGTCGGGCGGGAATCTGCGTCGAGAATCTCCAAGAGCGCGAGGGCATGAAGCTCGCTGGGAGGCTCGGCGCGCGGTGTGAAAAGCCGCGGTGTCATGGGGAGTTGTCGCCGCGGCGGAGTGTTGCGATGCGAGCTTGTGTGCAAACGAAGTCATACATGACGGAGAGTCGATACAAGTGGCGTACGGGAAGAACGGGCTTGTACAGTCCCCATCAACGTTGAATGGCCGCATTGGACAATTTGTGCATGAACCAGAGGTAGTTAGCCTGTTCGGCTTCCTGGATGCCGTTGCTAACTTTATGTTGTGCGTGTTGCAAATCGCTTGAGCCGCTGTTCATCGGGAGGCCCACTGAAGGGGGGGCTACTGTAACCCGGCCTGAATCGCCCCATCAACTATTGAAGCTTCGTATGGCGAGACTCGATTAGAAAGGTGGCGTTTGTGGCGACTGGATTCTGGAAGCTAGTTCATTGGGTATTCCATTCATGTCTCATACAAAGTATTTGTATTCTACGGAGTATCAGTCATGATTTTATTCAGATAAAGTGGGATCACACTCGGCAACGTAGATACATAGGTGATAGCTGCTCAACTAGGGGGACTCCCAATAGGAATATTACAAGCCTTTGTTATTTATTTCATTCGCCACAACGTTTGTCAAGACAAGCACGAGATACATTTTTATTCAAATTCTATCATCTTGAAACACTCTAGCCCGCCGACCTGCGCATCCGAGTCCTTTTTGACACGGCCAAGCCGTTATAGGGTATCCTGCTCTCTGGGCGATGCATTTGATCATGACGAGCCTCGAATAAGGTCCTGAACGAGGCATTGCCCTGACCCAATGGAAAAGTTCGGCTGGCTCTAACCAGAATGCAGCAACGTTGACCATGATGGAATTCCAAAGTGGCTACACTGGGAACGGTCTAGAACATAGGGAATCTCGATGGACCGCGGCCTATTTTGCAGCAAGTACGGAGTACCTAGCTGTTCACTAGCGCGCTTTGCACTGGATAGCGCGGAGTTATTCGTCCGGCCCCTGTCCCTGTTACCAACGGACTATTACTTGGGTTAGTTACCCGAGCAGATCCAGTATCCAGTTATTTAGTATGCTGTAACACTGTAACAACCGTACCTATGTAGGTAAGAGGTAGGACGGGGATGGATGGCTCGCCAAATTGCCATCTGAGGCTAGTAGTAACAAACGGCGCGCAACGGGTAGCTAGTGTGTCACAACGTTGTACGGGTACAGAAGTTCGATTTCCTTCCCCTCTCCGTCTTTATTTTTCCCGTCCACTTGGCCTGCTTGCAATCTCTGCCATGGGATTCTGAGACCCGACTTTCCCTCATTAGCAAACCTGTCTTTCAGGACAGCGGGCCACAAAGTTCAAGCACCATTAACCACCTCTATTCGCATCACGAGCTCCGTCGTCCGAACTACTAGTACGGATACAGGGAGCAGAGACAAAAGGTCATGTGCTGCCCACGGGCCTATCGGTAGACCTTCTCAGACACACCAGCAGGATGAGAGTGCCCATCTGGGTGCAGCTCGCGCTGCTCGTAAGCGCCGTCGCGTTTGTTGCCCTCACCGTTGTCGCTGTGCCGACATGGATCTACGTCCAAAGCTTCGTTATCAACGTCGAAACGGACAGCCTCGCCCTCGCCGCCTCCCTCTATGCCACCAAGATTGACTCGCAGCTGCAGCTCCTCAGTACCATCAGCCGCACTGTCTCGACCCGCATCCTCATCCAGCAGTCCCTCGTCAACTACTACAATGGCAACGCGACAACTACGGACCCGTTTGAGCCGACCGTCACGGACCTGCAGAGCGCACTCGCGACGAGTAGCTTTACTGGCTTGCTGCAGGCCCGCATCTACTCGCGCAACCAGACCGGCGAGAATGCCACTGGCCTCATCAGCGTCACGGGGTCTGGTGTCGGGTCGCAGACGCAAAACATCCTGCTGCCCTATCTCACGCCCGCCGGCTCGCCTGTCAACCTGAGCGACACGGAATTCGGCTATCCGCCCTCTCTCTACCCCAATATTACGTATGAGACGTTGGACTTTCCCAACCCCTACATTCCCTCAGAGACCGCCGTGGCTGCTAGTGCCTTTCCCGGCGTCTTGTTGAGTGACAGCCGGGGGCTGCTACTTGGTCCGCTGGCCATCAACCAAACATTTTCCCTCATATCCCTCACGATCCCTATTCGCTCTCTTCGCTCCAACGGCTTTATTCTTGGCTATCTTACCCTGGTCGCTGCCGCCAGCTCGTTCCTCGACATCCAAACTGCCGTAGACGGACTAGGCAGCACTGGTGTCGCGCTCATCGTCACGCCAAATGATCCATCAAACCGGTTCCCGCCCCCTCTACTACCCTCCAATGCCACCTATCTACCGCCAACGGACGCTCTCAGCAATTACGCGGTTCGCTATGTCCTGCAGCCGGCCTCGTATCACGGCCAGACGGACCGCCACACTGATAAACAAGGGAACTGGGGCATGCCCTTCATTCTATCGCGCTACCCGCTCGTCAACGGGGTCTATTCCAGCTACAATGGCAAGCTGAACAACGCCCGTGCAACTTTGACAGCGACAAATGAACAAGGATATTCGGTGGCAGCTGGTGTTGCTCGTCCCCAGACTACGCTAGTTGACTGGACTGTGGTGGTCGAAAAGGCGCGCAGCGAGGCGTACCACCCCATATCCCAGCTTCGAAAAATTCTAGTTGGCTGTGCCTTTGGAACCGCTGGGTTGGTGATGCTACTGATTATACCCTGCGCCTACTTCAGTGTACGCCCTATCCGCAGACTCAAGATTGCTACTGAAAAGTCAATCACTGTGCCCGGAATCGATCTCGCGTATAGTGATGATGAGAAAAACGCAGCTAGCTCTGGTGGCACACTTTCCTCGGCTTCCGTTAAAGGCCTGTTCAGGAGCCTCAAAAGACAGTTTACAAAGCCTCAGAGACCACTCACGCAAGCTGAGATCGAGAGTCATCGTCGGATCTTCAAGATCCCAGGCAGGGTCAAGGAAAGGTCTCATCTAATTACGGACGAGGTGACGGAGCTTACAGAAGTCTACAACAAAATGACGGATGAGCTTGTGAGACAGTATACATCACTCGATCAACAAGTGGAAAAAAGAACGCGAGAGCTAGAGATCAGCAAGAAGGCCGCCGAGGCGGCCAACGAGAGCAAAACTCTGTTTATTGCCAACATTTCCCACGAATTAAAGACGCCTCTCAATGGTATCATGGGTATATGTGCAGTCTGCATGGAAGAGAATGACATTCTTCACATACAACATTCCTTGAAAACACTCTATAGATCGGGTAAGTATAAGCCTTCGCTATCGATTGCGCCCGGCTAACTTCGAAATTAGGTGAGCTATTGCTGCATCTTCTAGAGGATCTGCTCAGCTTTTCCAAGCACCAAATCAGCTCCGAGATTAAGCTTGAGAATAAGGAATTCCGACTGGGAGAGATTCGTTCCCAAATTGTTTCCATCTTTGAGAAACAAGCCCGAGAAAGTAGAATCGATCTGGATGTTGTCTACTCCGGCCACCTACTCGAGGATCACAAACCACACTATCTTCTGGTTCAGCAAGGCTCGTCTCGAGCAGCCCGGCCTAATCGCATACGGGACATGTACATCCTGGGAGACCAGCACAGGATCCTGCAAGTCATCATCAACCTGGTCAGCAACAGTCTGAAATTTACGACAGCTGGTGGAAAAATTCAAGTTCGCATACACTGGGGCGACGAGGCAACGCCAAAGGAGGGCACTCAAAAACTGGCTTCAACAAGCAGCTCGCGCAGTCATAGTGAGACTAGTCGTGACCGAGCCAGGCCTTCCCCAAAGCCGAATCCAAAATCAACATCCTCAAGTAATACACACACTGGAGTCAACACACCCGAGGAAAGAGAAGCCATCGGCAACTCGCTTGTCCATTTCGATGGGGACGTCGAGGAATCGCCGATTTCCACCGAGGAGACCGGAAGCACATATCTCTTCACGTTTGAAGTCGAGGATACGGGGCGGGGTATTCCCCTCAACATGCAAGACAAGATCTTTGAACCGTTTGTGCAGGTGGACTCGAGTTTCAGCAAAGAATTTGGCGGCACCGGGTTAGGTCTCAGCATCTGCTCGCAGCTGGCTAAGCTGATGGGAGGCACAATCACTGTGCGAAGCACCGAGGGTCTTGGCTCTACGTTTAGCCTGCAGATCCCCCTCCGGCATATCCCCGATCGCGCGCCGAGCACGCATTCGGAGAGCACGAGGCCAAGATCGAGGGCACCCAGCGCCGGTGGCTCAACGACGGGCGGTGGCGGCGGCAGCTGTCATCGCAATTCCCTGAGCAGCGTTCTGGCGCAGGAGCCCGATCCCACCACGTCGACGAACAACAGCGAAAGCCACCGCAGCGACATACAGCCACGACTCGTCGGTCTCAGCACACCATTCTTCCCACCCAACCCGAACCAACCGCCTCCGCCGCCGCCGTCTGGTAACGGCTCCACGACCGTCGTCCCGCCCACCACGCGCGTCGAGACACAAGCCGCCATTCAAAAAGCCAAAGCCGCCAAGGCCAAGACGTCGGGCCCCGCGTCGTCGTCGGCCAGCAGCGACCTGCGCGTGCTCGTCGCCGACGACAACGCGACCAACATTGAGGTGGTGCGCCGGATGCTCAAGCTGGAACAGGTGCTCGACGTGACCATTGCCAAGGACGGGCGCGAGGCGTACGAGCTGGTCAAGGCCAACATGGAGCGCAACCACAAGTTTGACCTCATCTTCATGGACGTGCAGATGCCCAACCTGGACGGGATCCAGTCTACGAGGCTGATTCGGCAGATGGGCTACGCGGCGCCGATTGTGGCCCTGACGGCGTTTTCCGAGGAGAGTAACCGCAAGGAGTGCATGGAGTCGGGCATGAATGAGTTCTTGGCCAAGCCGATTCGCAGGTCAGCGTTGAAGAGTGTGTTGACGAAATTTGCAACGATATACGAGGAAAAGCCTGAGAAATTGGAGTAGCAGGGCAACTCGAGATGAGTACAATGTACAGTAGCATGTTATATGTATGGCTATTTAAATACTGTGCCTGCAAGTGTATGAGTGTCTGGCATGCAACGCAACAGGACCGTGTATTCATGTACCCATCAGATTGATCCAGGCGCTTCTTTCAATATTTTCCTAGCGCAAGGCGCCGTCTGTTGTCAAGTCGAGGCATTGGCGTTTCTGTATGAGGAGTCTCACGTCATCAACCATCTCGGTGACTGAGTAACGGCCATCTTTAGGCCAACTCGGCTGCAGACTAGTATTAGTATACTACATACGAGCAACATCACCACTCTTCAGATCTGTATGACACTGTGCTTGAGCTGCCCACCATTGCCAAGGTGCATTATCTGAAGAATATGGATAACTTGATTTTACGTCCCCCTTTTTTTCCCCCAAAATAAAAAAAGTACAAACCTGCAAATCGACTCCCCGGCCAGCTCGGATTCTTGTCCTTAATGCGTCCACCAATAAAGAACAGAAGCCTCATTTTACGCGATCAAATCGGCGCTTCAACAGTGGCGGCGCCACCCGTCCCAATAAGGTATATACTTCGGTCTTCATCCAGTTTGCACCAAGGCTAGTTGCCGAAATACCGAGTTGCAATTCAGCCGCTAATTATTCCCAGACTTTTCCCTTGCTGTATGTTATCCCGTCCTGTCAGGGCCGTCTCCCCATTTCACATGCACCCTTCCGTGTCCCAGGCCCTTCTCATCTATTGCCACACTGCGTTTCATCTTTGGGCATTGTCTAGTTACTGACACCCACGCCGATTCACCTGCCGTCTTGGGCAAAGCCGCAGTCATGCCTTTTCGCGGGCGGCCCAGCACCGCTTGCGCGCGGTGTCGCCAGCGTCGCCTCAATGTAGGTTCTTTCCCAATGACGCACAGCAGCCGTCATTACTATGCTTCATGTATAAGTCTCTGTCGATCGTAGACGCTTACTTTCGTTTATCATTCTCTCTCTAGTGCAACCATGCGGAGCCTTGCTGCAGCTGCTGCGCCAGAGCCGGCGTGCCGTGCCCCGGCTACCGCAACCAGCTGGACCTGCGCTTCCGGGACGAGAATGCTCTCGCGGCGGCCCGGGCCCTTCGCCAGGTGCTGCCAGGAAAGAAGAAACCCCCCCCACCGAAGCGCTCCGCTCCGCAGCTCGCCGTCGCTGCTGTGCCACCCTGCATCGCCTACTCCGTAAAAGAGGCGGCGAGATGCCATCTCGTCTCCAACTACATGCAGCCGCGCTCCCCCAAGAACGGCGAGCTCTCGTACCTCCTCCCGCTCGTGGAAATGAGCAGCAGGCATGCAGCCATCGAGGCGGCGGTGAATGCCGTCGCCATGGCTGCGTGGGCCAACATCCGGCTTTCGCCCAAGGCCATGCTCAAGGCGCAGAGCGAATACACCATTGCGCTGGCAGAGACAAACAAGGCGCTGAGAAGTACGCAAGGCTGCAAGAAGGACGAAACGCTGGCTTTGGTGGTTCTCCTGAGCATCTACGAGGTCGGTTCACTGCCCTGCCCCCCCCCTGGTATGGCTCCTCTGCCCACCCCCCTTCCCTTTTCTAAATGCTACTATAGGTCATCGTCTGCAGCGATGATGCATTCATGGACCGCTGGGTGGCCCATTTAGACGGCGCCACCCTGTTGCTAGAGCTGCGCGGCCCGGGCCAGCTTACCGGACGCGAGGGCTTGAGCTTATTTAGACACCTACGAGCACAGATTGTTCGTCGCCTCTCTCTCTACGATGTGTGTCGGTCCCACGTACATTAACATGCATGTTGTTCGCAGTCTCTTAGTAGAATATTCCAAGAAAAGCCGAATCCGCCTATACTTGCCCAGCTCACTCAACAGGCTGCTGCCTACCGGAATCCCGACCACCAGGTCTTGGACCGACTAGCCTCTGCCGTGATGCAACTCGCAGATTTGTGCGCCGATGCCAAGATGCATCAAGACCACGGCCACAAAGACATCATTTTCTTGGCTATGAGGCTCGATGCCGAACTTGTACTGGCACTTCTGGACATCCCAGACCGGTGGCGCTACAACAGCCTCAAGGTTCCGCTCGAGGATGGACGACCAATCGTCAAAGGCATTTGGGGCTGCGACTACCACGAATATGAGAGCTTGGAAGCCGCCAAAATGTGGAATAATTACCGCTGTGCCAGGATCGTGCTCCAGGAATTAATCATCGACACAGTTAAAGGCCGTGGCTTCTCGACAGATGCCCACTACTCTTCCGTGGCGACTCAATGTCGACAGACTCTGAAGCAGCTCCTCGAAGACGTGTGTGCTAGTGTCCCATTCTATTTCGGGCTGCCCCATTCCTCAAACGGCGAAGACGGTGGTAATGGAAGCTTGATCGGAGGGACAGGGTCCAGCGGCCTCGCGCTGATGTGGCCTCTGCTTGTCGCTGCAAACTCGGGGATAGCTTCGAGGGAGCATCAAGAGTGGATTGCCGTGTGTCTAGATAAAATCGGGCATAGCATGGGCCATAACCAAGCATTCTCCATGGCAAAGCTACTGCGGGAGAGAAAGACGACGCGTTCCTTGTTGACAAGTTAGACCAGATGTACCATGTTCAGCACGGGCAATGACGTCCGCCTCATTACTCTTACCACACAAGTACCCGTTGAATACGGCTTTGATCTGCAATCGTACGCTTACTGCGCCTCGTTCCGAAAAGGGAAAGTAATTCGTGCATAATTCCGAACCCCGGCAGCCCGCGCGGATAAAGCAGGGAAGAATAATCACACTCAACTATATAAAGAATTGGAATGTAGCCAGTGACTGTACTCACCAAGCTCCCATTAGATCTTCCACACCAGCGCGACACTGCGTCAAAAATCTGCCAAAATGTCATTTCTCGTTTTGCTACTGCTGCCCTTGGCTCTTACTGCAGCAGCCCTGTCCCCCGACTCAGATCCGGGATACAACTGCCGTCCAGGCCAAGCTTGCTGGCCATCTGCTCAGGAGTGGACGCAGTTCAACAGCAGCATCGGCGGCCACGTATACAAGACCGTGCCGCTCGCGGCCGCCTGCTACAAGAGCTCCCCTCACTACGACGCGAACGCGTGCCAGTCCATCCAGGCGCTCTACGGAAACAGCACCAGTCGAGGCGCGTCGTTTGGCCAGACCTACTGGCTGAACTGGGAGACGTGCCACGATACCGGTTGCGGCCTCCTCGAGTCGGACCCGACCGAGTCTCTGTACGCCAACTGCTCGCTCGGGCGGCTAGCGGCGTACTACGTCGACGTGCGGGCGCCGTCGCACATCTCTGCCGCCCTGGCCTTCGCCACGAAGCACAATATCCGCATCAGCATCAAGAACACGGGCCACGACTTTTACGGGCGGTCGTCGGTCCCAAACACTCTCGCCATCTGGACCAAGAATCTCGGCACGCTCGGGTATCACGCCAACTTTACCGCGAACGACTGCCCCGCGGCCAACGGGCAGCATGTGGGCGAGCTCGGCGCGGGCGTCGTGGCCGGCGACGCCTACCGCTTCTTTGGCCGCCACGGCATGGACATTACCGGCGGCTACGAGCAGTCCGTCGGCCTGGCCGGCGGCTTCGGGCAGGGCGGCGGTGTCGGCTCCTTCACCACCACGTACGGGCTCATGGCCGACAACGCCGTCGAGTTCGAGGTGGTGACGGCCGACGGCCGGCTGCGCACCGTCAACGAGTGCAACGACCCCGCGCTGTTCTGGGCCATGCGCGGCGGCGGCGGCGGCACGTACGCGGTCCTCACCAAGTACCGCGTGCAGCTCTACCCGTCGGTGCCGATCCACACGTTTGGATTTACTGCCAACTTTACCGATGCCGGGCCGAGCTGGGACCGGAGCAAGAACAAAGCCCTTCGTGAGATCCTGCGCGAGCACGCCAGGAACCAGCCGGCTTGGTCGGCGCAGCTGCTCACGGGGCAGGTTGAATATTTTCCCGAGGTCTTCTCCATTAATCAGGTAGTGCCGTATGGCGATGACGGGGCCAAGCTCAAATCCGCAATGCAGCCGTTTCACGACTATCTCAACAACAGGACCGATCTCCAGGTGCTTTCCCAAGGGTACACTTCGTACGCCAACTACGCAGCCTATCTCTCCGTCACCGCCGCGGACGCCAAGATCACGGAGCCATCTGGCATCTTTTCCATTCTCACGTCTCGTCTAATCCCGCGCAGCGTCTTCTCCACGCCTGAGACGCTGGAAGAGCTCGTCGAGGGTGTCGCGCAGGGCATCCTGAACGCGCGCAATTTCGTCAACCGGACCGGCACGCAGGTCGTCTCCGAGACGCCCGTCACGAACCTCGACGTGGACCAGTCGACGTCGGCGCATCCGGCGTGGCGCGACGCTCTCTGGCACGTCATCCACGTCGGCGAGTGGGACGCGCCGCTGCCGGGGCGGCGGCTGCAGGACGTGGTCGGCCCTGGATTTCTGAAGCTTGTCGATCCGTTGAAGAAGCTGAGTCCCGGCGGCGGCGCATACCTCAATGAGGCCAACTATCTGGAGCCCGATTGGAAGCAGACGTTTTTTGGCGCATTTTATGATCGATTGGCCGCTGTGAAATCAGAGTATGACCCGACGCACATATTTGACTGCTATAAGTGTGTCGGCTGGAGGGGCGAGAACGAGTAAGTTGATGGCGCGAGGAGAGACTGGCGATTGCGAGTGAGACGACCAACATACTAACGAGCTTAATAGTCCCTTCTACTCTTGCTATCAGTAGGCCACCAATGGGAGGTTGGAGGATACAGCGAGCTGATAAGAAACGAAACTTCATCATAGAAGAATAGTATATAGAGAGGAGTAGCAGAATCCCGTTGACGCAAATTCGGATACTTGATAGCGGCCCCGATCGCGGATTGGCTCTGGCTCGCGAGTCCAAGTGACAGGCATGTAGGCGAGCTAGGATGTAAGTCTCGATAAAAACCGACCTCTCAAGATGACTGCTTGGCGAGGACTGAGATACGATCGCTCGTCAACATCCTTCTCAGCTTTGTCCAGCCGTCTGCGACCTAGCTTTCCACTCATCCTCGAGAATGCCCATGGAGACCTCATCCCACCATCGCCCATCCTTGAAGTAGCAGCTCCGCCGCCTCCCCTCCTCCACGAAGCCGGCGCGCTCATACAGCGGCCGCACGCGCTCGTTCCAGCCCAGGTACTCGAGCTCGACGCGGTGCAGGCCGGCCTTTTCAAACGCCCACGCCAGCACCCATTGCAGGACCTCGCCGCCGTAGCCGCGGCCCTGCTCGTCGCGGGCAATATCGATGGCGAGGCTGGCGCATCGGTGGTGCGCCATGTCCGGGTCCGACGCGCTCAGCGAGACGATGCCAATCGGCGTCGTCTTGGCTAGCGTCCCCCCCCCGGTCTTGTGTCAGCCTGGGCTACTGTGGTTCTTCCGTCGCGGGGGGAGGGGAGCAGCCCTTACTTGGGTCGGGGTCGCGCTGACACACAATGACAAAGAGCAGCGATTTCTCGAGCAGTTCGGTTCGACTCTCTTCAATCGCCTTGGCAGCGACCGGACGCAAGACGGAGGCGGAGGAGCTGACGAGGGCGAGCGGTTCGCGTTGCATGGTGGCGAAGAAGTCGTCATGCTGCGCCGGGTCGTAGCCTCGATATTCCAGACGCTCCGACTGAAAAGGGTTTGTTTGATGCATTTTTACTTCAGCGGTGATCCGGAGCCGTTTGCAGTCGCTGGCGTGCAAGGTTGATGTTTTGGTACTCGCTCACGCCCCTCCCTGCTGAGCCTGAAAGTCTGGGTTGGGCAGCGAGAGCGACAGGGACACAAGGCTGGCAGACAGAAATCATGTTTGCGGTCGAGAAATGGAAAGAAGAGTTAAAAAACAAAGAGTCAATGCCCAGTAATTTACTCACAATACAAGACCACGGCAACCATTCTTCGAGCTAGAAATAGTAACAGATGATTCAGTACCTAGATTCAGGCGCGGGGGGCCTGGCGCGCCGACGCTCCACTGCTAGCCAGCGCGTGCGAGTCGGACTAACTAGGTAGGCAGAGAGGAACGGGAAAAGCTCGTTCTTATTTAAGATGAATTTTCCTACTAATAATTGTTAGCTTCGATAAGCTCTCTTCAGCCCACTTCCAGCACAACGACGGAATAAAAAACTTTCCGTAGCAAAAGATTATTGTAACAAACGAGCCCTTTCTACCCCGCGGCAGGCGCTTACACTCAATTGGAGCTCTGTCTGATATCGGGATTATGGCGTGCCATGGCATGCTGTGTTGTTACATGACCACGGCTCTCCCAAGTACACTAGAAACAGAGAGAGAGGATCTACGTTTGTCATGGTTCAATTTACACTTGTTGGGCCACATGGCGCCAACGGACGCGACCCCCGCGTCATTTCGTTCTGTCTGCCTCGCAGATGGTTCCATTCACAGCCCACACAGACTAATTGGTCCATCCTAACCAGCGTACGATGCTATAGGGCGAATTTCACCATTAATACGCCCAATGTTTGCTGCACTAGTACGAGGCTGAATAGTATTCAAGCGCACAAGATTGAAGCGTCAACTGTCTACATCGTAGGACACGCCACGTCACCTGCCAACCTGCCTAGCCAACCTCCATGTTTTGTCTGCAACAGCCAAGCCGAATATCGACAGTATAACCAGGGTCCTGTATTGCCTCACCGCATCTACCAAAAATTGCTTTTAGATTCGCAGCTAGTGCTTCGGTAGTCCCTGTTGCAACCCACACAGTACGGCCCAGACCGAGTACGCGCTCCACCAAAAAGCGTCGAAGCTCCTCGCACGACTTGTGACATTGACACGATACTGTCAAATGCGAGAACACGTGCATTTCAGAGTTCCAAGAGGTTCTCAAGGTTGGGCCTGTGATATGTGTAGACGTGTATCCGAAGCCACACCCCGTCGAGGCACCTGCTACCCCGCCAGTTACAGCCAGACAAGGGTATTGAGTGGGCTGCATTGCCGTATCGTCCAGGGCCCCTGTCACGCAACTCCCTCCTCATGCTTCTTCGTGAGCTTGAAATACGGCCCACAAGGCTAGCCATCATCTTGGTCGAGAGCTGCGAATGGAAGCGGGCCTGCGTCGGCAAACTTATAGTAACGTGGCCAACATGGCCAACGTGTCCAACGTGTGTTAGTCGGCGTAGGCCAGCGTTGCAGCTCTGCATCACCGCGCCGACAAGCCTCGAGGATACTCGAGCAATCAGTTCAGTGTAACATTTGCATCTGAAGCTGCGTTGGCAATGCGGACTTCCCGTGACAACACTCTTCTGCCTCTCGCTGTACAGGGTGTCGCCGAAGTCATAGCCTGGGCCGCGATGCATACCGCCACACCCACCCGCCCCGTCCATAGCCCATGACCAGCTGCAAGCCCACGATACAGGAGAATGAGGGGTTGCGCGATAATCGATTCGCTTATTCGCAAGTGAGGGGTATTGTGCCATGTCGGTGTAACAGGCCCTTGTATATATAACCCCCCTCCTTCTGCTATCCCCCCGTCCAACAGCAGACAAACGTACTATTTTGCACAATCACCTCTATCCACAATGTCTTTCAATACCAGCAGCTCCAACATCCGCGTTGACGACGGCCACATTCTTCGTGCCACTCTTCGCAATGGCAACGGCGACGAGGTCGAGAGCGAGCTTGACCTGAACAGCTGCCTTGGCAACAACAACGGCCGCTTCGAATGGGGTGGCAGGGGTAACCATCATTCCATTTCCCATTACGAACCTGAATGAGCAAGCTAACATGCTCTCAACTCTCAGACTTCTCCGGCTCCGCCGAGAACATCACCTTCACTGTCGAGGGTGATGCTCAGGTCCCCATTCTCCGTGCCCGCCTTCAAGGATCCAACGATTCCTCCGACTCCGATGTAAACCTCGCCGAGCGCATTGGTAACGACAACGGTAGCCTTTCTTTTGGTAAGCCTTCTCAGAACAGGACCGCCTTCTCGAGAACGATTAGCTAAGACACATTTAGCTTGAGTCATCGATGTGTCTCTAGAGAGTGTATAATTGTTCATCTTGTCGCTTTTGTCGGAAAACAATTTCAGCTGAAGATAGCAGATACTCTTCAAATCACAGATAATAAGTCCGTTGAATCACCCTTTCTGCTGTCGTAAATAATAACTTTGTGGATTTGATCACTCATCAGAGAAAAGCGTCAATCCACGAGTTTACGTCGTTGCCATCTATGTCTTCCGGCCCCAACCAGTCGCTCACAAGGCCCTGGGTGTAGGTAACGGTTTCTGAATCGTTATTTAGAGGCTCGCTCAACCAAAAAGCTCGGGGTGCACCTTCAGAAAGCAATTCGCGGAGCTTATTGACCTGCGAAGTGAGCTCGGGTGATGGCCACAATTCTTGACAGCTTTCTAAAAGCCGCATCTGTCGGTTGAGATAGTCGGCAGCGCCAGAATTCAACCTCGCATCCGACGATGTCAGGGCAGCCTGGCATGTGGATTAGCGACTATCAGTAAACAATGAAGATGAGCCCAACACAGGGAGTACTGACTAAGTGCACGACGACACATAAGAGCATGCAATAAATGGTGAAATTTGCCCCTCGTTGCATGCATTGCACCCCGCGTAGGCCATATTGATTAATTATAGCCTCGTGGAGGCGACATAATTCCTTAACTGCCGCATGACAGATGAGCATGTGTCTCAGCCACTGCTCGTTGGCAGTATGCTTATCGTAGAGCGGCAATTGGACCCGGTTGAGCATGATTAGTCCAAGGCAGTAGAATGAGTGCAAATGCCCGACGAAAGCAGACCTAAGAATTAGCGAAGATCCGTCGTCTGCGTTTCCGACCGTCAAGTGGGGAGGAAGGCTGTTCAACCAGCTCTCAAGTACAGATTTGTGGCGAAGAAATTCAGCCTCGGTGGCAAGTTTCGGATCGACTTTTCCTACCAGGTAGGTAGAGTATAACTCTTTGATGTTGCGTACAAGAAGCGCTAGTTGCGTAAACTGGAATTCTTCCTTTGTTGCCGAATGGAAGCCGTCTTCATTCAAGCCCAATGAAAAATCCACCGTTCCAACAGGTACCGTGAGAGCTGAGTATGCTGAATGATGAGCATTGTTAGTAGCGTTCTGTCAAAGTGATACTGCTTCCATACCGTTTGGGTAGCTGATCATGACTTCAACCACGTAGATAGTCTGCCAAACTCGTCGCATGAGCCGGCACTTTGCGGCACCAGAATCGCAGACGCCTGGTGCTTGATGACTAGTGTGACGGCTCAATTGAAGACTGTGAGCTATTTGAATACACCTAGAAACTCCTAGCCACGAGTCGTAATAGTAGTTCTCCTTCTTCATGGACTCTTTAACTTTGAGAAGAATCAGGAGAGCCTGCAGAGTGGCGAGGTTGGGTGAGTGGAGAGACGGAGACAGTTGCCCTGGACTCGTCAGTGCTGCTAACTCGAGCGGTGAACAGTGCAGACACACCTCTTGCAAGACAAAACCACTTGAGAGCATTTTCGGGCGCATCATTGAGTGCTTCTGCAAGACTGAAAACGGCGCTGCGCGTCGGCATGGGGATTGATTCTCTGTCCAGATCCCATCGCTGTAAGAAGTCTTGCTTGTCGAGCACTGGAACAAAGTGATGGGCGTGCTCGAAGAAAAGATGGACCAGTGGCGTAAGTTCTCGGGAAGACCTGTGCTCCTCGGCTTTCTGGGCAAGTTCGAAGTCAATCAAGGCGCCCGTAACTGATGTGTGCAAATCAGAAGCCACTCCGGCACTGTCGAGCCCGTTTGTGTCGTCATTCTGAGCATCCGCGACATACGGGCCTTTGGGGCGAGCATTAGTGGAAATCTCAGGTCGCTTCTTGATAACTATCTTACGTACCGACCAGCACATCGTCAATTTCTAGAGATCCCAGCAGGCTGGACAGATCTTGCTGGCGGTAAAGGTCTCGAAGAGAATTGACTGGAGAGTCTTTGACGGAGGGTTGCCTGTAGCGTACAAGACTTGCAAGGCGGTCCCGAATCGTTTCATCACTCGCGTCTTCGTGATCATTGTAAGTATTTGTAGCGAAGCTTCTGTCGTCTTGCCGATCAGTTTCGGGCACCTTTGAAGGCAACTACCTACACTCGATGCCTGCCCTTCGCAATCCGACCAATAGCTGACGTCGCTTGGTGTGCCTAAAAAGCAGTATTAGATTGAAGAATGTAGCAGAGAATGTTGAAGGTTCTAGTCCTCACTGGCATCGTTCTCCCCGGTAATGGGCCTTGTACTACTCCGTTCTGCCCATCGATGGATCTTGGCCGGGGGAACAATCTTGCCGCGGACACGAAAGGTATACATGGATCTTGACCCTGAACCTTCTCGTCGTTGATAGTACTTCCGGGCAATGAAGTTCATCTCTTTAGTCTTGATATTCTTGTCGAGCCCCCAGTGCGAGATTCGACTTCTGTACTGTCGCAGACTGACTAGTTTAGCAGAGTTCGGACTGTGGTTGTGCGCATCACGTACGTGGCTTCAAATCCACGTTCTCTTTGCATGAGTGCCCTCACGTCTGGCAGCGACATGTTTCTCTTAACATGCAGCTCGACAATTCTCGTCTTCAGTGGCTCCCAGTCATGTTCTCGCAGTGTAGGTGCCTTCCGCCGCCGCTGCGTTTTCGCAGCCACAACGGGCTCCTTGGTCGGCATTGTTCGCAATCCGGGAGCATGAAAAGCCTGAGAGGTGGCATTTGAACTTTGGCCTCGAGAAGAGGCGGAAAGATTGCTGGGTCGTGATTGGAGGGAAGGCTCGAGATAGCAGCTCCGTGAGAGGCGGAAAGGCCTCTTGGTCGGATTATTAACAGGAACTTGGCGGGGCTTTCCCAATGCCAGCCCTATGCAGGGTGCAAGCCAATCTCCAGCTGCAGAATCAGAAGCGGTACGCAGTTTGAAGATCTTAAGACTTGTGCTACACCGAGTCAGTGATTGTAGGATGGGGATGGGAATGCCTCGTATGCAGGTCTTATTCATTAATTTCCGCAGGCGGCGTAAGTACCTCGGGTGAGCCTTCCACACCCTGCAAGGTACCTGCTAGGTACCCCCAGTAGCAAATGCGCTGTATCATCACGCCACTTCGCCTAGATGTCCCCTGATAGAGGAATTATAATAGCTTTGTCGACACATTCAGCTCAGCGAATACCTTCCAGGTACCTGAGGGAACCTCAGCGGTGCATGGAAACGGCTTACCAAGCCATTGTTACCAAGAAGTCGATCATCATTCTAATGTCATCATTCATTCAAATGTCATCCTTTCTAATGTCACCATTTCGCTATTTACATTTTATGTACTGTGCCGCGCAGAGCAGGCCCTAGGCTAGACTCACGGTCTACTGCTCGAAAGGCTCAACATCATACTCTACATCTGTCCGTATGATATACTTGGCGCCTTTTGTAACGCTGGTTCCTTCGTGAAGGAGTGCTCCTTTGGTTTCACCATGTGGAAATAGCGCGACGCCTCCCAGTACCGGCCGGACTGGATAAGCGTTCAGCGTCCCTTCGTGCGGCGACGGCAGGAAGAACATGGTTTCGCCGCCCTCGAATTCGTCATTTAGGTAGAGCAGGAACGTGAAGAGCGAGCTTTGCTTTTTGCCAGGTGGCGAGTCGTCATAAATATATTCGTCGTCGGCACTGATGCCTGACGGAGGCCACGCACCATCAATGTGGCTTCGGTACTCGGCACCAGGAACGTAGCGATACACCCGAAACCGGCGGTTGAGACCACGCGACGTCTTTCCGTCAATTATCCTAGGTATGAACGGAGACACGCGGGCCCACAGCTTGTCATGGAACTTCGTGTCGATGATCCAGTAAAAGTTGTGCGCCAGGATGGACGTGTCGCCGCGATCCCGTACGGGTTCGTCCGGCAAGAATTCGACCGCCTCACCAGCCGCAATGATTGCCTTGCATTCTTTGGGCGTGAGGACGTCTTTGATCAGGCTCAGGTTCGGCACATTAGGATGTGTATGATACGTTGTCGCGGGTTTGCTCTCGGACAGCGGTATCGTATCGGGTTTCGTCGTGTATAAAATCGCAGGGTGGTGATTCGGCGGCTTCCGGAGATGGCCAGGTACCGTTTCTAGGATACGCATGGAAGATGTGACGGCATCTTGATCTTTCGCAAATATGGATTTGTCGAGAACAGAAGCATAAATAGGATCGGGTGTACCGGATGCGCGCAGGTCCCACGACGGCTGGAATGAGATGTGTGAGGCCGGGTTCGCCGGTAGTGGTGCCTTCATATCGACTGCGCAGCTGACCCGCACCACAGCATCGAGGGTGGCAAGGAGCTCTTTGTCCTTGGCAGATCGCTCGGGGCTGTCGAGACTGACGCCGTTTGGTTGGGAAACAACGTCGAGATCGCGCACCCAGCGGCAGAGCGCACCGAGTTTGGGTTCTTCGTTGCGCAGCCGCATCTCCGCCAGAAGAATCCTCGCTTCCAGATATTTCTCGTCGGCGATGGCTGCGGTGACCCTGGCTGTAAGGTTGGCGCCCTCTGCAAGAATTGTAAGTACACGACAACGTCTGCCCCCGCGGGCGGTTACCTACCAGCTGAATTGACACCCGTGGTGCAAGACTGGCGGAAATCATAAACAGCGACGCGAAGATCTCGGCAAGGTTTTGACTTGGTCAGGTTGGGATACTTGGCCAGCGTCGTTAGAGTCTCGGTCGCAATCTCGAGCTCTTCCTCCGAAATGACCGTGTGTAGGCTTTTGGGCTCATACTCGTCCGGCGCAGGACTTGGCAGAGCGCCGTCGACCTTGGCCATCTTTTGGGCCTGCTGAGCCTTTGCATTTCTCTTGCGCTTCGAAGATTTGTTCTGCGCCATGATTGCTATTTGATTCTTGACGTTTGGAAATTAATTCCTTGCTGGGCGGGGTGAGATGTGCGCTGGAACAATTTCTTCAGGGTGTCGAGGTCAATAAGCGGGGCATCTTGGAGGGGGGGCCAACTCAGGTGCACTACATATATCGGATTCATGCCTTGAGAGTAATTAAAGCCAACTTTATAAACGTATTCTTGTCTGACAAAAAATACGAAAATACAAAATAGACTAGAGCATGCGAGTCTGGCGGATCAATCTGCAACTCAGCCGCGGTGCCACAACTGCACGTCAGACCATGTAATGCTGAGATCGCCGTTGCCGCTGTTAGTCGTGTACGCTCCAATCTTGTCGTAAAAGCTGCCCCCGGGCGCATTATTATCACGGAACATCTCTTTGCCATTGACGTAGACGCTGTACTGCTTCAGACCCGCATTGTGCACCGTATTGATGCGAACACTCGCGCCAACCTTGGCCACCCCGTCGGCAATCGTCTTGCCGCCCTCGGCACTGTACAGGCGACCGCCCTGCTCGACGGCCATGATGAAGTACGGGCCGGAATCGCCGTTGAACGTTTGTTTGATGGAGATGCGGGTGCCAGACATGGAGTTGATTTTAAACGTGCCGCCGAATTGGTGCGTGCCCGACGAATAATCGTTCTTGTACCGGCGCTCGGCGCGGAGATGACCGTTGGAGCAGCCGGAGCCGCTTCCGCTGCCATTGGGCGTCTTGGGGATGGAAAAGGTGTCGCCGCTGACTTTGCCGCCCTCGCACTGCTGTGTGCTGAAGCCGGGGCTGTCCTCGATCCAGTTGCCGCTTCCCACTGGGCTACCGGCGATGGCCAGTGTAGCAGCCGAGACGGCTAGTAGAAGACTCTTGAGAAGCATTGTGCTAGGCGCGAAATGGTGAGGTAGTAAAATAGTGCAAGGTTCGGAACAGGAGATGATTTGCTGAGTGAAAGAATTGCCAGTTTGAAGCTCTACTCGGTCGGCGCTGTGCACTTTGTATTTATACTTGGACTTGCTGTGGCAGCCGAGTCCTTTTATACGTCATTACACTTGCTGCAACCATCGATTGGTGGAAATATAATCGTAGACCGGAGTTCCGCAAGTGGTGCATGGAACTGGGGAGCCGTAAGCCGCCAGCAGAGACCTGGCAAATCAAAAGCCGATATTACTTCCTACGGATACAATCACACCTTCTTTATGGGCATCTGAGACAAAAAAGACTCCGTGCAACTTACGGGAGAGAAATTCTCCTCGCAGCGGAGATGGTATAGACCGTATAGACCCGGTCAATGAGCTGCCCAGTACACTAATAAGACGGGAGCCTTGCCGGGCAGGGGTTGCAAACTGCCGAGGCCGGTTAGTCTTTTTATATTTAGCATCATATGAGCCCGGCGCATCCTGAAAAGACGTCTCAGCTTGGTCTGTCTCAAGTATTCATCTTCTAAAGGTTCCGCCGAATTTTCCAGGGGCATAACCATACATAAAATGACTTATGAAGTAAGTAGTAATTCAACTTCTAAAAAGCTATGAATATTAAAATAATAACAGTGGTTCGAATACTGCACTGGATGTCTGTGCCAGATATGTCGAATTGACGAAGAGAGTGATATGTACAAAAGTTGAAACAAAAAGAAAGATGAACAAAAAAAACCTAGACCTTAGGGTAACAACTCATCATCAAATAAAGTACTAAAATTGAGGCGACAGGGACAGGCCGAAGCACTTCTCCGCCTTGGCACCTGTGATCGACTCGGCGACACTCCCACCCTCGAGCATCCTGATGCCTGCACTCAGCTCCTTTGCCAGGAAGACGCGCGGTACCGCGGCGCCGGCAAACTCGCACACGACGGGATAAAAGATTTGCTGGCTCGCATCGGCCGCCATGTAGAAAAAGGACCCGTCAGCCGCCGGGGCCGGCACCAGGATGGCGACGACGGCGTCGTTGGGCATCTTGTAGGCCGGGCTGGATCGCAGGCGCGAGACGCCGACGGCCTTCATGGCGCCCGCGTAGTAGTGCATGACGTTCAGGTTGCCGTCAAACGGAATGATGGCTTCCTTGGACGTGGGCCACATGCCGTTGCACGTCTTGCTGGTCTGGTTGCTGGCCGCGGCGACGTAAATGTTGCCGTCGTTGCACGAGGCCACCATGCTGGTGCCGGTGGTGGTGAGGAGAGGGGCCAAGTCGAAGCGGTGTCCGTCCTTGAAGACCTGAGGGGCGGTCTCGTCGACTCCAGCGCAAGAGCTGTTTGACTGTGGGTGGTTGCTCTCCACGGATGAGGGGGTGCTGGTGGGTGAGCTGGTGGGCGACGGCACTGGCGAGCTGCTCGAGGTGTCTGGCACGGCGCTCTGCGACTTGACTGGCAATTTAATTGCCGGGACAATTGCTGAGATGAGATTCAGCGCCGAGGTGTTTGGGGAGCTAATAGATGAGCTGGTGGGCAAGCTGGAGGGCAAGCCGGTGGTGGTTGATCTGATGACCGAGGTGATGGTTGAGTTTCTGAGCAAGCTGACGGTGGAGTTATCGGGCAAACTGCTGGCTGAGATGCTGGGCAAGCTCATAGTCGAGGTGATGAGTGAGGTGGTGGTCGAGCTGACGGTTGGGCTGCTGGGCAAGCTGATGGTCGAGCTGCTGAGCGAGTTGACGGTAGAGCTGAGGTTTAAGCTGCTGGGCAAGGTCGTGTTGGCGTGGTGAGGCTCAACCGCGACGCTGCTGTTCTGCACTACCTGCATAATAGCAGCCGCATTGGCTTTCGGCGCGGTACCCTTCTTGAGACTGAAACCGATAAATTAGCACAAATAACGGCACAACATCACAGATGCCACTTACTTCAAGCAACCCTTGACGATGGGCTGCAGTCCCGTATCGTGAAGCACTTGGGACGTGATGCCGACAATATCCAGAGACAGCTTGTTCCTCCAGCTCAGGCTAGTGCTGATGCCAGCGCACCCGTCAACCTCCTTGAACCCTCCCTGGAAGCCATTCACCTCGTCGTAGTGCGCCGAGCCCGCCACCTGCGCCACTGCACTAATCGTCGGCTCCTCCATGATGCCGAGCGCCGCCTCAAACGACGAGATCTTGAGGCCGACCTTGATGCCGATCGGCAGGGCCGCGCTCGCTGCCAGCATGATCTCGCCCTCGGCCTCCAAGACGGGCTTAAAGTACGGGGTCCAGCCGGCCGAGGTGCTCCGGCTCGGCTCAAACAGGTACAGCACAGCCTCGGCCTGCGTTAGGCCCATCTCGCCGCCGACCAGGAGCCGGCCCTTGGCGGCGGCCTCGAGTCCGACCCTGGCCGCGACGGAAATGTACGGGCCGACGGTCACGATGCCGTACGACAGCCCGGGCAGGCCAAACGAGAACAGGTCCTGCTGGATGTTCTTGGAGTAGCGGATCGAGGCGTCGACGCCGACCTTGAGCACCATCTTCATGTTGGTGCGCAGCGCCACCTCGCCGTCAAAGATGCCCTTGAGGGGCGTGATCTTGGCCTTGCCCGAGAAGACGGCCTGGCCCGACACGCCGCAGTCGACGCAGTAGATGTGCACGTGCTCCGCAAAGTCGCCCGTGTCGGACACGGACTCGTGCTTGAACAGGGCAATCGAGTTGGCGCTCCAGGGCGACACCTCGCGCGGGATGTCGGGGCCCGGAAGGTCCCAGGAGACGGGCTCATTGAAGTCGCCCTGGATGGAGAGCGCGTCGGCAACGGTGTTGTAGGCCGTCTTGATGGCGTCGACGAAACCGTGCCAGAGGTTGGACCAGAACCCGCGGGCTTGTAGAACCCGTCGGCGACGGAGCGCCGGCGAGGCGGGCTCGACGCACTTGCTGGTCGTGGAGTTTTGCCCAGCCTCCATGGCCTCGCCATCGGCAATGATGCGGTTGAGGAAAGCCTCGGGGCCGGGGCGGAGCTGGTGGTATCCAGATGCGTCATCGAGCGCACTGTCAAAGGACGGGCCGAACGAGGCCACGGCCAATCCATGGCTATCGTGTGATGCGCCAGAAGGTGCCCTACATACCCTTGTTAGCACTAGCCCAGTCAAACGCACAAGGTTTGATACAGCGACTTACTTTCCAGAGGAGTTGGTATGTAAATTGAAAGAGTTGCCACCAGGGCTGGTTGAGTTGCCTCCGGGTGTGTTGTGCGGTGTCCACAGACCCCATTCGGTTTCGGCCGAGTCCATCATATTTTCAGGATGCTCCGTCGCACCGGTCGCGACAACAACGCGGGCCTCCTTGTCTACTGTCCAGCTGGTCGCGCGGAAGTAGCAGCGGTCCTCTGCCGAAGGGCCGGTACACCCGTCCGCAGTGGCGATGAGCAGCAGATCTGCATCCGCTTCCCAGCTCTCCGTGGCGCGCTCAAACGCATCAAGCGTCTTGAATTGGACCACCATGTTGCTGTCCTCGGTGTACTTGACTTGGACATGGCTTGAGTGGTCCAGGTTGACAGAAGGCAACGTGAAGCGATAGGTCAAAAAGGCAAAGTAGCCTTGCTTGGTGGGATCTGCTTGCCGAGTCAGAAATCGAGTTCACTCTTCAAGTACATGTTACTCACCGGACACGCCGTAGTACATGGGGGAGTCCTCTTTGGGAGCAACAGGCTCGACGTTCTTCAAGGCGCTGGTGTCCCAGGTCCAGTGTACGCTTGGGGCCAGAGTTTGACTGGGCGCAGAAGACTCGTGGCCTTTCTGGCCAGTGGATTCTTGTTCAACGTGCTGATCAGGTTGTTGGTTATTTCCATTGTTTTGTGCAGAGTGCTGCTCAGTTGGCTGTTCCACGGGCACTTCCACCGCCACCCAGCCGCAAACTCCTCCTGGTACAATGGCAGGGCTGGATTGGGTCTGCGTTGTCCGAGCTTCAACTTGCGCGACCTCGACACTGCGTCGTGATGATTGCCATTTGGACAAGGAAAGGGAAGGAAAGGCAGTGGCAAGGGCCGCTGCCCAAAGGAACGTAAAGATGGTGTTAAGGAGCATCGCTACTCCAAGTAGATGAATAAGAATTGTAAATGAGCGTGTAAGAGGGTTTGAGAGCCTGGGAAGATCAAAAGCACCCGTGGCGCATCACTCTCCTTTATCCCATTGCTACGGTCCCATCGCTACGATACAAGTCCATCATTGGGCTATACTCGCTCACATATAAGGGTTTCCTTCCTTTTGATGCGGGTGATGTCCAATATCACCGGATTTAATACCATGCCTATAACAATTATAACATAGTAATGGCGGTTCTCATTTCATCAACTCCACTGGGCGTCGACGGTGGCGTACCAAACAGCCTACTTGAATAAGATGGCCGACGTTGACTGGGCAGAGAGACCCTGGTAAGCCCTAGTCGTTCGCGGGGCCGAGCTATGGGCTTGGGATTGGTGCTGTTATATGACCCAATCGAGTTCCGATGTGATGTGTTGCTTTTTCGCCGGAAAGGGCCCCTTTGGGGAGGAGAACCGCCCCGTCCAATGGCGGGGGACAGACCCAAGTTCAATGTCATCGGCGAATGAAAGAGTGCCAGGGGCATCGGCCTATCACGCCACAAAGGTCATGAGCGATGCACAGACCTTTGGTGACCCTTTTTCCCACACCGCATACCGATGTTGCGGAGGAGCCTCGTACGGCCCTGAAGATTCTCGCCAGCCGCATCTCACCGAGCCATCCGCATCCGGTTCATCTGAAGACTGAAGGCAACTGCCGCTCAAACGAGTCACGAGGCTGTGTGCAGATTCGCAAGACAATATCGCAGTCGGCTATCGCTCGGCGCTCGCATGCAAGGTACGACGTTTCAAGAATAGCATACCAGTCCGAGGTCAGATGACGAGTTTCGAAAACGTAAAAACTGTGACCAGGCCATCGGAGGCTGTCAATCATTGCTGCTCCTCAGCGCCGATGACAGCCCGGTACTCGACCGACTTCCGCAGAGTCTCTTCTCTTTCGTGGTGGACATGATGGGCGCAGCATTCAATCCGCTCATGCCCATTGCCTCATGACAGTACGTTGCGACGTCAGTTTATCCTCTCATACCGTATCCGATTGCGGAGTTGCCATAGTGGCCGTATAGGCGCAGCGGCAATGTTGTCTGCTCTGGTCTTGGTGACGGACGCTACGAGGAGCGTCGATTGACGCTGTATCATCATCTGGATCATCTGGAGATGGGGTTTGAATCGCAGGATATCTATGCTTCCATATTTCCAGCCTCTTCTTCATAAAGTCTTCATAAAAGCGCCATATCCGGCCAGGACGTCCTCTACGCAGGCAATACGCCAGAGATTGCCGACCCGCCTCGAAAAGATGTCGCATTGGAGCAGCCACGATACTTGTGTCTCCTCAGTGAAGTTCCCGGAGAGCATAATCCCTTGAATGGATCATGTGAGCTAGTATGATGGAGGAAAGCAATTCGCTAGTCAATAGTCAAAGGAATATGCCAGCGCAGACCCGCCACTAGCCTCTTTCAAGGGCACAAGGCCACTTCCGCATCCAGTCTTGAAAAGGTGGTCAACGTCAAAAGTCGCCGGAGTCGTTTGCCAGTCCAGTTTTCCGTACATGGCAGCAACATAAGGAGCATCCATATTCATATCGCACAGGTTGCAGTTGACCAGGATCCGCGGGTTTAGGCTGCCAAATATGACCGGCCCGCAGCGCGTCGTAGAAGCACATATAACAGGCCGGGCATATATCAGACTCCGCGGCGGCCGGCATCACAGAATACCAAATCTCGGATTTGCGTGCTCTCTTCCGATACGTCGGGCTGCCAAAGACAGCCTGTTCAAGCTCGACCTCATCCAGAACCACACGTAGAAGCATTTGATGTCAACCATGCACGTCACAGTCGCGTTTGGCGGTAAGCTCCAGAGGGTGTGGCTGGACGTTGGTCGGAGGCGATGACACCATGCGCACGGCATCATAATAGCACGGTATGTCAGTCAAAATCCCAAACTCCGGGGCGCGCAGGATGTGCCAGCCAACGCGACGCGCTCTCCGCCTGGGCGACGGCCGCGCATCGCAAAAGCCTTTCTGTGAAAGAGGAGCCCGCTGGCGACCTGGGGCCCAGTTCCCCATCGCCCGTCGTCGTCGTCCCACCGAGGAGATTCTGGCTCAACTCCCAGGCCACGTCGCACTCGACAAACTTTGGTCTGCCGGTTGCCGTGAGGGGGGCTGGCTCGGACAATGACAACGCCAGGACGTAATGATTCTCGTGGCAGCGCGTGGCAGGCGTCAAACTGGCCCGTATGTAGCGCGAATTCTGCGCCGTAGGTCTGAAAGACATCGAAATCGGGTTCCTCGGTCCCGCGGCGGAGAAGCGCCCCGAGTGCGAGGCAAACGGCCAAAGTCGCAGTAGCGGCAAGCGCCGGAGGTCGTCACTCTCATGGTCTAATAAAGCTGGCTGTAAAGGGCACCGGAACCGGAGCTAACAACTCGTTGGGAACAGCGGGAACAAGGGCCAGGGTTGGCTGCCAAGAGCAAGGAACCAGTTTTGTTCCCACGTCGGTCGCCGATCAGCACGGGCATCTTCCCATCAGATAACAGCATCCATCGTCTTTTCGCATCTGCAACGACGACAAGAGTCTATTGGATTGAAAGACTCTATCCTGGGGGCACAAAGATCTGGAATGGAGGGGGTCGCTGTTTGGTTGCAAGTTGGATGTTTTGATGTCATCTCGCTTCGGAGTGACTATGTCCAGAAAATGCCTGCAGTAAATTGGGGGCCAATCAGGGCCCTACCCTACACGCGTTGGGTGTAGCACTCGCAACAGAACTCGCAACAGCACTCTTGTGGTTTTGTTGGTGTGTTGATCCTCTGGTATCCCGCGTCGTGTCTTCGATTCGACTGAAGGCTAGCGATATTGTGAGGTCGATTCTAGGTGCGGTGCCATTGTAAAATACTTTGGCTCGTCGTCGAATTCACTAGAGCCGCACGACTGGCAAAACATGAGGCTTGAATTTGTTCAGGCAGATTGTGACCGACTCAGAATAACGTGTAGAGTCATTTCCTTCCACTTCACCAAAAGAGTGCCAAAACTTGCGTGTCATAAGTACCGGTACAGGGTAGACATCACGGGACATTTTCGCTGGCAGGCATTTCCCTTGATAGAAACCCTTCTTTCAGCGGGGCAAAGGAATTCGTAAGACACTTGCGATATTAATGTAGAGGTAGATACAGCGGGAGAGTGTATGATTGGCCAGTATGCCGAATTTTGAGCGTGTTTATGCGTATCATGTATCGCTGTGTGAACGCCCATGGAAGCGAATACATGTTAACGGACCTGAACACCAAACCCGGACCGTTCTTGGACCTCTGGCAAGCTGAGGAAAAAAATAAAATACAACGACTCATGCGGGAATTTATCATGGCGAGGAACATGTATAAATTTGGTAGCTATCTCAATGATCTAGAGTTGTCATTTTCGGTGGTTCAGGATAACGACAACCGTCTCTCATGCCTGCTTCTTGTTCATACTGCTCACCCACCCCGTGATTTGCGCTCTAAGAATACCATCACTTATAGCAGAGATACTGTCGATCAAAGTTTGGACACTTTGTGGGCGCTGTGATGGGTCCTGAGAGAGGTTAGTCCTCCAGCACCAAACTCGGTCACGAACACTTACATGATGCGGAATCTCGTGCCGTCTTAGACGCACTTGCAGCTTGCCGTACAGCGTCCAGCATTCTCACACGACGAGGCAGCACCGGGGGCGACGCAAATGGCAATGGTCAGAAGAGGGTCCCAGTTGGGAGAGTCTCCGGCACACTCGGGGCCGATGGTGAGGCTTGCGCAGTCCTTGGTTGTCACCGCGCCGGTGCACTCCAGCTTCTTCTCCTGGGCAGCAGCGGCACCAAGGAAGCTCAAAGCAGCGAAAAGGGCGAAAGACTTCATGATGAATGTTGTTGGAGGTATTCGGGCAGAATATGAGTTTTTGATAGAGAGGATGGAGGAATTGTGTGTGATGGGTTGTTGAGACCTGCCATGCCAGGCGCAGGGCTGGTGGGCTTATATACTTTTTCTTCAAGAGAGTTGTTGTAGTGAGATTGATAATGCAGATTTTATCGAATGACACAAACTTGGCGACCCAGTGACGAGAACCTCGTCGTATCGCGGCAGTTGATACCTTCCATCAGGATACCGGCAATTGAGGCAAAACACGCAATTGTCATCAAGCCAAGCTCGCCGAGCTCGTAGCGGCTGTGCAGATCTCGTATAAGCTACGAGTCAGTAGAATAACAGGTGAGCAAGTTGCAAATAAAGTGAAAAAATCGACTCGTCTTCCTTGGACTTTTGTCTTTCTCCTGGCTCGGCCATGCCTTTCATCAATCGCTCTCACTCTGTTTGCTGATTCACATTGGTCAGTGGGCCTGGGAGATTTCGTAGAGGGCGCAAGTGCACTTAGATGACAATAAGCGTAGATTATCCTTGCCCATGGGGAAAGAAAATGTACCCATTTCATCCGTGAGTACTACGTAACTCGGGTCCGCGTTCTTTTGCGTCTTCAATATCATGATGCGGCGTGTTTTCTGGGGCAGGTAGCCAGTGCTACCAGGGCTTGGTCCTTAGAAGTTCAGGTAGTAAGCATCCAACAGCAACGGCGCCGCTATACTTGTCCGCGAGTCATATTTTTTTTGTTTCTTGTCCAATCGAATCATATGTTCTTGTCAAGTTGCAGACACTGCTTTACTATATATGTGAGAGCTGATCAATTGAGGCCGAACAATTGAGCAATCTAATTGGTGGAGTTAAGCATGTGTCTTCGGCTTACGGCTGGCGGGCGACCGCCCGCCCAGTAGCGCCGTTTTGTATGACAACAGTCATTCCGTTTGTCGGCTCGGTTTTCATCCAAACCTCTAAAAACAGCTTATCATATCTTTTGAAAGCGATCCGAATCTTCCAATCACGAGGATCTCTTCCTTCGCTGCGCTGCGAGAATGGCAGAGCCGGCAAAGCGACGCAGGCGACCCGCCGTGTAAGTCCCATCCGCCAAGATGCCACAAAAAACGTCCATCTAACCCCGGTCCAGGGCCTGCGTGCTTTGTCGCAAGCGAAAAATCAAGTGCAACAGGAATTTTCCATGCAACAACTGCATCCGCTCAAGAACAGGCGACTGCGTGTACGAGAGCCGGCCCGTCGACGCGCCTGAACCGGCACATGCTACGCCCGCGACGGCAACCTTGACCACCGGATCATGGAAGCCCATCCTCCCTAGCCCTCGTCATGGCCAGGTTGGCACAGCCAGACCAAGTTCTGGATCCCTCCATGCAAGTCCCACATCCACACAGTCGCCGACCGACGCCGGCCATTCTCATGAAGATGAAGCAACGCGTCTCCGGCTTCGGATCCGAGAGCTCGAGGACCAGCTATCGAGGGTGAGCATGGAGGGTAGCAGCGCTAGCCCCCTCACGACGGTGAGTTCGTCGATTGAGACGAGCAGTTCGCAGCTGGGCGGCGTGTTTCACGTGCAGTGCGAAACGCCCATGGGCAACGAAGGGCCGGTCATTGCGCGCAGCATGATGCACAAGACGCGGTTGTTTGGTCAGACTCATTGGTGCGTGACTGGGGTTCTTTTGGTGAGCATACACATGCAACCGTGTCTCGCTCTCCCAGCATAATTGTGCCGGGGCTGAACTTCGACAGATACGCGACATTTTCGAAACGATAGACGAGCAGCTCCAAGAACGAGGCGCCGGGGCCTGGGCCGGCATCGCGCGGTGCAAGGTGCTCGCTCGCTTCATCAAGGCCAGGCGATGCCCGCCGTGGCCCGTTGTCCGCACCTCGCCGCTGCCGGAAAAAGCGCTCGCCGACAAATTAGTCGAAAACTACCTCGTCAACACCGAATCCATCTACCGCGTCCTGCACATCCCCACCTTTCGAGAGCAGTACGCTGCTCTCTGGACATCCGGCGCGGCGGCGGCGGCGGCGGACCCGGTCTTTGCCGTGCAAACCAAGCTCGTGCTGGCCCTCGGCGCCGTCACGAACGACTCGACCTTTTCCCTGCGGCCGCGGGCGCTGCAGTGGGTGTACGAGGCGCAGACGTGGCTCGCCGAGCCCAAGTTCAAGTCGCGCCTCGACGTGCCGACGATGCAGGCCAGCATCCTGCTGCTCTTCGCGCAGGAGCGCTTCGGCGTCACGGCCGACGCCATGTGGACGGGCGTCGGCGCGCTGGTGCGCCGCGCCATGTTCATGGGCCTGCACCGGGACCCGGCGCGCCTGCCGGACCGCACCGTGCTCGCGTGCGAGATGCACCGCCGTCTGTGGAACACCCTCTGCGAGCTGAGCCTGCAGTCGAGCCTCGGCTCCGGCGGGCCCGTGTTCCTCTCCCTGAGCGACTTTGACACGCGGCCGCCGGGCAACTTTGACGACGCCCAGCTCCTGGACCCCGCACCGGTGCCGCGCCCGCCGCACGAGTGCACGCAGATGACCGTGGCGCTCGCGCTGCGGGAGACGTTCTCGCAGCGCCTCGACGCGCTGCGCTTCCTCAACGACGTCTCGTCCGGCGGCTCCTACGAGGAGACGCTCCGCCTGGACGCCGCGCTGCGCGCCAGCTACAAGGCGCTCGGCCGCCGCCTGCAGGCGTGCCGCGGACGTGGCGCCAAACCGGTGCTGACGAGTGTCGAGCTGCGCATCCTCGACATCATCCTGTACCGCTACCTCACCGCCCTGCACGTGCCCTACTTTGTCGCGGCCATGCAGGAGGCCAGGTACGCCTACTCGCGCGTCGTGACCGTCGACTGCTCCCTCAAAGTATGGGCCTCCCTGGCCGGCACCACCGCCGCCGCGCCGCTGCAGGCGGCTCAGTCACCGCCGTTTGAGGCGGAAGATGGCCTGCGGCGGCAGGTGACGCGCGGCATGAGCTTCTTCATGGTTGCCGCGATGCATTCCGCGCTGCTCATTGTCATGGAGCTGCGCGCGCAGCTCAAAGAAAGCGACGGGCTGGGGCCCAAGATGCTCCGGCCGGACCTGGTGGCCGTGCTCGAGCAGTCGCAGGCGTGGTCCCTCGAGGTCATCGCGGCCGGGCACACCAACATCAAGGGGTACTTGCTGCTGCGGATTATCGCGGTGCACATTGACGGCCTGTCGCGGAACCTGTCGCAGGAATTGCAGGTCGAGAATCTACTAGCGGCGGCGACAGAGGTGTCGGAAACGTGCGGCAGGCTGCTGACGGACATGGCGGAGAAGCTCGCAGGGGGAGGGCAGCACGATAGGGTGATGGAGCCGGCCGTTGCGCCGATGCCGACACCGCCGGGGACGAGCGGGGAGTGGGCATTTACGGTAAGTCCGTCCCTTGGCGCGCACATTCAGTGCACTGATACCAATGAAATTAAAAGAAATATTCTGACTGAGAATACAGGGCTTGGATGATTTACTGGCCTCGACAGAGGCAAAGACGGAAGGCTGGCCGGCGAATTACGGCTACTCAATGGACGAGTTTGAATGGACCATGTTTGACTGCTGATTCGCCGTCTTGTCTGAGCGCAAAAAAAGGTCCCACGCCACTTACTACTACTTGATTTATAATATTGTACTACAAAGAGAGAGGGGTTCATTGCATTATCCCGTCCGCGGCGCACGTCTTATGTATTTGTCCGAGGAGGCGGACGCTGTCCAACGCACTCTCATGCGGGGCACCCTTGCGTCAAAATATATCTTCCGAGGTCCTGCAAGGTAATCCTAGATTTCTAATCTTCATCTCTTTCTTATACAAGAAACTATATTTCCATCCCGTCACCTGTAACATTCACCATGGCTACCGTCAACATTTTGTACCCCTCCGGTCCCGCCTTTGACCTCGACTACTTTCTGAACAAGCACTTTAAAATCGTCGAAGAGTAAGCTTTCCGCCCCAAACGACGCCACTCCTGGTCGCCGGGCTAGCTAACCAAGAACACCTTTCGCGCCAGGAACTGGAAGCCGTTTGGCCTGCAGAGCTGGGAGGTCATTGAGCTGGCGCCCGGCCAAAAGTACCAGATCCAGGCGATTCTGAAGTGGGACAGCCTCGAGTCTCTGGAAAAGGCAAAGGGGGGTGAGGCCGGCGCCAAGGTCTTTGGCGACATTGTGCAGTATACCGCGGCGAAGCCGGATGTGGTGGTGGGCAACAGACGCGCTGGACAGAGTCTGCTCTGAGGTTTCCGGGTCCGACTATCTAGCGGATCAGTGCTGTTGAGCTTTGGCTTCATAAATCAATATACAGGGCCGTTCAAGGCTGTCGATGCACTGCGCTCACCATGGACATAAGCATGTACAACATATTACCAGGCCAAAAAGATCGCCGACTGGCCGCGGATCAGGAACCCGTCCTCAACCATCAGAGCCTAGCTCGTGGTCTAGCGCATTCTTCCTTTGGAGCTATCATCAACTTGCAAGTCCAGCGCCAGTTCCCAGTCCAAGCAACGAACTAGTAGCGCCTTGTCCTTGACATAAAGTGGATGAACTGACGCTATAACATCTACGCACCCTGCCCGTCTGAGACATGCCCAGAGGAACAATCTATCTCGGCACCTGCGATCCACAGCCATGGCGATATTGATCAAGGACCCCGGCGAAAAGTCGCTCGACACGCTCCTCGCCACCCTCACCACCGTCCTCCACCCCGACACCTTTGTCTTTGCCACCGTGGACCAGGCCGGCGGCGCGCGCCTCCCCCTCCCCGCGCTCGCCGACCTGCAGCTCCTCTTCCGCGAGCAGGAAGCCGTCACCGTCGTCGTCACGCAGCGCTACGCCGAGGCCCACCAGATGGCCTACCTCTTCCCCAGCCGCATGATTACGCTCAACGTCACGTCGAGCCTCGACGCCGTCGGCTTCATGGCCGTCATCGCGACGCGGCTGGCCAGCAGCTGCGGCATGGGCGTCAACCCCGTCAGCGGCTTCTACCACGATCACCTGTTTGTGCCGGTGGGACGCGAGGCGGACGCGGTGGCCGAGTTGCAGAGGCTGGCAGAGGAAAAGAGGCGCGAGTTGGCGGCGTAGGAGGGGGCCTGGTGCAGAAAGGGGATACGGCGTTTGGAAGCAACACATGGAGGATAAACGGGCTTGCATTGGAAGGATCAAGAATTGATAATCCCAAAAACTGTACGGATAAATTATTATCGTCTCATCTTTCACAGAGGCCAGGATGACAGGGTGTCGGGCCATCGTCTTCCGTGCCACAATAACTAATAAAGCCCCGCACGAGCTCCCGGCTCCCGCTACGTTTCTGCCACCTGTTCGATTTCCTAGCTGGGGCGAACTGGACAGCTCGACAACACTTCCTTCCTACATTGCATCCGCGACGGGAATGTGATCCTGACCTGCCACGCACATCCTGCACTCGCAGCTTCCCACAGCTAGTTACAACAGACTACAACAACCACGCGACACCCACTACAGAGAGACAAGCATCCCCTTCCAACCCGCCCAGTATGCACCAGCACACCATCACCTCTGCCCTCACCGTGCTGCTGGCCACGGCGCCGACGGCCTGGGCCGGCATGTACACCAAGAAATCGCCCGTTTTGCAGGTCGACGCCAAGTCCTTTGACCGACTTATTAACCGTTCTAACTACACTTCTGTAAGCAAGCAAACATGCGAACCCCCCCCGGCGGCCTCGCACATCCACCCACTAACACCCTGGCTTAAAGATTGTCGAATTCTACGCGCCCTGGTGCGGCCACTGCCAGAACCTCAAGCCGGCCTACGAAAAAGCCGCCACCAACCTCGAGGGCCTCGCCAAGGTCGCCGCCGTTGACTGCGACGAATCCGCTAACAAGCAGCTCTGCGCGTCCATGGGCATCAAGGGCTTCCCCACGCTCAAGATTGTGCGGCCCGGCAAGAAGGCCGGCGGCCGCCCGGTGGTGGAGGACTACAACGGCGGACGCACCGCCGGTGCCATTGTCGAGGCCGTCGCCGCCCAGATCAACAATCACGTGGCGCGTGTCACAGACAAGGATCTCGAGGGCGTACTCGCCAAGGACGGCCCCAAGGCACTCCTCTTTACCGACAAGGGCACTACGAGCGCGCTCCTGCGCAGCATCGCCATTGACTACCTCGGCGTCATTCACGTGGCGCAGATTCGCAACAAGGAGGCGGCGGCCGTGGCACGGTTTGGCATTGAAAAGTTTCCTACGCTAGTCTTGGTGCCGGGCGACGGTCAGGAACCCGTGGTGTACCAGGGAGAGATGAAAAAGGCCGACATGGTCAAGTTCCTCAGCCAGGTGGGCGAACCCAACCCGGACCCTGCTCCGGTCAAGGCCAAGGGTGACAAGAGCAAGGCTGAGAAACCAAAGACCGAGAAATCAAAGGCCGAAACGGCGGAAAAGCCCAAGAAACAGGCTGAGGAAAAGCCAGAGGCTGCCGAGGACAAGACCGAGACCAGCGACGAGCCATCTCCCCCTCCCACTGCTACTCCTGAAATTATTGCTATCCCTATCGCCTCTAGCAGGCAAGACGTCGCCGAAAAGTGCCTCCAGCCCAAATCCCACACCTGTATCCTGGCCCTCGTCCCCGACTCCGAGACCGACGACAGCAAAAAGGTCGTCGAATCGCTCTCTCGTCTCAACACAAAGTACATCCAAGCCGAGCGCAAACTGTTTCCTTTCATTGCCGTTCCTGATGGCGTCGAGGGGCTGTCCGTGATCCGGAACAAGCTCGAGACCACAAACCCGGTCGAGCTCGTGGCCATCAACGCCCGTCGCAACTGGTGGCGCAAATACGAGGGCGAGTTTGGGGCCGCCAGCGTCGAGGCGTGGGTCGACGTCATCCGGATGGGCGAGGGGACCAAAATGAAGCTTCCAAAGGGTATCGTGGAGGTCGCCGAGGAACCCAAGAAGCAGGAGACGCCCGAGACGCCAGAGGTAACAGAGGAGCCCGAGGTATCGGAGAAGCCGGAGGCGCCAGAGGTATCGGAGGAGCCCGTTGAGGAGAAATCCGAGACCGAGAAAGAGCCTGAGGCTAAGGAGGCCACCGAGGAGCACGATGAGTTGTAAATGTATACTAGCGAGACAGAAACAATCAGACGTGAGGCCCGTCCCGGCCCGCGCTAATTGTTTCGATAGGCGTCGTATCCCATTCCAGTCATGACTTTCCAGTTTTAATAAAAAAAATTACTCGTCCAGATCCATCACCATTGTATCGCTCTTTTGTATCGCTCCCTCGCGCATCATCTTGGCGCCCTTTGTCTTGACCACGCTGTCGAGAAACTTCTTGACCTGCTTGCAGCCGTCGACGCCGACGACGAGCATGCCCTCGAAGCGGCTGACCTGGATGCGGCTCTCGCACGCCAAGACGGCGACGCGATCGCTGCCGCCCAGCGTGGCGACGGTGAGGTACGGCAGCTCCTGCTCCTCCTGCGTGTTGAGGTCGAGCAGCGGGTCGGCGGCGTCGTCGCCGGCGGCAAACGACGACGTGGACCCGGCCGTGCAGGCGGCGATGTAGTCGGTCATGGGGATGCCGGCGTCGACGAGGGCGAGCGTCGTGGCGTTGAGCAGCGCCGCAAGCAGCGAGCCGTCCTGGGACAGCACGTGCAGGGATATGGCGATGCTCGAGTGGGGGAAGATGTGCGTGTGCAGGTTGGAGGAAAAGGCCTTGGCAATGGTGATTTCCATTTCTTGTATGCGTCTGCCCCATGAGAAGAGAGGTTAGCCATCGGATATAACCAAGTTTTTTTTTTTTTTTTTCTGGCGCGGGGGGTTCTCACTTGTCGTTGCGGCCGCGCTTCTTGCGATCAACGCTGGAGAAGCCGGCAATGATGATGTTGACGTGCACCGTCGCGCCGTCGCGGGTCGCATTGGCCTGACCGCCTCTCCGCTGGGCCTGCTGCTGCTGCTGCTGCTCGGACGGACCCGACACGACGCACATGACCTTTGTGTGGCCGATTTCGAGGTACGACGAGCCGTCGGCGGCATCCTGGGTGCGGATGAGGGCGTGCAGCCGGCGGAGCTCGTTCCAGCGTCGTCCGTCCACGCGCAGAAGCGCCAGCGAGTATGTTGACGTGTCCAACGGCATGGTTGTGTGTGGTGGCAAGCTGCTCTTTTTTTCTTTGGTCGTTGGTGTGAAATGAAGCTTGGCGGCGCCCGTTTTGTTGTCGTTGAAGCTTCTTGGGTCTGGCAGGTTTTTTTTTTTCTTCCTCCTTCTGGCTTGTTGTGGCGCAGACAAGTTCACCGAGTGGGGGAAAGAGGGCGGTGACGTTGTGGCCGGGCCCCGAGCTCCGTTGTGGCTGGTGGCCCCCCCGGCTGCAGGATGTACACCGGTTGGCCCCCAACTTCAACCAAGTCGAGTGAATTTGCCTAACGCGCTGTGCTGATCCTGGACCAGAATGGCATCATTCAAGAATCAATTACATCTCAATTGATACGGAGCCGCAGAAGAGGGCTTAACTTTTGCACCGCCCGTTCTTCCGACGCTGCCGCTATCGAGGCATTGGTTTCGGGGTTAAGTCGTTTGCCACAGACAGATTCACACATCGGCTTTGACAACCCCGTAGAAGTGGCGCATCTCCGAAGGCACGCTGCATTACAAACCAAGCGCAACAAACTTTACCTTTGCTCCCACTTCTTCGCGCTTTTCCCACTTTTTGCCTCTAGCTATGCTTGACTGGTCCCTCATGTCCCGAAAGCGTTATGTTGATGTCATTGGCGAGACAGCTTCCCCCGCTAGCACCAAGATCGGCCGGGCAGGCAACACCCAGTAACTTGCCAATAGTTTCATGCTCGCACTCTTAAGCTTTCTATATAAACTTGGTACTGTCCCATCCATTTAGACACCCCTTGCCCTGACCGTTTTACGCAGCTTCCCCCATTCTCTCTCTCTCCTTCAACTACCCATTTCACCTCGTAACAATCAACCCCCCCCCCCTCTCCAATCATGGCCTCTCTTCCTTCTTCCTTCAAGGCTGTCGTCATCGAAAACGCCAACGGGCCGTTCAAGATTGCGGAGAGGCCCCTCAAGGCCCCCGCGGCAGGCGAGGTGCTCGTCAAGGTGCTGGCTTGTGGTGTGTGCTTTAGTGACGTCGCCATTGCCAGCGGCGAGATGGGCAGCGTCTTCCCGCGCGTCCCCGGGCACGAGATTGTGGGCGACATTGTGCAGGTCGGCGACGGCATCAAGCACCTGACCGTCGGCCAGCGCGTCGGCGGCCCGTGGCACGGCGGCCACGACGGCACCTGCCGCGCCTGCCAGCGCGCGCAGTTCCAGATGTGCGACAACGAGCTCGTCAACGGCTACTCCAAGGACGGCGGCTTCGCCGAGTACGTGCTGCTGCGCGCCGAGGCCACGGTCCGCGTGCCGGCCGACATGGACCCCGCCGAGGTCGCGCCCCTGCTGTGCGCCGGCGTCACCGTCTTCAACGGCATCCGCAAGCTGCGCGTCGAGCAGGGCGCCCTCGTCGCCGTCCAGGGGCTCGGCGGCCTCGGCCACCTCGCCGTCCAGTACGCCGCCAAGATGGGCTACGAGGTCGCCGTCCTGTCCTCGGGCGACGACAAGGCCGACTTTGCCAAGCAGCTCGGCGCGCACCACTACATCAACGCCAAGACCCAGGACGCGACCGAGGAGCTGAAGAAGCTGGGAGGCGCTTCCATCATTGTGCAGACAGCGCCCAACCCCAAGATTGTCGGTCCTCTCGTCGCCGCGCTTGCCCCCGAAGGCAAGCTGCTCAGTCTCGCCCCCGTCGGCGCCGTCGAATTTGACACTGTTCCCTTGGTCCTCAAGGGTGCCAGCGTCCAGGGCTGGCCCAGCGGTCACGCCCTTGACTGCGAGGAGGCTATTCGCTTTGCCAGCACCCACGGCGTCAAGTGCATGATTGAGAAGTACCCCTTCGCTGATGTGCAAAAGGCCGTCGACAGCCTGATCGCCGGCAAGCCTCGCTTCCGCAATGTTCTCGTTATGCAGTAACTAGACGATCGAAAAGTACAGAGTAGAGGGATACAGGTCGGCGTTGAGAAAACTTCGTTGCATAGGAACGGTGTTGATGGGTTCTGTGGGTGATTCTTGGAAAATGTATCATTTGGTGGACTCTGTATGGGAGGTTGCTAGATCTAGCCGTACGTAATAAAAGTGAATAAAGGGAGTGTAAATCGCTAAGTACCAAAGAAAAGAATCGTAAACGCTGCAAGTGAAAATGCGTATGCTACATCAGGACGCTTGGCTCATCGTGAGGCGCCTGTTCGAAATAAACAATAACCCGTCCATCCTTGTCCAGTTCTGCCCCTCGATCTGATATGGGTGTGTAGATTCGTGAGTGCGCCACCTCTTGCCGACTGACACGGGCCTCGTCTCGTGGAATCCACAGTGATGGCTTGGGCTTCCACATGTCCGGAGGTGTGTAGTTGCAGTATTTGTTGTTTTCCGCGTACACAGTGTTGGGTATGCTGTCGGCGGGAATCAGCTTCCGCAGAGCGATAAAGTCTTCGTACTCCTCTGGGTGGAGGAAGCGTTGAAAGAAGCTCGGCTTGTCGGCATTTTCGGGACCAATGTTGATGCCAATCTTGCCCAGCCAGTATTTGAAGAATGGTGATTCAAGCTCGTCCTTCATCTTCTTCTTGGTGCTCCCCTTGAACCATTCCATCGCCGTCGAGCGGACGCTGCTTGCGCCTTCCATTCCTCTAGTGCCCGTCACCACATGCTCTTCTGCATCTTCTTCCTCCTCCTCCTCCTCTTCATCACTCTCAATTCTCGCTTCACCAAATGTTTGCGTCTCATCGTAGTAGCTATTTGCCGCACCAGAAGTTACCTCTGATGTATCTTCTGCGATCGCGGCAGCAGCCGCCGCCTTTTGCGTCTCTTCAATTTGAATTTGTTCCTCGAGCTTCATGGTCTGCGGCAGACTGACCAAAAGCGGCGCAATGGCATCGCCGACGGACATGTGAACAAGCAGAGTGAACAGCAAAAAGATGAGCATCAAAACAACAGGCGCAAAGGAACTGTTTAGCGCAAACAACCCAATCATGCACACTTCGGCCAAGTACAGTCCAACAATCAGATGCAGCAGAGCTTGCGGGTAGAAGAGCCCCTTGCTGTCATGCGTGGAGTCCAGAATGTAGATGAGCTTGTACTTCCACACAATCTGAATAAACCATAGCCCCAATGCAGCAAACAGTAGTACTAGGGGTGAAATACAGGAGTAGCTCAGGGCAATGACCCCCATATTGGAGTACACGGGAAAGATGCCTCCCCAGCCGGGGGTCGTCAGTTCTTTCCAGGCTCTGAATCGACTCCGAGGGTTATCGGTTATTTTCGCTAGGACAACATGACGGAGGAACGGCCAGACTTGCAAAAGATCTTTGCAACCGCTGAGAACACACTGAATCAAGATATATGACAGATAGAAATCGGAGGCTGACGGCAAACTCTTTGCCAACATATCCTTGGCCCCTAGTGGATTCTTGATGATTTCCGTAATGGCACCGGAAGCGGCAGAAGTCAGTGTCGTGATCAAGAAGACCTGAACAACCTGGAATGCAAAGTAGGCGTTTTGTGTGAAGAGCTCGACCCGGTGAGTCGAGGGGAGCCCAGACACGCGTCCGCAGAAGCGCAGCAGAAAAGGCACAACCGCCATGAGGAGCGAGAGCGCCAGGGCAGGCAGAAAGCCCTGGATGAAGCCGATGATGAGCTTCGGAAGCTTATGTATCCAACTGAGGAACGGCGCAATCTTGATGAGCGAGTCCACATTAGACACCAAGCCAACAAAGGCCGACGGAATCGACCAAAAGACAATGGCAGCCAGCACGAGCGCCATGACCCCTGTGCGTCGCATGATAAGCTCCCACCACTTCATGCGAAGCGAGCTCCAGATGACCTCGTCTGGTCGGATCCCCAGCAGCCTCACCGACATTTGCAGTGGGCGGTGGTGGGCGAGGACCTGCTGCGCTGCCTGCGCACTCTCCTGTGTGTCAAATTCGATAAAGGCGGCAGACACGGTGCCAGCTTCGCCTCGCCGCACGATACGGCGCGTCTTGAAGATGAGCAGGTTCAGTTCGCGCAGTCGGTTGCGCGTCCAGCGAATCGTGTCCACGCGGCGCAAAAAGTTGCCAATCGGGCGATGGTGAGGGCGCTTCTTGGTAGGGATCCAAAGGGACGCCACGGAGCCGCGCAGGTCGGGTAGCGTGTCGTGCAAGCCGTACGGATGCACATAATCAGGATCCTCCTCGGTGGTCACACGGTCATCCTTGTTCTCTGTGGCGTCGACTTTTGTCTCATCGGAGTGGCGGTGCTGTAAGTGCTCAGTTGAGTCGCTGGAGAGCAGTGTCGGTCCAGGAAGATCAATTTCTAGTTTCTCGCTCGGGAATCTCGTCAGTTCGTGAGATGTCGCTGCGAATCCTCGTTCTGAGCTCGCAGACTCTACGTCGACGTCATGCTGTTTCTCGATACGTTCTGGTGGTGGCTCGCTAATAGGGTGGTTCGGGTGCTTCTTCAAGTATTGGTTGCGAGCAACGTTGGTCATCTTGATCAACTTGACCTCGGCATCCTCCAGTCGCTTTGCCGTCTGTTCTCGTTCCTTTACAAGCTTGGCAAGCACTTTGCTGCTTCGGGGAATATATATTCTCTTTGCTGAGTCGCCGTATAGCTTTCGAAGGCGGGCTTCATCCTGGTATTTCTGAGGCAGACCGGTAACAAGCATGGTTTTTGACGAGATGCGCTGAGCATAGTGGGGTGAAGAAAGATATGCCTGGCGTAGGTTGACGTAGTAGATGCATTCCCTGACAATGGTGAAGAGGACAAAGCCAAAGTATGCCCAGGCAACAAAGAGGTGGGCGTAGAGCTTGTTGGGGTCTTTGACATTGCCAATCGTCAGCAAGGCAAGCTGGTAGTTGCCATTGCCGCCAGTTGCGTTGATTGGAAATAGGATGGGATAGGTCAGCAAACAACCGACGAAACAAATGTTTCGCAGAACCTTTAGATAACGCAGGAAGAAGAAGCCGTCAATGGTGGCATTATTCAAAATGAAGGTGTCGGGAATCTTGAAAAACGGCACTATCCAGTTGAAAATGCCGCTGGGTAGCTCTGGGCTCGGTTCTCTGCTACGTGTTAGCCCAACTCGCTCGTACTCGGCAAGACTGCGCAAGCAAAGGGTACATACAACGGTCTTCGGATGGCGCGAATCGTTCGCGGTGCATACACACGCTTGAGTCGGGGGCGCAGGGCTAGGAATAGGATCGCCGTGACTCCGAGGATGATGCTGATGGGAATGAATGTGCCGCCGAGCTTGGACAGCGATGGGCTCTTGCTGTTGGCGGTCGCGCTGAGGGTTCCTTGACCGCTGGAGTCATTTCGGGTAGAATTGATGCGGGGATCGGAGTTCTGTTGCGCGCAAGAGCGTCAGCTATACGTCATCTCCGAGTCGTCGAAAAGATTCGAGCGTCTCGCCGGCCGGCGGCATGGCCACCAGCGTAGACACGCTCAGCCCAGCAGTGGGTGGTCGTTGAATGGCGGCCCGGGTACCTACCTGGTTGAGGTCGAGCCGGGCGACCAGCCACGGCCAGTTTCCGGGGTCATCCATCTCGACGTGCGAGGTCCAAGACAAGATCTAAGCGGCGGCTGGGCTATCGCCAGGCATTGTCGACTCTGGTCTGTGGCAGTCGCCGCTCGATGGGGGCTCCAAGTCGGTTGACGTTTTGTCTGGGAAAAGCAGAGAGAAGGAAAATGGACTGGGCGGCTACGATGTGCCGGTGGCCATCTGTTTTTGAGTGGAACGAGGCCGGTCAAGATTGAAATTCTCAGTTGGTGGTGGATCGCGTGGCGCTTCTTGTCCTAGACACCCTGCATAAGGCGGGTCGGGCGCTGAGCAGATGATGCTGCGACGAACAGATAATGGGTTGCCAAGTTGCAGAGCCAAAGGCAGAAATTGATCATTACGATACTGGAGGGAGAAGAACGAGTGGGGGGGGGGGGGGGGGCTGCCATGAAAATGGGGAATGTGGCTCAAGGCTGGAGCTAGTTATTTAGTTAGCCCGCGGACGACCACCAATCGGCATGTCTTGTTTGGGGGGGGGCGAGGAGGACATTATTCAGATAACGCTACCCAACTTCCACAGGATCAGCGACGAGGATGATGTCGTACTGGGTGCGCGTTGACGGCGAAAGGGGGAAGCTGGAGAGACAAGATACACAAGTACGAGGGCTATGTAACATGCATGATGATGCAGACATGCACACATGCAGATTTGGCAAGCAAGCAAGGAGCGGAAGCAAGCAGCCCGAAAAGGATTTCAATCTTGAGTGGCGGAAAGTGCACAGGGAAGCGACCGTTGTGGCGTTGCAGCATCTTACGAATCTTACGAATACTCTGGAAGAACTACCTAGTAATAACTAGTTACCCAATATTTCGTTCCTTTTTCTTCCTTTCTTTTTGGGCATAATAAAACCCGCCTCGAATTCAGTAAGTGGGCAGGGACCCTGGGCAATTAAGATTGCGTGCAACTTGCGACTATTCGTGCCTCCTAGGTACCTAGGTACTTTAATTCGTACCAGGTAATAGAGGTAATAGTAGGTAGTTGGGGGCGCTACAGTGGTGTTGTACAAGGCCAGCAGCGCAGCAGCATCGTACCATGTGACATGTCAAAAAATCATGGACCCTTCTCGAGAAGCAAAGAATAGCAAACGCTTCATCAAACGCTTCACTACTGCATCTCCAGCCGTGTCGCCAAGACAAGACGCCAATTTTCTCTCCTACCAGCCTTCGCCTAACGACCTGTTCCCACTGCAAAATTCGCCTCGGACCAACAGATCCGTCACCTCTCTCACGCTACTGGTCGCGCAATTGCGAGGCGTGAACTCTGTTTTGTGGGTGATCCCTGCCTTTCGAGAAACTACCGTTCAGGAACCCCGAGTCGCTCCAACCCGTCAGGGGTCTGGCGAGATAATAAAACGTTCTGTCACATACCCCTGCCTGGCACAGACTCAATCGGGACCGGGGGATCGCGTTGCACTGGTGCGAGGGCGCAAATAGTCCAAGACATGGCGAAGAGTCATTGCTCGGAAATGTCAGTGCAATAATTTGTACTAGCTTCACACTGATCTGTCCCAATTCTAGTTCAATGTCCTTTTAGCAGCTATTTGATATCCGGCAGCGAGTTCTCGTGCTCGACCAGATCTCGTAGTGGCGCGCCGGCCTCTCCGTCAAACTTGGCCGCATCGACGGCGCCCAACGGACGACGGCTTCGTCCCGCGCCGTATCCATAGTACCTGTCCAGCGCGGCCTTGAGGCCCGCGACGCCCAGCTGCACGAGCGCCCAGTCGCCGCGACTGAACCGCGTCTGCAGTGCCTGCGCCTCCTGGAGCCTGCCCTCGTCGTAGAGCTGCAGCATCAGCGTGTGCAGCTTGGGCACGAGGTTGGCCGCCGCCGCGATGACGCCGTGCGAGCCGCCCACGAGCCCGTGCAGCATAAAATCCGTCTTGCCCGCAAACGCCGCAAAGTCGCGGCCGATGCGCGCGTCGTGCGCCACCCGCTGCAGCTTCCCCATGTTGCCGCACGTCAGCTTGCAGCCGACAATGTTGCTGTTGCTGGCCGCCAGGCTGATGATCAGGTCCGAGTCGAGATCGATGCCGCCCGTCACCCCGGGGAAGTTGTAGAGCAGAATCGGGATGGGGGATGCCGTGGCCACGTCGTCAAAGTACTTGTAAATGACGGGTTTTTGCATCGCAGGGACTATCGGGCGTTAGTAACTGCAACATTTCATATTCATCGGACCAACGTACGCCAGTAGCTCGGGCTGAGGACGAGCGCGTAATCTGCGCCCGCCTCGTGAGCCTCCTTGCATAGCTGGATTGATTCGCGCGTGGACTGCGCACCACCGCCCGCAATGATCGTGGCGTCCGGCTTGCCGTGCTCATCAAGGATGGCGCGCGCCAGCTTCAACACTAGGATGCGCTCCTCGTGCGACATGTGCATCGCCTCGCCGTTGGAGCCCTGGATGACCAGGCCGTCGACGCCCGCCTTGGCGATGCGCGTAATGTGCGCGCGGATGGCCTCGAAATCGAGCGTCTCATCCTCGTGGAAAAAGGCGACGCAGGGCACGTAGATGCCGCGGGGCGGGCAGTGAGGCGCCATTTTGTGGAATGGAAATGTCGGTTTCGTATCGGCGTGTCGCTCGTGCCGCAGAGTTCCCGAGGGGAGGAGGCAGATGTCTAGTTTATAGCAGAGTCTGTCGGGGCCGCCGTCATTCAATCGCCCCGCGGTGGGAATATCTCTGACATCTCAAAATGTCGGAATCAGCCATTCACATCGCGGATTAGCGGGCGGGGGCGCGGTCCCGGAACGGCGCCCGGAGGACCCTCCCGACTGCCGATGACGGAGCGCGACGCGATTAGCCATGATGTAGTCATGGAACGATGCAAATCGCCGAGAAATGAACAAATATACTCTCCGATGCCATTTGGATAGCCAGTCCAAGTGCTTTGAAAGCATCTTCCATCACCTTTTTTGGCTCTCGCGCAGCTACTCTACGCTCTGTTTTCCAGCCTACCCTGAACCATCATATCGCAACCGAGGGGCGCCGGCCCGGTAGCGCACAGTTCGAAGTTTGATTGATTTCCATGGCCAGGAAAGCTCTAAGAAGTCGATTGATGATGTGTTGCCATATGTATTAGTACCTACCTGTGTTGTGTCTGCCTTGGACACTGGTGAAAGAACGTCTTTCTGAACCTTCGGGTTATTCGAGAAGAGGAATCGATAATGAGTTGATGATTCTTACCAAGGAAGTGCGCCCTGTAAGTTTCTTCCTCGATATTTCGGCTGTCGCATTCTAGTTCTGCGTGTCGATGTAGCGGACAGACGTGGAAAGTGCCTGATGAGTCAAAGATGCGTTGGCCATGTCGCATTTGCCACCAATAATGCGACGTCGTTTCGAAGCCAAGAAATTTGTTATAGGACGAGTTGAACTTTGGCCCGTAATTATTAAAACACAATTGTCCAGAATACACCAAACAGCCAAAGTTAATGCATGTGTGCCACTGAGCAGCACCACCTTTCCTGGGGATACCCAATTCGTGGACACGGCGGTTTTGCCGGCTGCAACTGACCATGAGCTCCGTCCGCTCGGTCGCATATCATCCTTAACCTCCAATTTACCGGAACCGAAAGAGTCCGCTAGCCGCTCAGTAACAGGCGGGCATATATACCTTTCCATAAGCTCTCCTTCGGGCGAAACTGACGTCCATCTCTGCCTGTAGGATAGTAGACTCGGGTACCGTGGCAGTTGAGTATTGAGTTGTGGCTTTCTGTATCTGTACAGAAGAGGAACAAAGGGCCTGGCTGGCGCTTTTCGTCTTATTCCCGGTGTCTAAGAATACGCATGTGATGGACCGCGCTGGCACCATCGTGGACATGTAAATGGCCCTGGGACTTTTGAGCGACCGCCAAGTCTGCGATGGAGTGTGACGAAACCAGTGAGACGATTTTTCTTGGCCGTGAACAGTTTCATCTCCAGAAAAATTACGGAAAATTGGTGACCAAATGTCCGAAAATTTGTGTGACTGGCGCCGGGAACTTGTACGTTGAAGGGCGCTGCATTAATCCAAGATCAACGGTTTATTCGAACGCTTTTCCTCCGGGGCAATATTTAATTCTTCCCCAGACGCTCTCTCGATCCACTGAAGCGAGTCACAAGGTGCTGAAGACCCGCGCGCCTGCATTCGGAATTCGCATGATCCTCGTGGAGGGTGGAGAAGTTGCCATGCCATGCCAAGAGATACAAAAGGTCCCTGATGGCAGGACAGTTTGGAAAATCCCTAAACAAGGCATAGTAAATGACAAGGCGATATGGCCTCCAACGTCCCCTCAACCCCCAATGCCGCGTCTTCTATGTACGCGTGCTGTGCTTTGGCCGAAGCTCCTCCTGCTGGCCGCTTGACTCTACTGCCGCAACTAACACGAGGCGGCGATCAGCCCCCACGGGTAGGATATAATTGAAGTTCCGTTATTCCCATTACATAAACCAACTATATAGCATGGTCGTATGGTAGCAAGGCTCCCACACAGTAATCCGTTCTTCGGCAGCGCTCGCGGACAGGATGGAGGGGTCTCTGGTTTTTCGTTGATACCCAATAACATCACCTCCTTGTCCTTCTCTGCAACGTCGATTTATGGGCATTTTACCACAAGTTCCCGCGCTGGGTTGTATCCTTGATGCAGGTTATGGCGACGAGATAAATAAGGTGATGCTGCCCAGCGCCCGTCCCTGCTGGGGCCCCCATCTCCCTGGTGTGCAAACACTGAACAAACCTGGCGCACAATACGCGGCGCTGTTGTTGTCCTTGTTCTTGGCTCGGCCACCTTCTCTGCTCCCTCAACAATCCAACATGGACCGCGACGCAGCAGTCTCGGGCCAAAAGCCAGTCGTCGCCGACTTGCACAACGAGCCTGCGGTTGTACACGAAGCCGAGCAGCGACACATTGTGGGCGCCCAGCCGGGCACCGACGACACACGCGATGCCAAGATCCTATCCGACACATACGCCGATGAGAAGCACCGAGGAACACGTGGTGTCTCACACGGCCCGGACGACGACGAGACCTCCGATGGTGAAGCGCTGCCCGCTGATCTTTTCGTGTCATTCCCGCCTCTAAAGGGCGTCGAGCCTGAGAAGAACCCCCTTACGGTACGAGCTGTGCTCATTGGCATCATCCTCGGATCTCTCTGTAATGCCTCCAACGTCTATCTCGGTACGTCTTTCCCCATACCCCCCTAGCGCACTCAAGCCACGAACAAGACGTCCGCGACAGGTCTCAAGACGGGCTTCACCTTTCCCGCCACCATGTTTGGCGCCATTTTCGGATACGGCATCGTGACTATCCTCACCAAGGCGTTTCCTCGCGTCCCTTTCCTCGGGGGCCGCTTCGGCCCCCAGGAGAACTCCATCGTGCAGGCCGCCGCCACCGGCGCCGGCGGGATGAGCGGCCTCTTCGTGGCGGGCCTGCCGGCCATGTACCGCCTCAGCCTGCTCTCCGACGAGCCCAAGGCGGACTTCACCCGGATCCTGACGCTGACGATTGTGTGCGCCCTGTTTGGGCTCTTCGCCGCCGTGCCCCTCCGCAAGTTCTTCATCATCAACGTCTCGCGCGAGCTGAACCTCGTGTTTCCCTCGCCGACGGCCACCGCCGTCGCCATCCGGTCGATGCACTCGGTCTCATCGGGCGCTGCGGACGCCATGAGGAAAGTCAAGGCCCTCTTCTACGCCTTTGCCGGCGCCTTTGCGCACATTATTCTCTCGCAGTACGCAGACGGCATCCTCCACAACTGGCACATCTTCTCGTGGTTCTACATCTGGAGCGGCTACAGCAACTGGGCGCAGAACATTGACAACTGGGGCTGGTATATCCAGCTGACGCCTGCGTTTTTCGGATCTGGCATTCTTGTTGGCATGAACACGGCGCTTTCCTGGTGGGGAGGTACTGTTGTTGCTTGGGGCCTGATTGGGCCTTTGCTTGTTCACTATGGCGAGTGCGAAGGGACCCGTCCGTACCTCGATGCCAAGGATCCAGTCATTGCTGAGAGATGGGGTGTCGTTGCTGGCTTTAGCAAGATGACTGGCATCGGCGAGCCTGGATGGAAGGCTTCTCCCCGTTACTGGATGCTGTGGCCTGGTGTCATGGTGCTCCTGGTGTACTCGCTGATTGAGTTCTTCATCCACATCCGCGTCCTCTGGGATGGACTTTTATTTGCTTTCCGTGAGATGTCGGTCACGATTGCTGGTGTGCTCAAGAAGCGCGGAAAGCGCAGCTCATTTTATGAAAAGCAGGCTGCAAAAGTCAATGACGATAATTGCCTGACCAAGGACTTTGCCACTCCTGAGCAGCAAGTTCCCGTTTACGTTTGGCTCCCTGGTACTATCAGCATGATGGTTGTCGCTTGTTTTGTCTGTCACTTCCAGTTCCAGATGAACGCTGGTTATGCCATTGTCGCCTGCCTCCTCGGTATCATCTTCGCCTTTATGAGTATCTATGGAGGTGCCGTGACCGATGTGGCACCCTTGACCGCTTCCTCCAAGGCCTCACAGCTCGTGTTTGGTGGCATCACCAAGGGTAGTGAGCAGACGCATGCTCAACGCATCAATTTGATTGCCGGAAATATTGCCACCGGAACGGCCGACGTCGCCACGGCACTGGTCAGCGATTTCCGTGTCGGGTTTCTGCTGCAGACGCCTCCCCACCTTCAGTTCTACGCCCAGGGCCTCGGTGCCATTGTTTCCATCTTTCTGGCACCGGGAATTTTTGTTCTGTTCATGGCTGCTTATCCCTGCGTCTGGCGACCCGACCTTCAAGATGGCGAGTGCCCCTTTGCCGCACCCTCGGTTGCCGCCTGGGTAGCTGTTGCCCAGGCCGTCACTGAGCCTCACGTGCCCATCCCTCTGAAGTCCGGCATCTTCGCCATTGTTCTGGGAGTGTTTGCCGCATGTCAGGCTCTCTTCAAGAACTTTTACTTGGTGGGCTCTCGTGCCAAGTATCGCTCATACCTGCCCAACTGGATGGCCGTCGGTGTCGCCTGGGTTCTGGGTCCCGATTCTGGCTATGCCAACGCGGTCGTGTTCGGCTCCATCACGGCTTGGTGGTGGAGGAAGTTTTTCCGTAACAACTTTGAGGCCTATGGATTTGCGATTGCCGCAGGTCTCATTGCCGGCGAAGGTCTTGCAGGTGTCATCAATGCTGCGCTTACTCTTGGTGGTGTTTCTGGCGAGGCCAAGGGGTCACCTATCGCCCTCCCTGGAGCCAAGTGGTGACTGGGCATTTCTGGAGAGGAAAAAGACAACTATGAGAAAAGAAGAGAAGTAGTAGCAATAGTGGTGCGGTTTTATGATGTGCATGTTGTTGTTTGTGTGGGCGCTGGCCTGCATGCGGGCGCAAGTGATTGAGCAAAATGAATATATTCTTCAGCTACAGGCTTCTTCAACTACATACCTTTTTAGTGGTGAATGTATTTGTAAGTTCTTCGTACGTTGAGGCTAAGCTTTCAGGAATCGACGCTTGGCTTGATGTGGGAGCATTTGTGAGACTGACAAAGCGATTATGAAGACAGCCTGGCAGTGCACTATAATGCACCAAGTAGGAAAATGCCGATGTTAGTGGGGTGGCGAGATGCGAATCACTGGCTCATGGCATTATACTATCATGACAGAGCCGCCAAGAAGCACGGTGAGACAGCAGAATTGGGCAGTAAGGCTGTAGACAACCCGGCGACAACTGGATGAAAACAGTTCGGCTGGTTTCAGACTGGCAGCCTCATAATCACTTGTCATCAGCCCATCACGATAACCCCGCCGCCGCAGTTGGGCTAGCCAACTCGATACTAGCCAACTCGATGGCAAAGCCAGCCAACTTGCTGGCAGAGCTGTGACGCCATTGGTGGGGCAGACAATCTTGAACTTCGGCAGCTATGATACTGTGACTTTTGGCTCCCCGTAACTTCTGCAGGGTGAAGAATTACCGGGCTGGCTGAAAACGAGGCTTTTTATGGAAGCGGTTAACCGTAGTTTCCAATCCCGTTCATCCCCCCAATGAGCGTTCGAGAAGCCATTGGCGGCCCCAGAGCGTGCCACCCGAGCTGTCCGGCCTTGGCCAAGTTGTTTATAAGGAAGCTGTAGTTCCCCTCCCCTTGTACCCCTCTGAACATTTCCATCCTCTCTCAATTGACTATCCATTCTTCCCTACAACAAGATACCCTTTCCGATCCAACAACGAACCCCCAACATGCCTCTCGCAGCTCCCAAAGCCACCAAGGTCCTCGACCTCCTCAGCCTCAAGGGCAAGACGGTCATTGTCACCGGTGCCTCGGGCGCCAAGGGCATCGGCATCGAGGCGGCCCGCGGGTGCGCCGAGATGGGCGCCGACCTGGCCATTACGTACTCGTCGCGTCCCGACGGGGCCAACAAGAACGCCGAGGAGCTGAGCAAGACGTACGGCGTCAAGGTCAAGGCGTACAAGCTCAACGTGGTCAAGTACGCCGACGTCGAGGCCTTTGTCAACCAGGTCGTCTCCGACTTTGGCAAGATTGACGGCTTCGTTGCCAAGTACGTCCCCTCCCCCCGATCAATTCCCACAACCCCCAGAAACAAAAGTACGACTAACACTGCTTCCCCCAGCTCTGGCATGACGGCCGACTCGGGCGTCCTCGACGGAACCGCCGAGGCCTGGGACAAGGTGCTCCAGGTCGACCTCACCGGCACCGCCTACTGCGCCAAGGCGGTCGGCGCCGTCTTCAAGAAGCAGGGACACGGCTCGCTCGTCATCACGGCCTCGATGTCGGGCCACATTGCCAACTACCCGCAGGAGCAGACGTCGTACAACGTGGCCAAGGCCGGCTGCATCCACCTCGCGCGCTCGCTCGCCAACGAGTGGCGTGACTTTGCCCGCGTCAACTCCATCAGCCCCGGCTACATCAACACGGGCCTGTCCGACTTCATCGACCAGAAGACGCAGGATCTCTGGAACAGCATGATTCCCGTCGGCCGCCCTGCCGAGTCGTCGGAGCTCAAGGCCGCCTACGTCTACTTCATCTCGGACGCGAGCTCGTACACGACCGGATCGGACCTGGTTATTGATGGTGGATACACGACCCGATAGAGGATTTATTTTGAAACCTCATAGAGGATTTATTCTGGCAAATTTCAGAGCAGAAGGATTGGTGTTGAGTATATCGTGTGCTATCCGTGGTCGCTGGACAGGCGACTGGGTGGACGAGTGGTCCAAGCTACGCAAGACAGTCAAGACAGCCATACACATGAATAGAATAGAAAATTTCCGGGCGAATTTGTTGCAATTTTGTAAACTCACTCATAGCCAAATAATTGGTGATGTGTTTTTGATGTGTTTTATAAGTGCGTGGCTATCTAGGATGGCTACGCATTTCCAGCGAGGACCACTAACAGCTACATTGAGCTGATTTGCAGTCAAGAGAGGGTAGAAATAGTGAAAGCAAGACATATATAAAATGAAAGTAATTGAAGAGAATATATAAGAAGCACTTCCAAAATTTTATTTTTTTTGCTTCCATGACAGCCGCGCAAAATCGAATTATTATCAACCACTTCCCACTACCCCAAGCAACACCCCGCCCAGCACATCTCTCTCCACTGCATGGCCAGGTATGGCTCAACCAAACACAGACAACAAAACCTCAAAACCAGAGCCCCTGCGCGAGCTCTGCATCCCCAACATGGTGCGCACTCCCAATCCAAAGAATGCAATGACATGACCACGTCCCATCCTGCAAAAGCGCTTCGCCCCCCGCGTCTAACACAAGCTGCAGAACAAAGACTCGAGCTTCACGTACGTGCACATGCACCGCGCGGCCGACGCCGACCTGTTTGAGGACTTTTGCCGCGACAAGCTGCCCGACGACGAGATATACGTGCCGCCGCAGCACCAGCCCGTCAACCCCGAGGACGAGGACGACGTGGTGCCCGACCAGCACGCCGCGTTTGGCATCCAGCGCGCGACGCAGCGCGTCCGCGAGCCGGCGTGGAAGGACCTCGGCCTGGCCGCGCTCATGGACAAGGGGCCCGACGCAAAGGGGAGGAAGAATAGCGGCAAGGGCGCTGTTGGTGTGCGGAACTTGCCGCGGTGATTTGGCGCCGCGGTGCTTCAGGATGCAAGATGTGCTGGCCGGGTCCAGGAGGGTTCAGGCAGCATGTCCATGGATTGCGAGCGGCACCGCAGTACGTTTTACGACTTGCAAAGATGCAAAAGTAAATTATAGAATGATTCATGACTTAAGAAAATACCCCAATAATCCGACATGCTTAAAGCAGCCTATAAATGGTGACCGCCAACTCCCAACTCCAAGCGCACCCAAAATCAAAAACCCCGTGCCATGTCCCGTGTTCATTTTCCACCGTCCGAACCTCGTCGTCATCAGTTCTTGCCCAAAAACGCCTCGCGCTCCACCACCTCTGGCGCAAACTTGACCAGAAACACCGTCTTGCCGGGCCACATGTCGCCCTCGGCGACGGTGTGCGCCGTGACCTTTGCAGAAAAGTCTGCGCCGTCGCAGACGCCCTCGATGACGCCGGCGGCAAACGCGGCGCAGTTGAGCTGGCTCATCTCGCGCGGCACCGAAATGTACTGGTTGACGAGCGGCTCGTTGTCGATAATCATGTACTCCTCGGGCGTGTCCGGGTTGTTGCTCTTCTCGAGGCGGTCGGCCTGGCGCCCAAAGAGGTGCGTCCACGCGTTTTGCTTAATCAGGTGCAGCAGCGCAATGATGTTGAGCGGCCGCAGCTGCGTGCGCGCGGGCTCGCGGTACAGCAGCAGGTCGAGGAGCTTGAGGCCGATGGCGTGGCCTTGGAGGTTCAGCCTGGAGGGGGGGAGAAGCAAGACGTTAGGGCCCCTTGTCCGATGAAAGACGCCAGCGTGGCTGCAGAGTTGACCGGTGCTCTTACCGTTGCTCCAGCTCTTGGATCCCCTTGACGCGGCGCTGCGCATACGTCACCATCTCGCCAAATAGGTACGCGAAGCTCGCCTGGCTCATCTCGCCCGCCTTGGAGCGGTTCAGCGGCCGGTGGTAGATGGTCTTGCCATTGCTGGGCAGCCGCAGACCGGATTCCTTGGTGACGGCTTGTGCGCCTGGTTGTGTGCTCGCCATGATGTGCGTCGTTTCGTGGTTCGGGTTGGGGGGAGAGACGGCGATGTTGGGTGCAGACAGCAGAGCAACCCTTTGTCCGAGTGGCAAGGAGCGTTTGCCCCACCATTCACGTCGAAGCTTGGATAAGGTAGGAGCAGTGACAGCAGAGACGGAGAGTTGATTTTTTTTCTTTTTTTTTCTTCTTTTCTTTTAGTTGAGCTAATGTAATCAACTAATGGACAAAAATTACAAAAACAAAAATTACGGATGTATGCTAAAGGGCCCCGAAAAGGTTCCGAGGGGGCCTGGTTTTACTGCCTAGGTAGGTACCTAGGTACCCCAGTGTGCCAATGCATTGGAAAACAGACGAACTCTTGCCAAATCAAAGTAGTTGCCACATCTAGGCAATCCTAACCTCATTTTCAGACCAAAGCTTATTGCACCGTCACCACCTTGGACTTTGTCTCCTTTTGCTTCAGCGACGCCTCGACCCAGGCCTGCACCTCCTCGAGCGCCTTGCGCGGGCTCTTCTTCCGCTTGAGCAGGAAGCCCTGCACCTCTGCGGGCGAGAACTTGCCCTGCGGGATGCAGCTGGCAAACTGTGTCGCAAAGGCCCTCATCTCGTCGGCCTCGACGTCGACCTCGTACGCGAGGGCGGCCTGCTGTTGCAGCAGCCAGTCGCTCTTGCCGGCGGCCGGCTGCTGCTTCTTCGTCTGGGCGGCAGCAGCAGGTCCCGCCGCCTTGGTGGCCGCGCCCGGCGGCTCGTACATGCGCTGGAAGAGCTCGGCCACCTGGAACGGGGTGGCGTGGGCGAAGCCGACCTGGACGTCGACGCGGCCGGGCCGCACGAGGGCCTCGTCGAGCGACTCGGGCTTGTTGGTCGTCATGATGAGCACGCGGCCCTCGTGCGAGGCGACGCCGTCAATGGCGTTGAGCAGCCCGGACAGCGAGATGCCCTTTTTGGAGCTGCGCTTCTCGCTGCGGCCGGCACCGCCGGCACCACGGCGACGGCGCTTCTTCTTTTTCGACTTGACGTCTTCTTCGCTCGAGGAGGAGTCGCTGTCGCTGTCGCTGGACGAGGAGTCGGCGTCCTTGGCTTCCTTCTTCTTCTCCTTGGTCTTTTCCTTGTCCGTCTTGTCCTCGTCCTTGTCTTGGGCGCCCTCGCGGCGGAGACCCGCGCTGTCAATGTCCTCGAGCAGGATGACGCAGCGCCGGGGCAGCTTGGTGAAGAGCACGGCCAGGTCCTCCTCGGTGATGCTAATGTCCTGCAGACTGATGACGTAAATGTCGATGCCGAAGACGCCCGCGAGTGCAAACGAGAAGCTCGTCTTGCCGGTGCCGGGCGGCCCGTGGAAGAGGTAGCCGCGGCGCAGCGGGATGCCGCGCGACGCGTACCAGCGCGGGGTGGCGGGGTGCAGGTATTCGTTGACGTCGGCCAGGACTTTGTGCATCTCCTTGTTGTCGAGGACCACGGTGCGGATGGGACGGACAGGACGCCGGGCGACTTGCTGCCACATGTTGTAGTCGCGGCGCTGTTCCTTGGAACGGGGCCGGTAGATGGTTGTCTTTTGCGCCATGTCTTGGTAGTAGAGCTTTTTGGCTTCACTCAGCAGCTCCTTGACGGGGGCGGTCGATCTGCCGTAGCATGAAATCTGGACGGATTCGACATCCTTCATAGGGGCGCCCCATCCACGACTGTTGGAGTACGACTCTTTGAACCGGTTCACCTTGAAGTAGGTGCCTTTGTGCCAGATGGTGGTTCTCCCCATGGCGGGAATGTAGCGCGGGGCCGACGTGGCGGCCTGGTTCGAAAAGTTGAGATACTGGTGCTGCGAGGCGCCGCCAGCGCCGCCGTTGGTGAGAAACAGGGCCTTTGTGCTATTGTCGCCGTCTTCGTCTTCGTCGTCGTCGTCGTCCCAGGCGCTCCGGTAGACGGTCTGGGCGGTGAGATGCCTGTTGCTCTTGATGGACTTGTGCTTGGCCAGGAACTTCATGACGTAGTCGTAAATGTGGTCGTCCTCGCTGACGTGCATGGAGCACATGAGGAACTGGTCGACGAGGGTGGCGAGGTAATAGTAGACCTGCTTGAACAGCTTGGACGCGGCCCAGAAGAGTCCGGCGGCGGTCAGCAGCAGGGACGGGTCGATGCCGAACTGCTTCCCGACGAGATTGTAGGCAAACGGGAGCAGCTGGCCCAGCGGCGAGACGGAACCGGCAGTGGTGAAGAGCGTATCCATGATGCCTGGGGGAAAGGTGCCGGCGTAGGTGGTGGTGGTGTTGTTGCTCGCGGCGGCGGTGTCGGTGAGGGTGTGGTTTTGCTGGAAGAGCGGCGAGAAATGCATCGAGAGCGACTCCATCATGGAAGCCATTGTTGGGGAGACGTTGAGGAATGACCCAGCTCACGATGAACGAGATGAGGTACTCGGCAGGCTGCGAAAAGAAAAAGAGAGGAAAAACAGAAGAAAAAAAAAGCTCGAGAAAAACTCGAGTAGAGTATGAGCAGATCCGAACCCTGCCTGCAGTCACTTACACCGGAAAGGTTGATGGATAGGTAGGTACCTAGGTATGCGATGCAAATGCAAACCGTGACTGCAGGACCACCGGAAAAACAAGAGGGCGCCTTTGGAGATTGGGAGAAGAGGGAAACCGGCAGACTTTTAAGATAAAAAAGTAAAAGTAAAAAAAGAATATTTTAAGAATGATTTATAATAATTCAGGAGCTGGTACTTGCTGGCCACACACCTGACCTGACCACAGACGGTGTCGCAACGCCGCTTTCTCGTAAGGCTACTGCCAAGAAACGTCACACGCTAGGCAAACGCCCAACAGCTGGGGAATCGGGTCAAGTGGCTGAAGCGGCGCCTGAGGACGAGTCTGTATGTATTTAAAAATCTGCACAGAGGACAATGTAGGCGTGGTGATATATCCTCCATGATATATATGCTCTCTTCATTCTTATTTTCGCTTCAACTCACATGAGCTTTTTTTCCTGCATCGTCCTCACGAGGCCATGATCGCAAGGCAACCAACCGTTGATGCCAAAAGTCGAAGAACTAGGCAACCAGGCGTCAGCTTTCCACTCACCCCCCCCCCCAAGGCTGCACAAAGGTGGTGACTGGTTACTGGTGACACGCACGCCGGTAAAATGTAAAATGTGCGGCGTGCAAAACGGCATCTTGCAGGATTCGGGGCCCAATCAAATTCAGGCAGGGAAGAAGCAAATCTTGCAGCCAAACTAGTTCTAGGCGATGAAAAACATCTTCACAAGGCGCTACTTTGCCGTGTATGCAATGCGGGCTGCGCGGGCGACGGGATGGATCTTACCCTGGGGCTTTTTTTCTTCTACTCTTTTGTTTTTTTTCTTGCTGATCCCGGAAACGTCTGACCGGTGGTGTAACGATCCCCTCCACGCCACGCAGAAGCGTATTTTCGTTGCGTCTGGTGACGGCAGATTTTTCACGTCTGGAGTCGAAGCGGTGAAAAAAATAAGAAAGAAGAAAATACCCTTGTGCAACGAGAGACAGTTCAATTCCAACGGTTGCTGAGACACGGCGGAGCCAGTTGTCTCTTCACCAGGTGTAAGCTAACCTGGAATACACTAGGGGTCCTTCAAGTGTACCAGTGCGCCGGGATATTTTTGTACGGCTCCCCGAGCCGATTTCCTAGGTATAGTTCTGGGGGTTAAGAGAAACCTTTCCTTCCATCGCTCTCTCGTAAAAAAAAAAAAAAAAAAAAAAGAATGAAGCATCCCCGGCCCGGTGACAACACCACCCGTTGGTCCCCGAGTCAGCATCCGCTACCTGTTACCAGCGTTGTACACATTCTCTTTGTACCACAACGTTTCCCGTTTCCCAAAAAGTCCAATGTCAGTTATTAGCGGCGTCCACCAAGGTGCGGGCCGTCTCATGGTCAACATTTGCCTTTTTTGGCTGCCTTGAGCTAACGATTTTTAGCTGTCCTTTGTGACTTGTGACTCAGGCCGCTCACCTTATCGTGAAGATGCCGCCTACGTGGCGCGGCTGCTGGCTTGCCTCCACACACACCATGACTGGGCGGTGGCAGTGAAAGGCTTCAGAAAGGCTTCACTGTATCTCAATCTTCAAAGTGGATTTAGTCAACGAACAAAGAAAAAAAATAGAACGCCAATCTCTAGCGGCTGATATACTGAATCACGTCTGGGGCTCAACAACACTTTGACTAGCTACTCGACACCTTACAACCAGCGTCTGGCTGAGAATGGACAAGTATTTGACATTTCCGGGTCAGAACGGGAAGCGACAGTAGCGCATTACTGGAAATGCGACAAGGGGACCTCGAGTGACCAGACTTTGCAAACACAGCCGGCCAAGGTCTGGCACTTCTGCGACCGCCCATTCCGTTGGGCTCGAATGCTATGGCAGTAGATGTAGTATATATCCCAAGTCAAAAGGCGATATATGTGTCTCTCAGTGCTGGAGAAGCAGGAGGAAAACCGAATTTCAGTAGAATCCGGCCGGTGTCGGCCTGCCAGTTCCACGACATGATCGAGTTCCTGTGTGACGCCGCATGGGGGGTTGTGCCGCATCAAGTGACCGTCATGAAGCTTGTTCAGGTGGTTGGTTCCTACTGACGAGCATAAGCGCTGGCTGAGCAGTCCCATTGGCGGCCGGGTCTCGCGCGTCTGCGGGCTTCTTTTAGCTCCCCGTAGTCGAGCTACATGATCTTATACGAAGCCGCCCGCTTCATGTGCAACCTGCAACGGCTGGTCGTTTGCTTCATTATGGTCGCGGGTGGTACATGATGGTACCAGCATAGATGCATGCAAAACATTCTTCGCATGTTGTGAGTGTATATGCAGCGACGATGAAACCAATAACAGAGACTCGCACAACAAAAGCAAACGATACTGTGACCTGGACAGCTGGAATCACGAAAGACGCATAAACAAGACATACCAAGCAAGTAGAATTCATGTCAAATATATATATTCTGCAGCCTTTGATCGCGCCTTGCTCATGACGTCGCCGGCGCGCGCACCATGGGCACGAATATCTTGCTCGTGCGCACCTCGTCTGCCTGCTGCACGTAGCCGGCGCGCTTGTACAAGCCCACCGCATCATCGTCGGCATCAAGGTACAGCGGCAACCTCATCTCATCCGCCACAGCATTGGCAAAGAGCAATAGCGTCATGCCGTGGCCGCGACGCCGCGCTGTTGCGTGCGTCATGAGGACTTCCAAGTCTAACGCCGGTACATCCGTTAGTCAATTCTAAGAAGAAGATAAAAGAAGAAGATAAAAGAAAAAGAAAAAGACACGTGATCAAAGCGCGTCCTAGTAAAGAGAGAGAACGAGAGAGAGGGAGAGAGAAAGAGAGAGAGGGAGAGAGAAAGAGAGAGAGGGAGAGAGAAGAGAGAGAGGAGAGAGAAGAGAGAGGGAGAGAGAAGAGAGAGAGGAGAGAGAAGAGAGAGAGGAGAGAGAAGAGAGAGAGGAGAGAGAAGAGAGAGAGGAGAGA